TAATGAACCTATTAGGTTGGATAGAATAGGGTGCAGAAAGGCTATAAGATGGGGGTTAGGGAGTGATAGGCGGCAACTGGAAAAAGTGTTAACTGGCTGCCAATCTGACCTGCGGAAGTAGAAAGGCGAATAAATGCTATACAAACCGATTACATGATAAAGTTTTGTTTACGTATTGCCTGCCAATTCCGGCTGACCTTGGCCTTTAACATGCATTACTCTGGATGAAAAGGTCATATCGGGAAGGATTTTCGAGGATACTTGTGTTTATTACCTGTGTAGCATGTTTTTTGTTTGTAAGAATATTATACGGCTCGATGTTCACCAAATGGAAGATATCGAGATAATCCCTTAGATCGTATATCATTTTGGCTCATTTTTTTTCCAATTTTCCGCCGTCCAATTTTACCTCCCTCTAATCATTCGCTACCGTCAATCTACTTTTCGTCCTAATGAGTTTCTAACCACTAAACATCCATTTGCAACAGTTTTTAAACCGACTTATCTAATCACCAAAAGTTCGTTTATTCAAGCAAAGTTTTGGGCCATAAATCATTTGAGCTTTTTTTCCAAGTTTGATGGAGGGAAAAAAGGCAGCTTTTTGAGAAGAGGAAAAAGCGTTAAAATAAAAGGAGTGCTATATTCTCAACTTGCAGTAAAATTCTTTTTTATAGCATTGATAGACATGAAAAAGATGTACTTTATTTTTTCTTCAAATCCGTTAATTGTTGAGTTTTAGCGGGGATTTCAGGCAAAATAGGCAATAGTAAAGAATCAAAATACGTTAAAGAAGATTGGACCCGACTTCGTATCTAACTCTAGTCGATACGAATGGGGATTAAACTAATCCTATATACATAATAATATTCCAACTCCTCTTTTATCTCTGAGTAAAGTGACTCGATTGCATTTGCCTTTGAGGCTGCAGGACCTATTAACCTAGAACTCTTTTGGATTCGGTAATGGCTATGGCAAGAACGGCTTCGAAAGGCTCCAACTGCACATGTCTGAAAAAAAGAAGAAAAGTTTCCTTTAATTCTTTTTTCAGTGCATTCTTTTTTTCTAAATACGTTATCGCAAAGCCTGGCTATAGGTTAGACTTGGCAGGGTAATTCAATATCTAGATAAATGTGAGACGGCTGCTTGACAATGCGTCACATGACCCGATCATCACGTGATGAAATCTTTCTTTTTCTCTATCCCTTGGAAATAAATTGTTTTCCATATCCGTGAAATTTCTTTTAAGGATAATTAATGACAGAACAAGTGATTGGAAAGAAAATAAGAATTTGTTTAGTAAAATGAGAAGAACGACCATTTAAATTTAACTCGCAACTATTGATGTTGACTTGTTAGGGTCTGAAAAAAACAGGTGCCGCGTCAAGAACATATGTTGAAATGTAAAAACATGTAAAATGTTTGCGCAAGAAGAAAAATACTATTTTTGTTGAAAGGAGGGAAATTATTTCTGTTCGGTAGATTAAAAAAATAAAGAAGATAGAGACAAAAAGAATAGAAGACAGGGAGAGTATTGTAGAAAAAGGATAAGAAAGAATAAAGACAAGATAGGTACAAAATTGTCTCTGGCACGCAAGCAAAATGAGGTACCATTAAACTAGGCCTATTTTAATTCAAGCTTAAAAGAATTGAGCGCGAAAAGAAAGACGAGTAAGAAGAGATGAAGGGTAAGGAAGAAAAATGATTTTAGAAAATCCAAGTAGCCAATTTAATATAATAAACTATCAGATTTCTGAATTGGAAACTTCTGCCGGTTATAATTCACTTTATTTTCATACCAGAGATACCAAAACTTCTCCTCTTAAATAAAAATTGACAAGTTTTGTAAAAAAAAATGAAAGAGAGAATAAATAAATATGAATACAACCACTAAACTCTTATTGAAACTAAACAAACTAGAAGAGAAAAACGCTGAGAAAGAAAACTAGGGAAAGAGATCAAGAAGAAAAGGAAACTCTCTGAGAAATTGATCATTAATTTCTTGTAGTCATTAGCAGTGGCGGAAAAGATTTCCCTAAGAATAAAATAATACGTATACTAAAGATAAACAATATTGTATATCTTTGTTTAAAGTAAAATACAGGAAACATTGTAAAATATACGTTTTTTTTAAACAAAGCAATAGTATTTTGTAGTAAACGCCTTCATATAAACAAAAACTTGTAATTACCCGATAAATTATCAAGATAGAATATAAACATAAAGTTCAGTATATCATTACAGGGGCTATATAAATATAAACAAACTGCATGATGATTCCAACGGTTTCCTTTCTAGCAAGTCGATTTAATTCGTTCTCTGTTTTTAATAAAGAAAATTAATGAATTGCATAAAAGAATTTATTGAAACTTTTCTAATAGGAATATGAATAATTATGTTATTAATATAATTCTATTCTGTCTATCTATCCTACTATATCCATATATTTATATAACCATCTACTTTGAGAAAATGATAAATGAACAAAAGATTGTAAAAGATGAGTTGTTTGTTTGTGGATTATATTATATATCGGTTGGATAGAAATTAATTATCTTTTAATGTGAGTTTGGTAGATTTTACAAACAATGAGGAATGAAGGGGAAAAAATTTACTAGATCTTTCCAAGATAATAAGTTTATTTTCAATGAGAAAATGAGATACTTTTACAAAAGGGATTAAACTCTCGTATCTTTCAAAAAAGTCACGCGAAACCCTATAATTAGCAATATCTGTTATAAAAATATCTCAAAATCCCCTCAAAGACACCCGAAACCTTACAATTCGGCCAAAAGCTATTAAAGTCGTAATTTCTCGCAGCGCCTCTAGATTTATAGGCAAACGCCATACGAAAACAGTTTATCAAAGAATCCAAAAAGGCTATATAACAGACTAATGGAAGCAGATGCGGTACAAAAGCAGCTGCAATTTTCGTAAAGCTATAAAACAGAACTTAGCAGACTCATCTAGAAGTTTGTCAGCTCAGATGATAAACCGGAACGAATTGGCAAGAGTTTGTTTACATAGCTATGCATTCCCGCCCCTTTTACTTTTTTTCGCACGCGCGTTTTTCTATACCACCTACTTTTGCCCTCCCCCTTTTCGTCCCCCTGGCTCCCATCCTACCTTACTTACGCGTTTTACTTTTTCCTTTTATTTCGTTTTACCATCAATCATTCAATTCTTTCTCAACCGCTTTCCTCTTTTTTCGGGACATGAGGGACTATTGTGTCTTATAGAAATAGCTTAAATAATTCTAAAGAATTGGTTTTTTTTACGGGAGAATTTTGTGCAAGCTGTAAAGATGAAAGGTAGGCAGATTGAGCCGTAGATAAAAATTTACATACACCTTAAGTGTATAATCATTCCAGACAGGCAATAACGACATTTCGTATAAATATCGTTTCCAGTTGTTTAGTATAGTTACGTATTCCAGATGGCTTTACTTTTATTTTACGTACTGAAATATATACATGCGGTAGATAAATTGTCTACCGATTATTTCTAATGACCCATAATAGTCGACATATTATATAATATTATATTTATACATCTGGAGAATATAGCGTCTATCTGATATAGCTAAAGTGTTTCTTCAGAGTTGTATGGCAATGCTCTAATATATCGGACCAATAAGCCAATTTATAATGATATATTCTATATATTGGGGACATCAAAGAAACCATGTCGAATTTCATTATTCGAAAATATAGGAAAATGATAGGTGCATGTCAGCTCTATGGGTTTTATGGATAAATGACCTTTAGCCCCATCAATGTCGGGTGTGGGTAAGCTCAATGCTAAAATATATGTACGCATGGCGTTCGATGTATAATTTATCACATTTTGACGGATACGATTGATATAATTGAATTCACTCGGCTAGGTTTCAATAAGAATGAAGCGCTTTTGTTGTTACGATGAAAGATAAAGATTTATATGGGTGGCCGTCTATGCGAAACTTTCCCTGTTTATACCACTGAGACGTCTAGCGACAAGCTAAAAAAATGTTCTAGAAGCGACATCTATCTTACTTTACTTCCCTTAGCATTTTCTTTCAAACTCGAGTGAGAAACCGACGGAAGTAGCCTTGATTCAAGGAGTTTTCCAAGGTAGAATATAATACGTACGAAATAAAAGACAGTTCTAACGTTTCTCTCCCATCATGGATTTTTTAATCTCCTTTTCCCATTACCTTATTCCACTCAATAAGATAAAAAACATTTACTAATCAACAAATAAGGCATGCTTTTTTGTGCATTCCATTGATTTTAAATCAGCGGTATACATAAAAACGGTTGCATCTCTATATAAGTATTATCCATTAGCAACGGACGCTACTAAAAGCCCCAACACTCAAACTTCCGTTGTTGTGGTAACAAATAAATTTTTTTAATCTGGTAAAAACTGTTAATGTAAAGATTCAATGTACGATTCAGAAAGAATAAATCAATCAGAATACAAATCAGTTATACTTATTGCAATTCTCTTGTGGAATATTAATAAGAATAATTACTGTGTAATTTATTAGTACATTTATTTAATTGCGTTAAACTGTGGGGTTGTTTTCTCTTTTTCGGCATTTCTTAGAGAATATAGAGACTAAAGGTATATAGATATAGACAGAGAAAGAGAGAGATAGAGCTAGAGGGAGAGAGAGACACACACACAGAAAGAATTCGCAATGGACAGGAAAGTTTATGATCCAAGATAAAAAGGGTAATTTAATTAGTTATTTTAATGAATTATTCCCCAAGAATTGTCTATTATTGTCTATTAACTATTCACGGTCATTAATTCGTAAATTAGTAAAAGATGCCTTATCTCTATAAGATGCTAAGTCTGCGATAAAGTAGATAAATTGCATAGCTGCTCTCAATATGAGGGGGGTCTACTACGAAAATCAAACGTTGTAAAGATAAAAATGAGGGGTTAATGGAGATGGTAATTAACTAACGGCTGTCGTAAAACATTTAAAAAGACCGTTAAAAATACAATAAAGTCATTGTTTATTTGTATTACACTCACCAATCTTAATGGATTACAAAAATTCTCACAAATACTTACATTGTTATATGAGGACACTGTCGAATATTTATATTTCCTCTTTATTTTAGAGTATATCAAATCAAATAATTTAAAGAAATCTTCAGTTTTTTGTGAAAGTTGAAAGAAACTGAGTTCCATATAATACTTAAAAAACAAAGAATCTCTTTCTTTTCATCTACAAAAAAAGATTTTTGTAAACAGGTCGACGGTTTTTCAATCGATCTAAAAAAACCACTTGAAAGTGAGTTCAACTATGTTCAGTGCCATTCTGGTGTTCCCTTGGGCATCGGGGGTCATATCTTCGGGCTATTTTCACTTAGAAATTTAAAGGCTCATTTTATAGAAATTAGTAGCAGTTGGGTCATATCTACTAAGACGAGTACTTTTAATTAAGGTAGTACTTCTAATAGAATGGTCCAAATAAGTATTAAAACTTCAAAAGAGAGCAATAAACATCAATGAATTCTTTAAAGCTAAAAGAGTATGCAGCCATTGAGATAAATTTTTTATTTTTTTCCTTCAATTCCTTTAGGTTTCGTTTAAACTTTAACCAATTTTTTCTAAATAGATTGTATTAGATATCTGCAAAAATCATTAAAATCAACTAGAAACTGTTTTGATAATATATACCAATAAAGTATTTAAATAAATACACCAACTAAATTCCCATAGGAAAAAAAAACAAAAGATGAAGGAAGTAGTCTGTCTCTTTTTTTAAAGTAAAGGAAAAAAAAAACTTAACACATTTATCTCTTTCTCGTCTCTCTTTTTGTTAAGTATAAAGTTTCACTCTTTTTTTTGTATATATTTTATATACTCAAGAATTTATCAATAATCTATGAATAAAAGTCTTGAAATATTCCAAACTTGGAAAAAAGATATACGGTGCTGAAAGCTGAGGTTAACAAATTAAAAAGAAACACAGAAAAAGTGGAAAGAAAGAAAATTTTACACATAAAAAGTGACAGCTAATCCCAAATGGAAAAAGAAAAAAAAAGGAAATAGCAAGAAAAGGTAGGAAGAAAGATTAGGTATAAATATAGGTATAAGCACTGTAGTTCTTTCTTAAAATGAGAACAGCGTCTATTATTCGTTTTGTACTTATATTTATGATATAAATGAAAAAAATTATCTGTTTAAGCTATTTCTTCTTTGAATATTATTCATTTGAATTTGTAATTAATGGATGACATATATAAACTTTAATTTGACAAGGCGATCATTTATTTTCCAGATTCACCTGCCAAAACAATTTCATAAAGTTCTTAAGTAAAAGAAATATTAGTATCAAACTTTTACCTTTCAGAGTGATAAAATAATTGAAAAACATCAAAATATTTACTGTTTAGGTTAATTAATAACTATACGCTTTATATTAAAAAGAATTTATAAAGTGTATACTAATTGATTTATAAGAGAGCTTCTTCCAAGATACATAGATAAATTAATATCATATCAAAGGACAAAATTTTGTTTAGTCGTTATAACTTGGTAACTGAGGTCCACCTTCTTGATAATTTCCAGATATATCTGCAGAACTAAAATCAAAACCTGGATTCTGGGTGCAGAGAAATGAATTAGTTAAAGGGTTGAATAAATGAAATAATAGAAAAAGTATTTTATATACTTCTAATTGATATCGTTGCAATGTTAATTTTTTTTGCATATTATCTTGTTCTAGAATGTTCGCTTCGTATTGGTTCTTTAATAAACTTTTCCATAGATTAGCAGCTACTTCGCGTCCTTTACACAAACAGATTCTAATCATCTTCTTATCCTCTAAACATTATGTATTTTTAATGAAATATTGACTGAACGTTTACTTAAATCCTCTTACCAATTGTCCATATGCTGTCATCTGGTTTTATAATACTAAATAAGTCCCCCTATTGAGTCGTGAATTTTTAAAGAACGTTTTTATTTATCAAATCAGCTTTAAAGTCTGTTAATTTCTTACTTTAATTACTGTCTCTCCACAAACATCAACGCGTAGTGTTGATGGTTTGAACTCAACATTGACATCTTTACCTCTAGTACCTTCTTTCACATTGACTTCAATATATATTTCACTGATAGTCTGCCACCATTTCCCCCATGGTGTTTCTACAGACACAATCCCGCTTCTTTCATCAAAATGTGACATTTCTGCCGCTAAAAGAGTGGACACCGCAAAAGTTTCACTCAATCTAGGAATAGATTTTGAGTAATATCGACAAAACATTCTAAAATTGTTTTTAGCGAAAACTGGTATTTGAGAAAAATTCGATAATGGTTCCTTAAATATTACAACATTGATTACTAATAATATATATATTTATATATACATATAAAATATAATTCAAAAAATATATTATAAAGAATGTTTTCAGGTGAGATTCAAGTCATTTAATATTCGACCATTAATAAATAATATTTTAGGAAATATCTGAATAATTTTCTCTATTTACATTTGTAGGTGAAAAACCAACAAAAAAACGAATTACTGCAAGAAAAAGAGGAGAAAAAAGAGGTATTTGCCTTTTTGTCCCTAGTACTTTGGCAGAATTAACTCAGGTGTTAACAAAAAAGCTAAGTCTGAAAGTAGATTCATTATATACTGAAAGTGGAGGTTTAATTGATTCGATAGAATTAATTAGAGACAATGATATTGTTGAAGTTGAAATTAACAACAAGGAGGATAAACTCTCAAATCTTCAAGAAACTACAAAAGCGGACAATGACTGGATAACTCTTAATGTGGGTGGAGTTAAATTCATGACTACTAGGACAACATTAGCATCTCGCGAACCGGAATCAATGTTTGGCTGTATGTTTCAACATGATAGGCCATTTACGTGGAAAAGTACAACTGACGATAGCAATGCTTTTCTCATTGATAGGAGTCCAAAGTACTTTGAACCAATTCTTAATTACTTGAGACACGGTCAGTTAATTTTTGATGATGGCCTTTCCATCGAAGGTGTTCTAGAGGAAGCAAGATTCTATAATATTGTTAGTTTAGTTGAGATTTTAGAAAAGAAAGTTCAAGAGGAAAGGAAAACTGAATTTCAAATTACCAGAGAACTCTTCTGTAAGAGACTTCTTGCTACGCAATCAAATGTGGAACTACGCTGTCAAGGCATGAACTTTGAAGGATGTGACTTATCCAGATTAGACTTAAAAAGAATTAATTTCCGTTACGCTAATTTGAAAAATTCAAATCTAGAAGGAGCAAATTTTGCATTTTGTGATATGGAAAGAGCTAATTTATCAGGTGCCCAACTGGATGGAGCTGCACTTATGGGGGCCCGAATGCTATGTATTAATTTGGAAGGAGCATGTATGCGGGGTTGTAACCTAGAAGAACCGAATGGCCAGAGAACCAACTTAGAAGGAGCCAATTTGAAAGGAGTAAATCTTTCGGGAAGTTCATTGGCTGGCGCAAACCTGCGAGTAGCTAAATTAAAAAAAGCCGATTTAAGAAATTGTGATTTAAGAGGTGCAGTATTAGCCGGAGCTGATTTGGAGTCTTGCGATCTATCTGGATGTGATCTTCAGGAGGCAAATTTGAGGGGAGCAAACTTGAAAGATGCAATATTTGAATTAATGATTAGTCCTCTGCACATGAGTCAAGCCCTATAAGAATATTTTTATTGTCTTTTCAATTATTGGACTGTATATATTTTTCCTTATAGCAAGCTTACTCAACAATTGAAGAAATAATTTCGCATTTCTATTTTTAATATTTTTCCTTGAATGTAATTTATGATGCACAAATGAATGATATATGGTCTTAGGATTTTTTGATATCTCTATAAACTTTGTAATTGTATTTTATTAATAGAAATACTCTGGCAGTTATCGAAACGTTTCCATCACCTATATGAGATTAAAATCCCTAAGGAAAAACAAACAAATTCCATTGATAATTTGCTTCTACATTTGATAAATTTCGCATTATTTTCTCTATACAGAAAATCAAATGTAAAAGAAAAACTTTGAATACGAAAGGGAAAAGATAGAATTTATTTCAAACAACATAAAAAATTAACTTTTTAGGGCAAAGAGAAAATTTCACACAAGTCAAATATATTTATACATTTCGCACTAATAATAGATTAACAGATTAATCAGTTATTCCTTCAAAATAAGGTACTGCTGTAGAAGAAAGGCTCCTTCTTTTCTCTCTTAGGAGGACTAGCAAAGAAAAATTTGGATATTTTAATTAGATACTAAACCTGGAAGAAACAACGGGAGACCATGTTTTCTAAAGTGCAATTAACGTTCGGTTCGTGTAGGTAATCAATTAAGAATTTTCCCTTAGCTTTAGGTGGTTTCTCACATCTTCCGGGTATAAAACTCCATTTGCCAGGGTGTCTTTCCTCTTTAGGCCATAGAGAATTGACTTTTGTTCGTAAATTGTCAACAACATACAAAAATTTGCACCTGCAATTCCATGGATTTTCTCTAAGGTTTAAAAACTTTAGTTCTTTTATTCTTTTAAATAAACAGAATGAAAATGTCTCCAAACGGTTATAAGAGACGTCCAAGTATTTCAAATTTTTCATCTTATTAATATCCAATGGTAATGTTCGTAAATAATTACCGTCTAAGTTTAGTCTTTCAATTGATGGAACATCCGCAGCTCCTGCCTGAATGTGCTCAATGTTATTATCTGATAAGTCGAGAAATTTTAGATTAATTAAGTCATCCATTGCTCCAACGTCTAAAAGTGCTAAGGAGCCTTCGTGAACTGACAAAACAGTAAGATTCCTAAGATTAGATAAAGCCCTTTTCTGAAGTCGAAAAAATGAATTATGACCCAAGTATAATTTTTCCAATTGTGACAATTGATCAAAAATAAAAGGCTGTATGTTTTTAATGCGATTTCCTCTTAGATCCAGATGCTTTAAGTATTTCATGGTTTTAAACCAATCCTTTTCTATTGATTTTATTGCACAGTATCCAATATCTAAATGTATTAAAGACTCTAAGGGAAGAAATAAATTAGGACGGATTATCCATATAGGATTTCCAGATAGCTTTAAGCTTTCCAAATTCCTCAAATCCTTAAATAATCCACCTGGTAATATATTCAATGAATTATCACTTAAGGATAAATTTTTCAAATTGTATAATCCCTTAAATATTTGATGTCGAAGTTGCCGTATTTTACACCATTCCAAATTAAGTGTTTGTAGAAAATTTGTTGTTTTTGTTTGAAATGCTAGAATATTCAAACCAATTTCAAATGAGTTACCTTGCAAATCCAACGATTGTACTTTGTCACCGTCAAAGGCATAGGCTGGAAGATGACTCAAGTCAGCATATGCAAAAGAAACTAAAGGAAGAACGTATGGTGTTTTTGGGAGACGAGGCAAATATCCATTAATACTTCCGCAAATTGCTCTTTGAATGAGACCCTTCTCATTAACTACGCAACGACACAGAGGTGAGGAATCACATTGAGTAATTTTCGAAAATGATTTCACTCCGGAACAAAATAAAAGTAGGAACAGGAGAAGAATCATTGTTATGTTGGCAGAAGAATCTTGTAGTGTGAGTCAATTTGCACCTTGGTATAGGAAATAAAGGGCTGATTTAGAGGAGGAAAAACTGTCTTTTAGTTTGGTAATCTTTTACTGAGATGTAACTACGTACAACGCTTAAATATAGTTTCCAGTTTTTTGGAATTTATATATTTTATTTGTTTTCAAAACAATATCTTTTGATGTTTGCGGTTGGAAACAATAAAAAACCGCAGCAGAAAACTGTTGATTAGCCACTCGAAAATCTGGAATTAATTTTACAGCTGTTCTCGCTTCGGGCTCTTTAACGCTTATCAGCAGCTTATATGTTTCTAGCATGCTTAGCATGGTTGTTTGACCTATATAAACAAATTCATACCTATCGATATAGGACTATCTTATTAACTAAATAACTGAGTTAATGATATATAGACAGTGTATATATAGTGTTGCGTACATTTCTTTTTTAAAAAGTAAAAGTCTAATATCCCTACGAATTTAATGTCTCACTAATTAAATTAATAATCGTTTTAAGCATAAGTGTTATTATATATACTGCATAATAACTTATTAAGATAAGGTTAAGAGAGAGATGTATTCTAATAATACGCGCATTTTAAATATAAGTTAATTAGGTAAAATCTTACCTTAGCTTCACTTTAATTAATCAGGCTGAAGTTTCTCAGCTGATTCCTTTTATTATCTTTTACTTATTTACTCCATTTCAACCTTCTAAATTCACTCATTTGAATGCCTAACTTAGAGTTTCACATTTAGATTGATTCTGATTGGTCAGTTTCAATCTATTCTTAATAATTAATTATCATGTTAATGTTTAAGAATCTAAGATAAATTTTGCCAGAGGATAAATTATATGCCATTGGGATAAGAAATTTCCAGATATTATGTAGAATATTCCTAAGAGATTTCACTCTCGAAAGAAGCCTTTTCTTGTTTTTTCTCGCATAAAAAAGTCTTATCATAGCTGAGAAAATTCCTAAAGTCTCTAGTGATTTTTTCAGCGAAAGAGGGAAGAGATAACAAGGTGTTGAGTATTTCATAAAGTACTTTCCTCACTTTCTTACCATCATATAACTTTTCACTTATGTGTTAGATATATTTTCTCGATTAATATTAGAAATAATCCAGTCAGAATGTTAAAAAATGATAACGAGAGAAAGGTTATGAGGGATAGAATAGACTAATTATTAAAAAGAAGGAGAGAAGGAAAAACAATTGTGATCTTTTATCATTAAAAAAATAAGGATAATCGTAAATAGATATTCATACCCCTAGTTCTGCATTTCATTAATTAATATTATATACTATTATTATCTCTGATTATAGAAACTTTAGGAATGAATAGTTTTTAAAAGGATTATAAGATTAGCTATATGGAAGGATAAGCATTTCGCCTCTCTTGTATAAAGTCTTAATATAACAGAGTTTTTAACATGTTTCCTGGGAAATTTAGTTTTTTAAATACTTAGAAGGATATTGTTCGAATAGAAATAGAAAAACACATAATATTTACTTTACTCACACCCTTTTCGAAGAGAATATTAATTATTGCGTAACATTGTTATATTTTTCCTTTTCCCTTCGAAAAGGAAAAAGTTCTATATAAACTTTCTGAATGATAGCAAAAAGGAAAAAGGAGAAATGAATGGAAAAGTATTGTACAAATCTTAAGAGTTCTACTTGTTCTATAGTGCAAAACAGGTGCATTGAAATTGTGATATGATCACGTGGTACAAGGGTCGGTCTTTCCGTTCAGAACACAATCAGCGTGGGCAGGTCTTTATGAGTCAGGCGTGGAATATCTTTTATAGTCATTTCTAAGTCGTTTAATCGCCTAGTTCATATCAGTATATTCGTACAAGCTTACTCCTTCGGATAAATTAAAGTAAATTATAGACAAACAAGCAATGGTATCGAGTAATCTTCAATTGAAACTATACTTCATATTTATATATTTAAATATTTTATCGATTAGGGTGTGTTCAGGTAAGAATATAATATCTTATAAGAGCTTGGCTCGATTTTTACACAAGTTCATTCAACATTTTTCAACTATTAAAGTATTAATAATTGTTTCAAATATTCAGGACAAAATATTGTTGACTGCGAAGATGAGGGAAAAATAAAAGGCATTGGAATTGACCAAAGCAATAAGTGTTTTGTGTTTCTTCCTCAAGCGGATGATAATCGACTTCCGCCATTAAATTTCTTGATTGCAAAAGACTTGTGTTCCTCTCGTGGATTTAAGTTAGCTGAGATCACGAATTTTGGTGAAAGTCTGGCTGTATCAGCTCAGTAAGTGAAAATTTGAAAATTTTGTAACAAAAACTATCTTATATATATTTCTAGTATTCGAAGAGAGTACAAGTTGAAAAATCCTGTTGACTATCGTCCTAATTTCATTCTTGCTGGAAAAGAGAGTGCAGGCGGAGATTTTCAATATATAGGTTTGTTTTTTAATAATTTCATTAAAAGATAACTGATTAACATATATTAATTTTGATAAAATTAGATGGACGGCCTTTATTACAACAGGGATGCTATATTTCAAATTTTAAAACATTTATTGACAGTAATCGTGAAATGACACCTGAAAAATGTATTCAAGATTGTAAGAGCAAAGGCTATAGCTATGCTAGCGTTAAAGAGAATGGTTATAAGCCGCAGGTTTGTTGCTTATTTATAAATAAATGTTAAAAATAATAATGAAAAGTAAACGTATTTTGTCTTTTTAGCACTTTACTGACTGCTATTGTGATAATATACTTGATAGAAGCTCTCCAAGTAGATGTTCAAAACGTTGCACTCAGCTAGAAGGAAAATCTAATTATCGTGACTACTTTTGTGGTTCAAACAATGATCGTTCAGTATCTGCAATTTATAGAACAGATGGTGAGAATGATTTATTATTCAGAATTTTTGTTACAATTTTCAATATCTTTCAATAAGGTATCTTCTCGATATTTGATTACAACCAACCTTCATGGGCTAGAGATAAGGAAGACCGAGACAGCCATAACTGTATTTTATTAAAAAGCAGTTCAAGATATGACGATCAAGAATGCTTTAAACCAGATAGAAGTGCCTTATGTGAACTCACTAGTATGTATTAGTTTTAATGGTTTATAATCATAAATGTTAAATTACATTATAAAACAGAGGTTGACAAAGCTGGTTGTGAATCAAAGAAATATACTTGGATAGACTCTGTGAACAAATGTATTAATTTCAATAGACAGTTATTTGATAATTGGTTTCAAGCTAGAGATTCGTAAGTAATCCAATTTTTAATTATCAACAAGTAAAGATAATATCTATGATTACAGATGCTATTCACTTGGAGGAGATTTAGCTGTTATTGATAGTAAAGAATTATTTACCCGTATTTCAGAAATTCATGAAACGTCTTATAAAAATGAGTATTTCTGGATTGGCGCTTCGAATAGACAATATACATGGACGACTACAAATACATCAATGATTTTTTCGAGGTTTCTTAAGAGTACTGCATTTAGCACAAAGGAAAATTGTTTTGCTCTAAATATTGATATAGAAAATCAAGGAGGAGAATTTGGGTGGGTAGATATTGATTGCAACGATATGAGCAAAGACAATGGTGTCTTGTGCATGTCAGGTAATTTTTTCCGCTCTTATTGAGGTATATTTAGTGTTTTCTGTATCTTAACAGAAATAAAGACAATCACGACAAAGCCTACAACTAAGCTAACTACAACATTTAAGTCTACCAAAAAACCTACTGATAAGCCTAAGACTACCAAGACACCTACTGATAAGCCTAAGCCAGAGTCTACCACCGGTAAAGTTATAGAAAAATCTACAAAAAAAACTGGCTTATCAACTGAGAAAGTTCCTTCAAAAAGTGATAAACCAACTGTACGAGATACCTTTGAAACGTCAATACCCATTAATACAACCGTTAACCCAACAATCTCAACTAAAAGTACATCTCAGTCTATTCTTAAGGCATCGAATATCAAGGAAAGTGCCAATCTTGAGCTAGATATAGGTAATATATCGAAAGAAAATATTTAAAAAAATACCGTTTACTATTTAATAAATATTTTTCAGGTGTTATAATTGTCATTTGTTTGGCTGTTGCTGCCATTATTGGTGGTATTATGAGGGTGCTTGCATACGTATTAATTGCCAAAACAACAGAGGAAGAAGAGATAGCGAATAGTGATGGAACGTTAGAATTGCAAGATCAAACTAACAATGTTAATTATTTTCAAAATCAAATAATTCAAAATGAAGACAAGGGCTTAAAGAATGAACAATTTAATTATTAAACAGGAATAGAAGAGTCTTTTTTTTTCGGTTAAGCTTCGATGTATAAAATTGTTAGACTATATTAATGATTTTTGTTTATATCAGTCTATTATTGAATTTATAAATTGTATTTATTCATTGTGTATTAACTATACATACTATATACATTCAATGAAATATTTTTTATACCGTAAAATCTTTCTTCTGTGCTTACATGACTTAGCCAAAGGATAATGGCAAATGGTTTACATTTCGGTTTTGAAAACTGCTTTAAAAGAGTGCAGTAACATATCTATATTATATATATATATATATATATATATATATATATATAATTGTTGCGTTTTCAAAACTTCTCTGTTTATTACAAATCATACAATTTTTAAGTTTGAAAACAAAAGAAAAGTACAAATATAATAATTTAAAAAGTCGAAATAATAAGAAGTATTCATATTTTTATATTGAAAATATTTATATTCATAACTTTTCTATTATTTTCTAGTTTTGTGAATAATTGAAATTGACATGTTTACAAATTCCAAAAAATTCTTTTATGTAAATTAATATCAGATTCTTTTCGTATTTCTCATAGAATACCGCTATGCGTTATTCATTGTTATAATAAAACTGTCTTTTTTTAGTCATTTTCACTGTAAATTTTCATACTTTTGTCAACAAGAAGAAAAAAGAGAGATTTAAATATCATTTTAGTAAAGAAATCACTAAGAATCATTTTTTCTGCTCATTAACCTTTAGAATTTGCATATAAATAGGTCGAATTAGGGATATTTGATAAATTTTGACAGATAACAAACCATGTCTAATTCGAAGAATACCCAAGGGTTATTTAAAATAGACGTCATAGTAATTGATTGATAAGCAATATTTCCTTAAATATGCATAACTAAACAGTTAAATTATAGGAAGAAGAAAACACATAGTATGGTTACACTTGACAGAGTTTGTACGAAGGTTTTTCTTGTTGTTGACTTTCGTACGAACTATATATCGCAAATACATTTATACGACTTGTTAAATCTAGAGATGACGGCACTGATAAAATACAAAATATTATAGATTTAGACAAGATATAAGATTATTCGTTTATTTTATATCTAAGAAGTTCATAACGTTTTTTCTCTATTTATAAGAATATCTTCAAACGTAGAAAATTTAATCACACCATTTATTCATATTCAACAAATTCTAATCTGTATTAATATAGATTGTGTATAGTACTATATTCTTGAATATGATATTTATAAATGTATTTTAGTGGCTCTAGTATAACATATTAATTTTACTTTATAAGACATAGTATTGTCTAGCTGAAATAAAACAAGAAAGATGTTCTTAATTATTTTATCGAATACTAGCGCCATCTTTTAAATTACTTAGAGAAGAGATGAAAAAGAAGAAACAAAGAAGATATTATCAACATATATGATAAATCTAAAATCATTTCTGATAGTTTTATCTCCGAGTATTTCGGGGCTATGAATTTTATGTAGGAAATATAATCATTTCCTTTCAATACTATATCAAACATACAACGAGCTCATTCACACATTACCACTTTGCAGTATTAAACAACGTTGCTACAATCACGAATTAAGAGGCAAATTATCATTATGTTATCTCTTTCATATCCTACTTCTTTTTATAGTTTTAAAAGCAAGTCTTTGTTTCGGGTATAAAACTAAAATTACGGTTCAAAAAGGTTATCTAGAATGAAAGAACAGACACTTTTAACAATTTTGGAGTTTCGAGGATGCTATCATGACTTTGAGAATATTTATGCGCAAATAGCCTCTATAATGCTACTAGCCTCTGTAATATCTTTACAGGACAATCCAGTTCACGATTTTATTCGTCCAATGGAAATGGAACAGTATAAAAGCATTGGATGAAAAAAATTCACTAATATGTACTTGAAAGGAGCCAATTTATTATTGGAACAAAGGACAGAAATTGAAGAAAAAGATAAAACGCAAAATAGATTTATTGACATCTATTTTAAAGATAATACTCTGGATTGTGTTTATAGAAAAATAGAGAAAAAAGAACCAAACGGATTTCGGAACGACATCATTGATTGAATAAAAAATGTTATAGATTTAGGCTAGACTTGAGATTATTCAGTTTATTTATATCTGTAGAATGTTTATTATATTGTATCTGTACTAGAAATAGACGCATATGTGTACAGGCTTTGCCTTCTAAATCAATCTATATTCCAAAAATTCAAACTTACTTTAATATAGATTTGTTACGGTATTGTACTCTTGAATATGAATTTACTAGATATATTTCAATTGTTACAATAGAATGTATTGAAACGTATACTCGCGGCAGTATTCATGTTTATTTTAAGATGGAAATATTGACTAAGAAAGTACAGTAGATGGCATTGTTGTTGGACACTACACTTCTAAACTATTTGATCATAGTGAGAGTTGTTACGGCTGCCGTTAATGGTATGTAAAGAGGGTTCATTTAAATTTTATGATAAAATTATTATTTTTAACAAATAGCGCTGATATTATCATAACTATTGCATGTTGATAAACATAACATAAGCTAAAAGGAAGTTAATTGCAAAATTGAAAGAATCTATTAAAAAATTCCAGATTGAAATCAATATATAACAATAGAATATCCTATTTTTCAAATTACTAAGGCAAAAATACTCTCTAAAATATGAATGATTATCAAATTGTCAATTTTTCTAAATTTCTACTTTGGCGCCATTTAGAGACATCGCAATACATAGGTATTTGAGACTGGAATAAAATTCGGGCAGGCTGAATGTTGTGTTTCCGCCCACGACAGACGGTTTCCTTATTTTTCGATCAATACAACTATTTTGCAGTTTATTCCTTACTGAATGCAAATACTTGTCTAAGTATGTGAGAAGTTATGATCATCAATGTTGGGGATAGAATTAACAAATCGTACTCAGAGGCATGTTGTGGGTATAATTCTTCTGCTCCTGGTCGCTATAATTTGGGTGGCATCTTCTGAATTAACCAAGTATATATTCCAGGCGGAGAAATATCCAAAACCATTTTTCAGTACCTATCTTAAGAATAGTATGTTTATGCTCTACTTATTTGGATTCTTACTATTCAAGCAATGGAGAGATAAATGTAAAAAGCATAGGTGCGAAATAGCAATCAATAATGGAAGTTCAGATGAAGAGCAAACTTTAGTAAGTATTTTAATTATTGTTTAAATAGAAAATATATGAAATGGGAAGTATTGTAATATTAATAATTATTAACTATAGAAGATAGAATTCAAATTCTCTTTGAACTTCTATCTTTTACATACTATCCCAAAAGTGTAAAATTTTTACAACTGCGTAAAATAATTACTTATTTAAAACACTGACACTTTATTATAATAAATTGTATAGAAACGTATTTCTTTGCGAATGCAATAAACCTGGGAGATATGCTGATCATACAGAAAATTTACTTAGTCTACGATATAAGAGCAATTACCCGTATCAGTTTATTGATGTTTATTAATAAGAAAAGAGTATTTTTTTACTTTTAATTACTAGTAGGATATTATTCAATATTTTAGATGAAGAGATAAAACATTCCAATTCATAGATTTTATATAAAATGAAAAAGGTGTATTGTTAGAAATATTGAGGAGTTATTTAGTTTTTTATTCAAGTTTCTCTAATTTCAGTTCTAGTTGTTTCTATATTTTTGCAGAGTGAACCTATTTATGTTCCTGTAAAGTTTGAGAGATCTTCTTCAAATGAATCAAACATTGATTATTCTCCAACGTCTAATCCCAGACGAGTAAGATTTAATCGACTATCAGAAGTACGCTGTTTATCAGGTAATAAATGCAGTTTAGCTAACTAAAATTTAAAGAGAATTTATCTTCCTAAACAGAGTCAATAGCTGATGATGCCTCATTGGCTAGGTTATCCTATACAGCTTATCAACAAGCGCAGGCAACTAGATTACGTAATTCTAATAGTTTACCAGCAAAACAAGTTGCAAAAATTGCCTGCCTCTTCTCTATAATCTATTTTCTCGCTCAATTTTCGTATCAGGAGGCCCTTGACAAAACTGGTGCTGCTGGAGTCGTTAATGTTTTATCATCGACTTCATCAGTGTTTACATTAATACTAGCTGCAATTTTCCCTTCGAATACCAACGATAAATTTACACTATCGAAATTAGTATGTGTTCTCTTCGGAATAGGAGGAGTGACTCTGGTATGTTTATCCGAGCTGAATTTTGGAAAAGGTGTTCCCATGGATATATTATGGTCCTTGCTCAGTGCTTTAATGTATGCAGTATATTTAGTTCTATTAAAGCGAAAAGTAGATCATGAAGATAAACTGAATGTGCCTATGTTTTTCGGATTCGTCGGTCTTTTTATATGTCTGTTATTATGGCCTGGATATTTTATTTTGGACGCAACTAAAGTAGAACCTTTTCGATGGCCAGATAAAACTTTGTGGTTATATTTGATTATTAATGGGTTGATTGGCACTGTATTAAGTGATTTATTTTGGCTTTGGTAGGTACTTCTTTCAAGAAGTCACTTATACCTTTCATGGAAAATTTCTAATTCTCTATAATGGAATTTTTATTGTAAACAGGGGATGTTTTCTTACCTCATCACTTGTGGGAACTTTTTCACTTAGTCTTACAGTTCCACTTTCGATGCTTGCCGATATTATTGTTAAATCCGTAAGTTGCTTTATAATACTACTGGAAAACAATTAAACAAACCTTGAATTTTTTCTTTTTTTCTTTTTAGGCGAAATATAAATGGCCGTTTTACGTAGGAACTATTCCTATTGTTTTTAGTTTCTTTGCAATTACATTTTTATCCCATTTCGACAATTATGATCCAGTTTTGTTGGGTTTGAAAAAATGCTTTCAGAAATTTTGCCGTCGAAATGATTTTATAAGGTAAAATTTTAATTCTTTTATAGATACTATTTGTCATATTTACCAAATGATTTATTTATAGTTATAAATTTATACTAATATATATATATATGTGTAAATGTTCTTCTTTATAGATCCAGAGATGGAGATAGGGAACAAACTGAGAGATTAATTCAGAATTAGACACCTGAGCAAGAGATTGAAATTATGATCAAATATATAGCATACTAACACATAGTTTTACATACTTGTATAAAAAACATTAATTTTTTCTTTTTATAGAAAAAAATTGTACAAAAAAAACGTTTTGCATACTAAGTCATTGATTAATAAATTGCCGAATGCGTTTTCATTCATATAGTTCTCGTTGCTATCTTGATTATTATGGTATTACGTAACAAAGAAAAAAATAAGATCAAGTAGCCCTGCTTTTATAGATATTTTACATACTAAATATTGTTATGATTTAATTGTGTTTAACACATATTTTGTCTCTAAACCATTCCATTGATACATAATAAATTGTATTTACAGTTGTATTTACTGCATATATGCAAGCATATATATTTTTTATTCAGTATGCACTGTCTATCAAGTTTTTTATTTGCTTTTTTTAATAATTAAATAACTAATAAAGAATGTTTTTAATACTCTTCTGCTATATACTTTTCAACTTATTTTCATGTCTAATCATCATTTGTTTTGCCTTTACATCACTAAAAGTATTGCTACTAACGAGCTCAAATTTATTTAGCTATCAAAATATTATTATCTATTACACAGAATGTGAATGACATTCTTTTAATCCTACTTAAAATAGGATATCAATGAAATAGAATTCTTAGAATATTAAATAAAGTACAGTGTATCTTTTAGTCAGTATTTAATTGGAAATAAACGATATTTTTGAATATAGTTGGGACATTGTAAATGTATTATTAGTTACAATCAGTGATGAAAAAATCAATAGTTACTCAGTCTAGCAAAATTAATGTCTTATCATAATAACTTCCTTTTATTGTGATTAACGATCTTTTACTATATTTACACTATTACCCCTTTATCCAATGTAGGATAAAAACAAATTCTACACCTGTATCTACTGCAGTTCTTTGTCTGTGTTTCTTAAGAAATGAGGCATTTTCTAAATATAAATGCACATTTCTATACTTTTACATATTCTTTTTATCCTTGTAGATGTTTTTGCCTTTTCAACTATGTTTTTATCAAAGAAAAGCCTTTTAAAAGAATCTATATATTTGTCTCAAAATAATGTTCTTCAAATCAAAACGTTTCATCTAATAAGTACTATTTTAAATAGAATTGTTAGAATTGCTAAAGACAGTATTAAAAAACTACTAATGTCTTCGTCTTGTTATAATAACAAAAATTTCTATCTAAAATCTAACTTCAAATCTATCTAAAATCTTAAAGATTGCTTTTTACGGTATCGTAAAATTTTGGGTAATTTCAGTAGTCGGCACTTTCACAGTCGTTATTGGATGTTCTGTTAACGATTCGTCCGAATTAGACGTTTCATACCCTTTTGATGAAGTGGGATTTTTAGTTGAAATTTTCGTTGAGGTAGTGGGTACGGACTTTTCTGTTGTAAGAATTTGTGAGGTTTTCGTTGTTAATTTGCTCGTTTCGATGTTAGTTTGTACAGTTGTTGTATCGTTGTCTCCTTTTATAGGATCGTTTAATTCTATTGTTGAAAGGATGAATGATTTTGTAATTTTCGTTGTTATAAAGTAACAGTTAGTCTTACCAAGCATACAAATTAAACCGTGATCTCTAGCATCTTTACAACTTAAATCAACCCAAGATATATCCCCTTGTTCACTTTGGGCAGCAAGATCGAAAGCAAAACAATTTTCTTTGGAACTGAATGATTCAGCATGAAAAAATCTTGAATAAGTTATAGGAGTTTTAGTACTATCCCATGTATATCTTCTGTTCATTGCTCCAATCCAAAAGTTATTTATTCTATAATTCTTTATTAATATATTAGAGGCAATTTGATAATATTCACGATCGTCAACAATTGATAAATCTCCCTTGTCTCGAATGCAACTGTTGAATATTAAAAATTCTAAATGGATAAATCATTAAATAATGTATTATCCTCCTTACGATTCTCGAGCATCAAACCAGCTATTAAACGATTGAACTTTAAATTTAATACATCTCTGTACCTCTTTTAGCCACATATAATTCATGGAATTACAGAAAGATTCAACCGTTTCTGCAAAATATAAAAAATTGATTCGAGTTGAAATCCTTGACAGAATATTGCATTAGTGTAAAGGAGAACAGTTTTTGTTATACCCCGAATTTCGCATAAAGCGGATCGACCTCTTTCGAAGCATCTCTGATCATCGAATCTACCAGAAAATCTTTTCATTACTATGCAGCTGTGGTAATCAGTAGATGTATTCTGTTTCCAGCTAGGCTGTCCGTAATCAAATTTCGAATAGGCCCCTAAGTTTAATTATAATCTTAGAGCATATGATTTAATTATTTATTTCTTACCGAATGTGGCGTATATAGCTAATGCATGTGCATCTTGATTAGATCCGCAAAAGAATTCGTGATTATAAGGTGAATGTCGCAAATTGAAGCATCGAGTAGTACATCTTACCGCTCTGCCCCTCGAGAAAACGTCTCCACAAAAGCAAGAGACTATATTCTGAAAGTTTCTTGTAAAATTACACTGTTTCTATTATTAATTGTCAATTTTATACTCCTAATTGATTAATGCCGGAGTATTTCTTGTTTTTCACTTTACAGGCCTCGATACAGCTTTCTGGGGTAATTTCTTCAGAATCGGCAACATGTATAGGTAGTTTGGTTATAAAGCATCCCTGTTGTTTCAAGAGACGTCCATCTGAAATCGAACAAAACCATAAAATTATTGATAATTTTAGATATTAGCAAAACAAATATTTAAGAAAACCTAGGAAATGAAAATCTCCGGCGTCACTCTCTCTACCAGCAATACGGAAATATTGTGGGCTGTTGGGTACTTTCTTTTTGATAAATTCTTCTCGAAGTCTATTGAAAAGTTAGAAAGAATGTTTATTTTGCTATAAATAACAAAAAGTAATAAATGAAAGGTTGATTAATACTACGAACTTTGTTGAAATAGCAAATTGCTCTAAAAAGTTATTTATTTCAGCGAGTTTTGTTCCTCTAGTTTCGCAAAATTGTTTTGCAACTTCCCACGTCACGCCTCGAAGTCTTCGAGGAGAATTTAGTGGATGAATAAAGAAACATTTGTAGCTTCCTACCACTCCAAAGCCAATAGATCCCCAAATGTCTTGGCAATATATTTCTTGCCCTAACAAATTGGAAAGATCAAATAGAAATATTCAACCATATACTTAATTTTCTTACCAGAACACACCCAAATCGATAAAATTTTCAGGATAAAAAACGTATAAAAGAGATTTACAATTGACAAATTGGCTGCCATAGTTTTTTCTTTCCTTAAAAAGAAAGTGATACCTTATAAGGTTAAAATCTTCAATGGCAAATTTTACGTTTCGGTTCACTAGCTTTGGAACAATTTCAACTCTGACTCATTAGGACACGTCCAAACTGATGGTATTCAGAATGAACTATCCGAGGTAGTCACGTGTCCATATGGCAATTTCAATGCGTATATTTTGGCAAGAAAGAACAAGCAACTATTCCGTTCGGAACAGTGCTTGTCTATCAAGGGTTCAAAAGGTTAAGAAAATCCCAAAACTTCAACTGTTGGTTGCTTGTTTTTTTTTTAGCATGTTGATTGAAGTAATTATCATGAAATAGTCTAAATATAATTCATATAGCTGTAGAAACTGTATTCTTCTTTAGTCTATAGAATACCTCTTTTTAATTTTGAAAAAAAGGTTAATTAAAGTACATTTTACATATTTTGCGTTGTTAAATAAGAGATAAACATTGAGATGTATAAATCTTTATAGAATGGGTAGTAATTTATCTGTAAAACTGATGTACTTTGTAAGTTATCACTTCTAATAGTTCAATTAAAAACACCAACTATACAGAAAATAGAATATTCTAATCCTAATGTTCAGTAATCGGCAGAATTTATTACTTCTTACGTAAAAAATGCCGTTCAACGAATATATTCTTTCATATTTTAATTCTAATGAAAGTCAATTGAAAATGTTTAAGAATTTTAATATACCCAACTATTTTTAACTGAAATATTGACCATTTAGAGGTTAAGTATTAAACTATTACAATAGTATTGATATTTTTAGGACAGCAAAGCCAGATTCAGACTGAAGATAGTAAATATAAATTTTCGTGTCACGCTAATTTTCGGTAAATTGTATTCTTTTTAATCCAAAAAATATAAAAAAGAGACTGGCTACTCTTTATTTAAATAAGAGAATAATAATGTCAATATATACAGTATATCTGATTAACGATAATATCTCCATTGTGCAAGTAGATTGTCTAATGTGCCTTACATCTTTCAGTTATATTTAAAGAGCTGGCTTTTATCACAAATTTTCCCTGAACGGAAAGTGTTTTATTGCATTGTACTATTTTTCAAGATCATACTTGTTTTTCTCCCGACCTCTGGATGAATATTTGTACGTAGTCTCTTTGCGCATTGAATCCTTTATCATTTGAAGATTTAAAGCTATATTATTAAAAAGATTTAGACTACTAATAATACTTTGGTAGTCTAGAATGGTGTACAAATCATCTATCATATTCATTATGAAAGGCTGTGCAGATATTTTCTATATATATATATCTTTTTGCTTTAATGATCTAGGTAAATGGTTTGGCCATAGTACAAATCGATCCTTATAAGTGAAAATAGAAATAAATAAATTGATCAGAAGCAGAATCCAAAAATGCTGAAGAAAAGTTATGTTGATAGACGGCTTTTAGCCATGGCTCACTTTTCAAACAATGAGGTTGGAGTCTTAATATTTCTTGGCTTCAATATATTATTGCCAAAATCCTCAAACAATTTTAAAGCCACTATATACCTATTAGAAATGTCTGAAACTTTTTTTTGTACTTATTCACCATCTCCAAGTATAATAGGATAATAGAGACAATAGAGAATTGAATATGGATATGTATTTTCTTCAATTAGTAAACAATGCCTTAAACTGTTTTCATAACATCCATATAAAGCCTGAAATAAGCCAGGAGTGGAAATATATTTAAAAAGTCCACATGAATTACTTAGAAGATATGTTTAAGATTATGTTAATAAATTTGAACGACATTTTAAGTAATGATCAAATGAAGAACATATTTATGTAGTAGTATTATTCGATTTTTTTTCATTGTTTCAATAATTTAAAGCTCGACTTTTGTTTGAAGAGTTAATTGATTTTTAATAAAATCAATAAATATGATGAAATATTGCAAAAAGTCTCTTATCTTTAATAATTATCGATATATCATATAAAGATTTCATACTATGATAAAGTGTATAAGCTATGTTATGAAAATCTAATACCTGTTTTACTAGGACTAATACTAAATTAAACTTTACAAAAAGTATCCCTTTTACACTTCTTACACAAAAAATGCTTTTCCTTAACCTTATAATATTCCTCTAGACTAACAAGACAATATTGATAATATCCCCAAGACATTTATTATTAATGATAAGAGTCGGTTGATATTACACTCAGAAGCTTATATGATACATTCACTTAATTGAAATAAAGATACTGTTATGTGCAAGAGGGCCAGTAAAGTCTCCGCGTTCGCTTTAACTGAGTGACTATGTATGTTAGCAACGCCATCTTTATCTCAAGAAGAAAAATATTAGAAGTGAAAACATTGACAAAAAGCGACCTAGATATTTGGAGAGACAGCCTAGCTACCTGCTTCTAGCAATATTAGCTAAAAAAATTTGTGAAAGATTAGATAAATAGAAACATATCTTTGATCGGATCATTTATAAAGAGGAGCAATATTTTTTCTATTAGACATCGTAAAATTTCCTGAAGTGACACATTGAATACATGAAATGGCGAATCAGTTTATCAGCTTCTTAGTACTATCCATAAAATTTGTAATTGATAATGTTGGAGCTCTATTGAGTCTTTTGAACATTCATTTAATTCCTCTGAACTATGAGCAGGCAATTAAAGGAATGAATAAGGTACACTATGAGCATATCAAGAAAGATAAATTCTTCATGAAAAATTTGAAACTTATGATGAATGGACTATCCAATGCGAGCGATATCACTTTAACTGGTAGATTTATTTATTATAATCAGCTATACGATGTTATTAAATCCAGATACAACTTTGATAATTATGTCAAAGAAAATCCTAAAGTTAGAAATGTCGACATAAAAAATCCAGTCTTTATCGTTACTCTTCCAAGAACAGGTAGTACATTCATGCATGTAACCATGCAACAGGATAAGAGATGGTATTGTCCTGAAGTATGGCTTCAGAATGTCCTTGTTCCACCGCCTTCGAATCCACTATCAGAGAGTGATAACAAGGTTATAAAAGAAGTAGACTGGAGATTGGGCATAGCAAAGTATCTATGGGGTAAACGAATTGAAAGTGCTCACCCTCTCTTTGCAAGAAGTCCCGAAGATATTTTGATGAATCTAATGTGTGTAGGAGCTCAATTCTATATGGCAATGGTTATCAATAATCTAGACGACTATATGGACTACTTGATGAACTTAGATAAATCAACTTGGGTTGAAATGTACCGAAGCATAAAGTTGATGATGCAATGCTACATGTACAACTATCCAACAGAGAGATTATTGACAATGAGCCATAGTCCTTATACAAATGTTGCTGCTCTATTGGAAGTTTTTCCAGATGCTAAAATAGTAACAATTCATAGGGATCCTGCCAAGTCACTAGCCTCTATAACATCTCTACTTGGCATGTCAAGTTCACAATTTTTTTCTATTTTTGGAAGAGATTTAAAAGTCATGGGTGATAACGTTTCCGATATGTGCTTGAAAGGAACTAACTTATTACTAGAACAGAGAGAAGAGTTGGAAGAAAAGGACAAAACAGAGAATAGATTTATTGATGTTTATTTTAAAGATATTGTGAGGAACCCAATGGAGACATTTAAAGATCTGTATGAAAAATTAGAAATGCCTTGGACCGATGAATGGGAAAGAACATGCAAAACTTATATAACAAGCCAAAGGGAGCATAAGAAAGGCACACATTCTTATAAAGATAATTTAATTAGAAAAGAATACTATCATAAACAATTTTCCGACTATATTAAGAAATTTTCTATTGAACTAAACTTGTAATTATTTTTTTCCAAGTCAACATTTAATAGAAAAATCTGTCTTTAAAATCTATTGAGATCTTGATAATGGTGATGAAATTCGTTCATAAAAAGTCTGTGTGATTAGATATATGTTACTAAATCAGATTCTTTGCTCTCTTATCGATCAACTACAGTACAGCATCAGACTTAGCTTATCTTTGGTTTGACCGGTAGACACAGTTTAAGAACAAAATTCTAATTGTCTGTACACTTGATAGTTTATGAAATAGATTCAGCACTAACCAATTAAAAACTATCACTACTTTGAGAATCGCTTTCTAAATAATCACTAACTTCATTCTCATCTTTAACATCCTCAACTTCCTTTTTCATTAGCTTTCCAACCTTAATTAGACAAGATTTAACACTATGAAATGGATTTTCTGGTCGGTTAAACACAATTATCAAAGACACGACGAGTATTCCAAAAATAAATACTATTATCAAAAGAAAGACGTCAACTCTTGTAGAAATAGGTTTTCTTTTAGACGCCTTCGCTGTTGCTATTTATAATATTCTATTATAAAATATGAGATGATTAAATATATTTTAACCATATTTACTCAATCTTTCCACATAGACTATAACTGGAGCCGTTTCTTCGCTATATATGTTATTCTCTTTAGTAATATTTTGTAATTTAAACTGACTATGCTAAAATATAAATTAATACGTGTTAATAGACTTTTAACTCCATTTAAAATAGCCAAATAAACTTTACATGTTTTGAACAATCTGCTCCAAAGAAAGGATATTGGCAGTTAATCTATCAAAATGAAAAATGAAATTGTATCTTTAATGACAAAACTAAACATTAGCTAACCGAATATTCAACTAAAAGCTTGGAAAAATATTGTGTAGTAATGTTAGAGTTAATTGACAATAGTTTTCTCCTTTTTCTCAATGTTTTTGCCACAAAGATTCTACTATGTACAATTAATTGAGTAGATTGGTCAATATACTCAAAAAATGCAATATAAATGAATAAATGTTTTTTCAGCTTATTACGAATGACAATTTTAATAGTTTCTCTTTTAATACAGTGATTAAATTCAACATAGTTGAAAGATGAACTATTAAATCTATTTAATTCGCAAAATGTTAAATTATGAAATAATCCGTATTTACAATTAATCATTAATTCATTTTGCTGATTAATTAAATATATATCGTTTAAACAGATTAAATTCCAACTGGGATTGAATGTATTGTTTTCATTCAAATAAGACGTTTGCCCTTCATTAAACTTCAACAAATTTAAATTTACAATGTAGTTGGACTCAACCAAATAACCTTTACAAATAAATACTAAAAGAAATATCAGAATATAGGTCATTTAATAAAATTGACAAATATAAAATACCTTTTAAGAAATATTTAATTTTGAAAATAATAACAAAATATGACGCAACAATTTCCGTCTCTTTCGGAATAGTGTTTCTATTTAACAAAACAATGAGTACAGAGGTTGCTGTAATTGTTGATGTTGGCTTTTTTGTAATACGAATATTCGAAAGTAAATACTTATATTAATGATACTTTGAATCTGTTTTCAACAGTTTTACCTTTTTGGTTTATTTTTCTTTCTTTAATTTTATTTACAGTTTATACTTTAGAAAATACTTTTCCTTCTCTGATTTTATTCATCTGTACCTTAAAATATAAAATAAAGATGTCTTAATGACTTATCCAATTAATAAGTATTTTGTATACTTACACGAATATCAATCATTTCTGCTAAATCTTTTCTACCACTAAAATCTAATGCTTGGCATAAATTCCTTCTTATCGTATCGTCATTACCTTGCTGATCATCTCTCCACCTCATCAACATACGGGCAACTCCATCGGCTAGACTATCACTTCGACGAACGTCTATCTCTTCACTAGGAGAAATATTCAATTTGCTTGCCAATTTTCTCCAACTTTCTCCAATTGACTCGGCAAGTTTATATAGCCCTGGATCGGATAAATAGCCAGTATATTCTCTAGGCCTTTGGCTTTTTCCATGCTTATACTGATGAAGCAAAGGGTACGATGAATCTTTTTCATCTCCACTATGAGACCTCTCAAAGCTTTGACCTGGAGAAGAGAATAGAAAAATTATATAAAAATAGTATAAATTAGAATAGATTGCACAATTCATCACGAACGAAGACTATTGTCAAATAACAATGATTCTATCAGATAAGTTTATTAAGTAAATAACAAAATCCTGTATATTTTTTTTAATCTTTATTTAGCTCCATCTATCTCTAATATATAGTATATGCTGTATCTACATTATCCTAAAACTAAAGAGGGAGCGTCTAACGACGTCTAAAGCTTTAAGATATAGCTTCAAAATTTACTAAGAGATTAGATTGGCTATACTGTATTTGATTGTATATTTAATTAGAAAAGTGCTTGCTATTAAAGATTAATGAAAACTTTATGGTAAACTTCCTTCGTTTTATACGAAGGTGATAGTGGGCTGTTTCATGGATAATTATTTATATTTACAAGTACACAGCATATAATCAATAGATACCTGCAGTACTGTTGCTATTAACGGAATTATCCCTTCCTTTATATCCGTTGTGGCTTCCTTGTTTGTGGGAAGAATGATTAAAGTCTTCACTATGCTTGATAGTAATAGTCTTTCTTAATAAGCATTTTTGAGCTGGAGTTATATCTAGCTGATCAACAGTTTTATGGTCAAGAGCATCTAACTCTTCTTCACTTTGAAACCCAAAAATTCTTAATTCTTCGGCTGTTGCTTGTGTTAATGAACGAGAATCACAAAATTTGGTAACAGAATCTTGAATAACATGCACCGTCTCTTTTTTTTTCTTTGTTAATAATTTTGTCTCACTTCTGTTTGATGTTCTCTCGGAATTGCTTCTCGAGTAAGATTGCGGTATATCCGACAGCTTTGTTTCAATATAGCTCCCTTTACTATCACCTGCAGTAAGCAATTTCATAATAATAACATTTAATAGTATTAAAATAGGACTACAGGTGCATGTCACTTCACTATTAACTATTTATTTCAAGGTGAATTCTTTTCAACATATTGAAAAATGGGGAAGATTTTTAGTTTTATTCTAACTCTATAAATTTTTAAACTGATTTTTAATTCAATATTTGTTTAATAATTCAATATTTAACTTTAGTTTGTCCGAATATAACATAAATATGATGTTATTTTCGTATTTATACGATAATAATGAATCAATTTATAAAATATTTTATAAATTGATAGCGTTGTACTTACTAGAATAATTTTTATCTGGTTGTTTTTTACAACTGCATAGCTTTCTACTTCTTAATACATAAAAGAAAGCAATAACAATCAGCGTCGTGACATTGGGCAGAAATAATGAAATCAGAATTACTTCGGGCAATTCTAATTAAATAAATAAAAGAAAGATAATTAGTATCATTAATATTTTCATATATTTCCCAAAATTGTTTCTTTTTTACTATATTTAAAGATTCTCTTTTTTTTTGCATCTATATATATTTAAAATAAACATATATCGTATATATGTGTATAATAATTCTTACCGACAGGCATGTCCTTATTGTATCATTAGAGATAACGGTTTTCTCTAGTTACGAAACTTATTAGAGGTTTATTATCTAAAATTATCCATGATCCTTTTATGTGTATACATACATATATATATATATATAGATTTAAATATTATTGTCAGTGCTCTACCGTTCCTCACCTAACAATCTAATATGTCTGCTAGAAAGATCAATATTAATATCTTTAAAACCTCGTAACTCCAATCGTCTGGTTTAGTTAGTAGTGCACTTTTGATAAATTTATCGACTATTCTGCGCATAAGGTAGGCCTAATATTACCTTACATCGCCGTAAATGACTTAAAATCATTAATAGTTCACCTAGTGCAAAGACACGATGCCCATATCAAATTTTATGAAAGATAAGATATGAAAACCAACCTTGTTTTTTTTTTTTTTATTTTATTTTACATAAGTTAGAAACTTATATAGAATGATGTTATTAAATAGAAAAAAAAGATAGAAAAGGATGTAGAAAAGGAGTTTTCTTTTCATATTTTCAAAAATATGCTTCCTGGAAGAAATACTATGAGAAATATTTTTGTTAGACTAAGGAAGCCTCCCGATTACGTTTGAGAATTTATCAAATAAAAGTAATAAAGAGAATATTATTAAATAATTTAACGAACAAACGAAATACATGAATGAATTAATAAAGAAAATTTTATCATAATTATCACTATTATATTATTATTATTTATAAAGGAATTATGCCATTTTACTAACTAGAGAGATTACGACTTTATGAATGAAGATGGAAGAGGTCAGTATGAAAAATTGAATATAAAGAAGGGAATGACATGTTTTTTAAGTTTAAAAAAAAATTCTCTATAGGAATAAAAAGTTTTAAAAGACGTTAACAAATTATATGGATATTAGATGAAATGTATAGATTTGAAAGTATTAAAAGATATAAAAGATATTTGAAGCGGAAAATAGCGGAATTTGAGGAAAATACTAACAACAATAACGGAGGTTAGGCCTACAAGATAATATTTACTTTAAGACAAAAAACAGAAATTTATTATAGAATAAAACACAACAAATATAAAAAAATACAGACGGACCGACAAAATTTAGAGGAAATGGACAAGCGCAAAACTATATGCGTTCAACAGAAGCATCCAGACGTCGCGAATCTTTAAATAAAGAGACTTTTGGACCTTCTAGAAATTCAATTGATCAGCAGAATTCTATTTCTCCTTTACGCCGTAAAATTTATAACAAAAACAATTTAGAATTAAACGATTTAGATGTCTTTGAATTAGACGCCTATTTACAAGAGATTCCCAATATATCTAATCTATCTGAGAATACGAAGACAAAGTGGTCTTTACCTAATTTTAAAGAATTTTTCAACTCTCTAGAAGTTCATGGTAAAGGAGAACCATCGATAAATCTAGATGATTCTTTCGTAAAAGATGTAATCAACGACGATTCCCTATCACCCATTGAAGCTGTTAACATACTTCTTGGTAAAGAACCAAGACGAGATAATATAAAATCAAAGAAACACCCAGCTAAAAATAACATGACTAGAAAAACATATGATAAAACTAACGTCAAAACCTTAAAATCTTATCTTAAAGGTGTTGACAGACGAATGTTAGAAAGGGAATTAGAAAATTCTCTAAGTAAGTTTGAATATATCTTGAAAGATTAAAACATTTAAAAATCTGAATATAATTAAAATAGAAAAAAAGAAAAAAAGTAAGAAATGTAAAGATTTTAAATTGAATTTAAGTAAAAAAGGATTAAAAAGGAAAAGGTTTAAATCAAAAAATCCAAAATTTATTGACAATAGTCGTTCAATTCCTATTAACGTATTAAAATGTAGTAAAGATAATTTTAACGAATCCCAAAAGAAAAAATTTTATGAAAGCCCTTGGAAATATTTAGATAAAACAAATATAAAGATAGAAAATGATAAAAGCAATCGTAAAGTTGATGACTTGACATTTCAGCAATCAAAAATTCCACCTCAAAAATCGGAGAGAAAAAAATGGAATTTAAATCATAGTATTTTGAATTTGACTAAGGTCGTATTACCTTTGAATAATAAAAATATTGATGAACAAGCAAGTAGGGTTAAAAAGGAATTTTACTCAAAAACTAAGAGGAAATCCCCTATAACATTATCTAAAGAGACAGGAACAAATACTGAAAACAGGAGCTCATTTGATAATAATTTTCACAATGAAGAAACTCTCGTTTTTAATGGGAGAGAATTGAAAAAGAACAATTTGAACAATCTATCCGCCGAAGAGTCATATTCGAAAATAAAAAACGTTTTATTAAAAGAAAATAACGATGAAAAAAATATTAAAACAGATAAGGCCTATGCAGAAAAAAAACTGCAAACTAATGAACTCGAAAATCAGTCAATTTTATCAGAAGAAGATAATCTCAATGAATTTATTGAAAACGATTTAAAATCTACAAGATCTTTTCTAAATAATAATAGAGAAAGATCAAATGAAATTTTTAAAAATCTTAAAACTAACGATTCTATAGAAGATAGCGGCAGTCTTTTATCAAATTATGTCAACAAATGGAAAAAATTTCATAATAAAAGAGATTTATCGCAAATTAATCTACTAAACAAACTGAAAAGTCTAGGCAAAGAAGAGAATGAAAAGAGCACTCGCTTATATGAATTTCTTCAAAATAAAACACATTTTAATGGCAAACAGAAGTTCATCAACTTGGAAAACATTTTACAGAACAACCGTCAAGTTAATAAAGAAAACTATGAATTAAATAAAAAGGTAAAAGTCATTTAATGTTGAAAAACTCTGAATTATTTTCTTTGTTTTTAAAAGCGTAAAGAATTTTTATCAAGTAAAAAAATTAACAAATTAAATCATGTTAAAATTACAAAGCTAAATAGAGATTATAAGAAAATTGATGAATCGTCTAATGTTAATTTCGTTAGAAGATTAATTCCTAGCCGAAGTTTGGATAAAAATAAGAATAAAAGGCAAAGGAAAGTTGATTTTAATAAGAAATTATCTGGCACGTTAATTAAAGGTAAGAACTTTATAGTTTTATATTAAAAAGAATTGAGGAGGAAGGAAAGTTGAAAATATTTTAAATTATTTTAATTTTAGGGAGAGTAAAGAAAGTAAAACATAGAAAATCAGATAATTTGCCTCTCTATGTACCCATAGAAACTCTCAGTCAAACATCTACTTCTATCAAGAGTTCAACTGGAAAACTTGTTAAAAATTCCCCAAATTCCCGATATTGTTTTAGTGATCTTTCATTAGATTTAGACGAAGGAAGTGACATTTTTAAAATACCATCCTGCAAATCAGATAGTACTATTGAAACTTTATATTACCAAAGAACACAAAGTGCAGAGTCTAGTAATATACGGAGTACTAATCAATTGAATTGGTTAAAAAAAGATTTATCATCAGAAGCTCTTTCTTCGAAAAGTATAAGAAGATTTTGTTATCAATGTACGGCAACCTAATTATTTGTATTTTCAGACAAAGATAATACAGAATTCTCCTATCGTCCAACTGTTATACCAACATCATACTATTTTATATTTACTATTCTAACGTCTATATTAATCTATCTTATTCTATCTACACCAGTCTAAGAGATGTTTTCCTTTGTTTTTTAAAGATGAAACTAAAAACTATTCATTCTTTTGTTTTGTTAAAAAATTGCATAAAGCATTTTCTAGAAAACCAAAAGAAATATATGGTAAAAAATTCACTGAAAAGTTATATACCGTAGTGAATGATTAGGTAATTGAGTAATCGGGTATAATGAAGAAAGAGAGAGAGTGTGTGTATGAGTGTGTGTGTGAAGGAGAAGAAAGAGAGAGGGAAGATATCAATAATTTTAAGTGTGTAGCCTATACTACTTGTTTTCTTAGTTGCCTAATGCGAAATTAATTAATAGGTTACTTTGAAGAAAATAGCGTTTTTTGGACATTGAATGATTTCGGCTTGATAAAGAAGAAAATTGATTATATTATTTCCATTTTAGATAAAAAGGAAATATATTTCCTAGAAAAAGATGTTTTTTTGTAGCCAAGTAAAACTATAGTTGTACAACACGTTGTACAGAGGTAAAAGTTTTTTATTTATCAGGCTTTATAGAGAGCTCAACCTATTAGCGTAAAATTAGACTGAATCTAAAACCAAATTTCTTTTATATCATACAGAAAACGATATGGATACGGACATAAAAAGAAAGAAGCCACACACTTACGAGCTCAAAAAAAATTCATATTCTTTCTTTTCTGTTTTCAAAAAAAAGAACAAAAAAAAGGAACCAAATCAAAATCAGCTCGATTTAACCAATACGAGACCAACAGAGCCGAATTACTTAAGTTAACTAATGATCAAGTTGTAAATAGATCATTACTTCCTTTAACTTTTCCATACACTTGGAATGCATTTTCTCTTTGGTGCAAATCGTAATAGTTTTCGACTATGATTTTGACAAGTTTTCTTTTTTTTTCTCAAACTATCTACTTTTCTATTTAATTAACCTTTTTAATCTTTTTTTTTAAATGACATGAATTAATATTTTCTATTTCATTATCGGGAATACTTTTATTTATTGCTCGCCTTCGTCACCTCGCTTTATAAGACGGACAAATTTTAGATAATCTAGCTGCCCACCCTCGATTGGAGCCTCTTTCCAAGTTTGCTTTACTTCATCTTTGCTGAAGAGATCTCCCGTATTCATAAGAAGGTCTTTGAAACTATTAAGTATAAATAATATTTGTTTGACTGTTATGTATTAATACAATTTTGAGACTTACTATTCTTCCGAAAGTTTTCCACTGTTTCCTTCATCAAACATTATGAAAGCATCCCTAAGCGTACCTTCTGGATCAGTTCCGTGCAATTTTTCACCAAATAAGGTTAAGAAATGCGTGAAGTTCAGTTGGCCAGGTGATTCTTCCAACATTCCCCCCAAAGTCTTCTGGTCGGGATCTCTTCCCAGTTGTTGATGAATTGACAAAAGATCGTCCATGTCAATAACTCCGTCACGGTTTTGGTCAATCATCGTAAAGGCCTGAAAAAATAAATTTTATTTAAAGAAGAAAAGACTACTATCTAAAAATAGACCTCTTTGAATTCTTGAATTTGAGCCTGATTGAACAACGCAAAAACATTAGAAGTTCCTCGTTTTGCCGGTTTGGCCTCCTTTTTCTCTTCAGGAGCGTCAGCTGGTGCATTTTCGGCTTCAGATTCCTCTTTCTTTTCCTTCTTCTTTTTGGTTTTCTTCTCTTTAGTTGACTAAAACATTGCAAATAATATTATTTAGTGAAATATATAAATACATTGTGTATCAATGTAGTTTGTATTATAAACATATGTAAGTATATATAAATGTAGATAATTATATATATATTCAATATCAAAAGGGGGATGTTGTTAATTTAATTTACAAGAGAAATTACTTTAAAAAGGTATTTTGGTTGAGGAGATAGGAAAACAAGCTGGTATAGAGTTGAAGAAAAGGCGAGCTACGCCTCGTCTATATTTAAACCGCTCTGCAAAGTCTGCAGCCCATGTGCTGTTTTTAGCTTTGGGTTGCAGTAGGCGCACTGAAAATTCTGTTTAGATAGCAAATTTTGCTGCATTACTTTTATATTCATTACAAACTTTTCTTCTGTTTGATAAGTTTGAAGAGTTTTTAATATTTAAAGAAGATTTCAAATATTATTAAAAGTAATACAAAAATTTATAAATTAAGCATATTTCAAATGGATTCATTCCCTTTCTATGAAAAATTATCAACAACAGGTGTACCTATCCATAAATCATCCTCTGAGGAGTTGTCAAAATCATATACTAAACAGTTAGATAAATTATATGCATTCCATTGTCTATTGAAATAAAAACTATAAATGCTTAGCAAACTTACCATAATGCAAACTTTACAAACTCTCGAAAGTTAGTGGCGAGCTACTAAAGGGATATCTTCTACTTTTCTAACCGACCTAAAGTGGTCTCTCGTTCCAAACCAATAAAACCAGTTTATGTGAACTATGTTTAGAAAGGAACCACGCAGAATTCGAAAAATTTCATTCTTCCGTAAAGGATTACTAGGTTACTAGGGATAGGATGAAGCAGTAAATAAAAAAAGTTTTTTATCATTACCTTGTCTTTTTCTTTTTCTTCTCCCATCTTTAAGCGAATCTTTATGAAAATAGTTAAGACATAGATTGCTTTTAAGTTACATAACATTATAAAAAACGAAAAGGAAAGAGTAAAAAAAAAGGAATTACATAGAAATGAACAAAGGAGGAGAATTATTGATACCTAGAGCCTTTGACGAGATCAACCCTGACGAATGGAGATATCAGACTGATCTACGAATAAAATATTTCTTTTATGTTTTCATAAACCATAAGTTGATCACATGAGTATATTTAATCACGTGATCTTTAGAAAAACATGAGTTTTATTTTTAGAACTACTGGTACCTTCGAATGCCTCAATTCACCACATATTTTAAGTTGGAATCTTTTCGATACCATTTCTATTTTCTTATTCTCAGACAAACGAAACAATATCTAGGTTTTTTTTAAAAAAGAAAGAAAAATATAGTAACATGGCTGCTGGAAAATGTTAAAAATTATAATAGATGTTGGTATCTTGTCAAAGAAAACTCTATTTACAAATCTAAATAAATAATAAGATATTAGTCAATAATAGTAGATATTTTAGACTTTACATTCCTACATTTAATCTCATTCTAATTCTCTAATTTAGTCTTTAAATTACTTTATGAAATTCTTTCTATTTCCTTCTAATTGATTAGAAAAATAAATCATGATTGCCTTAATTTTTTACTGGCAGAAATAAGTTGATTTATTACTCAAAAAATATAGGAAGAGTAAATAATTGTATGCATTACGCAGCATACAACACTACGAAGTTATATAGTTCAGTAAAAACATTTATAGATGTACAGTACTATAATATATAAATGTAATAACAGACCGTGCTTTGTTAGCGATTTAATTAAATGGTATAGAAGTAATGAAGATGTGACCTACTAATGAAACTAAGAAAAGTAAAAGGATTAGTTATATTCATTAAACAATATTTTTTACTTAAAAATAATTCTCTTTATCCGATAGATGCCGCTCTTTAATACACACAGTATATATATACAGTATATATATATCATATATATATATATATATATATATATATATATATATATATATATCGATTCTCTTGTTCTAGCTAAATAATAAAATTATATAAATATAGATTTATTTGAAATGGCTAACTCCAGGAAGAAATATAAGAAAAACATCACTTTTCAGCTAGGATCGTGAACAAGAAAATGTTCTCTTTTAATATCTTCTTATTAATAATTTCTTTTCTAAAAAAGATATTACATTCAAAGAAAAAAAAAGACAAGAAGATATTCTTCCAACATCCTTTTTCTCTATACTTTAAAAGTCAATTAATCTTCATGAAAGATTTAATTTCTTATATATCGCATTAAAAATGATTGCTTTACAAGTGAGAATAAATATTTAATATGTTTGTAACAGCTGGAAATATTTGAAATAATAATATTGTCTAAATTGATATAAAAGGATGTTATTTATGTATCGACATTTTAAGATAAAATTCTTATAGCCTTGTGCGTTTTTCATTGGCTTTTTTTATATATATTTTTAAAGATTTATAAAGATAGAATGTAGTTAAAATGTTCTTTAGTTTTTGATTAATTATACTAATACTTATCTATATTCTGTATTTCTAATTCAAACTCTGTTTTCCTCGTGAATTAATTACTTAAAGCGATTAATTAACACTTTTATTAAAAACACACACATGAATTGTAAACTATCCGAGTAAAGATGGCTGGAAGAAACCTTCGCTTTGTTATCCACTGCTTGCATATTATTTTATTCAAAAAGAGGGATGCCGTGTCCCCAATGAATTAAGGCAATAATGCTTCAAAGGCAGAACAGCCATGCCTTCAGAATTCTAAGGAATCTTGTAGAGTCTTTATTTCTAAGATTACAAGAAAATTTTTCTGAAAATACACCAAGAGGAAGTTTAGGTGGAAACAATAGAAAGGAGAGAGAAAATCTTCTTAGACAAGATTTGGTAGGAGGAAAAAACACCCTAAGCATATAGAATATAAATACAAACAAACTTCATCGATAACTCGTTTGCTTACGGAATAGAAATAGTAGAAGGTTAGGCCATTTAAAGTTACGTAGGGGGAATAGAAATAATTATAAAGTAGGTATAGGCTTTTCTTAATGATGTTAGAGATAGAGAATCAACGATTACAAAACCTACAAAGGTTAACTTGTGCGTTGAGTAATAAATTGATCGCTAAACTGAATTAACGTTCTGCAGCTGTATTAACGTTGTCTAGAGTTCAAAAATATTAGTACTAATTAATTTTTATTTATAAAATTTAATACTTGACGTTGTATTAAAAACTATAAAAAAGGAAATATATCTTATTAATTTAAGACAGAATCGTGTTAAAATGAAAAACTTTTCAATCAAGTCGAAAATTTTATAAATCATTAGTCAGAAACTTATTGTCAAAAAGGATTCTCTTTAATATATTATAAGAATAAGAGAATGGAGAAAAAAAACAAAAGAACGTAGCTGCTTAATTAATTCAATTAGAACATTGATAAAAACTTATTTAAATTTCCTTTATTTTTTAAATGGTAAAAGAATTCTTTAAAATTTTAATTTTTCTTGATATAAAGGAAAATATGAAGAGGGAAAACATTGATATTGTTTCTACTAGATAGATAGCTTCTTGTTTTACTATATACAAGAATTTGTTTACGTTTCAACGGCAAATATTTCCTAGAAAATCTTTGATTAACTTTCGCTTTGGAAGAGCAGAGAAAATAAACATTATCACACCTTTTAGGAGTAAAAAAAATGATGAATTAGTTTAACCTTTTAGTTACTTTTAGCGGTAATTTTTCTTTTCTATAGTGGCTATAGTGCCAAAAAATCTGGAATAAGAATCGTGAGAACCAATCTCTACTGGATAATAATTTATTTTTTTATTATAAACAGACGTGTTTTAGGATTTTTTGCAGTTGAACTGTAAAAAAAACAAAAATGTCTGAAACTAACCTTAGACTTCTCCATGTGAATTATGACATAGATGAATAAGTTAGAAGTGCACCTTAAAAAAAGCTAAAATATCACAACAACTCTCAATATAACTGTTATTCCATTTCTTCTCTTCTTCCTTATTCAACGCAATCCTTTATCAGCAATTGAGAGGTAAAATGTCCCAAGAGTATCATTTTCTTAATCCTATCAGCATATCTCTGAAATAGATATAATCAGATAATACTATTTTCCATTTCTCGTTAGTGTATTAGACCTACTCTCTTGTAGACATCTCGAGAAACCGTTGATAAGCGTCGAAAAATTTTCACTTATCAGATACATTCTATTCTATAACTGAGCAAGATTCAACCTAAGCTAACTCCTTTCTCTCTATTTATTTTTCCTTTATTGTTTCTTAAGTATTCAAATAACGTGGTATATACATATTAATGAACTATGTATCCGCTTCGAAGAAATCTTAACTTGCACAAACGTTCCGCTAGGCTTACATTGCGGATTCGATAGAAGGAGAACTCAAAGTAATGTACTGTACATCTATAGAATAGAGTATATATACGACATATATAGCTAAACAGTAGAAGTTTTTTGTAGGTAGTCTATAAAATAAAAGAGAGTTTTATGGAAAAGGATAAAAGGTAAAAGTAGGAAGGAGGTTAAAAAATTCCCTGCTTTTTCTAATACTGTGGCGATACCGTTATTTTCAGCGGTAAAATGTCAAACGCAATACTCTCCTCACAGTATCGCGTAACTTTTCATTTCCGTTCTTTATTATTCGTTCATTGATAATGGAAGGAATTTTGAAAAGAAGGAATAATTATTATTATAACATTACTAAGTTACGGTATATATATATATACCGTATATATATACATATACTAATCAGTAATAAGTTATATAAGAAGGGAGTGTTATTGTTAAGATATTTTAATACAATTTATAAAATATGAATTCCTTTGTGGCATCACGTTGGCTCAGCATCTCGTTACGCCTTTTTAAAGCAATTATTAAAAGATCAAAAGAGAATTTTATTTAGCGTCCCTAGAAATATAGTGAATAGTTTATAGATTCTGTAATTTTCGTTTCATATACAACTCGAAAAGTGATTTTCAAAGAGAAACTGCGGATCTATTATCGTAAATTCTATTAAAACTCAATTGTACATAATGTACTTTGTAATCGTAACCTCCTGGAAAACGGAAATAACAAAAAAATCTCTTAAATAAATAAAAGGTAAAAATAACTAAAAAAAATTCTAATTAATATACAAAAAAGGCTTATTTGGTAATATTTCAACGGTTTTCGAACTAGCGGTTTATATAATGTAGTTGACAAGTTCCCTCAAAACAGAATTATCAACAAAGAGGTGAAAAACTGTTTAATGCATATATAATATATCTTTATTCTAAATGCACATCCGGTATCCTAACTACCTATTTCGTAGTAAGCTACACTATTTTCATGTTATCATTTAAAAATACTACTTCTTCTCTGCATAATCCAATTTCTTGGAAATGATCTTAAAGTTTTCCTATATTTGTTTGACTAATTGGTTCTCTTTTTCTCCTTTTCCTGATGGGATTCAAGAAGTAAAAGTAAGCACACAAAAATAGGGTAAAAAGTAAAGTAACTACGGGAATAATAAATATGATAGAAGATCGATAAAAAAATTGTTGATCGGATTACATCAATTGACTTACAATTGCCGAGTTTGTTATATGGAAGAGGATTGTTTAGCGCGGAATGGAATGCGCACTGTTATATATATATATATATATATATATATATATAAATTAATTATCTAAATGACGTCAATCACGTATTGCCTTCTCTCTTCCCTCTCGTCTCCTCTAGCCTTCTCACCTCTCCCCTTCATATTCCTCTTTTGCTCCCTCTCACACTTATGTATACGCTCTCTCAATAGCCATCTTCTTCCCTTTCTCTTATAATATTTATTTGTTATTCTTTACCGAGCTTCTTTCAGAAATTTTAACCTAGATTTTAGCTGATAATCTAATAAAACGTAGTATAATATTTCAATGTATAATTTATACTTATCAATAAAGACAGTTATTGGGAAATTATACATTTAAATCCTTATTTCGTTTTTCCCTTATCAAATCTGGTATCTCGTAAAAAAAAGTTAATAAAAGAATTTCTCTTGACTCTCTACAAATGAAAGCGTAACTAATTTTGTGAAAAGTGAAGAGGACTATATGTTTAAAATCGATGATACCAAGAAAATGATAACCAATTTCCATCCAATGAAAAATCTCTCTCCGTGAAACCTTGTAGAATTTTTCCTCAATAGAATTAGCAATATACGGGCTAATATGATAAAACCGCTAGGTGTCGTCTCAAGAGCTCTCAAGGTATACCGATATATTCATTTGTTGGTTACAGATGATGAACGACAGAACTTTTATAAGGGATAATACGACAGTCGAAGTAACCTCTGTGTCTGCGGTTATTTGGAAAGTTTTGGATTATTATCTAATTCCTGGATTAGTGATTATTGGCTTAGTGACAAATACTTTGAGTTTCATTGTTTTTACTAAAAGTCGCTTGAAGAAACAAAGTTCATCGGTGTACTTAGCTGCATTGGCCTTATCCGATAATCTATACTTAGTCAACCTATGGTTTTTCAAATTGACCGAGTTTGGTATACCAATCTACCATACAAGAGGCTGGTGCCAATACATCACTTATACAAATCTTGTAGCAATGTCTGTATCTTCTTGGCTAATAGTTTCTTTCACTCTGGAAAGATGGATAGCTGTTAGCTATCCTTTTCAAAAGAATAAATGGTGTACGAAAAAGAGAAGTCTTAAGATAACTCTGGTAATTGTTCTTTTCAGCCTTCTCCTCTATTCGTACGGTTTAATCAGTTTCGGGGTTATTGATCCGAACATGCCTACACGTGCTCACAAATGTGGAATTATAGAAAAATATTCAAAATTGTTCTTTCTCATGAGCCTACTTGAATTTATACTTGCCCACCTTGTTCCAGTTTTAGTAATCATATGTTTCAATATCTCAATTGCGGTTAAAGTAAGAAAAGCAACAAGACTAGATCGACTTCAGAATGCTGGTAATCATAATTTCCCCCAAAGATCTACAATAACTCTACAAATGGAAGGTGTTGAAAGTAATCAACATAACTCGCAATTACTATCGAGTAGAAATAATTCGAAGAAACGATGCGAGCAGCACACAATTCAGAGTAATGGAAACAATGGAAAAAGGGTTAAAAACACGACCACAATGCTTTTGATCGTTTCAAGCGTCTACGTTCTGTTGAATTCACCTGGATATACTTTACGAATAATTTGCACAATAGATCAAACATACTCGACAAAAAGAATGCTTGTAAGAGAATATTTTCAGCTATTATATTATCTAAACTTTGTAATCAACTTTTTTCTCTATTCCCTCTCAGCAAGAAATTTTAGATTAGCATTATGTAAGATGCTCAAAGATGCTTGGGCAAAAATTAAGTCAAAGTAAACTGTATAAATTTTCCGTTTTTGTTAAATTAATTTAAAATAAGAGAAGGGACTAAGTAATAGAGAGAAAGACAAAGGAAAGAACGAGAAAAATAGAGGGGGAGGGAATTAAATAATGAATAAAACTTTAAAGCTCTTACAACATTAATAAGTATATTTTATATCTCTTTCCACTTGAATCTATTAGAGATTGGATTCACTGAAAAAAGGATTTAAAAGCTATTTAAAACTACTATCAAAAATTTATAAATGTCTTAGTATGTTAACTTTTATAAATATACAAATATATTCCCAAAGAATTATATAATTACACAGAATCTTGATAAATATAAATTGTATAAAATTCATTTTTTATAGAGGAAGAAGTCCTACTTTTTCCTATACTCAGGACATGATAAATAACGTTTTAACTTTTAATCAATACAATTTATGTTTGTAATTCAAGATACACATTAAATTTTGTGCATACACTTTACAGATTGAAAATAAGTTTTAATTGTATGGATACGTATACTTATATAAAGTATATACTGTATATATATATATATATATATATATATATATACATATATATATATAGTATTTACATTTCTTATATGTAGATTGTACATAGCTTACTGCATTTATATACAGTCGTATAATTTGTGTTGAATAACAGAAAATCTGATGTTGAAATTGAATATCAATTTTGTGCTTATCGTACTATTTTGAATAAACAGGTGTTATTTCATATATATATATACACATATATGCTGTATATACTTTATATATATATATATATATATATATATATATATATATATATATACAATATATATATTTACATTATTTCTCTTCTTCACTATATTTTTTTTTGAAATTCTTATCCTCTTTAATTAGAACACTTCAATACAATTTAGGCATTATCTTTTGATGTTTGGTAAATTTGAGCATATTCCTATTAACGTTTTATGTGCCAAAATAAAATAAAAACAAAAATAAAGTAACCAATTAAAGCGGAGCAGTAATTATTTAATAAATTAGAAACTTTCATCTATATTTTATTTCTAAAAATATTAAAAAAAATAGGTAAATTATAACAAATACAACGGAGAAAAACCAAAAAAAAAGAATAAAATACTTTAATTATATCAAAGTTTTAGTACAAGAGAAATTATATCTTATAGAGAGTATAGTATTTATATTTCTATTTTAGAATTAGATTTTGCATTGAAAAAAAACCCCATATGCTTTTTCCTCTCCTTCTTCTTCCCTCTTTAAGGATGCTATTAATGAAAAATATCTTTATTTAATAAAATTGCTAATTTATTTTTTGTGTAAATATCTTTTACTTTCCGCATAATTCTACTTAATTTGGATAAAATCGCTTAGAGATAAAGGCCAAAAAACAGGGAAAAAAGCAACTAGAAACCTTGTAAATTAATTCTGAAAGATTTTTATTTGTAAAGTAATTAGTTTCAGGACGGGAGAAAACTCAAGATAATTTGAAGTATTTGCGGAAAATATGAAAAATTCTCTTCTCTCTATCTATCCATAAATCTAACAAAGTATCTACTTTAATGACTATCTATTTATTCTTTTTTTGTCATTTTCAGACTTAAATAGGGCCAAATAGCTGTAATAACGGTGCTACTATTAAGTGTCCTAAATATTATTCATGCAAATAAAACTTAGAAAGTTAATTTGCATATATATGTTTTAAATTAAAATGTCTTGTTGTTTTTAGGAATTATGTTCAAAAGAGAAAGTGTTTGTGGGTGGTTGTCTAAAAATAATATACATCCTTAACACTATACTTATATGTTTTACCAGTGAATTGAAGCTTTCGATATCTGATTAAAGTAAGAAATAGTTGAATTTCTGTAAGCAAAATATAACAGTGTTTGTCGAAGGGTCGAACAGATAGAGACTAGACTCTTAAGAGCGCCCCTTAGCAATTTTGAAGCGAACGGAGAAGGTTTTGGAAATGTAAGTTTTAGCCAGAGAAACATACAAAAGAGTCTGAATAAAGTAAGAGTGTGAGCTAAATGACGACTGTTGTAGTGAGTGACTTGACAAGGGTGATCAGACTTATTTTCCTTAAGGCAATTCTGGGTTGTATCCCTCATAATATGCTCTATACCGAGTTTCCCAGGCTAAAATTACCCTATAGCAGCAATACATCCTATTACATTATCAAATGATTTTTCTCTAAACAAAAAATTAACAAGTCTACGTGCTGTTAGGGAAGAATAGATAATAACTAATAAATACAATGGTAATATTAAATATTATTCTTTAACTAATTAATTTCCTTTGCAACTCAAATTTATAACAAAAAAAAAATATTGTTTATTCAACTACATATCTCTCTCTCTCTCTCTCTATATATATATATATATATATATATATATATATACGCTGATTAATAAGAATCCCATCTATTCTAGTCAATTCATTTTTCCCTTTCGGTAAATATTAGTTGACTTTCAGTAAAATATTAACATTGAACGAATATCAATATTAATTAATTGAAAAAGCTTACTGAGAAAGCGGCTTAAATATATTTTTTAATTGCATTTATATTATATAATCGGAACATCAATTTGCAGTTTTTATGGTACTTGTCTGAAAATTTATATATTGAAAATAATGAGATTTTGTTTCATTATGGGCCTTTTTTGTTTTGAATTCTATTTGAGTGTAGAGAGAGAAAAAAACATTGTTATATTACTTCTTTATTTTTTAAAAAAAATATATGTTTGAGAGAAAGAGCGAGAAAGAGAGAGCATGAGCTTGTGAATAGTTAATAAACTATTAATTTCATTTTTCCTAGAACTCCTAAGAGATATTATATTTATTTGCAAAAATTTACAAATTCTTCATCCAGACTATCACATTTGTTTAATATTCTTTGAATTTCTTTTACGATAGTTCTCCTCTTTTGTTTGACTATAGTTAATTCGTCAGATAATACTAAACTATCTAAACTTTCCAATTGTTTTGACAGATTTTCAATAATAAAAGCTGTTTTCTTTTGTAAATCCTTTATATCACCTTGAGAATCTTTTGCGTTAGTTGATACTGACAAATCATCTTTTAAATGCGTAAAGGTTGCCTCCATCTCGCTGTATGACTTTTCAATATCCTTTATCTTTTGTTCAATACCCTAAAAGTTCAAAATATCGATTATTTTACTGTTTTTCTTATACTTATTTCAAAAGTCTATAAAAAATTTTTGTTTTTCAAGAAAAATATATTCATTTATAAGTAACAAACCGCCATAATTTTCATATTTTCATCAGACTCTGGATCAAATTTATCCCCTATTACCATAATTATACTACCATTCCCAATCCCGTACGAGGCTAAAGACTTCTCCGACTCTTTAAGAAACCGTCCCTTGAAAATGATTTTCTGTCGGCCAACAGGAACTTTAATACAATTTTGAATCTCTAATTCGAGGTCTTTAACAGCAACTTGTTGACCTGAAATTTGTTTTGGAACTCTAATGCTATGTTTATGAAATCCATGTTTAACAATCATGTCGAGGAGTTCGGCATCTTTAGAGGCCATTATCAAAATGGTTTTCTTGTTAATGTTATTTATAACCTAAAGATAGCATGAGTCTTTAAGTGATCGCAGAAAATTTAACACAACATGGCGTTAGTGAAATATTCTTCGTTAACTAATATTGAAAACCGGTAGAAAAAATTACTTTTTTTTCTTACAGTTGGACAACTAATCTCTTAAATATGTTCATAAAAAGAAAACTTTCTTTAAAAATATTCACTAAACAGTATAATAATCTCTTTTTTGCTTTAAAAATATAACATTAGCAGTACTGAATACTTGTTTATAAAGAAAATAGGTTGATGAATCACTCAAAGGAGTCTTTTATTATTCTAGCCAACAGCTAGCATTCTTTCTTGAAAAATCTATTACCAGTTCATTTTTAAAGATTGAAGAATTTCTGTATTAATAGTATAAGTTTTAGTTACTTAGTATACTAATATTTTATGAATTGTTAAACTATCTAAAGCCACGCCCAAGTCATAATAATTGGTACAAAAATAAAATAATTACTTATCATAGAGTAATAAATGTTTATTAAGGTTCAAAAACTTGTTCCTAATATCTAAATTACTTGCACACGATGAATATTTAATACACCTTGATAACTATATTTTAGTGATAACAAAATATAATATATTCATATGATGAAATCAAGTTTTTCCTATGTTAAGCCTAGTTATCTTTCATATTATACCTACTATATAATAACCTTTCGGGAAGCTCTTAGATTTATATATTATCAAAGTTTATCAATCGGCTATTAATAAAAAAGAAGAATTAAAAAATGCGTATGAAAGTAGTTTAATAAGCAAAAATCTTAATTGTACTAGTTAAATCTCCAAGTGATTTAGAATATACAAGAATAATAAGATATATTGTTTTAAAGGGAAAGAATCTAAGAATTTATTTAAAAAAAATAACAACTGTAATAAATAATTAATAATACACTTAATTTTGTCTTAGCTATTGTAAAGCTGCTTATTAATTTGACCTTAATTCTAATGGTCTCGTGCTCTGTTTTAAGAATTGACAAGATTACTCTTAAAGAGAAAAATCTTCTTGTATTTTGAAATGTGCAATATTTGAAACATACTTTAAAGTGAAGAGGAATATCATTAAGACTAGTAATTATTAGTCTCAAAACTAGTGCAACTGTAAAGACTTAGGGTGTATATTTTCATGGAAATCTTAAAAATGATTAATATTTGAATGATGAAACATTGTTCTCAAATAAGACTATGCGAATATATTATCGTTATAGATTATCAATTCTAAAATTCTATAATTTAACCGTCATAGCCCAAGTTATAAACGATATGATAAACAATTTATATCAATTATTTCAATGCCGGAAATTTACTAATGAAAACTCAAAAACCTCTTCCTTTTCTACTTAAACAGATAGGAGAGAAAAGAAATAAGAAAGAAAACAAATAAAAAACGGTAGGAACTACTCGCTAAATACAATAATAAATGATTTTGTATCATTCCATTAAATAGCACATAAATTCTCCACATCTGCAACTCATAAAGTTTTTTAGAGATGCGGTGAAGATTTTTGACCTAAAGAGATTTATTGTCAATAAAATATTTTATGATAATAAATTTGATATAAAAGAAAGAAATTCTCTGTTTAGAATCACTTTTTAGCTCGAAAGTTGATAGGTAAATACTTTATTCATTCTTTCATATCTTTTATTAATTTTATTTAATAATCTAGAATATATTAATTATATTTTTGCTTGTAAAATATAGCTCTGACAAGGAATTATGGACAAGTTAATAGTTTGTCTCCTAGTGTTTACCCTTTTATGCTCCTCTATTCAGCCATCGACAGAAAGGCAAATAACCAAACAAGATATATGTAAAATGCGCTGCAAATCCTACGCATTCTGCAAGGAACAACTACAGAAAGTTCCAAATCGATTCAGATGCTCAAGACCCCCTGGATGTTCTTGTGAACTTCTACGCCATTAATTTCAATCGAATTATTAAGAATTAATTCTCGATAAATGAAGGTTAAATGTTTGATTTAGTTAACAAATTAAACATTTTGATTGGAATACACTTTTAAAAAATGTACTAAAACTTGTAGTATTATTATAGCTTTTTGTTTTAACGAGTAAGTAAACTGAAGAAAAATCTTCCTCTTTGTCATGGCTTCTCTCTTCGAAAAATATAAATTATGAATATTTACCTTCATAAATTAACTGAGTTTTGTAATGGAGAACTATTTCTGTAACACTTTTTTCCTGGAGTACTTTTCTCCTACGTAAAACATCTTTTATAAATGTTATTTTTTATATAAAGACGACCGTTTACAATGTTTTCTGTGTGTTGTATGGGAAAATTTTTCTCTTTTTTATATGTAATATTCTAGGTCCCCAGCTAATCCTTCGCTATTAGATATCTCTCTCATGGATAAATAGTACCAAGGAAAACTGAAATCGATAGATGGCGCTTTGTTTAAAAACCGTAATCAGAAAGCTTTTTCCTTCGGAAGAAGTGATTTAATGAAAGGAGATTAAAATATATAGATCATTCTGAAGGTTTAAATTCACTAATAAGTGTCCTAAGATAATTATTTAAACAGGTAATAGACATATTCAGCCATTCTTTATGTATTTTTGAAATAAACAATGTCAAGAATATGATATACTGTATTTATTTCAAATCATCAAAATGATGTTCAATAAAACTAATTACGTGTCCGAGAGTGATCGCATCACATTTCTGGCAGTCCCTTATGAAAATACGGCCGATCCATGGAATTGGAAAACACCAATGTTCGCAACCCTTTTAATTGTAATATAGAACTTTTAGACTTAATTCTAATATTTTAATAAGTAACTTACAGGAAATCCAGTTTTCAAGAGTTCGCAATCACCACACATGTCTATATGTTTATAAGCATCTGACGCGATAAGAGCTCTGCAGACAATAGGACAGTGTTTTTCTTCATACTCCTTACCAGATCCTGATTCAAAGTCTTTACCAGATCCTGATTCAAAGTCTTTACCAGATCCTGATTCAAAGTCTTTACCAGATCCTGACTCAAAGTCTGTACCAGATCCTGATTCCCCTTTCGTACCAGAGTCACCCGAAAAGTGTCTCTTTGCAAAATGATGTCCCCATCCTCCAGATCCTCCACCTGATGGGAAGCCAGATCCTCCACCTGATGGAAGGCCAGATCCTGAGCCATCAAAAAATCTTTTCTGGTTGAGAAAAATGATAATTATGATTTATCATTAAATATTGTTATAAATAACAAAATTGAACTCAATACTGACTACTTGCATACTTTATTGAGCTAACATCATATGTATATCCTACCTCAACAGTTTTTCTAGAATAGAAAATCTCACCCAGTTATTAAAGTATTAGAATTATGTGAAAGTACCAGAGAAATTATATAAGTATGACAGGTTATTATCATTTGAAAGTCAGTGAGATAGAGAAGAAAGTATAAAAAAAGAGTAGATACCTTTAGAGAAACTTGTGTCGACAACGACAACAGCAGAAAAATGCCAATGGCAATTAATTGAATATTTTTCATTATTGCTACTTATTCTAGATCAGAATAAATAATGACGAAACCCGATCTATGATTATTTATATATACATCTATATATAATGCTGCTATAGTATAACAGAGAAAAACTGTAGATTATCTTCAAAAGATAAAACTGTAAAATTTCCATTCATAGACTTTTTTGAAATAATTTACTTACCTTTTTTTAAAAATGATTATTGAAAGTCTGATAAAAGTCCCAAATGAATAGATTCCATTGATAAAAGTTACCATATTTTCCGCTTTTTTTTAGGTAAAAAAGATCAATGAGCCATCATAACATAAAAAAAGAGATTGCGTGTTTGAAATTGTATTACCAACTGGCATTTCGACACCTTTTGCTAAACAATTACGAATTTTGCTCTTTAATTTCATTGTTGATATTTAATAACAAAAGATAAAAACAATACAAAATTACTCTCCAGCAGGAAGAGATTTGAAAAGAAATTTAGTGAAAAAGAGATTGAGGAATAGCGAAAAAGAGTATAAAGTAAGAGCAGATTTATATCTCAATTTAAAGAAAATTTATAGTTCACCAGGGCTTTTAAGGGCTTGATTTTATTATTTTTCATTATTAATACTATTCTTTAATTCTACAAAGTCTCAACTAATAGATTGTAAAATGACCAGAAAAGCAAAGGATAATTATAATTTTTTCTTGGTTCTTAGTAATTAAAAGTAACAAAAGAATAGTCTTCAAGATTTTATTTAAAACCTAAGAGAACGAAAAAATTTCTTCCTATATTTAGTTTTTTATCTCAGTTTCAATAATAAAAAGTTTTCTCTTTCTTCTTATAAAAAAGAAATATGATAGGAAGGCAAATGTTGAGCCTAAGACTGCTTGTAAACTACCCAGAACTATAAAAGGAGACAGAGTGGACTTTGTCAAATCGTATAAAAATGCTCCGATTGGTATTGCTAATAACTGAGAAATTCCAATGCATAAAAAATTACATCCTATGGCAATGGATAAATATTCTGGTTCGGCAACATCTGTTATCACCGTTAGATTTAAGGCAACATAGATAGCTGCGGTTAAATGAAAAATTTTAATAGAGCTTTTTCAATAAAACTATTTGTCTTACAGGAAGATAACCCAAATGAAAACCCATATGCCAGTAGGAAAGGAAATGATTCTGATAAACAGGAAAGAAGAGATAATACGCCAGAGATTCCTTGACTTACACCAAAAGCAATCATTCTATTGAACCAAGGTTTATCACCTAATATTCCAATAAATATTCGTACAACGAGCGATGATCCAGCCAGCGCTGAAACTATAAGAGTACCTTTTTCCAAGCCAACATCGGTTCCCTTAGTTCTTGTTGGAATCCAAAAGTAGGGTACCATGTGGCCAGTATATGTTGAAATTACACTTAAATAGAGAAATAATAAAGAGTAATTCTTAAATATTCTTTTATCAAAAATATTTCTCTTTGGAGACTCTTTACTTTTTTCAATTGAAGATTTATTATTTTCCTGAGGTGGAGGCCGTATTAGTAATGCACTGGCGAGTCCATGGGCATAAATAGCGCCTATTAATAAAAGAGCACTTCTCCAACCATAGTTGGTTATTATTAAATTCGTTAGTGGACTCCATATTAGAAATCCAATGCTTGTTCCTACTGAAATACAGGCAAGGGCGAGAGACTTTTTCCTTTCAAACCAACCGGCTACTGATATTCCAGAACAGAATGTAAAGGTATTTAACCCTATTCCACTTACAATACCAAGTGTGATATAAAATAAGTAAACGCTTTTGATGTAAACACTCAGTATATGACAAAGAACTACCATAAATGATCCCACGAATAATAATTGTGTCCTTGTAAAAATTCTGTCTAGAATGCCGGAAAACAGTGAACTCCCACCATAAAAAAGATTTAATAGACTAGTCATTATGGAGACTTTTCCGTATGATTCTTCTAAAGATTCCGTTATGTAGATTATCAGAATACTTTGAGATGAAACAGCCAATACAGAAAGAGCATTACAAATCATCGCATTGATCATAATTACCCAAGCATATCCCGTATCCTTTTTGTCAGACATGTTTTTCTTCTGAATTAAATTATCACATGTTAGATATAAATCGTTAACTGGTTATGACTGATAAAAAGAAAGATATGAAATGATACGATTTGTATCATATATAGATTTTATTAAAATTTAATAAAAGTATGCAATATTAATCATCTTACGATAACTATATAATTCTGCAATTAACTAATGTGACGTATTTATAGTTTTCCTTTTCTTTTATGAAAATAATAGGAAAGAAGGGAAAGCCCAGAACCAAGAGTAGTCTGCGCACTTCCGAATACTATAAATGGTATGAGAGGACTTTTCGTTTGATCATATAGGAAACCCCCTAATGAATTAGAAATTAGTTGAGATAATCCGATAAAAATCATAGCTAAGCCGGCTGCTCCTGGAATTTCCTTAGGTTTAACAACGTCTGTTATCATTGTAAACGTATAAGCCACGTAGAAAGCTAAAAATACAGAGAAGAACAGAGAAATTATTAGAAACATACAGTAATATGTTTATAAAAGATAGAATATGATATTTCGTTAATAAAAGTTAAGCTATAATAGGGAAATATCTTATTTTATCTGAGCTTATAAGCAAATAAACCTTACATGACACTATTCCAAATAATACACCATACGTAATAAGCATTGGAAATGACTGAAATAGAACTGATAAGATGGTTAAGAGCCCCCCAACAGCAATAGATAGTGAAAAAGCAAGAAAGCGATTGAACCACACCCTATCTCCCAAGTATCCAACAAGTAGTCTACATAGGCCGGAGCTGAGAGCAATAGATGAAACTACGTAAGTTCCGCTTTGGGTTCCAAGTCCTGTTACATCCGCTCTAGTAGGCAACATAAAGAAAACCTGCATGTGACCAGCATAAAGACCTAAGAGTGCAAAGCATAAAAGGCAAAATGGAACATTCGTCCACAGGTTTTTATCGAAAAGAACGCAAAATCTTTCAGATATGTCGTTTTCGTCTTTATTATCATCAACTGGAGGTTTTCTAATTATCATCGCTAGAACGCAACCATTTAAATGGACACCAGCAAGAAGAAGTAGCGTACTCCTCCATCCATACGCATGAACCATCATATTGGTAAGGGGAGTCCAAATAAATACCCCTATACTTGTTCCTAATGAACACATAGCAATTGCAAGAGATTTTGATTTCATGAACCACCCGGCTACGCTGACTTCAGCGCAAAAGCTTAAGGCTCCATAAGAAAATCCAGCAGCTAAACCAAGCGAAATAAAAAGACCCGTCACGCTATGAACAAAAACACTTGCGAAATAACAACTTGCTAAAAGAACAGACGATGAAAATAAGATAGTTCTACAACTGAATTTCTTAGCTATCGATCCGTAGAAAATACCACTAAAACCTGTAACCGCTTTTGATATACCTCCTATCCAAGAGACAATTGTATAAGAATGCTCTGTGGCTTCTGTGATATAAACTATGAGAACCCCAAATGAGGTAAAACTAATCACAAAGAGACTATATATTAATAGAGAATTGATAGCTATTATCCAAGCATAGCCTGTATCCTTTTTCGCTGACATGTTATGAAAGATGATCATCCAGAGGCCTTTGTTTGGGTTTAATTAAGCTACCTGTGAAATAGAGTGATAAGATCTTTTTAATCACATGAAACTACTTTCAATATGCCCTCTTTAAGCAAAGAGGAACTTTTGAGACAAACAGTACCATTGTGTGTTAATTAGCTGATAGAACAACAGTAAGTGACAAGGATAGAAAAAGACCCCTATCGTTTATTACCTTTCTGTTAGTTATACCAAAAATATAGTACTATATACGTGTTCGTATATCAGCGAGAGAGAGAGAGGGAGAGAGAGAGGAAAAGAGAGAGAAAGAGAGAAAGAAAAAGAAAAAGATATCAGTATATATAGAGACAGGAGAAGGACAGTAAAAGATATGCAAATAAAAAGATGGAACAGTAGAGATATATTTACACTGATTCTAGACTGCTTCAAATTGAAAGATATATGATAGATAAATTGGAAGGAAAAGACAATACATTATATTATTTTATATGGTCTGACGTTGTTTTTCCTTTATTTTTTTCATCATGTTTTCGATTTGTTGTGTTTTGCTCTTTTTAGCCTGATTCAGTAACATATGGCAATTGTTTAGTCTTAATAAAATTGAACTACTTTGTCCGATACTAATTATTCTCTTTTTAAAATCAGACATTTAGTAAATGTTTATTTCAAACTGTTCACATTTTGAACACTATTTTTATTTAAATTTTGATATATCAGAGTCATCTAGTGTTCTATAGGAACATCAGTGCTTTCTATACACTATTCTACTTATTTATGGCTAAAATTGGAGTTGATTGTAATTTGTTAGCATCAATATTCTCCTGTAAATCTTTATATAGCGTCTCGGCAAATGACCTCTAAGTATATTCTTTTAGCATAAAGTTCTCATTTTTCTTTATGCGTTAATCAAAAAGGACACTTACCTCTATCCTTTGGCTATGAAGTGCACAGAACACAGAGTTTCCTTTAGGTTTTCTTTAAAACGTCAAAAATTAAATTGTTTCATCGATCATAAATGAGTTCAGGCAAACTCTTAAACAACATTGAATAAAAGAAATGTATTTAAGGCCTCTGCTTCACATTGATCACATTTTACAATATACAAATCTAAAGGCCTCCTTTTTGCTATTTAGCTTGTAAAAACCGAAGCAACACGTTCATATTGTCTAAAAAATTATTTGATGTAAATAAGTATCATAGTTAAATTTTCTTCTGTAAATAAAGATGATATCAATACTATAAAAATAACAATTTTCATTCATTATAGAAAATTTCTAGTGCCTAAAATAACTCTTATCCTTATTATACAATTTTTATTAAGTTCTACTTCAATTAATAGCATGTTATTCCCTCCTTCTTATACTTAGGTCCAAATTAGTAAAGTATTTTAATGGAATGTTCACAGATGTTAAAAATAGCTGCAAAGATTGACATTAACATTCTAAAGCCAACTAATAAAATATTAAAAGAAATCTCTCTAAAGTAACAATTATATGAACTATATAGTAAACAATATAGAGGCTCAATTATATAAATTAAGTATACCCTAATTATATTCTAGATAGTAATTGATGTTTTCGTGGTATTTATAATATTCTATTTTGTATAATTGAGAAAATTTTCCAGTATAGAATATACCATTAAGATTTTACGACAATTAAATCATTTAGTTATTTTTAGAATGAAATTTTAACGAGGCAAGAAGAACCTTAGAAGTTAGGATGTCAAAGAAATAATAAAAATAAAGAGTTTTCTAAAGAAATTCTTTTCTCTTTATTATCTTTCTGTATTTTATCAAAATTAATAACTTCAAATTGTTATGTTAAATATAATTCTATTATGGTGTATTAAGAAAATTTCCATTTTCCTGTTTACATAATGAAATAGTATATTATTTCAAAAAGTGCTAGTATCTAGGACAAATTTCATACTAAGTAGCTCAGTCTCATAACACTTTCTTTAATAAATAAACATTGATAACCTTTAATATTTATTTTCATATCTGTTTTAACAAAATAATCTGTCAAATGGGAAAGAAAGTCCGCTTCAAACTGTTTTGGAATATGAAATTAACAATGTTTTCATTAACAAAATTAATGCGCATCAATATACTCTCTGCAGAGAATGTTGAAGTTTTTTTTTTAAGTTAAAAAATGACTTTAATTAATCTTATTCTTCTATTTTTATTGATGAAATCAACACTAGAGGAACTGTATAATATAAATTAATAAAGTTATGACTGAATAGAAAGTTATTAAACTTTTAAAAACTGGTGCACTAGAAGTTGAGCAGAGCTTTTTATCAATTTCGCAAGCAGCCTTTACACCGCTATTATATCCTCCCTGAACAGTTCCATAGTTTTGGTTCGAGGTATGCTCACCAGCAAATAAAACATACTTTTGATGGGATCTTCTTAGCTCCTCATAATCTTCAAGAGTCGTACCTAAACATTATATAGTTTTCTTATATATTATTACAAACAACACGTAAAGAAAGGTTAAACTAACCAACTTGGGGATACGAAAATGATCCTTGACTAAATTCATCTGCTTGCCACCTCGTTCTTATTGTACTATTCCAACTTTCTTTCAGCTCAACTATTGATTTATTGAAAATAATCGACAATCTTGTTAAGCAGCTTTCAGTAATACTTGTATCATCGATTTCTTCGGAATTTTGATCTTCGGTAGAAGGTGATAATGACATAAATGCTGACTTGTCTATCCATCTTCCAAGGTTATAAAAGTCATTGAAATAGTTGCGATTTTGGAATTTATTTTGCATAAAATAATAAATGTGTGTTTCATTATCTGGAAAAGGTACTTTGAATTCCAAGTATGCTTTATTTAATGTTCCAAAACCAACGCTATTTATAGCGTCTCTTTTCTTTTCAGAAATTGGAGGATTAAAGGTAATAGTATCATTTTTCAAAACTCCCAATGGAATAGTGATAATTACATAATCTCCAGTATAAGAAGATCCATCTTTAGTTTTAACACTCACTTTATCCTTCACAGTAACATTTGTTACAACCTTTTCTAACGAAACCTTAACTACTTTCTCCTTTCCAACGCCTTTGATCAGACTTAATGAAAAATTTAAATAACATTATTCCTACAATTACTTATTAGAAATTTAAATTTACTTTGAAACAATATCAAGATAACCATTTGGAAAAATTAATACTGGTGTTTTTTCGCCATTTTCATTCTTATCCGAACTCTTTGTGAATCTTTTTCCTGTAAGTTTCGCTGACAAACTCTTAAACGAAGCACTAAAATCAATCTCCGTTCTACTTAAAAAGAATCCATTAAATTTATTTTCAGTTATGCTTTTAAGTAGATTTTTATTCTTTAAATAATCGTAAACCGATATGTTGGAAGATAATTTTGAAGAATCACTTGCAAGAGATTTAATTAACTGTAATTTAAAAAATAAACATATTTGCCTTTTTTGTATCCTTATTAATTAGCTAACCTGGATATATTCTTCATACTTTTCATCCAAAAGACTAGAATTAACTTCTATTCTCTCATTTTGATCATTCTTAGTAAATACTTTATAAGAAGAAGCTATTTCTTTAGTCTTTAAATTAAATTTTTCTGCTAGCTTATAGATAGGATGATTATCATTATCTTTATGTATCCATGATGCTCCCAAATCTACCTTATCTAAATAAAGACAAAAACAATAAAGTAGATACCCCAAAAAAATATAGATTTACTATTATTAACTTCCACAGTATGAATTCTTCCACCAACACGATTCCTCGCCTCCAGAACAGTCACATTATGACCTCCATTTATCAAAATTCTAGCAGCTGTCAGTAATAAACCATTTTAAGGAATAGAAGGAATAAATATTTTACTCGATCTCTCAAATAAAGAAAATCTCTTTAGAATATTCAACAACATTAGACAAATTAACCTGAGATTCCTGATATTCCCGCTCCAACGATGATAATATCTTTGGATTTAACAAAGTCGAGAATAATAATAGACACTATCAAGATGAAGAGAGATCGCATTCTTATAATTTTTCAGTAATTTCTAATCTAAAAATATATATATTTTTAGAATATAAATCATATTTCATACTGTTTTTTCGTATTACTTACCAAAAATAGTATGTTATTTTAGAATTACACTTATTCACCTCTTGAAATCTAATGAAATCAAGTAGTTTCATACTGTAAAAATATATATGTTATAAAAAAAAAAGTCCAAATGTTTGAATGAATAATTTTATGAATACAAATTGTTTTTACCTCTAATTTCTTTACTAAATGATTAATTATTGTTTTTAATTATTTAAATCTCTATTAAACGGGTCAATAGCTTAAAATTTCATTAAAAAAACTCTGTTTTTCTCAGTTTTTCAATAGAAATTTAATAATACTTTGTCATTTTTTTTGTTTTATTAAGAATAATATTGAAAATACTTGAACATGGAAAATAATTTAATGAAAAAGGGAAAGAACAGAGAGATTTATTAGAAAATATATCGGTAACAAATTCTACGTTTCCCTTTTCACATAAATAATATCAATTTACATATTTTTTCTTTGCTTTTATTAAAATATTTCATAACTTGTTAAGAGCGTATTGGCAAAGAATAATAATTATATTATTATTGGCTTTTAAGCACTTTAAAAATCTCCGCTGTAACTGCAAAATATTTACAGTTTTTATCCTAATCAATATCTGCCTGAGATTGAAATTTCTCAACGAAAAAACCCTCAATGATAACCTAGAAATTCTCTATAAATGTTAAGAAATTATTATAAATTGTATAATAATTCATAAAGTTTTAACAGTTATGTTTGTTTTTAATTGGCATAACGATGTTTTCTAATTCTAATAGCATACTTTTAATTAGATTAATAGAGTGAACAAGAGGTTTGATTATTTCATACTAAGTCAGCTAACGACTGAAATAGTAGGCTTCGTTAAATGATATATTAGAATATATTTAGAGTCTTATATTTTAAGTTAAGATTGTTTAAAACATGCGCTGTTCGTAGACTGCGAAACGGTTACATTATGACCGGCATTTATCAAGGTTCTTGCAGCTGTTTCCTATAAAACAGTTTTTAAATGTGTAGATGAGTATAGGAGTAATAATCTTTTATGTAATTATTATAGACTTAAAAAGTCTTTAAACAATAGTAAGCTTTCTTTATAAAGAATGTGTTTCTACAGAAAATAAAGATAAAAAAATAATGTAGATACGATAGTTTTTTATTATTAATTGAATTACTTTTCTTCTTTAAACATAGTAATTTTCTTTTAAAGATAAATATTAAGTTAAAAAGTGAACATCTGGTTTTTATTCAGATTTGAATTTTGAAACTGAAATTTACATAAATTTTTCATAACTAACTAAATAGTTTTACTAGGAATTTTACTTTTTTTTTTTTAAAGAAAAACAGTAACTTGTTTCTAATTAAGGAACGAAATATAACTTGAAAACTTTTTGATTGATGGAAATTTATCACAATACCCTGAAAAATATGGCTATAAATAGATGAAAATAATGTGTTTTATGTCAAATAGAAATAAGCTAAAGTCTGTTGAACGAATTGTGTAATCTTTAATTATTTGTAAGAATAAATGATCCGTTTTGTGGGAGGAAACAAAATTTTTGGCCGAAACGAAAAGCGAATAAATTAATGTGATGTTGAAGTTTTTTCTAGAATTTTAAACAATACCGCTTTCTTTTATATATACAGTATATACATATATACATACTATGTTATATATCGTTGTATAAGCAATATTATGATCGATGCTACACGACAGAGTTGGTGGTGAATATTACTTCTCAAGGTTATTTAGTACAACCTTGAGAAGAAGAACTTTTCCTTTTCTTTTTTGTTATTGAAATAAAATCATATGAAAGTATAGTCTAGAGAATAGTAATATTGTTAATAATAAACAACATTTACATTTAGTCAATAATACTTAGGGGTTGTTTAAAATTCAGAAACGTTTTCACTTGATGTAATTTAGAATAAACAAAATATATAAAATACTTGACATAATTTATATTATAGTAATGTATTTATACGGTTCTAATATATCTAGAAAAAACTAATTCCCATAACCTTTGATCACGATGCTTTTAAGCAATAGAAATCAAAACGTTTTCTTTTTTTTCTTTTTTGATAAGTTAGACTGTAATTCATTTGACGCAAATGAATTATTTATAGAAAAAAGGATTAATGAAACTATAATTAAATAATTTGTTTTTCTATCTTCTTTAAAGTGTTCATTATTTTTTATCATTTCTCTTTTGTTCCTTTTTCCATTTGTCGGTTATTGTCCCTTTTTTCATAATTGGAAAATTTTTCATTTTCCATATGTTCACCCGTTTAGATATATCAAATAGCTTATAACAAATTGCTTAAAGCAATGAATAATATTTGTATAATCTATTTTGAAAATATTGCGATAGAAATCTACCGTAAAAAAATAATTTAATTGATTGAGAAAAGTTTCTATAATAGAAATAATAAATTTATATCTCTTTTGCAGGTAAGAAATTTTTTCAGTAATATTTCTTGTCTGTTTACTCTTCAACTTTGAAATATAACACTTGCGTTGCTTTTTCAAGTGTTTGTAAAAAGAAAAAAGAGTTAAAAATTAGTTAAAAATCTGTATTTTTCGTATAAAATTTTCTTTTAAATCACCGTTTAACGCTATCCAATCGAGTATTTTTCAAGGCGTATGGTTTTTCAGAAATAATCTGACCTGTTTATTTTTTCTATGCGCGTTTCCGACTAAAATTATATACAGGAAGCGCTGCATTCGGGTTTATGCAGTTCGGCCAGGTGTAGTGTCTATCGATTTATAAAATAAGAAGTTTGTCAGAAGAAAGTTAAAATCTGTTCAAATATGCCTCTCGATTATCAACCTGGCGTTTTTCTGCCTAGTAAGTTTTATACGATAAATTTAAAAAACTGCTCATTTATTATATGAAAATAAACATTTAAATATTATACTTAATGGTACTCCACAGTTTCTCTAAATGTTTTCTTTATTTTACAAAGCTCCTTACGGTGGTGGTGGTACTAGAGGACATCCTTGTGAGTTTGCCAGCTGGAATGATCTTTTATTTATTTAAGAATTTCTTAAGAAATTAATTCAATATTAATTAATGGAAAGAATATTATCTGAAATGTATAATTTCATTTACAGCATTTAAATCGGGTCAAGGTGCATTCAAATGGGATGATATGCCCGAATTCGCCATGGAGGATAATCCAGGCGGTGACGTACCATTTTTTGGACAACCATCTCCAAAGGAACTACCGTCTTTTAAAGGCTATGAGGACGTTGGTGGATTCGGTCAAGAGTTCCCTCTTAGTCCACCGCAACAAGATTATAAATTAAGTCACTCGGAACCGGAAACTGTAAATTTTGAGAATGAATCTAAAATTTCAGAGAAGGAGTGTAAGCAATTATTATACGAATTTGCATCGGAGCACACTTGCTATGGCAAAGGATTTATTGAGAAAATAGATTTTGAGAAAATTCTAAACACGAGCGCCTTGCATGTATGTTTTTCCTATGTATTGTTTTAGATCAGCATACTTTTAGTAAAAACATTTACAGTATACCCTAGAAAGTTGTACAGAATCTAGGTCTATCGGCTATATCTACAATCCTTATCGGGGTGAAGATATAAAAGATGAGAAATTAGGCCAAGTGCCCGATCCTTGGAGTATCGAATGCTCTCCTGACGAATATTTTACTAATGAGAACAAGAAAATTATTGTACCGTTCACCGATTCAATTCAAATATGCTACGGATGCATTGGTAAAGGCTTTGTAAAGTGTTTAAGATGTGCTGGTAAGGGCCATGTAATTTGCGGTAGCTGTGGAGGAAGTGGAAGAACTAAAAGATATAGTTCAGATCCCCATAAGCAAGTTACTGATAGATGTACGAAATGTAGCGGCAGTGGAAATACAGGGTCAGTTTCTCGTATAAAAACAAACGAATGAAAGTTCCTAACCATAACTTTACCCTAAGGAAAGAATCTTCTCTTCAGAAGAATAATTACAATAACATTACCATTGATACCCTAAGTAGAAGTTTTCTTTTCCCAAAATTCATTCCTATTAATACTCCTTCCTTTTATTTGTTCATTAAATTTAACATAGAATTAAGCTGATTAATTAGGTAAATAGGCATCCTTCCAATCTTATTAATCCCATATAATTAGGTAATAATTTCTATTAATTTACAATATAAATTTAATCAAATCTAGATGTCTAAAGTGCAGTGCAGAAGGAAGAACAACTTGTGGTATTTGCAACGGCTACAGGCAAATAAAATGCAATATTCAGTTAAATGTCAAATTGTAAATAAGTTTACTTATACTCTTTTATATTTTTTGCAATATATATTTATTAATTATTGTCTTTTTAACAGTCAAAGACGAAAATCTCATTATATTATTGATAACAGTGATTTACCTAATAAACTTGTAAAAGGCGCTAAAGGCATCGTCATATTTCAACAAACTTTACCTATGGTAAAAAACCGTGAAAATAGTTAATTGTAAAACCTATTAGGATTTTTCAAACATCTACAGGTATGCCCTGTTTCTAATTACCCTCTGGAGGAAATCAAAGTTAACTCGAGGAAGTTAGTTGATGAGCATCTGGAAAATTTTAAGAACGAGAGAATAATTCAACAGGTATAATAGATTTAAAAAGTTAAGATCTGGGTGAGAAGAGAAGAATCTCTGATATTCATCAATTATTTTCTTTTTAGAGGTTTAAAATCGTAGTTTAGAGTGTATTTTTTAAAATTAATGGTAGTTTTTAAATAGATAAGAGACATTCTATGTCTTTTCTTATCTATTTTGACAGAAAGGTTACGCTTTCTCACTTTTTTCGCGGCGAACTGCAACGTAGAAAAAAAGAATCATCTGATTTTTTTCCCATGATTAATCTCCTATCAATTTAGAATTCTTTAGAGTTTAACAAAAACGAAAGTAAGCGTTGATTTATCATCTATCAAGTTAACCTCTGTCTTTATTAAACTAGAAACCTACTTTATTTAAATTATATATTAAAAATTGAGAAATTTTATAAAGAAAGTAACCTTTGTTAATAAAAAAATACTGTATAAAAGAACCGGAAGTAGTAATTTATACAGATAAGAAACATAAAAAAAACTTCAGTTATATTCAAATTTATAGATGCTTCCTTTATCTTTTGAAAAAGATGATAATCGTAGATAATACAAAAATGAAATTGACTTTTAGATTTTACATGTTAAATTTAGAGCAAGAATTTTAGTTTACTATATAGTTGATTCTCAAGGAATTTGTCGAATCATCCAGAAATAAATGGCAAACAAATCTTGTTATGTTAGGATGTTGTAAATATGAATAGTTCAAAGTTTATAAGGTAATTTGTATGTAGGTTGATATTCTCTCGGCTGTTTTGTAACCTATGTATAATGCTAATAGAATATAATAAAGCGAACCAATGAAAGCGTGTTTTAGTTAAAGTGCGATATAATAGATAACTATGTAAGTTCATTATCAATAATTTATTAAGGAATCTATGCTGTTTCAGAGACAGACTTTAAGATCGGTTCCAGTGACGGAAATTCAATATCTATATAAGTCTCAGAGGAAAAAGTTCTGGATTTATGGGAATGAGAAAGTATTCTGTCCCGACTATCCCCAAAAATGCTGTTGCGGATGTACAATAATTTAGACTTTAAAAAGATAAAATAGTGACATCTATCGGATTAAAAAAACATAAAGTTGTGCTGTTGCAAGGTGCTTTTAGTGGTCTTTATTGCCAGACACAGAACACTGTCTACCGCCTTTTTTAAATTTAAGAAAATACAATACACTTATAGATTCGTTTTGTATTCTATATATCAATATGATACATATACATTAGAGAAATCATCTTCTCCGCCGAGACATCTCAGCAATGCTTTACTGAATGCTGAGGAGTTCAACCTCAAAAATGAGGGTAGCGTTTGGAGGAATCACACCAGCTGCTCCAGCTTGTCCATAAGCGTAATCGGGAGAGCAAGTAAGCCTGGCAATTTCGCCAATGCTCATTTTAGCAACGCCTTCATCCCATCCTCTGATAACGGCACCCTTTCCAATAAAAAATTCGAAGGGAGTTCCTCTATCTCTGGACGAATCGAATTTCTTTCCATTGGTTAAAGTGCCTATAAAAATCGAATAATGCATTCAGACTATATTCTAAGGGAGAAAAGTTGTTTTTTCTTATAAAAAAACTTTTACTGCTAAGGTCACGGCCAGCCGCGACAATGACTCATCGCGTCTTTTTTACATATAAAAGCATGACCGCCAAAAAACGTTATTTGCTTTTCGATAGTTCTTCTTAAACTACGTATTTTAACTTTATTAGCCTCAAACTCTGCTCGTATAATTCCATCCCTAATCTTTGTATAAACTTGACCTAATTCCATAATAAGCTCATTTACCTGTATAATGTACGATAACCTTTCTACCGGGTTGGGGGAAGTTAACTCCTGCAAGAAAAAAGACCATATTATTTGCTTATATCGTTGTAAATTCTTAGTATATTTATATGTAAAAGATGTTATATATTATTTACCATCTCCAGGTTTTAAAGTTTCAACTTGGACGCCCATACTTTCAATTAAATTTGAAGATTTTCAATATAAAATGCCGGCAAGCTGCACGAATGTAACTGACGCCAATGTAAGGAATCAATATTGTGCATTGTCCATACTCCCTATTAGCATCTTGCTAATAACGCCACCTATTTCATTGAATGCATGTCTACTACTCATCGTGTATTTATTTTATAGATTATGCTACAAATTGCTACAATTGTCTTCTATTTTCAAAAATGAAGTCATAGGTAGCATAAAAATTATATATATTCTATCTTATGAATTATGCCAAGGACGTAAGCAGCGCCATCTGTAATACAAACAAAAACTAATGAGCTTGGTCAATCCCATGCTGTTGTTTCCAAGATTATAGCACACACTTAGAGAAATATTTATTTTAAATTCGTTGTAATAGAATGTTGGAAATCACGTTAACAAGCAATTAATTTATATAATTAATGCTATTAATACATTTTTCATATATTAAAATTAATTATAGATTATATTGGCGGGGATTTCAATGTTGTAAATTAGATTTTTAAGCAATGAAAAATCCCCCTTACCGTCAAGAAAAATAGAAAATTCGATAAAGAGAATACTAAAAGTAGGTTTGGAAAATAAAAGATATTATTTTGAGTAGTGTCATCTTAAGACATTAAGCGTTCCAATGTTGTATTATAATAGAAGGATTGGTAAAAAATCACTCTGACTGACATTTCCAAATCCAACCAACCTTTAGCGTAAGTCTAATTCATCATTTATAAGACTCGTATACAAATATAAAGATAATAAATTCTCTTTAAATGAAAAATTATAAAGCCCATATTCGTAGAGTAAAATTATCCATCTTAAGATATTCTCAATAGATGGAAAGGAATTATGTAAATCATAGACGAAAGAATTCTATATATCTGTATTAAATATGAATGAATTTTATCTATGCAATCTTTCTAAGCACAACAGTAGTGGCAGTAGTCACAACAATAGAAAATATATATGAAGACAACTCTGACATGGGCCTATTTTTAAAAACTTCTATACAAATTTAGTATACTATATGCATATTATTGTTTAAATATGTTTTCTAGGAGCTTAACGGCTATTGTTAAGGGAAATGTCTAATTGAATGATAATTACAATACTCATATATATACTCGATATACATTTTTGTTACTATTGATGTAAAGTAGAGATATTCCCAGTCACTTTTGTAACAATATTAAAGAAAGAAAGAAGCAGCAGAAGATTATAACTAACATCTAAGTTTCTACCACGCCAGAAGCGAAATAAGATATAAAAAATTACGCTTCATAGAGCTATAATCATTATTATTAGAGTTGTAACTCCCAAACCAAATATGTTAAACTTGGTCATCGATCCAGAGCATGTTGTATATGAGAACCATTTAACCCATAGTTTCTTTAACTCATTTCCTTGATTCAATCTCCAAAGACCTAAGTCAAGAGTATCCTTTAATCCTATCAAGTCTTTTCTAACTGCTAGGGAATAGTAGTCTTTTGTTTCGATAACATCCTTTAAAATCTTCAGATCGCAATTTTTATTTTCCTAGAGCAATATATATATATATATATATATATGTATATACAGTATTTGCATATTTATATCAATTAATTAATTAATTAATTAATTAATTTAATAAAAAAGAATTTAACTTTGATTAATAAAATAACTATACCCAATATTCGGCCATTGGACTTTCAACGATAAAAACAACATTATTATCTTCTAAAACCTTATCTACTCCCTGTTTTACAGTTGATATAAACGATTCGCTGTCAGTCTTTTGCAATCTTCTCCATATTCGTTTTTCCACTGGATCGGTAGCAAATTTGAAGCGAGTACTTGTAGTACCCCCTTTAATTACAAAGAACTTAACATTCTTATCTTTTGCTAATTCATCAATTTTCTTTTCCTTGAAATTCTTTCTCACCAAGAAATTTAAATTTACATTACGAAATGGTATGGTAAACAAGACAGCTGCCGCTCTCAAATCAGATCTTGTTAGAGGTGCAAGAGCCATATCTGCTTTCTTAACGTAGAAAAAGATATTTTCATAATCATTTCATTCATTATTTATCTAATATTTATAAATTTCATACTTACTCTGTTAACAAGTTCTCCAATCATTCCATCCCATTCGCCATTTTTTTTTTGACCATATTTTCGATCTTGAACTTTTCTTAAACTGTATGTAAAGTTTCCAAACTTTGCCAATTTTTCCAACAAGTCAATTAAATAACCTTCAAACTGTGCATTTCCTACTAATTTCTTTTCATTTAGATAAGAAATATATGGTGAAACCTTAATTGGGAGAAAAAAAACCAAGCTAAATATTTATAAGAGCTCCTTTCCACAGTTTTAACTTGAATAAGGTAAATTTCCAATTTTGCTAGAACAAATTATAGAAACAAGTTGATAAAAATGAACTTACAGGGATAGTAGTTACATCGTAATGTTTCTCTTCAGCCGTTGAGTAATGGCCTATAAAATTATTTCTTAAATATTGTATTGAATAAAAAAAGATGAAAAATGATTAAAAATTAAAAAGAAATTGGATAAAATGAGTCTAATCTAGATAGCCCGCATAAAATATTTAAAATTCCCAAAACGGCACTGTCCCTCAACAACCCTAGATTTCTTTTCCCAGAATGGTTAGCTCTTTTTTTTTGAAAGTAAAAAAGAAAATATATACTGTGTGTATGTCTCCGACCTATATATAATGAAGTCATTGTATTGAAATTAATATAACTCTATATCGTTGTTATAGATATAAGATTCAAAAAGGATTTTAAGTTGTTCAACAGGAACATTTTGGAGATTTAAAAATTTTTTTTTGACTTAAAGAGATTTAACTGCAAGGTTGAAAATGTAAAGTGACATGAGTGCCTTGGAGAGTTTACTTATTCAGCTGACTACGTCATCTATTTTCTTCTGTCTCAGACCGTTTTTAAGAATTTATTTCCCACTTTCTTAGCTCTTCCCCTTTAATGGCCTTAAATTAAATTTTGTTAGAGAATGAAAGCTAATTAATTATGAGATCAAAAGAAATTAGGGTTAAAGTTAAACTTCTTTCATTTCTATCAGTTTTTAAAAAATAGTATTTGATATCTAAGTAACTTTAAAAATAACTATCTACAAATAAAAAAATGCTAGTTCGTTCCTCCTTTTCCATTCATAGATTGTATTCTTGTCTCTGATTTGAGTTTCTTTTTTCCTTTTTTTACAGTAAATTCTTTATCATAGTCATTAAGTTTTATCCTCTTATTTCGATAAGTCTTGTGCTTCTAATTATTTAACTAATAATAAAACATAATCATCAAAAAACTTACCTAAATATATGACGCACAAAATGGCAAAAAAGAGAGAGACGGGACTCATAGTTCCACTTCTTGGTTTTGACTTCGGACTGTAAAGAAACATCTACATAATAATCACGTGATGCAGCCGCGGTCATTTACATGATGAGATATAAACCTTTCGTTTTTGTCATATGTGTTAAACTTGATCAAATGAAATATATGTAATAACTTAAATAAAGATGTTATAACAAAAGATTTTTACTTGAGAAAGGCTAAAATTTATGAATTTTCATTATTTTATGAAATATATGTACATATATATATTGCATCTATAAACAACAGGATAAATATACAGCGTATTTAAATTATATTTAAATAAAATATTATGAATATTCAAGAAGAAAATAGTTTTTTTTATTGCATCCCAGGAAAGATACAAAAAAGAAAAAATTGTTAATAAATGAATAATATGATAAAAGATCCATTGGGTTAGCTGAATAAGTAATAATTTAGTTTGAAATTATGAAGTGAGAGATATAGTATTGTAATATTAATTTAGGATATAAATAATTTTAAAATGGCTTTCAGATAAAAAGCGTTTAAGACTAATTGTAACGTATTTAGTAACTTAGAAACAGTACTGTTTATTTCATAAGGTTAAGATTTTGATTGCTTTAAGAAAAAGGAACATTTATAAATTTGTTATTGATTTTAAATAAAAAATTCAAGAGAGAGACCTAGTTACTTTGAAGCAAAAACTACCACATATTTTATGCAGAAGCCTGTAAGGATCCCTTGATTGTTGCAGCAACCATTTGAATTTCTTCCAATTATTACAAACTATTGAAGAGTTGGGTATTTTCTTTGTGCTGTGACGTTCTATCAACAATATGATTTGTTATTGGAATTTTAATAAAACACTGATATTAAACAATATTATAGAGATGTGAGCAAAATGTGAATAATTGTCGCTACTAGTCTATTTCGTTTGAAAGATTAACGAAGGCGAGCGTGACCCAAAGTATTCGTCACTTTTCCCCTGAGCTCGTTATTCAACCATTACTTATTCGATAAACGAAGCAATGATAAAGACGAGAGTAATCAATGGAAGAATGCTTTCTTTCTATCCTTTCAATTTGTTTTTTCTCGCTCCTACACTCTCTTATTAATATCCTTATATGTGATTTATTGAAATTGATGTCATTTCAAAAATAGATTAAAAAATCCTTCAACCCATCCATTTTACATCTAATCCAGGGCTTTATATATATATATTCTATAAACGTAAATTTTCCTTATAATATCTATTTCATACAATTATTCAACTTATTGACACTAAGAAACATCCATTTTAATCTAGAAAAGATCATTTAAGCCATTTCTCTAAAATACTAAATGTCTATTTCAGTCACCAGGTGCCACTATTGTTCTACAAGTGATGTAATCTTTTCATCTAAAGCTGAAGAGTAACAATTTAAATTAGAATGTTTCAAAAACTAACACTTTTTAATTGGATAGCCATAAATATAATTGTTTATCCAAGAAATCGGATAGAAAATAGTATAATTAACGATTCAAATACTCTCTATAAGTTTTCTAATGATGTGTTTTTTTCAAATATCAAAGTACAAGTAATTTTTATGTAACATATAAAAATAGATAAGTTATATTGCTATTAATATAGGAAAGGGAATATGAGAAATAAGATAACCTTGATCAAATGTCCGATTATAAGACAGATATTTAATTAAAGAACAAGTTCCATTGGTACATGTGGCTATAAAAAAAAAATAATAGGACCTCATTGAAAGAGTAGATAGAATGAAAAAGCGAGAAAAAAGTAAACTATGAAATTAGATTATTGATTGCAACTTTTATTTTTTTTATATGGGTTTAATGTATTAAAAAGGTAAGGGATGTTTTGTTTTATCAATATTACTTATGTAATATAGTTGTTAATAGAAGAATAGTTATGTATTATATTGCTGTATAGTAGACATGTAAACATAATATCTAAAGCTTTATACTAGAATTTATATAAGTTATTTCTGAAATATTCTTATAAATTATCTATGAATAGGAAGGGAAACGTATAGAAGGGCAGATACGAATGTAAATAAATCTGTCTTTCTCCCACTGCAATATGGTATGCCTACAAAGTATTATGTACGGGGAAATAAACTTTCTCGCTAAGCCTTTTTTTAATGAACATTCCGGGAAAAAAACCATAAGCAATTGTTCAAGGATAACAGATTGTTTTAAAAAAATCTTCAAAGTATCTTTTTACTTTATAATGGAGCACAACTGGTTGTATCCATAGAGACGTTTATATCAGAACAATTCCATTAGCTTAGAATGCTAATATAGTTTTGTTTACGTAAGAGAAAATTGAGATCTTATAAATGTGTGTGAATAAAATACGTCAAACGATATATGAAAAGACCTTTTATAGATCTTGTACGTCTCGAAGGCAAGGCGTTTTCTTTAAAATGTACCTTAACTTAAAAGCGTTGACCATCAGTTAAAGGTGAAAGAATCAATGCGATAAAAGGATTATTTTTCATTAAATTCTTTCCACTTAATAGAATAATTTGCTTGTTTGAGATATTATGAGATGTAAGGTAAAAAAAGAATAATATATATATTTATATACAGTACAAACCCACATCTCAGAAAAAGTAAATACTGTATATGTACTATATATTTTGTATATTGTATAATGCAGCAACTATTATTAACAATTATTATCTATAGACACCTTAACTATTTCCTTACCTAGTACATTATTTAAAAAAAATAGTTTAATAGATCTCTATGGATACAAAACGATTATGTACATACAAACACATAATAATTATCACATTCAAGTCAATAAAATATAATTAGTAAACTACTAAATAGATGGTCAATTGTATTCAAGCTTCAAGTAATTAACCTTTACACTAATTAAATCTTATACATTAAAGAACTATTTATTCCTTACAGAATGATTTGTGCACTTTTACTAAATTAATGAAATTTCTATTTTGTAATTTTTGAATTGTAGCCTGGATATATTGTGCTTGTAACAAAATAAATATCAAAATAGTCAAAATTGAAAGCAATGAAAGAGATAGGGAAAAGAAAGTATCACTTAGCTTATTAAATCGTTCTGTAAGCTAATCGAGTAAAAGCGCCATCATCTAACGTAGTTTATGCCAGTAACCATGGATATGAAAAAAAAACAGCGCGACATTCACTTCTCGACCACTATCCGGTAAACTCGGCAATTAATAACAATGTCTAATGATGCAAAAGTTTATCCAAGCGACAGACCACCGTCTCGACTATCTCAACTATTAACTTCCAGAATAGATTTAAGAGCTGAAGAGGAGTTAAAAGACCCGGCTTTCAAAAGAACTTCTACATTTGGTCTATCGAAATTTGAAGATGATGATCTGGAAAAATTATATTCTCAATATATTGCTATAACGAAATCGCCATTAAGCGTTTCTGCTATTCTGTTAATATTAAATTTCTCTTTGATCATACGAAGCGAAGTTTGGGAATGGTCCAACAAGCATGTGATAATTGTTAGTGTAGTCTCAGTTATGATATTTGTTAATATAACCTGCATGGCAATTTACCGATACTTTCGAAAACTACGATTCTTCTCTTTAATATTATATCCTTACATCACCTGGATTTTACTGGTTGTCCAGACAGCCATATCAACAGCTTACACAGAACCTTATAACTTGGCATATGTTACATTAAGTTTGTACTCTATTTATATAGGCCTACCACTCAAGATATTGTCCTGCTTGCTAACAAGCTTAATAACATGCCTAGTTCACTCACTGATATTCTATTTAACAAAAAATGGAGATTACTCTACGCTGGAAAGTGTTATTTCAACTTTGCTAAGTTATATTGCAGTTTGTGTTTCCTCAATAATTGTGTTTTTTACCAGTGAGGCTTCTCAACGAAAGGCGTTTATTGAAACAAAAAAGAGTTTATCTGCAAATATATTAATAGAAGAAGCAACAAAAGAGCAAGAAAGACTCTTATTGTCAGTTCTACCAAAACACGTTGCCGAAGAAATGGTCAAAGATCTTGGTATAACAGTTGATAGTCAGTTTCGTAAGATATATATGAATCGGCATGAGAATGTCAGGTAAAAAGAATAAGATGAACATGATTAAAGGGATTTAGAAAGGAATTAATTAATTGATTTAAAAATTATCCTTAGATTAACAGTTATTTCCTATTCATTAAAACGAAGTTTGATAAAATGAAGAAATATTATTTCTTTTTACAGCATATTGTTTGCTGATATTGTCGGATTTACTGCACTATCATCTCGAGTATCAGCAAGTGAACTTATCAAGATTCTTAATGACCTGTTTGCCACTTTCGACAAACTAGCACACGTGAGTAATCTATATATAAATATATATAATATATATGCAATATATAGGAAGAGTGAAGAAGAGAGCAAAAGAATATTTCAGTAGAAAAGATGTGATTTTTAAAGAAATATTACGTTGCTGCATCTAAGCGTCTAAGATTGTATAATAGCTATTAGAGTATGACAGGTTTGTGTATGATTATCAAAGTGCTCTTGTCTGTGTATAAGTTGTAACGCATTAATATGTACGAATAACAGTGAGAAAAAAGAAAACATTTGGAAAACTAAGGATAGTCAGTTTCATCTTAAAAAAGAATTTAGTATATTAGAAAGTAATCTTAAGGGAATATATATATATATATATATATATATCATTGTATTCTATAATTTATTATTGATAGTGTATATCTTAGTAATGGCTGTTATATAGATTTTATACGTAAATAACATTAAGATAGTTTGTTATCGATTTTATAAACCTAAAGGCTGTCTTTCGTAAATATTTATGTATAATGTACTATTTTTTCTTCTTTCTGTTAGTATTCTCCGATTAAGCTTTAATGAATTTTTTGTAGAAATATCATCAGTTAAGAATAAAGATATTGGGAGATTGTTATTACTGTATAGCTGGATGCCCAATTCCGAGATCTGATCATGCTGTTCTATGCGTCCATATGGGGTTGGATATGGTTGTTGCTATAGCTGAAGTTAGAAAGAAAACTCAGAGCGGCGTCAACATGAGGGTTGGCATTCATACTGGAGCGATTTTAGGCGGTGTTCTAGGCCAGCATCGATGGCAGTACGATATCTTGGGCAAAGATGTTACTCTGGCGAATAAAATGGAAAGTGGGGGTCTGCCGGGAAGGGTTCACGTATCGCAAGCAACTGCAAATTTTTTAAAAAAAGAATTTGAATTAGAAAATGGCGATGGTGAAAGTAGAGAAGAGGAATTGAAACGAGAGAATGTCAAGACATTTTTAGTAAAGAGTGTCCTTAAAAAATTTCCTAAAGGTACATTAGATGATATTAAACAACAAGGAAAGAATAAAACCGAAACAAGCGTGAATGAGACAACTGTGATAGAAAGTAATCCAAGTTCGAATCAAGAACTTAGCTTTGCCAAAATTGTTGATGCTTTACAAGACAGAGAATGGGGAATGTACGTTGTTATTCTGTTTTTGCATATCATTTTCATTTATTTTATGTATTTGTATAAGAGATCTGAAATAACAGGATCTTTTAGTAGTTTTTTTCCATTAATTAAATCTTGTACTATATTGTTTAATTAAAATAATATCCTCGGGCAAAAATAATAATAATTATGGATAATATTATATTTAGCTATCAAACGATAATTGTTTCTTTTGTCTCATTTCAGAAATATCTTTAAGAAGCTTAGGCCTATATTTCAGTTTAAAGATGTTAAATTGGAAAAGACTTACATCCAATCCAGATATTATCACAACTGTCTAATATCCACTTCTTCACCTTTAATATTATTTGTTATAACGATATCTGTTCTGCTACTTTCGGAGGACAAGCTTTTTTACACAGCTCTACATGTAGCAAGTCTTATAATTTTGGTTATTATGATTACGTTCAATTTTTCCGGCGTATTACACAAGGTATGTTTTTATTATGCATTTAATTTATTATAGTAAATTGTAAAAATCATCTTATAAACCCTTTAAAGTACTATTTTTCTTTAATATAGAGATTTCCTAGGCCTATTGTCGCAGTTTGTAAGAAATTTCTTTTTCGAAGATGGTTCAGTCAGTTTTGGTTGGGAACTATGACTCTATTAATAGCATGGCCATCTATTGTTATATTAGCAAAAAATTCTGGAGTTAAAGTTCCTTTTGCAGTATCGAATTGTATTCTTATCTTTTTTGCTACAGCTTTATTGCCGTTATTGAATGTTCCATGGAAAATTCTCATATCCTTTTCTCTATGTGTCATATTCAGCAGTTTAGATCGTTCAACTGAATCTATGGCTATACTATTCTCCTCATTCTTGTGTTTTATAGTTTTATCAATCAAGTATGATGTAACTTTAAGAAAGTTTTTTATACATCGAATGGAGGTTGATGAAGCTCGGTCGCAAATTGACGAAATGAAACGAAAGAACGAATCATTAATTTACAATATTCTTCCTCATCACGTTGCAAAGGATTTTGTTGGCTCCAATAGAACAGAAGATGAACTATATTCTCACGCATACGAAGAAGTTGGAGTCTTATTCGCAGCCTGTCCTAACTTTAACGATTTTTATACTGAAGATTCTGTGAATAATAACGGGTTAGAATGTATTCGATTATTGAATGAGATATTATCAGATTACGATGTCCTATTGACATCCGAATCAAGATTTGAATCTGTAATTAAAATTAAGACTATCAATTCTACTTATATGGCAGCTAGTGGATTAAATATAGCAAATAATGCAGAAAGATGGAAGCATTTGGCCGACTTAGTTGAATTTGCAAAACAGATGAAAGTTGTCTTAGATAGGGTTAATTCTCAGAGTTTTAATAACTTTATGCTCAGAATAGGTCTAAATCATGGTCCCGTCCTAGCAGGAGTGATTGGTGTGACTAAACCCCATTATGATATTTGGGGAAATACGGTAAACGTTTCTTCAAGAATGGAATCAACTGGACAGATGGGTAAAATTCAGGTAGTTGAAGAAACGGCGAAGATTTTAGAGAAATTCAATTATAAATTTGAAGCCAGAGGTCTTGTAAGAGTAAAAGGAAAAGGAGAGTTGAAAACCTTCTTTTTAGTTGATTGACACTATCATTAATAAACTAATTGAAATGTTTATTATCTTTTACTTAATGTAACGGATGACTCTACTCTAACTAAAATAGCAAACAATAAATTTTTTAGAGATATGTTATTCTTTAAACGCTATAAAATTTTAATTAGTTGGGCCTATATTTTTGATATATTTTCCCATAAGCATTTTTCGTTAATCTCTTTCACATTCTTAAATCCACACATAGCCATATTAGCTTCGAAGTCTCTTTTTATTATATTCAAAGTGTCAACTACTCCTTTGTAACCCTGTTAATGTAATTTAAGTTTTAGAGATAATTCGTTGGGGAATACTATTTAATGTTATTTTTTATGACTTACTCCAACAACTAATCCACTTATAATGGGTCTACCAAGAAAAACAATATCGGCACCTAAGGCTAAGCACTTGAGTATATCACCGCCACTTCTAATTCCACCATCTATATATAAAGGAATTTTAGCTTTTTTGGCAAGAGGAGCAATTACTCTAAGAGCCTCTATAGTTGGTGGAGCATCCGCCAACTGGCGACCACCATGATTGGATATCCATATACCTGCTGCTCCAATATTTATAGCTTCTAAGGCATTCTTAGGTGATAAAACACCCTTAACTATGACTGGTACAGTAGATTTAGATATAAACCACGCTACATCTTCCCAGGTTATATGATCGTTGTCAAACAATGTTAGAGATGTCTTGGTCTTTTCGCGAAGTTCTGTTGGAATGTTCGGTATCGAATATTTTGAAGCTAGAGATAGTAAACCAGGCTTTGTGGGATTAATAATAGGTATATCGAGAGTAAGACATATTCCCTTTACTCCATCATTGATAAATTGATTTAGCAGTTTGCTTAGGATATCTCTGTCTTTCATAAATTGTAATTGAATAAGAATTTTAACTCCCGGTACAGCATGTATAACCTGCCGAACTGAAATGTTTGAAAATAAGCTCATTACGTAGGGAGTATTATGATAAGCCGCTGCTCTTGCTGTTGCTAATTCTCCTTCAAAGTTTGCATGTTTGTGCTGTGCCGTTGGACTGATTCCCAAAGGTATAGGTATTGAATATCCCAGGAAATTAGCTGAGGTATCTCTTTCACTTACATCCACGCATATATTAGGACACAAATAAATTCTTTAAATTAAAATCAAGGAGAAAACGAAATTTTGATAAGAATAAGAGAGATTCTAATATTTAAATACTACTTTTGCAGTGCTTTTATATTCCTTCTATGGGCTTTACCGTATTCGGCTCCACTGTAGTAAAAAGAACGAACAGGCTCATTCAGTATATTTTGGGCTTCTTCCTCATAATCAATTAGTGTTCTAAGAAGTTTCCTGCTGGTCATATTTTCTGAGAATACAAAGAAACTGAATTAGGTCATAATTAGGTCTTTAAAAGTTATCCTGTATTTCTATGATATATTGCAATTTAAATGAAAGTTGAAATTTTGAACTACTTCATCAACTTAAATTTACTGCTAATGATCCTTATATATAGTGTTATATTGGTGACCATTTATGAAATCTACCTTACAAATAAATTTTTTCTACAACGTCAAGTTCAAGGTTCCGAGGAAGTACTTTGAGCTCCATCTATTGCATATATTCTCATTCAACACGATACTGATTTAGTATAAAAAAAATAATAGTAAATAGAGATTAAATAACAAACTAATCATTACAAAGAAAACTTTCATATAATAAATTATTTCTAATGAAAAAATGAATCTTTGAACATTTATTAACTTTCTTATTGAAGATTTAGTTAATCCTTTATAGGTTGTTTCAAGACGAATCAACAATTAAGAATCTATCTATTCTCAAATGCAAACAAATGGGATAATAAAAGTTGTAAAAGTTGTTATCATAAATTAAAAATCTGTACTTAATAATAATATACACTATTCAGATGTTGAGGAGATGGATACAAAAAATGAGAAATTACCTTAACTCTACGTATATATATCTAATATTTATCTAATACATGTTATATAGCCTACTTATACAATTATACAATTGCTGTTTGAGGCTCTTGCTATTATTTTCGGTATAGAGGTTACAATTAATACTAAACTTACAGAGTATATAATATTTAGAATGTGTTATTATTCATTTCTCATGTGTAGATTGTTAATGTTCATTCATCCATTTATTAATGCTTAAATATAAATTGAATCAACAATCCATAATTCAATAGCCACTAAGGGAAAAGTTTTTAAGATTAAATAGAAGCAACTATGATTGGCTTCAATTAAATTTTACTAATGCTATGGCGAAGGAGAAATTAAATATTCAAGCTTGAAAACTAATCTAAATTAACTAGAAATTAAAGATAGAAATCTGACACAAAAGATTATGAATACTGATTATTTAATTGTTGAATTCTGTTGTTACTACACTCTTCGGAATTGAAATGCTTGGCGTTTATAAAAGAATATGGCTAGAAGATAGGTTTTCTTCGCAAAATTTAACAATATTAACAAATGGACAGAAATTTTGGACAAAAATAAATATTTGAGAGTTGTTGGAGGATCCTTGCAATGAATGATAATCATGGGTCATAAAACATGATATTATCAATAGGATATTAGTCAGCGATGCAAATATTTATTCAAAATTTATTTTACCTGTTTTTTCACCAAACTTCCTAAGAAGGAAAGCAAATTATGCAAATTCTTCTTGTATAATGGATAAATGAGAAAGAAAAGTTCCAAAGTTATTCATATGAGAACTTTTTCATAATTTTCTAGTCTTTTGTCAGAGGAAAATTATAAGTTTATTGATACTTTTTAAATAACCAATTTAAGCTGAGAGGCTAAAAGAAATGGCATATGAAGATTGTCAAAAGCTTCTCATTCGGTAACTGATAGAAATTTATAGAATACAGAATATTTTAAGCTGCTCTCTTAATTCTTGGAAACTTCTGATTTTATAATCTTAGCCAAATTGTACCGTTGACTAAGCCCGTACATGAAAACATGGTAAAATTTTTTTAATACGACAAATGATATATTATTAAAAGGTTTTAAGAACATGTAAAAGTGGAATGACAGGTCCTTCAGTCTTAAATTTTAATCAACAAAGAATAACTAATACACTGTTTAATGGCTAGGTAAAACATTCATTAAATGTTATTTTGGATCTGTATAATGAGATTGGCCAGCATACGCCTACGACTATTTGAAAGAGATACAAACTTCGTTACGGTTATTTGATAAGAAATATTTATAGGAAACAATCAAAATGAGATGAAGAATTTTAGTATAAGCTTTTTAATTAACACTTGAAGTTTAAATATTATTATTGTTATTCTCATTTCTATAAATATTCATGCACAATTGTTTTGAAGCTTTCAAAGTTGTTAAATGTTAATTTTTTTTTTGTTCAAATCATTTAACACTTTCATAAATCATCTATTGTCAGATACACTTGCGCTGGATAATATCTAATTATAAATAGTTATAAATCAGTCAAAACCTTTAAATCTAACTAATAAGATATTTTATCCTTTAGCTTTTAAGATTAAGAGGTCGAAAACTAACCTTAGTTTACGTAAGAGTACCCTTTAGCAATACTTGTAAACTCATAATAAGTAGTGATAAATATAATATCTTTGAAGGAGGATCCCAAGAAAAAATAAAGTAATTTTCCCATTCTAGCAGCTGTTAGAACAAAACTTGAACTACATTATTGAGGGTACTGATGATATTAAAGGATATATACTGTATAATCATTATAAGTAAGTATTATGATAGTTATTTAACAATTACTGCATATTCTCTCCAACTCCAGATACCCTAGTTATTTACTATTTTTATCCTTACATCATAGAATTTTTGCTTCAAGACGTATTTTAGGTAATTTTTACTCTTTTATATCGATATTAAGGTGTAACAACAAGAGATTCATTATCATAATACTCTATCACCAGAGTAGTACTCGTTGTATGAAAGGCTGTTAAAACTAGGGAAGATATTATATATGTTCGTAATATCCGATTTTACTTGGAAGGGAAGACGAAAGAGAGTACAATAAGTTTTCATTGTTTATCTAAATCGCTTTCCTTATAGACAACAATTTTTACTTAAACTGAACAAGAGAACTTGTGCAATTTGTTCTTTATTTTATTGACACGATTAATTTCATATATCGAATTTATTTTATAAAAATTATAAACACATATATTACACTATTAAAAAAAGAATGAAAAAGAATTGTTGTACCAAACCGAGTCATCAATACATTGGCCTTTATAATAATATATATATTTTTTGATATATTTAAATAAATAATATTAAATAACTTGCTTGATTATACAAAAATAGTAGTTTCTCTGTTAAAAATAATGAAAAATGCGTAGCTTATCCCAAAAATAAATCCATTTAAAAAGTGGAAACTTTAGAAAATTACTATTATTCCATCTAAGTAAAGGAAAATAGATGTTACAAACACAACAGTTAATTTAAACATTGTACAATTTTTAAGGTAAATCGATCACTTTGGCTGCAAGGGCCTCGTAGGCATCATAACGGTTTTCTTTTCCTCCCCAAGGTACATAAATACACTCATTTTCGGGATGAATTTTACCGGGAACCAAGCAATTCTCATGTTTTGCTCTACCGATAAAGTATTTACCGCCGTCTGATCTCTTGCCACCCACGATTGCACCTGCCGGAAGTTCTCCATTAGCCGAAGGTAACCATTCAAATTGAATTAGATCAGATTTACAGAGAACCTCATAACTGTCTTTTGCGTGCTCTTCATTGCCCCAACAAATGTAACACACTTTGTGAGATGGATGAACTTTACCTTAGTGTTTACAATAAACTTTTCTTATTAATCATATAGTGACAATATTTTAGTTAATTATAAAAATAGATGGTAGTATAAATAGAACAAAATATATCAATTTAATTTGTTTATTAATCTTGTATTGTAGTAAGATTTTTCTACTGTGAAAAGGAAGACAAATTCACGCAGAAGGAAGTTCAGGACTATGCAACTATTGTATCTCGAATATTTCAGTCGTCTGAAAAGAATATATTTTATACCTACCAGGAATAACATCTCCTGCATGAGGTGCTCGTCCAATATACATAATTTCTGATCCATCGTATCCTGCTTCGAATGCATTTTCAGGAATCTGTCCATTTGATCCTGGTACCCAAGCTTTTCTGACATCTTCTTAAAATGTATTATGTTTTAAAGAAAACTGGACAAGTTTTGTCTCTTATTTCAACAAGTTTACAAGTTTAATTGATTTTAATATTTAATTCTCTTTATTAAATTAATTAGTGATTTATGCTTTACCTAGTATGTTATTTACCTGACATTTTAGAAGGAATATCAATTCAGAAATGGGGAGAATAATAGAAAAATTATAATGAAAATCTTCTATCTGCAGCTCAACAGAGCCAACGAAAAACTACTAGCAGGTCAGACGTTTGCTTTAAAGGCCTATATTTCAACGTTGCGAGTGAAATACGATACAATCCACTGTGTAAATATAGAGAGAAAGAGAGATAAGGCGGTTTGGCAACCACTCGAATTCTTCCGAGTATTTTTCATTAAGCATATCAAGGTATCTTAAACTTAAAAAAGAACTATGTTATGCGACAAACTTTGCAGTTGGTTTCAAGAGATAACTTGAAGAATTTAGTTTAAATTTACTTTCTATTGTCGTTACCTCTTATTCTTTGTCATTAAGATGCATGTTTCATGTATCGTGAAATTGTTTCCTTATGTATATATTTAACATATTAATAATAATAATATAACGACCAGCATGTCATCATAATGCTATATATACTGTATATATATATATATATATATATATGTGTATATGTATATGATCTGATTTATCTGGCGGATATTGTACATATCTATATGGTTTCGTAGTCAATTTTTGGACAGAATAAAACTATAAAGCATAATTATAATATTTAGTCTATGTTCAAAGGCTAATATATCGTTATTCTTGACGAAAATAATACGCTTATTAAAATAGTAATATTACATATTTATCCAATCTTTACCTGTTACAGAGTTTCTTAAAAAAAGGCTATTTATAAGTTTGTAAAGAATCTTGCTTAGTGATTCAGTCAGCAGAAAATGTAATTAAAATATTTAGATGTGTAGAAAGGTTGTAAAATTTTCACTATATTTTCTAAACTACAATTTTACTAACAAATCGATAGAATATCGAAAGATTATATCAACTTTCTAAATTATTAAATCTATTTTCTATAATTCTCGTTTAATTTTCTTGATTAGTTATTCATAAATCAACCATTCGACAAACTAGTACTTCGTAGCTGTTGTAAGATATTTCACGTCCACCATCCGCTATGTATATACATTTATTTTCTACATTGACTTTGCCAGGTATTTGTTTATTGTTATGGAGAGCTCGTCCTACAAACATCCTTTTTCCGTCTGACTTATAACCTCCTATGATCGCTCCTGCTGGAATTGCTCCATTCGACGCTGGTAGCCAATCGAACATAATATCCTCCGTTTGAACAAGAATCTCATAATTACTTGAACTATGTTCTTGACCTCCAAAAGGAACGTAGCATTTTCCTTGAGATAACTTCACTTTTCCTAAAAGTGAATAGATTAGTATATAATTTGATATTCTTTCTATTAAAGCTTTTGGAGAAAGCTATATGCCATGCTTGAAATGTGCAAATGTTGCATATTTATATGTGGTATAGATAAAGTATAACTAGATAAGACTGTTTTTTCAGTTTTTCTTACCTGGAATTAAATTATTTCCATGGAGTGTTCTTCCAACATAGAATGGTTCTCCGTCATGGCCCACTCCCGCAACAACAGCGTTAGGGGGGGCGTAACGACCTTGACTGAGAACCCAGTTAGGATGTTTAGCTCCGACTGAAGATAACCAATAGTAAAAGTTTACATTATTTAGAAAAAGACAATAGCACTTACCTGGTCGATTGAATCCGAATCCTGGTATATGAAACATTATTTTTGGTTGATGTTGAACTCTAAAAGCTAAGCGGGCCTGACTTAAACTAAATTACTAAAGCTTGAAATTCAGATAAAAACTTTATCAGATATTATTCATTCAAGTGATACGTTATCGTCATTTTAATACTCTAAGAGTTGCTATTTTATATTTTGGCATGAATATCAAAAATCTGTCGTTAAAGGAAAGATTATAAAAAGGGAACGTACATACTTCAATCAAATTCACTAAATTACGTACCGTCTCTATGAGAATATTGGTTAATCTGTTAAGTAGACAATTAAATGTATAGGAAAGAAATTCCACAAGGCTGTTAAATTAATCATTCATGTAAAAAGAAAGTCTATCGATATGGTCACGTAGGAAAAAGATATCCTTTTCCAACGCCTACAAACTTTTAAAATGCATATTTTCAGCTAAAAATCTGTAAATTATATTAAAGTAAAGAGATAAAATTAATGTGAAATATTTACTTAATTAGCATATAGATATAAAAATAGGGAATTAAGAGGGATATTTTCTTTTTTTTGGCAATATTGCGATATTATCAATCTATTGAAACTGTAAAAGAACTTTTACTGTAATACTTATAAAAAATATACTGATATCATATAACGAAAATCTTTATTTCTATGATTATCTTCTTTTCCATTTATTATCAAACAAAAATGGAAGATACAAAATTACTCTTATTAATCATTTTATAATATTTTTATTTAAGCCAAGCTATTTTTACTATGTTCTTGTTAGTCAATATACTTTTGTTAAGAGTAAGTTGAATTTAGGCATCAATATTTATAATGTTAAATATATTATTTCTTTTAAAGATCATTTTTATAATAAAGTTATTTGTCTCTCTGAAAAGAAAATATTTTTCGCATGACAACTACTATTTAATTATTCTCTCAAGTCTGTAAGAGTTATTAAAAATATCAGGAAATAAACATATCCATTAGTTTGTCAAAAATATATATACAGGGAAGCGCACAACTACAACTCGACAATCTTAAACAAAGAAAGTATCAATTTTTATCAATATAGCTTTTTGAAATGAATTTACTCCCACAATAGTTAAGAAATTGATATAATAATCCCATAAGACCGTAGAAAAAATTTACATAAATTTCTTATTAAATTTTTATTATTTAATACAATTTAACGAGATTTTGTTAATTTTTTAATAAATTTAATATATGTTGTTAAAAGTGCTAATTTTATAAATAACTACAGTTTGCTTCTATATAGTAATACTTTTTAAAAGGTCTATATCCGTTATGCAAATTTACCTCATTAATATTCAACGTCTACTATGTCTATACTTATGCAGTAAAATCCGCATTCGAGAACTCGAAGCCTCAGACTCCTGTGTTAGATAAGAATATTAAAACTACACTTTGAGTCAAACGGTAAAGTTTAATTGTCAATAGTTAGTTTACTACTTTTTCATAAATTAAGTAAGTTGTGCTTCTCAAGTGTTATATATCTGTAGCTCTCTCTTTCTCTCTCTCCCTCTCTCTCTCTCTCTTTATATATATATTTATATGTATATATATATTATTAATTTATAAAAAGTTGTTCTTTTTTAAGCCTCTTTATTATATTTACATGGTTTTATAGATTTGATAAACATTTATTGGGCGAATGTTTTAGCTTTAGAAAATAAATATTGAAGTTTCGTTTTATTTGAAACTAGTTACTACCACGTATTTCTAGAGAGGTATAAATCTTGTTGACTTTTCACTCTTATCTTATTTTAAGAGAAGGGATGAGAGTAACAGAAAAGATGGATGGAGGAAAAGGGAAAAGAAAGTCGAGTGATGGAAAGTTTTAATACAAAATGTTACAGTACAAATTTGTAACGATAATAACTACTTTGACAATTTATAGTGTTGAAATTATAAGATGTTTAATCATACCTTTTGATGAAAAATAAATACAAATTAGCTGTTATTCATCCATTCTTAATAAATGTATATATATATATATATATCCCTTTCTCTACTGCGCATAGAGATGAAGAAATCTTTAAAAGATTTCGATTGAATCAATGAACTTGGTATAAAATACCACTCTATACAAGTATTATTAAAGTACCATTTTGAAAATAAGTATCAATTCAGCACGAATTACTCTTACTTAGAGCTTTTCCGTCTATTTTCTGTTCTTTTCTCTAGTTTGTATTTAATATTAAAAGTATTATTTTTTAAAAGCAAAATATATAAGTTGGTTACATGTTGTTCAATGATTTATTTATTTTTTCATGCTTAATTTCCTGTTAAATATGCTTTCATGCTCTTCTTTTCTTTCTTTCAATAGGCACGATGAAAACATTTTTAATTGCAATGGCTACATTTTCGATATTAAATTTCCTATCGGGATATCATCATTTGATAGATGCCCACGAGATATCCGCTCTTAAGCGACCATTCACACCAGACGTGCTTGATGAAATTCTAGATGGTAACTTTATATAAGCTATTACTAAAAAATAACTTATAAGTATTAGAAAAATTAAACGAAAAAATAATATTGTTTCTGTTTAGGGTATTCAAGACTACGAAAACGTTTCTACACGAAGAAATTAGCTTGGTCACCAGCCAATGGATTCTTTAATTTGGGAGCAAACAGAGGAAATTCTCAAGATTCTGGAGATAAAGGGAAGCAACCTTTCAGATGGGGAAGATAAATAGTAAAGCTTAAATGTAAAGTTTTTCTATATTGAAATAGTAAGAGAGATATAAGACTTTTCACATATTGTAATTTATGTCATGCATAGATAGTAATGATATGTGAAAATGAGAAAAAAAACAAAAAAAAGAGAAATATACAAAAGATATTTTAGAAATTGAATATAAAAATACAAACGCAAACAGAAAAAGCTTAAAAAGAAAACAATTGTCTTTTATGTTTATTTTCAATAACTAATTCTCTGTCTTTAGAAAAGAAAACTTTTTTTTTTAAAAAAAAACTTCACAAGAAATTAAAATGGAAAAAAAAGGAAAAACTTTATCATTTTTTTCTTTTTTCGCCAATTGTTCTTTGTTTTTTTTAAAAGGAAAGTTACTTTTTATTTAATGGAAAAAGTATACTTTTTAAAAAAAACATTATGAATTTTATATTTATTAATAAATTAAATAAACCAAATATTATTTCAACTTAATAGTATACTATTTATAAAATTCATTTATTTACTTATCATTTTTACTTTAAATCATACAGAAACACTTGTATATAAATATATGAACATTCAAAATCCAACAGATGGCGTTTTATCTAACTTAAAAACATCGTGATATATTGTACACGAAAAAGCATGACTGAAGAAATTTTGAAATATTAAACTTATATTCGATATAATCAAAATTCTATATCATAAAACGTGAATTAATTTTAAAAGATATGCTCACTTTCGCATATTTTAATTCTTATAAGAATTAATCACATATAGAAAATTTTAAATGGAAATCTATATACCTTAATTACTCTATTATTAAACTTCCAAGAAGAATTAAGTACATCTTGTGAAAAAAGGAGAGGTAAGGGTTTATTAGTTAGGTGGGTTGTATTATACTCTCCGTACAGATCGGTTCATTCATTTATATGGCACGACAGCTCTTTCTTGGGTAATTTATCATATCAGAAAAGAAGCAGTTTGCTTTTAAATTGGTTCAAAAAACATTTACGAGCGAAAATTATAAAAGCTGTTCTTTTTACCAAAGGACGATAGTATAGCTCTTTGTAAGCTAAAAGTAATGTAAGAGAAAAATCAAATGATCCATAATGATCAGAATAACCGTATATCTCTATAGTTTATAACTTCTAAACTATATAGATGAGAGAGAAGCTAATTTCTATCTCAATAGAAAAACAAAAACGATACTTTACAAACCAAACTCTTTAAAGTTTCTATATTAAAAAAGTATAAGGTAAATAAATAATTATCCAACGAATAGTACCAGTAAAGAATAGGAATTTCCTATTTAGATGTATTATTAATTAGCTTATATGAAACAAATATTTCACTTACAAATCATAAGCAGTAAAGCAATTCAATGAAGAAATTCAGTGTCAACTTTTCTGAAATATAAATGTTTTCTACAATTTGAACTGTTGAAATGAATAATTCTTTGAAAGTAAATTCAACAGGTGAAATTATCTTTACGAGAGTTGAACTTTATATTTTTGGATCATTTTTTGTATTAATTGCTGTTACAGCTGTAGTGTTAAATTGTATTGTTATATTTTTGTACACGAAATACGAAAATGTTCGAAAAATGTCTGGAGTCTTTATACTTGCATTGTCAATATCAGATACATTATTTGTTTGTATTCTAGCTGCCTTTCGATTGTTAGATATGAGTACAAATTTATATCGCTCAAATGTATTTTTCTGTTCAGGAATTGTTCTACTTCCCATGTTTAATCTCTTATTTTCTCACTTTATACTCTTAGCCATATTTGTTGACAGATTACTTTTCATTCGTTCACCTTTTAAATATATAAAATATAAAAGTAAACAATCTATCATACTAATATTTTCAGCAATTGGACTTCTTGCTTGTGTTTTTGGTCTATTTCCACTTTATATCGTACCTTTCGGAGTAAATAATAATATTCTATGTTCTGGCTATATTAATTACAAAAACTATTACTTTTTTATATATTATAGCCTTGGTATACTGCCAACGGTAGGAGGGTCATTATTCTTCCACGTATGGATATTAAAAATTGCTAGAAGACACGCTAAGGAAATGCAAACTCAAATGGAAAGGATTCAAAACGTTTCTAAATCATCTAAACTTACTTTCATAAAACTTTGCTTTATGTTTGGTTTATGGACTTATTTCGGAATTTTATTAGCAACAACACTAAATAGTTCTACTAGAATATTTCAATATCTTTTGATGGTATCTCAAATGTTTGTTCTTTTTCAAACAATTATTAATCCTTCGATAACTCTCTATGGAAATACATCAATTAAAAGCCATTTTCTAAGAATTTTCAAAAGAAAGATTAATATAATAGGAAATGAAGTATCGTAAACTCTAAAATAAACGTGCTTATGTACTTTGTTCGTGTACTGTAGACTGTTTATTTTTAATATGACTTTATATTCATGTATTCATTAATACTTGTTTAGCTTACAAGTTAACTTTTCTTTTGGATAGTTTATCGAATAAGCAAACGTTAAATGAAGATTTTAAATATATAGCGTATACCGTCTATCAGTAGTGTTTATCACCATCTCCCTGGTTTCCAACTTCACATTAGAAGAATATCATCAATATTAATTTGAAGAATGACTAACAATTATTGTTAATCATAAAATTAACTCTTCACGTTTCACTTAAAAGCAGTTAATAAAAACAACTAAAGAAAAAGATATATCAATTTATTTCCTTTAAATAAATAGTTCAATTCTTAATAATTAAACGCATATATAATATCTTAAGAATGTAACTCATAAGTTTTAAATTTATCTTTACATATAAAAAGGAAGACAAATCTGAAAGAAAGATCACAATAGGATGTAAGTATTAATAGAGTATAAAATTTTGTAAATCGGTTATTAGGTTAATAATAATTAGTTGTGCCGTCTTAGAGAAAAAGTAAGAAATAGCAGACGATAAAGTAAAAAAATGATAAATGTATAATAAAAAAAGATGCTATTAATAAATAAAAAGAATTTTAGAATTATTTGAAATTAATTATTTTAGGTAGGTCATTCTACGCATCTTTTTTTTATCTAAATGCGTACATATTCTCTTATTTCAGAAGAAGGTACTAAAAATTGATATTATACATTCCATGAAATCGTACTTTACTGCTATTTTTTCGGTAAATAGTTAATTTAATCGAGTACGCTATGTATAAAATTACATATTGTATTCCTATTTCTTTCTCTTCGTATGGCACATCAAGATATTAACCTATTGATGAAATAATCATGACTGTTTCATACCTGATGAAAACTATAATGCCTAAATTACCATGAATAATAGAAAAGAAAATTAGAAATACAACTAAAAAGAAAAATATGTAATTTTTCATATTTATGAATGAAAATAAGCAAAATTTTGAACAAAACTATAAAAACAATGAAAAAATTAAATTAGGAATAATTTTAATTAATTTTTAAAAAAAAAAGAAAAAGAACTAAAAGTATAGTAAAGGAACTAGTTTCTATCAAATGTAGTACTAATTCTGAAAAAAAAGGCTTAATATTGATAGTATAATAATATCTACAAAATAGAAAAACGTCTAAACTATGAGAAATAGCTGTTTTCTATTTATATATTCATTTAGCAAAAATTTTATGAATAATAAGTTATGTCGGATGTATTAGTCTAGAATATCTATTTATACATATACAGTTTATACTGTATATATTGCATGTTTATTACATATATATTATAGAATATTGCTTTATTTTATTATTCATCAATTGGAAAAAAATAGGATTATTGAATGCTAATATTAAAAAGAACAGTAAAAATTAATTAGATATCTTTCGGTTATTTATTTTAGTTAATTAAAAAAAATAGGGAAGCATTTAATACAATTAATAAAAAGACAATTTTATTCGAGATCCATGTAGTAAATAGACAAACATATTCATTAATCAATATATTCTCCCTTTGATCTCTTTTTAGCTGAAGGTACCAAAAATAGGTTTAAAATCAATAATAGCAAGACTTTTCAATGTATAGTGTGTACAAAGTCTCCCTTATATTATGTTATTATTCCAGGTTTATCCTTATAGATAGATCACTATAAAATTTATCGTCTTATACTCCTTGGTTATATTCAGTTAAGTATTAATATTAGAACTAATGAACGATAAAATATTATACAATTACCGTAAACAGAACAGTACTTTATAATTCTTAATGAAAAACTATATAATATTACCTATTGATGGTAATAGCAAAGAGTAGAATTTCTCTAATTTTTCTCTTTTATTCATTTCCTAATTCGTCTTAGAGAGTAACTTAAGTATTTTATAATCAGACAAATACTGTATATGATAAATTTCAATTTATGAATATTAGTCATTTCATTTTTAGTATAAAAAAGATGTTTTAAAACAGAAAAGGATATGTTGTATACAACTCCATTTCTTTTACAATTTAAAAGAAAGTAATAATTGTTATCCGAAACCGAGAAAAGGTATAATTAACTAATTAACTACTCTCGTTTAATAAGAGAATATTCGATAATTATTAATAAAACTACTTCTTTAAAATTAACAGGTAAGCAAAAAAAGTGAAAGACTGGTGATAGAAATCCAAATAAGCGTTCATTTATTATATACCAGAGAAGACATAACTTTGTCATTTTGAGCTAGAAAGTGACAAGAAGAAAAAAGATATCACTAAGGTAAATGTTATTGTAAAATCTTGTATACTATGCACAGTAGATAGGCTATAGAATATTAAATAATAGACAATTGTACCATATATTTATATTTATACATAGTTTGTATGCATATAGTACATTCTAATCTAAAAAATACTTATAAAAACTTCTTCCCATTATTTTAATTTTATAGAAAAGAAGTATATAAATAAACGCACTCAAATAAACAGAATCACATCACTGTTAAGAAGTATATGTTTATAAACAAAATAATGACAATCATTAAACATACATAGATATTCTCCTTATGATTATCATATTTGTTTGTTATCAGCAATCTTTCTAAAAAAAATCTATAATCATTATTTAAACAATCTACAGCACATGGATTATATAATATATTGGGACTTTAATGAAATTGCTTATATCTAAAATAAAAAGCTATATCGACTGATATTTTTATTATTTAGAGCACGTAGTATGTACCTGAGCAAGAATTTGAAGGAAAAATACGTCATACACACACACATACACAAGTAAAGGATTTTATACATGAAACAGATAAGTACAAAAAGAACTCAACATATATCGATTTATATATAGTATAATCGCCTACTAGAGCTTTACCAATTGAGATTTATCCCCTCCCAAAAAGCCTATTTGCATCGTTACATTTAGCGTCATTTCGTGCTTTTCCTCCTTTTGGGTAGCAGTTGATATTCTATTTTTTTTATATCAGCAAATAAATCCTTTCCTTTTCTAAAACTTTGCTAATATATATATATACTGTATATGAATAGTAATTATACATAAATCTATAAGTTGTAAAGCATCGAAAATACATATATTGTATATTTAGATTATAATTACTATATATCTTATATTAACTTTTAGCGTCAGAAATTCTATTTTAGCAAAGTATATATGAAAGATTTTGTTTGCTTATACAAAAAAAATCAATATATGCACATGACGGATAGGAATATAAAAACAAAAGTATATTTTTCATATTCTTTGTTAATTTTCATCTCTATTTTAAATGTAATTTTCTTTATTATAGGAAAGTGGCTAATATTAAAATGTTCCTTAGAATATATTACTTTTATTCATCTATCAATTTTTTTACAGGAATCTTAAAGATATTATTAAGATGGATATGACTCTATTGGTTATCCTATTGATTTTTCTCACACTGCCAAGCATCAAAAGTGATTGTGTTCTTAGGAAGATTCTTCCTACTTCTTGCTGTCCTCGTTTTAATTCTCCATCGCTTAAATGCAACAGACTCAGTGAACTAAAATTTTGGTTACAAAACGATGAAAATATTGGTAAAATATCACCGCATAGTTCAGTTTGTGAGCTAACTATTTTGAACGCATTTGATCAAACCAACGAAAGCATTATTGTCGGACAATTTATGAATCATACGCTATTAAAAGACGTTGCAGTATTGAATTTATACAATTCGTCATTACAGGATTTTCAAAGTATTTTAAACCAAAAACGACTATGTGGCCTCAGCATTAATTGTGATTTTCCGGAAAATGTGTCATTCATAGCCAATACGGAATTCAAATTGTTACTTAGTCTAAGCTTGGAAAGATGTAATTTGAATGGTTTAACCGAGAATTGGCTTCAATTAATGAAAGCAAACAACCTTAGAACTTTGAAATTGACTGATTCAAATTTAACATCTTTAAATAAAGTGGATAAAAATCTCTTAAGTAATCTCCAGACATTGGATTTATCAAGGAATAACTTAATGAGCTTAAATCTCTCTATGTCAAATTTCACAGAAATTAAATACTTAATTCTAAGAGAAAATTCTATAAGTTTCATTAAAGATGGATTTTTTAACTTTGCTAAATCTTTAAATACTCTGGATTTATCTCACAATGATCTATCCCAATTATCTTGTAACACTTTTACAGGATTACGAAAATTAAAGAGATTTAAATTAAATTCTAATTACTTAACAAGTCAAAAAGATATATTATGCGCCTTCGAGGAATTTCAACATCTTGAATTGTTAGATATATCTTTTAATATATTTACTAAAATACCAAGTTTAAAGGCATTTGTCATTTATTTGGAACATTTAAATTTGAAAAACAATTCTATATCATCAGAAATGGATTACTTAATGCCATTAGTAAATATAAAATATTTGGATGTGTCTTATAATCAAATTTCATCTATATCTCTGCCAAAACTCAGAAATGATTTTGAATTTTTGGATATAAGTCACAATCTAATAAAGAGATTGCCACAGCAAACGGAAATACTTGTCAGGAAAGGTGGTAGAGCTAGATTTCAGAAAAACCCTCTAGAATGCGATTGTCATGTACTATGGTTGAGGAAGTTTTCGTTAGGATTTCAAGTTCTACCAAAATATATGTTGGATGTAACTTGCTCAAAACCTATTGTTGAATATTTACTACAAATTGACGATTCATACTTCAATTGTTTACCACCGCATAGCATTGATATAAAAGTATTAAACAGGAATGGTAAACGTTATGTGTCATGTACGGCAGAGGGCATACCTAAGCCGGATGTGCTATGGATATCAGTCAAAATAGACACAAACAATTCAAATAGCAATATATTAAACAAATCAACAGTTGACATGGAAATAATAACCGAATTAGCAGAATATAAATCATATCTATGTCAAGCTAAGAACGTTTTAGGCACTGCGGAAAGTAAATCGATGATAATTATAGAATCACCACAAACGTCGCCTAACAAAAAGGAAACCAAAGAACGTACATTCAGCGTGAATATTCTTATAATATCAGTTTTTGGAACATTTGTCGGGACTCTATTATTAGTAGGATTACTAATTTTAGCAAAAAGAGCGAAAGGGAAGGATAAAATACTTCAGGAGGATTTTGGAACAGTTGCACGTGGAAGTGGCTGTTTACATCCTCACGTACATATTTTGTATAAAAAAGACGATCCCCATTCAATCGAATCAGCAACAAATGCAAATAAAAACATATCTACTTCGGCTCTTTTCTAATGTACAAAGCTTTTTCTCTGTACTTGTTCTCTCTTCTTTCTCTCCCTCCTCAAAAATACTTTTCTATTACTTTCATCGTAGAATAATACAGAAAATTTGTGGCAAACATCATGAAATATCATTTTGCAATTCTTATTGCAATTTCTGATTTATTCATCTTATTCCATCCCTCCTAATTAAGTCAAAGAAATATATTCTACTTATTAAAAATAGGCTGGAATGTTATATATATATAATGACAAATAGATGTCAGCACCGTATGCTCATAAGTTTCAAACTAAGAACAAGTTTAATGTATATTGATTTATGCAATTCACAAGAAATGTTACGAATTATGAAATTTCATTTAAATAAAATATCTACTTTTTTCAATAGAAAATTTGTTACTTTCTGCATGACTTGAAAGTGAATGGAAAATACCTTTTTTTTTCATTTCATTTTCTTTTCTTTCGAATAAAAAGAGGAAATAAAATAAGTAGACTTTTCTCTCTTTTAATATTTTCTTGAAAACTTTTTCAATAGGAATCTATTTGTGTCATTTTTATCGCCGAATGTTTACTGCTACTAAAAGTAGATATATATAAAAATAACAATATGAATAAATTGAACCAGAAATTGGTCAACTAAGCTACATTTTAGAAAGAAAAGATGGACTAAGAAAAACAACTGACAAAGGGAAATAGAAGAGCCCAATCCTATAATTACCCATTCATTAAACTATTCAGAAAGAAATTGCCGTACTATACTGCAATCATCTAAAAATAAAATTCTATAGGATATTGAACACTCCCTAAGTGCTGAAATTGGCATAAATCTTAATTCCATTCAGGAAAATATATAACAGACAGTTATGCAAAAACTATTATTGATTATTAACTAAATAGCTATGAGAACTTACAAAGTAGTTTAAAAGAGGCTTGTTATGTACAAGGCATTGATATAAATGTCTCAGTTCGAAATACGACGTCGTGGGTTTGAAATTCTCTCACCGAAGCGATACATTCCTCTCAACCTACATACGACTTTACGATAACGTGCTTAACATAATATTATAAACTGGCTCTCATCCTTTATCAAAAGAAGAATTTCAAGTGAGTATCTTCTCTTAAAACTTGTCTTTTTTCAACATAAATCTTTCTTATCTTTAAAACAAAAGTCAAAAATGATTATTGCGCAATAATAAATAAAATAATTGAGGAAGAAGAAATTAGTTTTCAATATTCTCTTAGGTAAATGATAAATAAAATATTGTCTTAACATGTTCTCCTAGACAACACTAAACAAACAGATAAATAAAGAGAACGAAAGGAAATGAATTATTTTTAATTTTTACATCAAATATTTGCCTTATAAAAGATAATTAATCAAAAATAGTATAAAAAAAGTAAAGGTTGATAAAATAAGTGTCAATTTTTTTTCTATTTATAAAACGGTATAATAACCTTTCTGAAAAAAACTTTTATGAATGCTCAATCAGTTGATAAAAGTTTTTTTTTCTGACAACGAAAGGTGTACAATTATTAATTATCCATGACAAATTCGCTAAATAAACGATTATTAAATTGAATAGACTGTTAAATAAATTAAAATTTCACGGTTCAAATAAAGCTGGTGGCCTTTCAGATGACAAAAAAAAAATAACGTACAAAAAAAAAAAAGAAATATTTCTTTTCAAGTATTTAATAATATATTTTCTCATTGATTTAAGAATTCAAGTACAGTAAACCTCTCAGAACAAATTACTTCTTTACCGGAAATAATCGATTTTAAGTAAATTTTCGATACTACGCATTAGTTATTTAACGATTTAGCTGAATATCACTCTAACATGTATTAGTCATATAAAGAACAGAACATTACACCTTCGTTGACAGAAGATTTCAATCTAGTAATAATAAATATTGACATTTGCTGATTTCGAAATGGTACGAGTTCAATTGAAATTTATATTTGGTACAGTTGACTAGGAAAAAAAGGACAGCTGACAAGCTCGACTAAGAAATATACCAGAACTCTTTGGGACCCAAACGACCATTCAAAGTATTCTGCTAAATCAACAACCGGAAAAAAAAACTGCATGCCAAGCTGTTGATACAAAAAATTTGATTAGGCCTAAAGGAAAAGACATAGAGCTATACCTAGTATATAGGCACGCCTACTCCTACGTACAAAAGGTCATTCTTTTTGTATAAATCGTGGAGAACAGAACTTTTTCCAGCATAATGTTACTCTGCTATAGTTCTAGGCGGAGTGCCTTTAACAAAATGGCATCACTGGCCAACAGCCTAACCAACATTGACGGCAAGGATGTTTGTGGCATTTGTGGACAGAAATTAAATGGAAAGGATCCAAGAATGTTAGCCTGTTCACATGGATTCTGCAAAGGCTGTCTTCATAGATTATGTAAAAAACTGACTTTGAAAAAATCGGATAACTTTTGTTGTCCCGTTTGTAAAAAAATTGACTTTTGGCCGTCTCTTGGCTGTTTAGGATTTCCTAAAATGTTCTATTCATCAAACGATATTAGAAAATTATCTAAGGATTCAAGCACAGAGAGTTTACAATCTAGACAATCGAGTTGTACCATTTCAAGAAAATCTAGTTACGAAAGTATGGATACTGAATCTCAAAGTAAAATTAGTGTTAGTTCAAACGAATCTTTAGATATGGAAAAGTTCAACAAAGAAATCGCCAGATTACATGAATATTTAGACGTCGCTCAAGTTGAAATAGAATTTAAACTACAAAAACATCTTCAAAAAGCCCACCAAGAAATAGACAGGCAAGGAGTGGTCTTGAAAGAAAAAATAAATAATATCTTTGAGAAGAAACGTTCAAAAGTTCACGAGCTCAATGATAATTTAGAATCAGTTAAACACTCGAAAGGTTCAGACAAGTCTAAAAGGAGTAAAGTATTGGCCGAATTCGAAGAGCAAAGAAAGAAGATATTATCAAAAGAAATCTCATTAAAAGAATATAAATTATGCTTATCTGACATTTCAACAACAAATAAAGCTCAGTTAAAGATCGGTCGAACGAATATTCAATTAAGTCATATTCAATATGTTGGAGGAATGGCAATCTATAATAACTTCTTGTTTATTGCCCAATACGAAAACATGTACCCAAAGAAAACAGTGCTATGTAAATATACTTTGGACGGAAAGTTCATTGAAGAAATGTGCTCATTATACTCAGAAATTGCTGCTATAGTTATAAACTACGAAGGAAACTTTTTTCTCTCAGACGTTACTAATAAACAAATTCTACACTCACCAAACGGCAGACTTTTTACGGAATTCACAAGCGTTTCGGAAGCTGTTGGCTTGTCAACGTATTTAGATGACACGTTCGTCTCTTCGTTTATCGAAACAGAGGAAAAGTACAAAGTACATGTTTATAAATTTAGTTCATCTGGGAAAAAAATATGGCTTTACAAAAGTGACGAAAACTCTGTATGGAAACTGGCCAGTGATCAAACGAAAGTTGTTGTTATACATCCAAAAGATGACAAAATTACAATACTAAATACCTTTACTGGTATGCGTATGAGATATATTAATTTAGAAAAGGATCTACATCCTTTAGGTTTATGCATTTTACCGTCGGGTGGCTTTGTTGTTTCATATATGACTGGTTCTTGCCTAGGCGTTTTTGACGCTCACTACCGTCATGCTACAGATTATAAGGTGGATAAATTTCCTGTTGATTTGACCCTATTAAATGACATCTATAATAAATATATATATATAAATCATGTGTCGAATTTAAGGACAAACGTTATTAAAGCTATAAGATTCGATGAATCTGTTGTGTTAAGGAATACAAAATGTCAGTAATTGTTTAAAACAAGGCTACATTTTTTTTATTTATTATAATTTCTCTTTTTATGTTTTGTTTGAACATATAAAAGATATTCAATTTGATCTCTTTTTATATTTTATTCGTTTTTTCTTTTAAGCAATAAAATCTGCAAACATTCCATTTAAAACTAGTATAAACTTATAAAAATTATCTTAATTATCTTTTCTTAGTAGCAGTCATTTTTGTATTTTTTTTAATTTTTAGGTAGTGGAATATCAGCCCGTTGTATTATCGTCCTCTTCAGTATTTAATTTCAAAATATAAATGTTATTAATAGAATTTTCCTTCCCTTCTCCTAGTAAATCCAAGAATAAAGCCCAAAACCATATTCTGTTTAGAAAAAAATGTAGTTTTTTATAAAAATCTGTCAGTTTATAAAACTGGGACAAAATATTTCTCCTAGAGTATGATTCATTTGTAATTGATAAGATAACTTATACATATTGATATTAAACGGTTAAGTACAGAAAGAATAGGAAGGCGTACAGTACATGCTGTAAAGCTGTAAAAGAACCAGAAGAATGAACCGAATGAACAGAACTCAAGAGTGTTTCACATTAAAACCTCTGGGCTCTACAAATGATTGTACAAAATCTTGTTTCACCCTATGCCACCCGTATTTACAAGACGAACAAAATTGTAAAAAGTTTTGTTCTCTTTTCTGTAAGTTTTATTAATCTCCAATTTTTTATAATCTTGTCTAAGTAATTATTGTCCTATTGATACATTTTGAAATGACCTTCAAAAATAATTTCTTTCTACTTTATGCAGGGGAAAAATGTCGGTTTGTTTATCAGACAAACGAATGTGAAAAACCGAAAGAATGCTTCGGTAGTTTGGATATTGTTTTAATTATTGGATTTTCAATTTTTGGACTATTGTTAGTAATAGCCTTTGGATGTTTCTTTGGTTATTGTAAGAAGAAATGCTGTAAAAGTAAGGAAGAGAAAGACTACTTGAATAGCAAACAATTGGACTATTGAGAAATTAGTTTATCAATTAAAGTACAAGTAGTGTTTTACGTTTGGTATTTTTTTGCATATGATTTGTGTTCCTATTCCTATCAGTGTGTATCATAAATTTTTGAATGTTCGATTATCGAATATTGAGTTTTGTGAAGTTAATAAATCAATAAAAATTATTTTAAATACTTACAATAATAAGCAACCAAGTAAACCAATAGAAGAAGAAATCCATTAAAGATAATTTTAAAGCAACTCTAGACCATAAGAAAGCAAAATTCGTAATCACACAATTACCTATAACATTATATTGTGTTTACATATTGTATTCAAAAGTAAATATAGTTTTAAACCTGAGTTGATATTTTCAAAATTGCATTCTTTAGCAGGGGAAAAAGAAATCAGAGTAGTTTGATTGTTGATATTCTAAAAAAAGAAAAAGAAATAAAGGAGAGATTATTAAACATATAAAATTGAGCAATAAAAATTATGACTATATTAATACATTTTCAATAAATTGTTGATTTCCAAATGTAGTGTAGTAGGGCATAATTTGTTGTAAAATACAATTTAAAGCTATTGATATGAGTACAATTACGAAAGATAGAGAATATAGAGCATGATTTGATGTCTCTTCTACGTGTATGTCTTCTCTCTGGAAAGAGATAAGTTTTTTTTAAAAAATAATTATTATAGTTATTAATAATTTTAGGGGAGTTTACCCTCCAGAATGATAAGTTTGTCAAACGTGGCTTTAAAGCAGAAATGGAGCATCCGAGCAAAAATATGACTAGAGCTCCGAAAAAGAACATATCAAGTGGGAAAACTTTATGAAGAATACTGATGAAAACGTCTATTGGATACATCATTTGCGGATTTAGTAATAAATATCCATTCGCAAGTCCCAGTCCATTAAAAAATTTATCAATACTATTAAAAAGGAGAAAATTGATAATAAACAATAAACTAATCAATAAAACACAACTAAATTACCTTGATACTATAAGGAAAATTGTAAATGAAAATAGAGCAAAAAATCCAAATACTCCAAACACAATTTCACAAAATCGTAAACATTTCGAACATTTTTGAGTTTCATGTTTTTTTTTGTAATTGATATACACATTTGTATTAGTCAAAAGAGGAGAGTTTTGATATGCTTCACCGTGGGAATGCTTTGCTCCTCCCTTTATGATACAAGTATAAATAATATCAATAATATATTAAATGATATGAATGTACAACTTCTCTTGCCTCTATTGTACCATATTGAGAGTGAGAATTTCTAAGCAATGATTCACCACTACCTTTTACGCCACCCCTTATCATGTCAATAAATCCAAATGGCATACTTAAACCCTAGAGTTACATAATGATGATCAATCAGTTTGCATGTTTTAAAACGACTAGATTTTACCACATAATAAGTCAAGAGAAATATTCCAAGGTTACTTAGTAGCTCCATAATAAACATTAATCTATCTTCCAAAGCTGGGATAGGGAAAAAATTATCTATAACTCTTTAAAGTTGAAAACTTGTAACATACGTCTATAATAATCTTCCAAAAAGTGAAATTTCGCTGACCAATCGGTACTGTTAATAATTTTTCCTGAAATGTCTATACTATCATAAGATCTGTAGAAAAAGTTAATATTTATATATTGCATAATTAAAAGAATGTATAGAATACTCACATAGACACAATTATGAATAGCAAAATTTCGGTAAGAATAATAATATAGGATAAAGAATTAATTATTTGCTATTAAAAAGAAAAAAACAAAGTAAATAGGTAAAAATAACGTTTTGAAAGTGAAATTTGAAAACAGATAACCTGAATAATATGTGGGCGGTGAATAGAAATCACTCTCTCTTCGTATTTATGAAATGATATGGGTATCATTACGGCAACATAGAGAATATTCAGACTGTAAAAAACTGCAAAAATAAATGTAAATATATAATATGATCATATGTGTCATGTTCAATATTTTGAAACAAATAAACGCATTTCTTCTTACTGTAATAAGTTAATCTGGTACCATTTTGTACATCTTTTGAAAATTCATCTTTAGACTCTTCCTAAAATTGATAGAAATTATTGATTAGATAAATCGAATATACGAAACTAAAAGGAATAATACAGGAAGGCTATCTCTGAAATTCGCTAAATTCGACAGGCAAAATATATCCAAAGGTACCAATAAACTTGTCAAAATTGCAATTGTTAGTCCAAAACTAGCTATTATAATGCTACTAGTCTTCTTCCCTGTCTTGTTTAAATGAAAACAAAGAAAACTTCCCAAGGACACTGGCTGAATAGTTATATTATGTTAAAAGATATTAAATAATTACTCGCTATGGAAATATCTTACTATTGATAAGATGATCAATGGAATCCATAGATAAAGAGTTAAATGATACAAAGAATAGTCCTTCATTATTTTGGAATTTTTCAGTCTGAAAATAAAATAAAAAGAAATATTGCGTATTGTATAAACTGTTGTTAGTTGTTTTATCTATATAATATTTGATTACTCATAGTCAGTTGCAATGGAATTTCAACAAAAACAGCATATTCAATTGCAAAACCAGCTACTGCTTTTAGTTTCAACAATTATATATACAAATATATATATTTAAATCTCTTAAATGCTTACTGTAATGTAATAAATCTGATTCTTTTAGCAAATAAAGGCAATGTTTACTTTTTCTCTTTTTCAAAATGAACTGGTATGAGGAATATTTTACATATTGCTTTATAACTGTTTCACCACCAAAATTATTTCGAAAGTATGGTGCACTGTATATTTTTGGTAGTTTAATAATATGGAAAGTATCTATGCATATACTGTGTAGCAATTATACAAAAGTGTACTATATATATAAATATATAGGGAAATGAATATTAAAGTTGTTCAAGATATTTATCCAGCCTAGTCTAACTCAAGTTGGCAATTCCCGCTCGTATATACGTGTATTTGAAGGTAGAGGGTATGCTAAATAAGACTCATTTCAAACTCTGACCACGGAGGAGGAGATAGACTGATTGAGAAATTAACTGAACAATATCACTATTTCCAGAACAAGGGAAAGTTTTTGTATCGTAGGAAAACAAACAAGAGGAACAATTGAATTGGAAGGCACCTAAAATTTAAGAGCGCCAAAAATTTGCTGTTGGCATAAAGTCTAGTGTTCGTCATCACAACTATAAAAGAATTAATGACTATTTAGCTTGAATGCATTATATAGCATAGCAGATAATATCTGGGATAAATTTAAAGAGAAAACGAAGGCTGGCATGTTGTCTGATAAATAAAACGTCTAACTGCTTTCGGGGGTTATTACCTGTCCAATACAATAAAAACACGTCACTATACCATGGCATAGAAAAATACCAAAAATTATTTGGTGATTTCAAGCTATGTTTTCCTGAGAGTAGATAACAAACAGAAATCATAAAGTGCTAGAAGTAGTAAATAACAATTGAATATTTAAAAGTAGATGATAGCGTTTCCAAAAACTAATTATACGTTGACGACACTAAGAGAGATATGATATCGTTTTGCTACGGCAACAAACAATGGCATATTTTATATAATTATGTCTTATATTTATATTCTTTAGATATAACTGCATTTCTTCAATCAATTTAATAATATAATTTAGAAAGATAGCGAAAAGATTTCGCGCCTTATCAACACCTTGCTAGGCATTGCGTATTATTGCTCAGGCAGTAACATGTAATAACTCATTTGACAATGTCATATATAATTTATATATATATATATGTATTATCTTCAATTTATCAAAAAATAATAAAAAAATTTTTTAATAAAGTTAAATCAAGAAAATATGATTGCTATTCGATAAAGAACTTCTTTTTTACAACATAAATACATAAAAACAAATGAATGAAAGTAATATAGTATAGATTTTAGATTTATATACAACAGAATGTGATGGGGTTGTTACTGTAGCTCTATCTGTAGTAGTTGTAGTTTTATCTGAAACTACGGATGGTAGATATATAGGATTGCTTGATGAACAATTTCTATTCATATTGTGAAATTGAATGCAGGGCGTACATTCTACTTTCAAATTTTCTAATCGAGTAGTCAAGTCAATTATTGCTGAATTTTCATTCGAAATTTCTACGTCGTTAACCTATAGAAAACGGCAAAATTACATAAAATTGGTTAATTTTTCCAATATATATATATATATATATATCACCTTCCAAGTTATTGCTGGAGATTTTTGAGCCTTATGATCAAAGATGCAAATAACTTTTCTACTATTAAGATTAGTCTCCTGACATTTTGTATTTTCAGGACCGTCTATATAAAAGTAATAGTAATGACAACCAAATAGAATAAAATTAATATCAGTCTTAAATACTTTTCTTCCTATAAACATCTAAGTGAAACTATGTTAAGTATACTTACATTCTACAACAACCGGAAATTCACAAATAACTTTCTGGGAATCCTCAGTAAAAATGACATTAGGTTGAAAACTGTCAATAAGGGAGTTCGGGGCTAGGGAAATTAAATGAAGCAATTCTTCCATCTTTCCAATATTGCTGGAATCGTAGAGGAATCCGCAAAGCAATTTGTTGACATTTTTTTCTGAAACGATAACGTTTCCAGTCACAGTCCCTTCTAAAATTTTTCCGTTTTCTTTTATTGTATAATTAGTTATAGCTTCAGTCTCAATTAAATAATCTGCGTTAGCTAAACAAACTATTATTGGTGAAAAGTGAGTAAAAGAAACTTTTATGTCAATTTTGCTCTTATCTCCCAAAGCTAAATAAGTTGGACTAGACGATTTGCATTGGAAATCAGCTAGATATGAAAAATGGCATCTCATTACGTTATGAACATTGTTTTATCGCTGAATATAAATTTATACTTACACAACACAGAAAATGTTCCCCTATAGATATTTGGACCGATATAGCAATCGTGATAAATGTTATCCTTGTATTGATTAGCTTGCAGAGTATATATAACTTTTCTCTTCGAATCTTCTTCTACTAGGATATACTTGTTCTCTTGACCACTTACCAAACCATTGCCATCTGCAATGAGCAAAAGATTCAAGTCATCGTCGATACCGTATGCTATTCTATTTGGTGAAAAGCCCTTATAAGAGCCACATGAGAAAGAGAAATTTCTACGATCTTCGTAAACTGCTATATTTATTGGATAGAACGGTTCAGATGGAGGTGGAGCAGTCGTATCTATTATAAGTTGAAATTGAATCAATATCACTGTATTATGTAAATTTCATTTTGCTAGTACCGGATGGCTTCCACAATTCAATGGCACTACTTGAGCATTTGATTTCTGAACTATAAAAGCTAACACAAGGTCGACAGCTGATAAAAAGCGGATCAACAAAATCCCTCAAGTCTACTGTAGTATCATATCTTTGAATTGTCGTATCATTTAGCTAAAATTTATGATGTCAGAATAATCTTAAAATTTTAATGATTAGTTGATATTTACTGTCCAAAAGATGTACTCAAAATTTTCATACACTCCATCGAAATCGCAGGTTACTTGATTATGTAATATTTTCAAGCTAATATCTTCAGGGCCATCTTCAAATATTTAAACAATAAATATAATTTTCAATAGAAAAGCCTGTCTTTACATAGCTTAAGCAAAATTAAATATTTACATTGAACATTTATCTTGTAATTACATTCAACTTTCTTTTTATCTTCCATAAATGCAAATTCAGGCTGATGGTTATCAAATATATTGAAAGGAGGAATACCATTAAAGTGGATAGAATCTTCCAAACTAAGCTCTTCTTCAGGATGATAGACAAATGAACAATTAATTGACTCTGTGTTTCTTGAAATAGAATTTATAGAAGGAATAGAAGTAATTCTTGCTTTATAAGGTTTAGAAAAGTCGCTTTCTAAAACCCTTGTTGAGTAGCTAATATTAAAAGCAGCATTGTCATTAGATTTACAGCCAAGAGAGGGAGTAAAGTGCGTAAAAGTCAATTGTAATTCAATATTCAACTTTTCATCTTCTATAACAGTTATTAAATTATTTGAGCATTGTAAATTGGCTAAAATGGGGAAAATATGAAAACATAGAAAATTTCACTTAATAAATATGTTTTTTAAAAAATATAAAAATTGTTTACAAACATAATAAGGCAAAAGTTGCTCTGAAGGGAATATCTCCAATAATGCATTCGTGATAATGATTATCTTCGTAATCACTTGTTGAAGAGTTGTAAACAATTTTTCTTGTGTTGTATCTATCATGAGACATTTTATAACGATATCTCTCTTCCTTAATAATCGAATTCTCATCTGCCATATATTTACGATTTCCATTATCCGTATACCCGTAAGCGCTGGCATTAATTATGACATCTTCTAAAGGAAATGTATTACATTCGAATGAAAAATTACTACTTCCTTCGTAAACTGCAATGTTCCTTGGTAGTATTGGCTCAGAAAGAGGAGGAGGTGTGGTATCTATTTTCGATTCAAAGTGTAACAATACATTTTATAAAAAATGATCAAAGTAAAAGTTTACTTTGTTGCCACTTTAAATAAGGATTACTCTCTACGCAACTTTCTTGATCGTTGAAGTATAAAACACAAGGCATGCACTGAACGCTTATTGGTATATTTTCGTATGATGATATGTTTAGGGTATCACTAAGTCCAGTTTGAATAATTGACCCATTTATCTTATTAAAAATTGTTAATATTAATTTGTGATCGTTATAAATGATAAAACTTACAGTCCATATAGTTTTTGAATGAGTTGTAAAATTCCCACTGTAACTACAAATAAGAATATTTACATTCTCCTCTTTCTCTTCAATTGTAACATTTTCTGGTCCGTCTATAATGTATATTATAATATGGTAATAATATACAATAGCATATGAATAGATATTACAATACGTACAGTGGATATGAAATTGATAAGAGCAGCTAAGTTTTTCCTGATCTTCAGCGAAGTAAAACTCCGGCTGTCTATCGTCCATATTGCCAATTGGTGGTATTAAGAAAAGATGCTCGATTTCTTTTCGATAATAAATATAGTTTTCAGGTTCATAATATAGTTGACAATCTAAGTTTTTTAAATTTTCATTGATTTTATCTATGGAAAACGTTGCTGTTAAAGTCCCAAGTAAAGTTTCAAAATTTTCATCCCGCGTATATTTTAAATCATGATTAATTTTAAATGAATTTCCCTCAGTTCCTTGACACTTGAGAAATGGCGAAAAGGTCCGAAAATCTACATAGACATTGATTTTTAATTCATCACCTTTTACCATCAGAACTGGTTTCTCTTCGCATCCAAAGTTAGCTAATTTACAATTTAGTTAATAGAAGTATAACTTAATCCCATATTAATGTTAAAACCTACCTAATACTGTCACTGCAGCTCTATAACCTGTTTCACCAATTAGACAATCATGATAAGTATTATCGTTATACGCTTCAGTTGTCTTTGTATAAAAAATAGTCCTATTTTTATTATTTTGAGCAAGAGAGTATCTATGAAGCTGATCTGGTAAAATTTCTACATCATCAGCAATTAGCAAACGACTTGAACCAAAAGGTTTTTTTGGAGCATAGCCAGTTCCCACTATATTGTCTGTTCCACCTTCAGCAGAACAAAAAAAAGAATAATTTGATTGACCTTCATAAACAACTATGTTTCTTGGACCTATAATAGCATATGAAAATTCAATAATAAATAATAAAGCTACTAATTTTGTAAAGATTAGTTCCATCTATCGCGTTGTTACACTTGACTTGACTGTAGTCGGACCAAAAGTGAATTCTCTAATTTTAACAACCAGAGAGTTTATCGGTTAAAAGATTAGTCTAAGAGTATCATAAAAATTGCTATTCAATTTTCATCGCTAAATATTCAAACAGTATATAAATCGGAATTTATATATACTGTATATATTTAGTATATTCATATTATTATAGCTCTTTTGAAGTTTCTTTGCTTTTTCTGCTCTTAGCCTCATTTGCATAAAATAAGCAGGACGAAGGAAGAAAATACACATTTAGACTTGTTAATGAAGTATATAGTTGACATTTTTATGCCTCTAAAAATAAGATCAATTCACGATTTCTTATTAAAGAGAACATTTAAATTTATTTTATTAACAGTAAAGACAAAAGAATGGTCTTATTTATACAAGTCAATTTTATATTGTCATATTTAATATTAATAGAACTGCTCATATATTTAGATGTGATATTTGTCCAAAACATGGCTAAAAATTTATTAAAATGACTCATAATCTGAAAAAGAATTTTTATTGAATATGTATGTCGTTGGCAATAGTGATAATGGATGAAATTAATATAAAAGTTCTAGTTTCTATGCGATCTCGTACAGTGGCTAATATTATAAAAAAGTCTTTTATGCGGTTAAAGCGGATACGCAGAGCAGTTTCTTTATAATTTCGTTTATAAATTTTATCTAACTCTTCCCCTTGCCTATCCAATGTATCTAAAAAACATTTCCCTTGATAAAACCTTGAACTCTTGAATATGTTTAATTTTTTCTAATTATTATTTCTACTTATTACGCGAACTATTTCAATAATTGTTTACATATTATTCAGCAATTTCGGGTTTTCGTTTATTGCCTTTAAATGATAAACGCGGCTTTTCTCCGCCAACAACCAGCCAAACGTTCCTTTTAATTACGCTATTAAAAGTCTTTCTACAACCCCCGAAGCAACATTGTCTAGTAATATTAAGCGAATTTTTCATTTGAAGATATGGTACGATTCCATATAATAAGAAAATTAAAGCATTATTTTTTATTTGCTTTTTTTTATATAAATATGGTGATAGTTTCTTTTTTTCACTAAATCGATAAATTATAATTTAATTATGATGAAGATAGTTTCCATAGACTACATATTGACAGATTACGAGTAATTAAAAAAAATTCTTTGCAAGATGTTCTTTGAGAATCGACATATGGATACTCGTCATAGTATATTCGATAGTTAGAATATATATTTAAACATGCGTGTAAAGTACTTTTCAATGTGTTTAATATAGGCGCATAGAACTAGAACTATATGGCACATCCAGATAGAAAACGAGAGAGAGATAGAAAGAGAGAGAGAGATAGGGGGAGGGGGAATGCTAGAGAGAACACCAAGATACAAATATATAAAGAATATAAGACATAAAGCATAAGAGATAAAATTGTTTTTTTTATTAATTCAAAAGGATTATACGTAAAATTTGATTGTATTATTAATACTAATTGTAAACGTACTCGTTAGTATGATTAAATGACTAATAATCTTGGGAAGAACGGCTATTATAGCGAATCTATCGATAGGAATAATAAAAAATGACCCTGCATTTCGTGTTTAAGGATATTCTGTGTTTAATTTGAACAACTAGCCTTATTTATCTAACAAATATATTTTTTAGCTATACAAAACGGCATTTTAAATGATGATATTAATATAAGTATTGTATACTTACAGAAATTTCTCAAACCGAGTTAAATCAATTTAAACATGATTACCATAATACAATGCATGATATTTCTAAGATTAGCGTATGGTATAGAGTCTTTAACATACATTTAGTATACATATTTTTTGCAAAATTATTCGTTTGGTTGAATCTTGTGTAAGATGCGCAGTAACCTATACATAGGCTGTACAATAGCAACAAAGAGAAACAATTTACAAGTAGAAGTTACTGTAATGCTTCTAATCATAGTGATGATTATTATTTATCATTTTTACTGAATTGACTAAGAATTTATTCTCCTTGGAAATAAGTCATTAAAGTTTGCTAGAGTTAGATCCAACAGAAAATACCAACGAAAATTAAATGATTCTCTCTTATTGCTGTAGAATCAGACAAAGAATATGTAAGAAATGTATTCTTACTAGGACAGAGAAGGAAGGTGTAAACGGACTTTTGGTGTAAAATGGAAATCTAAGTTTGTTTAAAAGCCAAACTCAATTTCTTGAAAAAGAATCCAAGAAGGTTGTCATTCCGATAAACAACCTTGCTACTATATCGCTAATTGCCTCCTATAGGCGATATTCGGCAAAAAAAATCTGGCTATAAAGCTAATTTTTAGTAGACAGTGCTGCGAAGAGTCTGTAAAAACTAGCTGGATTCTGCCTTTGCAGTTGGGGTTAATAAGGACAGGCTGCCGTCTATTTCAATCCATTTAGAATCGTCTCTTATTATTTGTTTACCAATTTCTACAGCAATAATTTTCCAGTTTCTTCATTGGTTGAGCTAAATTTGAGCGGACATCTTAACAGATAAGAACACTTAAGCCAACTACGTCATGAATATTCATAAATTAAATTTACATAATTTTACAAAGTTTAATAATCTATCATAGACCTAATAATAATAGTATATACTTTTGGTAATGATTGGCTTTAATCGTATGGTTTATTAGTCACATAAATTATGCAAATCAAGTTCTTTTACAGAAGCCCGCAGCAAACTGTCTCTAGTACAGCAATCGCGCGGTCAGGACAAAACTGTAGCAAACAAAGCATCACAATGAGAAAACCTCAATGGTTTATAGCTTTGTCTTTATTGTGTTTGTCAGGTGAGTTATTTTAGCTACTTTTGAAAAAATAAATATAATAATAAAGTAATAGTTAAATTGGTTTTTATGTTCGTTTAATCGTTTAAGGATCATTCTGTGTAACATTAAGAAATAAGATAAATTTTATTGCAAATCATTTTAGAGATTTTCAAGTAATACAGGTATCTAGTTAAATTAAGTATTGTTGACTATGTTCTTTTTAATGAATCATTGTCTAATGTGACGATTGTTGTATGGATTTTTTGGGTAACAGCTGCATAGCCTTAGAATTTAGATACATGGCGAGTGGATCTCTTTTATATTACTTTGGTATCTTTTCTCAAATTTCAAATGCATTTTAGAAATTTCCATTCCAGAAAGAACTATTTCCACCAACTAAAATAATAAAAAAAACGAAACCCACCTAAATAGTTCACATGGAAAAAATAAAGATTTAGAAATTTTCTAAAGAGCATTTGTTAGGTATATTCTCTTATAAGTACGCTTTATCGCAAGCGATTATTTGAATCTCTACGAGAAATGAGCATATTCTCTCTTATTTTATATATTTTACTGTGAAATTTTATTCATTTCTCGTCTTTTACGAATAGGTTTTCTCTTTTAGATGGAACTTTCTAGAATTCGTACTTGGTAAAATTCAATATACGATAAAACTAAAAGTGCCTGAAAGACGCCTTTCCAGGAAAACCTTGAATAAATTAAAATAAAGTAAATGCGTTTTAGCTGTTTGAATATTTTTTTGCGGTTCCTTTACTGTTTTTTGCTTAAATTATTACGTGGAATAGTTTACATTATTGATTAATTGATATCATTTAGACAGATATAAAGGAGAACACAAAACACAATTTATAAATAAGTATGTCGGTTAAAGGCGACTAATTTATCAATGGTTTGAGTCTATCTAATATCTGAAATAATTGATAGATCGCTATTTGGATGGGGAAAGGGTCAAAATTTTATTCCAATACTCGACCCTTAAGTAAAATTTCATGTAAAAGATTTAATGGAGTTTTAATTATTTCATTCCATAAAAGGAAAATGTAGAGTGTCAAAGTTTTTAGGTTTTGCTATTAAACTTCCCCAGCCTAAGGATTTAGGTCCGAAAATTTACTATTTTATAAGGAATTTGTACGTCTCTTAGCGGTTTTTTCTCTTGCTTTCCATTTAGTGAATGAATAGTTTTTGGCAAAAAAATCGTCTCATCCAACAAAAATTCCACTAGCCTAACCACCTCAAATTCGAAACCGAAAACCCATTTTCAAATAAGAGCGCCGTTTATTAGCGTCGAACAAACGGCAACCGATTGTTTGCATTCGTGTTCTTCCGACGCCTCAAAACAAAATTGATCGAAGAAACTGGGATGGAAAAAATGGCGCCCTATCAAAGCCTACTACATTCATTCCACTATTATGATTTTTGAAGCTACTTACGAGGCCTATTGCACGGGAATCATTATTTAACAAGTTGTATTATTTGTAATTAAATTATTATTCATATTTCACACAATTCCAACCAATATGACCACGTTATAGGCCATTCACAAATATCGCGTTACGGCCCATTTGTCTTTGACTATTTTTATATGCAATACAAACCAGGCTGACTAGGCGTCTCTTTCTTAGACACCGCCCTAGGGTTATCGATAAAAGGCGATAGTGACGCCGATTGCCGTCAATTAGACACATCCTAGTATAAAAAGTAGGCATTTCACCTCTTTCAACTATCCAATATAGTTTTAAGCACTGTCTTTATTCATAATTTATTGTCCCAGAGTTGCAGAAAAAAAAAAAAAGAAAAATAGAAAAGAAAACTGATCTCTTACAAATTTCTTTTTAGCCTATAATTTCGCTTTAGCAAAAGAGATAGTAATTCTCGATTTTCTTTGAGACTGTTTTCTTAAATTTTTCAGTTTCCATCTTATCGTTTAAAATAGGAGAAAAGTATAACCACATTTGACCTTTGAAAATGATATACGATAATTCTTAACTAATCCGTTCTACTCGTGTAATTCAATATTAAATTAAAGGTAATGAATGTAAAGTTATATATGTCAAAAAACGCTCCAAAATATATAAATAGTTGGATAGTATAAAACTAAATATATATGACAAGGGTAGTAAAGGAAGATGACAAATTAAATATTGTATAAAATATAAAGATTCCGACATCCTTTTCCAATTGACTCTATTTGAAGTGACAGAAATGGATATAAGAAATACTATGTTACTCTCATATTCCCTACTTTCTGAGTGTAAGTCTCTATTAATCTAGAATCTTTTTCATCTTTATTCTCCCTCTGTCAACATGCTAAATAATCATTCAAGTACGTTATTTTTTAGTCTTTTGTATTTTAATTAATTTATAATTTCGTCAAATAATAAAAATTTGTAATAAAGTTTCATCAAAAGAAATCATCAAAAGCCAAGCATACCAAGATGTTTGATAAGCAAGCGCTAGCGGTCTTGTTCAGTAGGTAATCACCATCTTTGATTATTAATATTCGAAGCATGTGTAAAAATTCGTTATAATGTCAATTTGAAGTAGATTTTTGTAATTAAAAAACGGCTTTCTCACCAAATTCGAGATACGATCTGCATGTAGATATAAAACTCCGTAGGGTTTTTATCTTGTGTTGTTTACTTTACTGAACAAATTGTTAGTTTTTCGAAATTTATTAGAAATAAGAGATAAAGTCATTTACATTTGTAAAATGGAGGGGTGGAGGGGGGAGGGAATGTCCAATTTTACGGTTTATAACTAAACATTCAATTACGTCATACGAAAATTGGTTTATTAAAGAGGTACACAAATAGTAAAATAATCCAATTGGTTACTTTATTGAATGTCAAACGAAAATCCCCTAATCTGGTTTATTCAATCAACTTCGTACACCCTTACAGCCTATTGCAGACGGCAGGAAGTGAAACCGACCAAACATAAAGTTAAAAGGTCGCACGAATACAAGATTAAGAGACTAATTCTTCAAAAATACGACAGGACAACTAGGCCTGTTCGAAATGACAATTCAACTATTAAAGTTAATGTTGCGGTTTCTCTTTATCACATTCTTGATACGGTAGTTCTAAATTTATCTTTTCTTACGCGGCTATTCACATCATGCATTTAAAGCTAATTATCTTCTCTCTTGTCCCTTTCAACAGAATGAAAAGCAGCAAACCTTCACTTGTTTATTATCTATAAGACAGAGATGGTATGACGAATTTTTAACTTGGAATACCACGGCATATGGTGGTGTCAAGACAATAATGATACCGTCCAATCAGCTTTGGACTCCTGATTTAGTAGTATCAAATTTGTAAGTACAATTTTCATATCAAGCTATCACTGGAGACTTTGAGTAAAGTTTATTTTTTTTTTTCAACTAAATTGTTCTTTTAAGTCAATCACGTACCAATCATCCCATTTATATCGTATTTCAGTTAATAAATCACGTTAATCCTTTTCATTTTCATCTAACAAGTGATATCTATATATCACTTTATGAATAATTTATCTCGTTTCCATTGATCTTTTATCTAAATTCTTTAGGTATTATCTTTAAAACCTTTTCTTAAATACTTCACCAAGAGTACAGCAGCATCTTTCAATTAGATTAAAAGTTTGATAATTGTAAAAGAAGCTTTGTTTAAGCTTATTTAAAAGGGAAGATAACTAATTGCAGCATGATTTATTTTTCCCAAAAAAAGCAGTAATTAAATGAAATAGTCACTTCAATTAAAAATAGAAAGAACAAATTTATTTTTTCATTTCCTTAAAATTCTATATTTTTAAATATATTTGAAAATTTAATGAATATTCATGAAATTAATTAAAAAATTTTCTTTCAGTGCTGGGGATAAATTCAACGATTACATGATAACAAATGCTATTGTTCGTTATAATGGTCTTGTTCTGTGGCTTTTTCCTGCTTTAGTTAAAACTTATTGCACCCTCAATGTCAAATATTTTCCTTTCGACACGCAAAAATGCGATATTGTCTTTATCTCGTGGACTTATCATGGTTTCCAATTGGATCTTGCTTACAATTCGTCGTTTGAGAACACTGTCTACTATGTTCCCGAAAATCAAGAGTGGACTGTTGATGGAATAACTGCAAAAAGAACAGAAAAAAAATATGCTTGTTGTAGCGAGCCCTACCCAGACGTCACATTTTCAATCCATATGAGGCGTGGTTCTCTCTTCTACGTCGTTAATCTAATTGCCCCATGCTTCCTTATTTTTCTTATATCATTTCTTGGTTTCTTTCTACCTGTTGAAAGTGGGGAAAAGGTTAATTTGGAAATAACAATTTTATTGGCATTGGTCGTGTTTTTGTTAATGGTTGGCGAAACAATGCCTCCAACCCCTGATTCAGTTCCAATTTTAGGTAACATTTTTCTTTAAACTAAATATTTACACTGATAAAGCAAAAAACTATATATTTTTCGACCTTGTAGGAATGTTCTTCTGTTCAACGATGCTTATGGTTTCAATCGCTTTAGTTATGGCTGTTGTAGTTACAAATGTTTACTCGAAAAAGGATTCTTTTAAATCACCGCCCGCTGGAGTTTTAAAAATTGCTAAAAAATTTTATCAGGATAAACTTCCCGAATCTAGATCAGTCTCCATTAACATGTCAGCGATGAGGATAGGAAAGCACAACTGTAATGGAAGTCATGGAGACGTTTTATCCATTACGGAAAGTGATCTAGAAAGTTTAACTTGTTGTAACTGCTGCAATTGCCGCACACTGCCATCTTCTGGCCAACATAATCTAAGACAAGGTGGACACCATTATCATATGGATTATGACAGAATTCAAATAGAGTGGAGAGTTGTTACAAAATTTGTTGATAGACTATTTTTTTGGCTGTTTTTTGTCCTCTCCTGTGCTGTGCAAGCCTTCCTGTTTAGTCAAATGGTTCCAGAGAGACCAAAACCTGAAGCCATCCGAACATAAGTTTAGAAAAAAATTAAGTTTCTTGTGAAAGAAAAGAAACTAAGTCATTCATTACTTTTTATATTTACATAATTGAAGTCAGAAGTCAATTCAATGTCAACAGTTCATATATATTCTGAAACATCATGTAGAAGAAACCACGCTATTGCCATAAAAAGTAAATTGAACTACATATAGTACGAAATTTTTTTTCATTCAAAATTTGTCCTTTGGGCTGTTTTGAATTTCTGTCTAATAATTCATAATTTATATACTGAATAACTATGGAATTGTAGAATTAACCTTAAATTTTATACTATCTAATCATATCTGACCTTAATTAGAATTCATTTTTCCACCAATATTCAATAATTTCGTTTTTTGTACCGACAGAATGGAAACTAAATAAAACAACGAAGATATTTAGCAATTAAAGCGTTTCTTTAACTCATATACAGTATGTTATATATGTTTACATAGGAAAACTATAATTACAGTTACAATAAGAAACAACATGACACTGTTTATATTTATCGAAATAAATGTTTGTAATAAAGTGCTGGATACTTATATGATTGCTTCCAACAGCCTGAAATGAACACTCTGCCTTCAATTTCCAGCTATAGCTCCATTAGCTCCATATATTTTCTAATAAATTCATTAATGCCTTAACTGGAACAGCATAGCATTACTATACAGAAAGTATATTAAATAATGATTGTTAATACTTTAACGTTAATTATATGTGTCATATTTGGGTAAAAGACATTGGAATAATGATAATATTAATTCTGTTAACATTAGTCTTCTGACAATCATCACATGTGTACATTTATTAATATGTAACAAACGTTGTATTAATTAAGTAAGAAAATAAGATGAAAGTTATTTCAAAGTAGCTTAAAGAATGACTGTTTAATTCAGAGTTTAATTTGTGTAAAAGATACATAGTTTTTAGTTTCATGAATGATTTGAGCTGTTTATGAAGTCTTGTTAATTATAAATATAGATTAAACTTGTTTATAAATTAAATAGTAATATTAAATGCTTGAGATATGTAAAAACAAAAAGTAAAGAAACAGTAAGATTATACCTTTGCATTCATATGTTACTTTTAGAAATTTTGGTACTCCTGGACAAGGATCTCCAAATATTCCATTGATTGGCAGAATAGAACAGTCTTGCTTTCCCTCACAATAATCTCCCACGATCTCTAGTGATTTAATAGCTGTACAACTATTTGCTCCGTATGAAGCTGATATCACATGTATTGTATTACTATCTTGACACGAAATAACCAATGGACTATCTCCTTCTGGTACTTCCAAATCCAAAGCTGCAGCTAAGAATACATTCTTCACAAATAGTAAAATTACTATACTACAAATTGGCTCCATCAAAAAAGAAAGGAATTATTTTTAACCAAATGTAGTATGTTTAAGTTATGTTCTGGTATACGTGAAAAGAAAACTAAGCTGACTTGAATATCATATGAAAAACTGAAAATTTGCACTCATATTTAATAATACAGCGAAATCATATATAAAATATTTTTATACTTCATCAGTGATTTTAAAGGAAATCGAAAACACAGAATCATGAGTGCTTTTTATAAGAGTTTGTTAGTTTAGGTCGTTTTACATCATTTGAAAATTATTTCCAAACTTTTTAATAATATCTTTAATAATTTCTAAGAAAATTTACAAATCCGATCTTGTTACCCAGCAAACTTAACTCGACCCACTTTGTCAATGAACTTTGCTCAATAAATTCTTAGGAAAAATCCTTGGAAGACTCTAAGATCAATTTATGTATAATCTCAGTTACTGTATTAAATCGATTTATTAAAGAAATATATTCTATTATGGGAACACTTCCTGATAAATAAATACGGCAAATAAATACACTTAAAAAATCCGCCAGAGTTGACTATGCCATCTGGTGTCGGTGAACAGCGGAAATGGAAATCTACGTGGACGATATTTTGTTTGATTTAAGCTCAACAACAATCTGCTGATAGAGAAATGGTAGACTTAAGCGATCCCAAGGGCCCTGTTCAAGAGGGAATCAGTAATACGATATTTATCGTTCCTGCAATTATTATTATTTGTTTAGTTTGTAAGTATAGTTAATAAAATTTCAGAAAAAATGTTAATTTTACTATGTTTCACTGACTAATTATTCGTGGCAATTCTTACGTAACCGTTTTAAAGGTCGATTTAAAAAATTAATTTAGCACAATCAATTTACAAATAATTACAATATAGTGAAAATTGAATTAGTAGCCATTAATCGTATTAAAACCCTTAATGAAATATAAATATTTATATATATACATACATATACATATACATGTATATGTATCTTCTTTAGCTTTTGTAATTGTATAAGAAAAATACAAAAGTTGATCATTAGGAAATATCTATACGTTCGAACATTTATAAAGCAAGCTTTAATAATTCATTAATATCATTGAAATCCTTCTATTGATAATTAAAGTTAGCGTTTCTTTTAGATCTATTGTTTGAGGTGACACGTGTAAAAGTTTATGTAACATCAAGATAACTTTTAATAAAGATTCTGTTTTTTATCAACAGCTTTTTTTGGTTACAAACTTGTGTCATCTATTCGAGAAAAGCAAAGAGCTATTGAGGAAAAGAAAAAGCTCAAAGCTCAAAGAAGAGAAACTAAGAAACGTAAATGAGATGAAATATGTTTCTTCTCATTTTCAATAGTAGACAAAATCAAACTTATCTATTTTATCAAAATCATTCCCAATCTTCTTATCAATACCGATGGAATTAGCGTATCTGTGAATTAGTTACTTTCTTCCGCCAGTCTGATTGTAATAATCCTATGTTCCAATGTTTATTAGGTTTGTGAAATCAAAAAACAATAATTGTTGACCTATTTTATTGACAATGAAATATATATTTAATAAATTTCAACCATTTTCAAAATTGTTTTTCAACAGTTTGAAAACTAAAAAAAATTAGAAACTTTTTTCTTAACAGCTGATATGTCATCGTCTGCTAATAAAAAACACACGGATGAATTTCTATACACAGCGCCATCTATCATCTTAAAAAAAACTCCCAATCAATGGAATAAAAAACAGTATACTCTCCGAAATGTTTGTTTGCTTGTTTTGAGCATAAAGTTTATACTATTACATATAGCAGATGATAAAAAGATAATTAAGTTACTTACTATAAGAAAAATGAGAGAAATGCAATATCAACATATTATGTATGCATTCTATAGCGAAAAAATGTTGGATTCTTCCCAAGAAAGCAGCATATAGAAACTGAGTTATAATTAACCACAAAGATGACAGGCCAAGCTATACATCCGTCAAATATGTAAAATGTGATACGGCTATTTGAATTTTATAAGGCCTACAATTTATTTTGAACTCTCAGTAATTTTGTCATTAAGCTAATTGAGCTATATGAAGGTACCAAAGTAATTACAAAATAGCACTAAATATCGATGGTAATTAATAGATTACATTTATTACTAACTTATCGTACACATCAATCATAGAATTGTTAGAAAAAAAAAGAAAATGAATAACTAAGTTTTAAAAAGTCTGAAAGTAGTTTAAATAATATTTTATAATTATCTCTAGTGGTTGAGGTTTTGACCTTTAGATCATTTTTTAGAAATATAAAGATTGGTTCCAGATGCTTTGATAAAGGAATCTAAATGAAAGACTTACATTTAGCACTGTGGCCTTGTAACCCCAATTTTTGTTATTCACAATCAGTATTATCGTTTATATCATGGTAGATTTTATTACAAATTGTACATTTGAAGTGTCACATACGCACACGTACATGTACACCTACATACATGCATACATATTAACTAGTATATGTATATACTGTATATATATATGTATACATACACATGGACGAGAATAAATCCATGGAACTTGAGCTCTGTTTATCACTATCAAAGTAACAAAGAACAGAAACGTCAGTAATTTCTGATACGATACAAATATCAAATACATTACTTTTCCTGCTATTTCTCTTAGTTACCAATTGTATTCTCTCAGTGGAAAAAAAAAAGAAATTCTTCTATATTTTATTCAGACTATTAAAATAAAAAATAAAGACAGTAAAGTTTTTAACTATTTTCTTAAAACTCATTTGTTTGGCTTTGTTGAGTAGAAAAGGAAACCATGTTTTTAACAAACTTTGCAAGAATTCAACGTTTGTTCGCAACTTGTACATCTAGTAAAGAACAGTTGGTAACGTTTGTAACAAATGTGGAAACTTTGATAAAAATCCAATCGGAATTCCTTCCCGCTAGAAAATACCCTAGAGCAAATACTATCTTCACTTTTCTTTTACTTAAATAAGACTGTCATCTTGCTATAAAATTTTGTTTAACCTTATTAGTAATATTATATAATAAATGACAGTATATTTATAAAATAATGATAATTTTTATAATATTATGTAATAGTATTGAAATAATGAAAAGTTTTTTTGTTTTTCTAAGAGTTTCTACGACACAAAAAAATAATTTAATTAAATCTTAATATTAAAGTAATTTTCAAGTTTAATTCAAGAATTTGTAATTAAAATAGCTCATTAGCATTCGTTTTCGGAAATAAGTTCCTTCAAAGTGTTCTAGTTCACCTGTTCTGCATGCATAGTCAGCTTTGCGTATAGCCTTTAGAAACTGCCCGATAGCGTGGTTTAGTTAAAAGGCATTAGAAGGGAACCAGTCTAAGAATAAAGATGGACGACAATATTTTTACGAGGCTAAAATTATCGGATTTTTTAGGGAGATCTGCTTAATATATAGCTTTTACGCCATCATTTTATGACTAAATTTTTGTTATAATCTTTTCCCATCGTAACTGATGAAATTAACCTGCATAAAAATTGTAAGTTGACGGAAAGTCGTCTTTAATGCTGGTCTATAGTGCTCAATTTTTAATTCAGGCTTAAAAATATAATATATCTCATCATACAAACTATGGCGGAGGGAGGACACTCGAATCGTACCCATTCTCAACTCAAGGAAGAATATGGAAGAGGGTCCAAGGCAAGTGTCGACTTCATGCTTGAGTCATTGACAAGTCGTCACGATAAACTATAATTACTAATCCTATTCTTCCAGATCCGCCGTGTTTCTAGTAATAAAAATGATATTTCGATTGAAAAGATAGAACCTACATCATCAAAGTAAGTGATTTTTAATCAGTTAGATTCAAATGAATTATACCGAGTATATGAAAAAAGAGTTGCGATCATGATACCATTCGTCTGTTTAAATGGCTATTCATTTCAATTTAGGATAAACTGTTATTTATTTATAAAGAGTGTTGTCTTACGTTAAAGGTAATTGTAATTTATCAGTAAATCCTTTCAAATCACATACATACTCTTTAGGTTATATTATGTTTATATTTTAGAAGAAGACTGATTGATAATTGTAATTGATCTTACTTTAATACTTCAATGAGTATATAAACAAGGTTTAATATCGTTATCACTAAGGGTTCACTTTTCAGGAAGTTGAAACTAAATATTAAGACTAGTTAAAAATATTTTCAATTGAAAACATCTAAATGCTTCAAAGCAATATTATTCATCAGCCTAAATATTTATCAAAAAGTTTCTCCCGTAAGCAAATAACTTTATGTTAGGGGAATATTACGATATATTTACATTATCTTGTAGTTTACCGTTATATGTATTGTCTCATTATTCAAACTCTCTACTAGTTAAACCTTTCTTCCTGTTTCGTATTATTCTTACCACTATTAATTGTTACAGTTACTTTCCAATTGTAGTTGTCAATTAATTAAGGTCCAAACAAGGATTAACTCGCAAAATTCTAATTATCAAAGTTGATTGTTCAACAACAAAATATAAAATTGAAAATTGGGAACTGTATTGCTCTAAATGTCTAGATCGTTATTTAAGTGCTAACGGAAATCATATTTAGTGTAGTTCACAAAACAGTTAATTGTTTGCTATCATTAGTAGGCTCTTAGTACTTGGAAGAGAATGTTATGGTGAGTAATGAAAACTTTTCTATTGTTTTTTCTAGTTTTGGTAACAGACCCGTTTTTCAATTGGAGGATCAACCACATTTTCACTACGATTATAGCGATAAATGTTTCAACCATCTCGCGGTGAGTTATATTTTTACTTTATACAATATAGGTATATAAAAAAACGACCGAATAATTTAGTGTCAACAAAGAGCAAAAATTTTCCGGTTTACTACGATAATGTAATGTCCTTGTTTGCTCTATAAGTCTATGAATAAGTTTAAATACTCTAAGAGGTGAACGTATATGTTACATATTAGTTTTAAGTATAATGAATAAACAGAGCTTGATAAAGGAATGTAATAGTCTATCCTGTTTAGAAAAAATAATCAATAACGTAAGAGTATCCACTACAGTTAGGGTAGTGATCGATTTTAGAGTTATTTTTAGAAAAGCACTATTCCTCTTTTACAAACCAAAGATAGTAAAAAGGTGAAATCACATGCCTATTTGCTAAAAGAGCTTTTATATTAATTGTTTGTTAATTTTTCTCAGTATTACGCAGAATTCTTTCAACAGGAACTAGATAACAACAATTTCGTAGTAAAAAGCATAACTAAGCACAATATATCAGTATATATCAACGTAAAAAATCCAAATTAGCCTCATTATTATTAATATTTGTTCTTTCTGCAGTTGGTTATATGCAACAATGATCAGGACGGAAAGAAAAGTGACTTACTTGAGGATAATGGAAAATTCACCATAAAAGTAATTTGATTAAATTGACAAATGAAAAGACTACTAACAAGTGTTTCTTTAGGTAACTGTAAAAGATGCAGAGATGAATATTAATGTTTGGATCGTAAGACGGTCTCTAGATGACTTTCTAGCTCTAGACGAAGCTGTACACAAATGTATTTGGGAAAGGCATAGTTCTCTCTTGACAGATTTAAAAGTTCTACGACAATACGATAAAGTAATTGAATTAATTGAACTTAAAAATAAAAACTTTTAACGAGTTAACATATCTAATTTTTTTTGTTTTACAGAATAGCAAGAGCGTCTTACAAACGTATTTATCTAAATTTGCAACAATGGCTGTTTCTGGAAAAACTGTACCATGTAGTACAGTATTAAATTTTTTCGAGGTTAGTAAGAATAGAATTTTTCTGAAGATAATTGTAATGATGATCAAGGGTATTATTTAAATTTGTAAGAGTAATTGTATTATCGAACTGGTTTCAAATTCAAAAAAAAAAAAAACATTCTTCAATGTTAGGAGTAATTAGATACCTTTAGTATATAATAAAGTAAACTGTTTAACATATAATATATACTATATCGGTATATTGTAAATACTCCTTTTTTAAATGGTTTAAATACTATTTAGATTTAAAGTATATTGCTTTTTTTCGTCATTTATTTCTTAAAAAATGGTCAGAAACAAAGCTTGATTAAAGAATTTTTGTGCAAAAGACATAGCCAAAAATACTCTCAGAATCTCATGGACATACTAAGTGCGCAGCCTGATAATAATTATAGCAATAAATAATACCAAGCAAACCATTTTAGCTCATATTATAACTGTATATAAATAGGAAGGAAAAATTTGGTCAATGTCTGTTTTTGTATTTGGAATATAATCCTTAAAAAAAACTAAATTAGCCTAATTATTAATATTCTTGTTATTTCAGTCTTAATTTATAAATATTTGTTGTCAGTTCAAATTATAGAGATACAAAAAGCAGTGTAGGGTAACAGTTTATATAATTAATAGTGAAATTGTTTTAAGTTATACTATTCAGTTTCAGATATTTTTACGATTTACTATTAATTGAAACCTATTTTGTCCTTCATTAATGCGAAACTTTATTATAGAGGCCATAGAACATTAGCAGTAAGCGACCATTAAAGAAAGTTTAAATCCAATTTCACGAAGAGGGATATATTTAGTTAAATTATAGTAACTTCGATAGATAAAATAAACTATACAGTATACTATTTCAATATATTTCAATATGCGAATGTAATGAAGAAAGTGCACCACCGATATAGGTTTGGTAATATCTTTCCAAGATAGAACTGATAGTCAGTTATTTATGCTTACAAATGCAAACCATCACTTTCTCCTACGAACAATCGAGATTATTTTTTTATTACCTAAATAGCACATTTTTTTTGCCCGAACGCTAAAATTTTCCTATTCGTATCTTGTTAATTATTTACAATATTTCTCGTTTTCTACGTAAGAATATGGCTGCTTTTTTAATTGTTTGTAAAATACATTAATGCAAAGTCTTTTTGTTGTTTATAATATATATATGTCGGATATTGTCTATTATACCTTTAATTAGGAAGCATTCTTCATCCACCACTGATCAATACTTTAATATTGATCATTTAGAGTAAAAAACAGCTTTTTTGTACAATAATAGATTCGGTTCCCTCGTAAAAGCTATTACCGTTATTGGGATGCTTAATATTGCTATAAAAAATGAAAAGGATACGGCATTGACCGTCCAATATCTACTAATTTATAGTAGTATTTATTGCAAGGGTTTGATTGTCTTTCCGATTCAGTTTCACTTGTTGAACTTCAGCAAATTATTCTAGATTTGTAATTTCTTTCTTTCTTTTTACTTCAATCTCTATCGTTTTGAAGAAGTTTAATAGCAAAATTTACAAAACTCATTGAAATACTCACATTTTTCACAGATGGATTATTCTGGTAAAAAGTTAATTCATGCTCGAAGTACGTTGATCAACATACCAGCTAAAGCTTGTGGAACTGTTACAAAACCTTATGTAAAACAAGAATTTGACGAAATCTCTGTAGAAGTGGGTGATATGGTATCGATTATTGAAATGCCTGACTCCCCTGCTCATTGGTGGAGAGGAAAGAGACAGAGAGATAAAACTGTTGAGGTTGGTAAAAACATTTTTTTTCTTTTATTTATTTTTTACCGTAAATGTTTGATATGTTAGGTCGGATACTTTCCGAGACAATGTGTTGAACTGTTGGGATCTAAACTGCCTGAAAGTTTGGACAACTTGAAAAATACTCCAATAAAACCTGGTAAATATTTCTTTTGAAAACTTTAATTAAAAAAAAACATGAAATTCTAACAATGAAATTGTTTTGTTATACGCAAGTTAAATAGAAATTTATTTTTTAAATAAAACTCTTCAATGTAGATAAAAATTAGTTAAACATATCTTTATTATTTTATTGCAGTACAACGTTCCCGCGGGAAAATTTTTGCCTTCCTTCTCAATTTTTTTACTTCAAGACCTTCTAGAACCCACTTGAAACGAAAAGGGATAGTAAAAGAACGAGTTTTTGGCTGCGATTTAGGCGAACATGTGGTAAACGTAGACGCAAAGGATAAAATACCGGACATTGTCAAGTGTTGCGCAGAAATTATAGAAAAACATGGAATTGTTGACGGAATTTATAGATTATCGGGTATCAACTCCAACATTCAAAAGCTAAGATTAGATTTTGATGAGAATAGACAACCTGATTTATCCAAAGAAGAAACTCTTCAAGATATTCATAGTATATCATCACTATTGAAAATGTATTTTAGAGAATTGCCTAATCCCCTGCTTACTTACCAATTATACGATCAGTTTGTGGTAAGTTATTTAATCCATCTTTAATTATTTATGATTAAATTGCACTTCTAATTTACAATAATAATAGGATGCTGTAAAATATGCTCAATCGGAGGAGGACAAGCCAATGAGAATAAGTAATGTAGTTGAACTATTACCACCGGTCCATAAAGAGTTCGTTGACAATAATCTTTATTAATAACTTCTAAAGTAATACAATTTTTTTTCCCACTAGAACTGCACGATTCCTATTTCTTCATTTAGCCCGAGTGGCTTCTCGAGGATATGAAACGAATATGCACGCTAAACAATTATCTATTGTTTGGGCTCCAAATTTACTTCGCTCTAAGCGCCTTGAAACTCCTCAGCGCTGTTGTGATATGTTGCAAGACGTTGCTGTTCAAGCAACAATTACCGAGCTGTTAATTAATTATGCAAATCAAGTATTTGGGGATGAAAAGTATCAAGATGTAGACGGAATTATTAAAAGGCATAGACCTAAGTCCTTAGCTGTGTCAACACCCTCAAAATATGATTGTAGATTAAGTGCAGATAGTATGCTTATTTCGCTTGAAGAGGCTAAAAATAGAAAATTGGGCCGAAATTTCGAATACGAAAAAGAAAATTCTAGGTAGCTAATGATTTAATAAAAAAAAAATAACTATAATGCTTAAACTCTAATTAAATCTTATTTTCATTGTGTGGTTTACTGTACTTTTGCTTCAAAATGATTCTTTAAACAATGATTTCTTTTCTTGACTGTTCATTCAGAAAATCTAAAAGAGGTAATTCTAAATCATCTTTATTTAGGAAGAGTCCCCGAAGTATGAGATCCAAGTCAAGTAAATTTACCGCCAGTAAGTAGTTTTCATGTGATGCTTATCCCCTGACCATTGTAAATATATAAAGCATGACTGTTGTTTATTTTCACCACCCTTTCAAAATCCCTTCCCACTTTTTAAAAGCTTCGGACCCGGGGAAATCACTAACGCTTACAGCTGCTGATATTCCTGAAGAATGGAGACATCATCATCAGCCATTTAGATTGTCGAAAAGTGCTGAATCCTTGGACAAATGTACTGTTTTTGCTAATCCTTCACCAGGTTGGTGTAGTGGTCCCTTTTTTTTATAGACATTATCGCACTGTAGATGATTTGTTTTTATAAACGGTTTTTTAGCTATGTTTTCGAGAATACGCTTAAAATTTATCTTGTAATTCAAAGCAATAATTTCCTTTATTCAGATATTATTGGTTTGGAGTCAAATGAGAATTATTCAAAGAGCGATAATTGGAATTCTGTTGAAACTAAAACTTTTAGTAAGTTAAATATAATTCAATTCTTCAGTTTAAAAAAATCGTTATTAATTAATTATATTAAACAATTTTCTCTTTCTATGAAGAACTATTGATTTTAATTATTTTTATATGTTTTCAGAACCTCCACCAATGAATAGACCAAGCATTAAACAAGCTAATTTTAGTCTTACCCATCACCGAGCGTGTTCATTAGATTCGGCTGCTATTGTTGAACCTCCAGCTGAACAAAGATCGGAATTTTTTGAAAATTTAAATAGTCTTGAAATTTTAAATTCACAAGAAAGTTTAGCTAGCTCTGTTTTAAAAGGCTTTGACGAAACTAAAGAAGACAAAGAATTTCCCGATTACGAAAGGGAGCGTACATCGTCTTTTACAACTTTCCGAAGAGAGCAACCGATTTACGAAAATTTACAACAAGTTAAGAATAGCCACTTTTCCAGCTATAAGCAGTGTCCTCGATATGAAAAAGAATTAACTGAGGATGAATTCCCAACTGCTACGCTTCCAGAGGAAGTCGAAGTTTCCCAAGCCTGGAGTAAACAGCTTTCTCCTTCCATTACAAACTCAAATTTTAGTAAATTTGAGGAAAAAAATGTCTCGGTAGATTTGATTACTATTGATGAATCCTCCACAGACCCACTATCCGTTCACATAGATAAATTTAATGAAATATCTGAGGAACTGGAAAGAACTTCAAATTTAACCAGCACCTCAGATGAAAAAGAAGAAGTTCCTGTTACAATTATTGATGAACCCTTTCCTACTTCGGATTTAATTATGAGTCCTGCCGCTACACATAGACAAATTTCTAGATTTTCCTTAGACAAAACTCCTGAGGAAGAAGAGAAGAGTATTGTTCCCACTTCTTCAACTTGTTCATTAAACAATCAAACCAGCGTAAATGATAATCATTTAGATGATGCTTTTACCAGTGAAAAAAGTTCTCCAATTGAAGATAAGCCAATAGTAGAGGCGCCTTTGACAGATAAAGTTAAATCGTTGTTAGAAGAGAGAATTAAATCGTCTTTTGAAGAAGACGTACAATTGTCATTATCTTTGACAGAAAAAGTAGCAGAATCACCTTTGAAAGAAGAAGTAGAATCGCCTTTGACAGAAAAAGTAGAATCGCCTTTGAAAGAAAAAGTGGAATCACCTTTGAAAGAGAAAGTAGAATCGCCTTTGAAAGAAAAAGTAGAATCACCTTTTAAAGAAAAAGTAGAATCGCCTTGGGAAGAAAATATAATTCAATTCGGAGAAAGTACTCCAATCTTTAGAGACCCTGTAAATATTAAAGAAAATATAGAATTGAGGTCTCCATCGTCTTCCAAGTCGAATAAATCTATTATTGATAGTTTTCATGAGGAAAAGAAAGCTCAAACAAATGAAAAAGAAAAGTCAAATATCTGTTATGACGAAATGAACAAGAATCCTGCTAATGTCAACAGTGAAAAATTATTTACAAAAATTAAATCCACCAAACTGCCTCAAAATGATAATGAAACTGTCACAGATAAGTCACAAGGAAGTTTTGTTGAAAACTTAAAAAAGTTCGATAACGATAAGCCTACATTCCGTGAAAACAATTCCTTAGAAAATAGTAAACAGAATAAAAATGTCTACTTTCAGCGTCGTCAGCAATTTTCATATGAAAATGTTGTTAAAGTTGACAAATTTGAAAAGGTTGATGTAACGGAAAATGAAAGTTGTATATCTGCTACTGATGACAAGCGTATCGATTTAAACTTGTCCGATTCCAGTGAACAAGATCCAATTACAAAAAAGAGAAGTATAAAAAATATAGGTGAAAAGGCTGATTCTCCCATATTACAAGTCGCAAGAAGATATTCTGTTGTAGAATCTGAACAAGTTAACAATCTCGGAAAAGTTTCGTCTTCTCCGTTTTTAAATAAGCAAGAATCACAAGATTCCAGTCAGTCTACTGTTAATTCTCCGGAGAAAAAAGTTAGACTATCAGGTAGTATAGACAGTCTTGATGAAATGACAATTGAACAATTGGAAGTGAAAGAAAACGTTCCAGTGAAAGTCAAGCCCAGTTTAACATCCTCCTTTAGTGGAAAAGCTAGTTCTAAACCTATTCCAAAGCCTCGAAGGTCGGTTGAAAGCAACGTGGCTAGAAGTGCTCCAGAACCTGAAGTTCGAAAAGATGTTATTAAGTCTCACCTTGACTCCTTAAGGAGCAGAGAAAGGCCTATTAATTCTGGTGTAAAACAATTAGAAACAAAAACTTCCTCAACTTTTTCTTTAACAACAAGTCAAAAATCACAAGAGAGAATAGATATCACTCCGGATACCCAACGAAAAACTGAAAACTTGCCAAAGTTTGGTGAAACTAGCCGAATGTTTTCAGCTAAAGTAGTTAAGGATGAAAAAGATGAAAAACAAGTAGCTATTGAAGGAGATGAAGAGAACTCAACTAATAATTCCTCTTATTCATCAAAACAAGGAAGCGTGAGGTAAGAAAGAATTTTCTATTAGCAATAGAATCTACATGCCATATAGGGTGTATCAAATATATGGTATGCATAATTCTAACATACAAATGATGTATTTATACATAAATGGTATTAAATCAATGAACAAATTTGAGCAGATGAATTTATTGAACAAAAAATTATAAAAAGGCTTTGCTATTTTAAGTTTCTTTTTTTTATTATTTATTTTTTTATCTATTATATAGATCTTTCATCAATTTCTTCTTAAAGCTTATCATTCACAAGTTATGGGAATGAAAACTCGAAATAATTAATGTTTTCTATTTTTACTTTAGTACTTTTTCATTATGTATATAACATCATTATCATTTTATGTATATTTTCTACCTTATTTTCATACTATCTTACATATTTTTGCAGGTCCTTTCTAAATGACAAGTTAGCTAAATTGCCATTCATTTAATTATCATTATACGCGTATAAATAAGAATCTTTGGCCATGCTTTATAAACTTTTATGCTCTTACAAACTATCTACTCTATATATATATTTTTTTTATAAAACTTGGCTTGCATGCGATCTATACAAACTGCTTTAGAGACTGTGCTTCTGAGAACTTGAAAAGAGTTTAAAGATATTTAATTCTATTACAATAGTTATTTGTGGTTCTTTTAAGAAATTTAACGTTTCTCATCTGTCTACGCTTTATTTGATTAATTTCTGCAAAAAATTAATGATTGCCATTGTAACAAAACAAAAATTAACTTACTCTTTATATTGATCTACGTTTTTGCCACTACACTCCGTTTCGAATTTAACTTTAGATGTCTTTATATTGAATTTTAACACTTTCTAGTAGCTAATCATGAATTAACAACGGAAAAAAGAAAATTGAGATTTAAGGGTCCCAAAAACTTTGCGATATTTTTTCCCTTAAGAGATATTTATTCTCTACTAATTTTATAGTTTCTTGTTATTTTTTAGTTAAAGTTGCGCAATAATTTTATTAATCAAATATTCTTATTTCAAGTATGATAAATTTCAGACGCCTGGCTGAAATGTTTACATCTACTCCTACTGCAACGTCTTCCCCTCAATCGTCTACCGAATCGAGCATTCGGCGATCACAAAGTACCCGAGTTCCATCGATTATACGTTCAACAGTTGACGAAGAAAATAATAGATTATCGATCACAAAACGCCTGAGTTCTTTCGAGTTTGACACACTTTCACCAGCAGCTTCCTTAAAAGTCACAAAACCGGCTACATTTGACAGAACACCAGCTCAAGTTTTAAAACCAACCCAAAAAAATACTTTACCCAATCGGTTTTCGACCTACGAACCGGAGAGCAAAGAAACAGAAATAAAGTTACCCAAAAGTATGAGCTCTAGTTGGACACCTGGAATGGAAGAAAATAATTCTGATTGCAACAAGAGTGTCAGAAGTTTGAAGGACAGATTTGAACAGTTGAGTTCAGCTAGTTGATTTTTTTTAGACCCTTTATTTTTTTCTACATATATACCGTATAAATATTTCACGTCTTGGATATATATATGCACACATATATATATATATATATATATATGTATGTGAGTATATACCCAGCAATATCTGTACTGTAAGTAAATTTTTCAGTATAATTTTATATATATTTACAGTATATAGAAAATAAAGATATATATATATATATATATATAGAGTAACGTCTATCTCATGAAAACGAATCTATATATATATATATATATATGTAATTTTCTAACTTTTCTGCCTGGTATCAAAAAGTTAGCTTAATATGTACTCATTTTTTAATACAGTATTATATTTTTTTAAATTTTATTTTCTATTAGAAATGTGGTTGTGGGACAGAGTTTAGAATTTTTTCATATTTATCTTTGTCTTAATATGTACATTAGTATATTAACAAATCTTTTTTTTCTAACTGGCTGCTTAAACTGTACAAAATGATTTATGTTACCTTCATGACGTTCTGTTTACTGTTTAATATCTTTTTCTTTATATTTCTTATGATGAAGTAAAACTAAAAAAAGAGCTGCTTGCTGCAGATTTATTCATTGTATGCAAAAGTATACACAAAAAAAACTTACACTTCTCGTATTTTTCGGCTTGAGAATGACTAAAGTGCCTGATGTTATAATTGTCTTTACGCTTTGGTCAATAAAAATTGTACATTTATTTTGCTAAGAAATTCAAGTTATTTATTAGTGATGAAAATTATTTATAACTTCTTTTTCGGGTATTTTTTTTAATAACTTTCTTTTCTTTATCTGATTTATAAATAACATGAGAAAATTTACCAAACAAAATAATATACCAAAAACTCTTAATTATATAAATAACTACTTGTATCAAAGTATAACGGTGAATTGTCCTTGTTGAAGCAAGAAAATTCTCTTACGGTCGAAGAGTTTGGAACGTACACTGTAAAATCCGTTTTTCTTGCCACTAATTGCTCATTAAATTGGCCACAAGCGGGTGCGACAGCATTTGGAGGATTTTTCACACACATTGGTTCCGACGATGGCTTATCTTGACCTTTCGGTACGAATTTAGGTAAGTCTTCATCCGAACTGGAACTTGTAGTAGATTTCGGACTAGTTTTTAAATAGGCAGCGACGTTTTTATGTTTAAATTCATTATCGTATTGAGATAATTCCGCTATTACACTATCTATAACAGCTTGAGGAACACATTTTCTTTCGATAAATTTTCTTTGACACGGTTTTTCGGTAATTTCTTTCCGTCTCCTATTTTGAAACCAGATTTTCACCTGACTCCTAGTTATACCAATTCTTTTAGCCAATAGTTGTTTTTGGTGCTGATTCGGATACTTAAATTTCGAATAAATGGCATTCAAGAGTTCTAATTGGTATTTTGTATAAGTTAAACGATGAGATCTTTCTTCACGCTGGTCCTGCATCTATTAAAAAGAAAATATATACAATTTTATAATAGCCTTGAAATTATCACACTGTTAGATTTAAAACCTCTATATGAGTGTGACGTTGTTTTTTTAGTTCTTTTGTTTTTTACCAAGACGCTCAAACTGTCTGAGGTCTGACAGGTAAGGCATTTTTTTTATATAATAATGTAAGTAAGAATATCTGATACATAAAAACCCAATAAATCGTAAAAGACAAGACTGTTGCCAAAATACCAAACACCACCTTCGTTAACTATAAACAATTGTATGACAGCTTTTATACAAAACGAACAAGCGAAATTCGTCACTTTCTATTATTTGTCTCTTTCTTTTGCTAGTTTCAATCTTTTTCGTCTTTTGAAAAAATACCAATTTTGAAAAATCTGTTAATTAATTAGTTATCAAGTGCAAATATCACAGCAGACCAATTAAGAATACATTCTCGATCGCGAGAAAACTGTGTTACATTAAATGCTCAATAAAGGCCTATAAATATGTTTCATTTTTGCCAAGAAAAATCTTTAAAAAGAAATAATATACTTACTTGATGCATCGGTGGGCCAATAGGCTCAGGATAAGAAATTGGTTGTTGAGGCATTCCCCATTGTCCGATTAAAGGATACTGCTCAGGATAATAATTAGGAAAAGAGTTCATCCTTGTATAATCTCCAACAAAATTCGAGTCCATATTGAAGTTTCAAATGAGTCGATCGATGGGCAGATACCGAATGAACTAACTTGTCCAAGATATCCTGAATTGAACGACAAGTTTGGTTTGTTCATTAAAGGTGATTGTAAAAAAGGTAGATTGTTTGATGGTCAATCGGGCGGTTTGGCGTTGCTAATTGTCGGCCGATTCAATTAAACTTGATTGAACAGTGGATAAGCTGTTTGTGTTAATTTTGTTTCGCTTGCGATGGCATATGCGTCTATTTCCTCCTTTTTTATATTTTGTCAGTTTTCCGCATGTCAATCATATACTACGTACTCATTACTTAGGCCTATAACTAAATAAACTTATAGCACTAGAACGCAAATATAAAACATTTTATTCTCGTTTACAAATTAGCATTTTTGACAAAACCGATGTTTAGGCCTACTAGTTAACTTTTTGCCGACAAAAGAAAGAGAAGTAGCTCTGTTAAAAATGCGAAAATGAATATATGTTCATATACCTTTATTTGAAGCATTTCGAATAATACAATAAAAAACAATTATATTAAATAATAGTTTACAAAAGAATTGTATTTGTCTTATTAATTTTAAATATTAAAAGTGATATTTCGTCTAAATTGGACATGGAGATGCCTTTTTCCAATAGATATTTGTTAGAAATTCCGATACTTTATCTTTTCCGGTTTTCTTAAAAAATTCTAGGTTAGGTTTAAGAAAAGTTTCTATCGAATTGTTTGTCGCTAGTTTGAATAGATATTTTCTAGCATTTTTATACGCTTTCGATATACTTTTCCTTTCATTCCATTGTTTTCCAGATGATAGATCTGCTCCTCTATTTAAGAAATATTTACTTGGTGCCTGTTTCATGCAATATTTAAGCTATTTATGAAAACTATTATTTACACAATTGTTATAGAATTATTAACCTTTTCGAGTTGGTTTTTAGTAAGTTGAATAAATGCAAGGAAATATAAACCGACGTAATTTGGCGTTACTTTTAAGGATTCTTTCGAGTGTTCATAAATATTTATCGAATGACCATCGTAATTAGCGTAATTTTTATAGAATGCCTCTATCCAGCCTATTGATAAAAAATGTAATTAATTTTTTACAAATATTCAATTATTTAAGTTATTCTGAAAAATTACTTTGACGATCGATGTCTTGTCCTTTAATAAAAGTTTTCTTGAGCGGTTCAATCAATTCAGGTAAACCACAGGTATTAATCAATTCAACTTCGCTCTTATGATCTTTTCCCTTGTATCTGAGTATTCTATCATTATCCTTGTCAAAAATCGAAAATTGCCATAGGAATGTATTTAACATTTCCGTATACTTTGATATGATAAACAAAGAAATGAAAAATTACGTTCATCTATTATGTAAATTTAAGTTGTTTACTAACCCAAATTACTCGCAATAAGAACCGATCAAAAGTTATTGGACTCCTTTGTGCAGTTACCTTTGATTGCATTAAGGTTGCCGATCTATTAATCATTACGTATTCGATATCTCTATTTAATAAAACCTTATTATTTACTTATAAAACTGTTTATAATAATAATAAATACTGGAAATTTGTGTTGGATTTTATCCATTTAACACCAAAATTTTTAATTTCCGACACTTTTTGATTATTAATAAGAAAACCATTTTGATCTTTGTCGCTTTCAGAAAACACTTGAAATATATCTATACAAACAACGATTAAATATAAATGTTTCTTTATAAACATATATAAATTATATGTTAATTTTAGTTTACTTGTTAGAAAGTATTGTCTTAAACAGCCGTAAGCAATGGTCTATAGCATTTTTTTGTTTAAAATAGGAATGATAAAGTATATGCAATAGAGAAATGAGTTTCACCTCGAATAATTTATAGTTTGTCTTAAATAGTGGCGTTTTTTTTCCAATTAAAAAGTATATATTCCATATTTCCTTAAGATTATTAGGCTTAAATGATTTGGGTAGTTTAAAATCGTAAACTTCTCTTACTAAACTTTCATTCTGAAAGAATATTTATTTTTATATAAGTTATTTAAATTATTCTAATTTGATAATATTTATAAGAAACGTACACAAAATAGATATAAATTTTTGCCATTAAGATCTTTAAATAAATTTTCAGATTGAAAACCATCCAGTATTCCAGTAAATTCCTGATGAATTAAAATAAATTAGTAGGATTTTAATTGAGGAAGTGTATGATTGATTTACAGCAAAGTTTATATAAGGTATAATAAAGTTATCTTTAATTATTTCGCATTTATTTTCAAACGGTAAAAATCGACCAAGAATTTCGGCTAATATTAATATTGGAAATGTATATTTTGGTGATAATTCTCCATGCCATTTTGAAACAAAACGTTCATCGAAAATTTGCTTTTCTTTACAGATTACATATTTTTCTGAATGGAAAAAAAAAATAGTAATTAAGCATATTAATTAGCATATATTCCTCTCATTGAAGGATATACAGCATATATACTAGGATAGTAACAAAACCCTAGAAAAGAATTATTTCCTATCATAAAAAAGCCATTAAACTTATTTATTATTTATAGTAAAAGTATATTCTGGTAGAAATAGGTCAATAAGATGTTTGTAGATAATTTTTTACGAAAGCCATATTCAGACGGACTTTCACTTGAAAACAAGCTAAGAAAGTTAATTTTCTTTATAAGAAATGTAGCATTATTGCTTTTGAAAAGGCACAGTCTTATTATCTACTAGATGGAGCTATAATCTACATACAGGCGAGAAATAAATAATCTTGGTTTGTCGCTATTTTCATTAAATCTTTTAACATGTCCTTTAAAGAGTCAATTTTGTTAAATCAGCTTTGTTAGTTAGTTTAAATAATAATTTTTATTTTATTGTCCTTCACAAGTTTAACTAAAATCCACATCATTAGAGTAATGGGTATTGTATTTTTAAGGGGTCATTGACTGATTGAGACTGAAAATGTATAGTATTCGGATAAGATAACAGACTTTGATTATAACATACAAACATCTACTTTAAATGTATACTAATCTATAGGTTTTTACATTCTACAAAGTATACTACTATACGACGTTTTAGCGTAACGTACTATAACGCTCGATATCTATTAGATTACACAAAGAAATTGTATAAGAAATATTTTACAATATGAAATATAATGGATTTTTGTGCATTATTGAATATATAGAACATACTACATTGGGATAAATAATACATCATATTCATATCTTTTTCTATAAATTCATTAACAATTACACAAGTTACGTAATAAAAAAATCTGATGCTATGTATTAATCGCTTTACTAATTACACTTTTCGTTATATGTAGAGGTTAAAAGGCTGTTGGCGAAATATCGGCGAAATATTAATCAGTAAAGCTAGGAGCTTTATCATTGATATTTACTATCCTTGGATAGTTTTTTATGAGTCTATTTCTAAGAAAATATAGCAAACATTTGAAACAATGTCCTATAAAAATGTATCTTTAATTTTTTCAATATTATAGATAGTACTTGAAAAAATAATCAATTAGTGCTGATAACGGAGATATACTGCAATATATATATATATATATTTAATTGGGTTTCTGTTTCATACCTACCAGGTGATATTGACATATTTTCGCGGGATCCCAAATCTTTACAATGAATATTTAAATCGGGATGAACATGAAAAAGATCCCATCCTTCTAGTCTTCTGTCCCTTGGATATTTATCAAGTTTATGAAACTCCATTAAATAAATTCTTTTCCGATGAATTTGCTATTTTAGAGTTTTATAATTAAATAATTAATTAAGAAATTTTTTTGATACGAAAATATTGGATTAAATTTACTTGAATCAAATTGATAAAATCAACGAAACAAAGCATTTTTGAACCTCTTGTAGCTTTTATAGATTAATTTTAAAGTATTATTCGAAAATCATTAATGAGAGTGTACAAACCAATTCCTTTAGCTTTGATCGCATAGTAGTCAAGGTAATCAAATGAAATTCTTCCAAGTATATTTCTCAAATGAATAATTTCTTTTCGTTTTAAACTTCCATCTCTATCCCAATCAAATTCGTTATACAGTTCTCGAAGCTCTAAGATTATTCAACATCGATGAAAATACGAAATAGAAAGAGAAAAATGGAAATTATTCAAAAAATGTGTAATTTGTATAATTAGCGTACTTCTGTAATATCCGTTTGCAGCTGTGCTTATGAAAGTCTCTTTCTTTATTGGATAATGAAAAAAAAGGGATATTTTTTATGCTTGCACAATTATAAACAGTTTATGCGGTACATATAATTATACTTATTGAATAACTATTATATAACCTCTTCATTATTAGTTATGTATTTAGGAAGAAAGAAATGATCTTCTAAACGAGTTAAATTCAATGGTTTACTATCCTGTATATTCTCCAAATGAAGAAAGTCGGTTGAAGTCTTGGCTTTGTTTATCTATAGAAAAAAATTCAATGATTAAGCAGCTTTTCTATTATAAATAATAAATAATTCTCTTTCAAGTTAATTCCAACTTACTATGACAGGTTTGGAATTTTTTATATCAATCTCATCGTCGCAGCCGAAGAGTGCAGCGTCCACAGAATTGAATTTCATTCCCAGACACTTTAAAATGAATTTACTTCATAAATCTTATTGAAAATATGACAGCAAAAATGACATATATTACCAAATTTCGTTTTCTATTCTGACTTGCATTTTCAATAAGCGTAAATAAAGTCTAGAGAGTAAATTAAAAAATATGCGTTTCCTATTAGCTTGAATTACAAGTACGACTCACAACAAACAATAAAGGAAGGAAAGGGAAAAGTCCGCTCAGTTGTACCATATTGAATGGATTAGGATTGAACGTGTGTCCTATTTATAAGTCATTAGAAAAAAAAAGTGATAAAAAAGTTTATATTATACTCGATTAACTTCAAAACAATATGTGAAATGATGAATGTAAGTGCTTTTTTTAGTGTTACTATTGCCATCGAATGTATAAACTACTTACTCTCAATGGACTAGAAGAGAAGATAATACGATTTAATGCTTAGAACCTGGCCCCTTTTCTCCAACTGAGCACTTTCAGGGAAACTTTTCCTATACTCTTCTTAAATGCATACACATAGCTTCAAAAGTTACACCAATTATAATTCTTCCTCTGTTCCTTAAAACTGCAATATGTTATCTTCTTTTAACAATTTTATGTCTGAGTGCATATAACTTATTTATATAGATGTATAAAATACAGATAGCGTTTAAACCGTAGCACCGTTTGAGTTATCGGATGTTTTGAAAAGAGGAAGAAATTTTTTATTCATTAACAACTGTAATTAATTTTAATGATTACTGTATTTTTCTACTTTTTTAATAATGTATAATGGAGATTACTTCTCTACTATTTTTTATACTACGAACACCGGATTTTAATAAAATTGCTAAATGAATTCGCTCTGTAGGATTCGTGCCGGGGTGCAGAGACAGTTTAACTTTCAGATTTAGAGAGCTAGATATACATATTTCTACTTATTCTATTATAGTTTAAAATTTTGTCAAATGTTTTTTATTTTTAAATATGTAAAATGCACAGCTCGTTAGTATTCATATATATATATATATACTTATATATTAAAATATATATATATATGATATACTATTGTACCCAGACATTGAAAAGTTTCACTCAATCACATATCTAATCTAATAATTTATACAGATTTTTGGTAGTCCATAAAAACAGCTCGAAAACATGCTTTCCAACTGCTTGAACGATTTTGCAGACAGGCTGCCGCCTCCGATTCACCAATTAGCTTTGCGCATTCAATGCAAACTGCTTGAGTAATTTTTTCAAATTTACTGTTGTAAGGTGAACTCCAAGCTGAACGTCTATTGAAATAGAAAATACAGGCAAAACTGTTAATAAATAATACATTAAGGTATTTTGAATATAACTAATCTATCTAATGTTTGACAGGAATGGCAAAACTCATTCTACTTTTTAGACAGTTTGTTGTTTGCTAGTTCAAGTTTAAGATAACGATTCTACAAATTAGGAAACATTTATTAAAATAAGTTATTGTCTAATTTTCAATCTAAAGAAGGAAAAAGTTCAAAATTGAATATTCAGTATACAATATATTATAGAATTATGAAGAATAAAAAGAAAATAGAGAGATGGTAATTTTTATGGAAAATACGAGTATGGTCGTAAATTACTTTGAAAAAAGTTGTTCTTTTTCCTTTTATATCAATACTATTTATGTTCTTAAGAATAAATGATCATAGCATTTGTTTACAATTATATTTTATGAGAAATATATTACAAGAGATTTTTACCCATTACGAAAGTATTCTGGTGGTAAGTTCCAAGCGCATTGTAAAAATAGTACAACGAGAATGATGCTCATCAATTTATTCATCTGTAATAATAAAATAATTTTCATTTTAAGTGCGAAAAAATAGAAAAACATTAATAAATCTGAAAAAAGAATTGACCTTTCCTCACTTTTCTGCGTCTCTTCACAAAATGAGCCATTCGGTTAAGTGGCGCTTCCAGCACTCTAGCACCATTATTCAAATGAAGGGGACTAACTAGCTCATTAATATTGTTTCTTATCTATCTACCGTTTGAAGTTACTGAACATATAAAATATGAATATTCTAATTTAATAGATGAATGAATGAATAATTAAATTATAATTTTAAATATTAAACATTTAAAGTAAAAATATAATTTTGATGAGATGAGAAGAGCTTGTTAAAAATAGTTTTAGATAAAGTAGGAAAGTGATTCTACAGGAAGTAAATTTCGAAGGAATTATTGCATTGAATAAAACTAATTTAGCTGGTTGTGAAATTTAAGATACTCAAAGGATATTACAACGACCAGTTAGTACCGGTTAACGTGTTGGATGTCATAATTCGATAAATACTCTGATAAGCTGAACGCTGAGAGGCGGTTTAAGCAAACAGGTTCATGGTGAGATATGAAAGCAATTAGGCAGTTTTGATATATAATTGTTTACGTTAAGCTGCATTGTGATAATAAATTGTACAATTGGTAAAAAAAAGTATTTTGTCAATTTTTAAATTGGAAAAATAGTATTATAAAACTGCTTATGCTTTTTAAACTTTCATTGATTTTACAAATAGAAATAAATTAAATGTTTCCGTAGAGAGAGAGTCTATTTTACAACGTCAAAGAAAAGTGTTTATTTGAAAATTATCAACGTTTTCTTAAACTAGAGTTATTATCAGTATTCATTAACAGGTAGAAGTTTGTATCCTTTATCTGTTTACAGAGTTTTAGTTGATGTAATAATAAGATATTTTGTAGCCTATTCAAAGATCACAGTACTACCTTAAATAAACAAATATACTTCATGAGTGCACATTTAGCTATTTTTAAATTTTATATCAAATTCATACACCTGCCATATCTATACATTCCCATAGAAGTTGGGAAAACATTTCCTGTAAAATTGTAATAGACTAATTTTGCCTATTTACTAGTAAACTATATTAATACGCAATACTGTGTGAGAAAAATATCAGTTTTCTCGTTATTGGTAAACTTTATGAAAATAGGTCTTTTCCTATTAAACTTCCGGTTGTAGGGGGCGGAGAAAATTTCCCTTTCTCCCTTTTTGGTCTTATCCCCCAGTAATATATTTTTTTGGTAAAAATCTACTTGGTTTTCTATATTTGTCACTCTTTGCAAATATGTAAGATTGCACCAAAGTAAAACGCAAATAATTCTTAAAGTACATAACGGTGGAAAGTAAACTAAAAATCGCTAAAAGATGGCGCCACAACGTTTCTTGAAAAACCATATCCTTGAATGAATTGATAATATCTCATTATAAATTGAATATTTTCTATCCTATAAACAATACTAGTAAAATTTCAAGTAATCTAGTAATAACGTTAAATCATTATTAATGTAATAGTTGGTATAGTTAATTGATTTTAATGTAACATATTTACTATTCTCAGCGTTTTGCTAAAAGTATGACTCTTTCTAAAGAAGAGAATAGAAAGGAAAGGAAATATATAATTTCACCTACAGCCAGAGAATGTTTAAAAGCTATATATTAATATTTACTTAACAAAATTATGAACGACTACTTTCATTTCACGCATGTAGATTTCAGCTATATAGATTAACTCTTTTTTTTAAATAATCATCGTAACAATAATGTAAACTGACATTTAAGTTGTAAATATTTTGTTTCTCTTACATTGCCTCTTTAGTCGAAACAGGAAATGCTTATAAAAGTATTAGTTTCATATTTATTTTAAGGTTTAACTGAGAACTCCTTTAACGAGATAGGCCGCAAGATCAAACAAAATAGTTTTTCGGATATTCAACGACAGCCATTATTCCATTGTAGTTCGCTCTAGAAATTGAAAAATGATTCGGAAATTTGGAAAAATGACTAGAAGATTTGTAAAACTTTTTGTATTATTAATTTGTATTCAACTTATTTGCTATTATATTTATAAACGACTGAACCGTCCTACTGCAACAATTAAAGTTGAAAAAACATACGAAACAACTGAAATACCATTAACTGCAGTGTTTCCATCAAAACTTGACAAATTTTTGATGTACTATGAAGATATTTGTGAAAGAGACTATCGTAGCCGGACTGTTAGGATAAATCACTCATTGCCAGTATGCGATTGCCTACCAAAAACATTAAGTTGTATTCAATCTTAAATTGAATGGAAAAATATAATTAATGTAAAAATAATACTTTTCTATAAACAGAGGGAAAATTAGTTGTAAATACGACTTATACTCCATCTTGGGAAGAGATAGAGGAATCTTTTAAAGGTATTTTAAATGAAAGAGGAGAATTTAAACCCAGATCTTGCACTCCATTTCAAAAGGTTGCAATTATTGTTCCTTATCGAGATAGGGAAAGACATTTAAAAATATTTATGAATTATATTCACCCAATTCTCCAATCCCAACTTGTACAATACAGAATATTTGTAATTGAACAAAATCAACCTAGAATATTTAATAAAGCTACATTAATGAACATTGGTTTTATAGAAGCTAAGAAATTATTTAATTATGATTGTATTATATTTCACGATGTCGATATGTTATCCGAAGATGATCGAAACATGTACAATTGTATTTTGGCTCCGAGACATATTGGTTCGTACGTGAATAAATTCAGATATAAAATATTATATTCAGGTTTAATTGGGGGCAGTCTGGCTTTCTTTCCACATCAATTTGAGTCAATTAATGGATATTCTACAGCCTTTTACGGTTGGGGAGGAGAAGATGATGACATGAAGAACAGGTAAATTATTATCAATCCGTAAGTTGAGTTCAACAGAAAACTCAATTAACATAAAAATAAGATGGTATTTTTTATCTTTTTGGGTAAAAAGCACATGTCTTAATTGGACCTGCTTCATTGTTTCTTTTTGTCTTTGTTTGCCTTTTCAGATTGATAAATAAGAAAATGTTTATTAGTCGATTTCCTCAGGAAATATCGAAATTTACAATGATAAAGCACAGACGGGATAAAAGAAATCCGGTAAATAAACTCAGGTATAATTAGTGTATAAACTTGTTTAAATATTATGTTAAATAGTTCATTAACTAGCTATTTTTAAAACAGGCATGTTTCTCTACGGATGAAACCCGAGTCTTATGATAGGATTGGGTTAACTTCAACCAAATATAAGGTTATTAAAATAGAGGAAGGACGCATTTTTACAAAAGTGATAGCTAATCTCTGTAGTTATTTAGTTATTTAATTGAAGAAGATTTCTGACTATTGTTAAATATGTTTAGTTGTAGCTAGAGATAACCAATTTCGTGTTGTAAACGGGAGTTGCAAGGAATCACCTAGCTCTTCTGTGACATTTGTTGAAGCAGTAATAGAAGATTGTGCTCTCTCTTGTTATAAAACTCCTAATTGTTTGTCCTTCGAGTATTTCGAAAAAACGAAAGAATGCCGAAAATTTCATACTTATTGTAAAGTAGATTCAAAATTTACAAATCGCACGACTTTCATGAGAATAGAACAATGTAATTATACTGTATAGTAATCATAATTCACTTTACATAATGATTTATTTATGATTTTTCAGTCATTTCACTGGAGGATAAATTTCGAAGATACAAGGGAGATTGTCCATCTCGTGCTTTTGGATCACAACAATTAACACCTCAAGAATGTGGAAGATTATGTTTAAGTGATCCTAGTTGTCTAGCTTTTACTTATAATTTTCATCCAACATCAAATTATCCATGTTCAAGGAAAGCAGAAGTGTGTCCAGAAATTAATTTAAGTGAAAGTTTAACAGTTTTTACTTATGAAAAAAAATCAACTACTAATTATACTTCAAATCGATACAATTATCTAATTAGAAGAGGAGACTGTTTAAAAAATGATTACGGAATGACAATTGCTAATCGTCCACTAGAATATTGTGCCGGTGAGTGTAATTTCGCTAATTTTTTCCTATTTACTTATTGTTTTCTTCTATTAGAACATTGCTATAAAATATGGAATTGCAAGGGATTCGTTTATTTTAGAGAAAAATGTTATATGAAAAGAGTTGTTTGTATAGAAAGTCAACCAAAAGAAGGGGCATATTTTTACATTAAACAAAAGAACAAAGTGGAAAGATAACAGAAAATTAATCAATATTATTGAAGTTTTCTTAGTTTTATAAAGTTAGACAGAAATATGATAGAAATATTGATATTTAATTGTCTTGCTGAAAGAGATGAGTTCGAGAGTGTTATTGACAATTTTTTAAAACTCAATATTACAAGTATCAGTTATAATATTTATTAATTTATTTAATATTAATGTATGTTTAACATCGCTGTTGAACTAGTTTGTAATGAGCAAGAAGAATAACATGGCTTTATTTGTAAAACGATATATGAAAGTTTGTTTAATCTATTTGATTTTCTCAAAATAATTCAAAGGTGCTATAAGATTTTTAATACAAGGTGGCGCATTGTTCAACAGCACTTAATTTATTATCTTATCTTCAATGTTGTACTATACAGTATCACATCTTACGATTTGGATAATTGTGGCTATCGTAAAATTGATTTGTCTGTTAGTTTTTTGTCTGACAAGATAATGGTTTCGGAGTTATATATATACTGTATATATCTATTATACTGTATATTCACTAATCTATAAAATAATGTATATACCTCTTATTCATTCATTTACTGAGACATTAGTATATTAATAAAAATTATTAATTAAAACAAATGGATACTGTATTATCGTCGACATTGCAGAATTGCATTTTGATTGGTCATATAAAAATGTCTTCTATATTAGTTTATTCGGATAATTTCATCCCATAATTTGAGAAATTTAACACTTTCGAGAACAAATGTGAAAAGGTCAACAAATTGATTTTGCATGTTTTAATATTTACCGTACAAATAAAAAATAGAACAGGTTGTTGTATATTGCTTTAATAAATAGTTCAAGACATATTTCAATAAAATAAATATGTTGTGATTGCAGATTGCCTGAAGCAGTTCACCTCTAACGACGAAAAACAGGTTTAATCCTCTAAAAAAACTATTATGAATCGCAGGCAAATTTTTGGATTACCTAAATTAATCGCTCAGTTCGGATTAATTGCATTTATCTTTCGTCTCTTTACCTGGAAGTATTGTGGAACTTCTGTGAATGTAGATCAACGAGTACGCATTCTTGAAAGGTATATTGATCAAAATGAGAAGTCAATAAGCGAGTTTATGAAGAAATATGAGTGGGAGTGCGAACTTAAATATCACTCTCTAAGATTTCATAAGAAGGAGCAAAGACTGTGTAATTGTGTCCCAGACACAATAGGTGAGAATTAACGATACATGCGATTTTCTATAGATTTATTTACGCGTCCTTTTCAAGTTAAGAAACTTCTCATTAACGACACCGCTAGTTATTCTTGGAAAGCATTGGAGAAAAAATATAAAAATGTCATTTTACATGGAGGAAGATTTATTCCGAAAAATTGCAAACCATTCCAGAGAGTAGCATTTGTAGTTCCTTTTAGGGATAGAGATAAACATCTTAGAATGTTTCTGAATCATATGCATTCTGTTTTGCCTAGTCAAGAGATAGAATATAGATTTTTTGTAATTGAGCAAGATCAGCCTCAGATATTTAATAAGGGAACACTTATGAATATAGGATATTTAGAAATTTCAAAATTATATACTTTCGACTGTATAATATTTCATGATGTTGATCTACTAGTTGAAGATGGTCGTAATATATACAATTGTTATAAATCACCTAGGCATATCGGAAGTCATGTTGATAAATACGGATATAAAGTGTTTTATGGTGGATTAGTTGGAGGAGCAATTTCTTTTACTCCTCTGCAATTTAAAATTGTAAATGGATATTCAACAGGCTTTTATGGATGGGGAGGAGAAGATGACGATATGCAAAATAGGTAGTTTTCATTGAATAGCATACAGTCGCGATATTAAGTAATTATAAGAAGAGTAAAAATGTCTAAAAATCAAAATATTTCGATATACGAATAAAGTGTATGGTTGTGAATATTTTTTTCTATAGGATAGATGACTTGTGAAACATGATGGAAAATATCAGATAAATATCTATATTTTAAGAATCAATTTATCTTTCTTTTTTACCATACTATGAATTTAGACAGCTATTAAGAAATTATAACATCATCATTATGACCTCATAAGTATGAGTAGTATCATTGAAAAAAAATTTGGTCTACAAATATTGTTCCCTTGAACTTACAACATACAATTCTTTTGGAAATATTAAAAAATGCATCAGCTATCTTTAGAAATCTGCAAAGATATCCTGTTCCACTTAAGCAGGCCAAAATTGACCATTCAAGGCATAACAGCAAAATTTAATTGCAGCCCAGTTACAGTGCAGAATATAAAGAATCAGTTCAAGCAATTTAGAACAATAAATGACCTGCATATGTCTGGTAGACCACATAAAATCGCCAGGAGAAATTTGAAAGAGCTGTGGGAAATTTTTGAGAAGGAATTTTTCAAAATATCAAATTTTGAGATACAGGGATTGTATGCCTCTATTGAAAGGAGGCTAAATGCAGTAAGAAAGGCAAAAGGCATACATACCAAGTATTAAATTTGAAAATTTTATCATTTACAATCATTTGCCTATCTAAAAATGTATAAGTAAAATAAAAAAAGTACTTTTGATGGACCTGATTGATTTGTTATAATTACTTAATAGCGGTCTAAATTCATAGTATTGTAAAAAAAAGAATGAAAAACTGATGATTAAAATATAGATATTTTAAAAAATTTTGCCTAAGTCATCTCTCTTACAGAAAAAATTATTCCTAACCATAAACTTCATTTGTAAATCAAGATATTTGGAATTTTAGATATTTTTACTCTTGTTATAATTACTTAATATCGCGACTGTATAATTATAAAATAGAAAACTTTTCCTTTCAGAATACGTAGTGCAAACTATTCAATATCACGCTTTCCAGCTGAAATAGCACGGTATACGATGATAAAACACGAGAGAGATAGGAGAAATCCATTTAATAAATATAGGTATAACAATTTTTCTGAAGTCATTATAACTCACATATCTATATATCTATATATGTACTAATTAGTAATTAAAAAATAGATCAATTGTTTGGCAAATTGTAGTCTAAAATTTGAAAGATTTGTTTACTTTTTAGATTGTAATTTATCTATTTGCTTTTTATTTTCAATTAAACTGTGCTAATTAAAACAGACATTTATCTCTGAGATTTCGGCCTGATGTTTATAAGAGAATAGGCGTAACCTCTACAAAGTATCAAGTATTACGTATAATTGAAAAAAAGCTATACACTAAAATTTATGCCAATCTATGTGAGTTTTCCTTTAAGTTTGTTTTCTTTGAATTCGGTATTAATAACATCTTTTTACCTTTTAGTTGTTGCTCAAGAAAACGAATATCGCAAAGTTAAAGCAATGTGCCTGAATAATCAGCTCGATAATAGAATTGTTTACTTAAATACAACGGAAGACTGCGCCATTGAATGCTATAAAGATGGATTGTGCACTTCGTTCATGTTCAAGGATAAGTGTATAATTTATTATCAACTATGCAAGAAACTCACTTTTGCTGAAAATACTTTCATATATGAAAAGAAAGATAAGTGTAAGAAACGATACAGCAGTTTTATACAAGCTAATATTCCTTTTTTAAAATCCATTGTAGTATCAACGATTGATAAGGAATATCATAAATATGAAGGAGAGTGTACACTGAAAACATTTGGCTATCAGCAAATGAATCCTCAAGAATGCGCTAGACTCTGCTCTAATGATATAAATTGTCTAGGATTTTCATATAACTTTAACCCAAAATCTGATTATCCATGCTTCAGGAAAGCAAGTTTGTGCACAGTAGCCAATATAGTTCTACGAAAAAACGATGTATTTCGTACCTACGTGAAAAAATTTATGAATATTTATAAAAGTGCTAAAGGTCAAAAATTTCGAATCAGGAGAGGCGATTGTCCAGAAGGAAATATTGGCGATAGAGTTTATCCAAGCCCTTCAATCGATGAGTGTTGTGGTATTATCATAAAATATCTTTTAAATTATTATAGCATTTAATTTGACTTTCTTTTCCTAATTTTGACAGACAAATGTTCACAAACAGCCAACTGCAAAGGCTTCGTTTTATACAATAACAAATGCTATATGAAGAATATTGAATGCTTGAATCTAAATCCATTAGATGGAGCTGTATTTTATGTTCTTGAATAGAGATATATTGCGAATTTTTTCAGTTCAGTTTTCTGCCTCCTTTTATTTGAAAGGAAATTGTTAAAATATTTAATTACACGAGGATAGATAGAGTGTTTAATCCTTCAAATTCTTTTGCCAATTACTATTTGAATTTTACTATTTTCTCATATTCTTATCATATTAATAGAAAATTATTATTTGTTACAAACTGTCCTGTTTATAATTCAAAAATGGCGAATTCGTCTAAAACTAGATGAAAAAGAAATCTGTTCACAATTCTCAGCGTTCATATCAAAAAAACAGTTTTAAAATATTTAATTTTGTCAAAAGATTTTTAAAGAAGAAAAAACTATGAACGAAAATAAACGATTACGTTAGATAGAGCTATGTTTAATATATGTGTGCAAAATTCAACCTGTGATCATTATTAACCAGTACAATGAGTCTTTTAAATGTTTGTTTGCGTGTGGCAAACATAAATTTCGAAGAAAAAGGAAAAGCTAAAAGATTTTTGAAATTGTTGATTAGTTGCTATGGAAAAAAAACAATAAGTCTTTTCTACAGTTTCATAGTTTTATAAATAATTTTACAATTTCTAAAGATATAGTGAATAAATATTTCATCAACATACTAATAATTCTATTTTCTTATTTATCATTGAATCAGCTATGTTTCTTTGCTCAATATATTTAAGTTTATACAAGTTGTTAAAAGGGATTGATAATGACCTTATTAGAAGAAACTACTAGATAAACTATTATGCTGTTGTAAACTAGTCAAATATAATTGAATTTTTATATAACGTATCCAAAGTATTCTCTTACTATATTTTTCTAGTCATTCTTTATTTTTAACTAACTTTTAATTTCTATTATTATTTCACTCTTAACTAAAGTCGTATTAATTATTTAAATATTCAAATATAAGCGACTTTATATCTGTTTACCATTCGTTGCAACTAAACTTAAAAATACATTCAACTATATATTCCTATTTATAAATAATCTTCTATTAAAAACAAAAGAAAAAGCCCACCTATTCCCTTTAGAAATTTCAATGGGACTTATAATCATTTAAACGTTGATGAACAAAGCAGTAATGCTTTTCTTGTTTTGCATTGAAGTTTTTTGGATTAGTTCTTTATGCAACGAATGAAATATTTATGTTATAAAATACTTCCTCAGCTAAAATACTCTTGCTTTGTTTTACCTTACTGAATAAGGTTTTTATTATTCACTTTTTGTCTTTTTTTGCTATGTTTTCATCGAATTGATACTTGTTTTCACCTTTTGACAAATGAAAGATATCATTACAAACGAGCATAGATTTTCTATTGTTACTAGACATTGAAAGCCAAATCGATGTATTCTGTATAGTTTAAATAGAATTTACTTATAAGTTAAAGTAAATTGACCACCTTATTGTAATTTATTTTTATAATCTGTATTTTATATGAAGATATGATGACGTAGATTGAAGATAAGGTTCATTTAAATTATTGTTGCACATATTGTCCTATTTAACTTTTATATAATACTTCAAAAAGGGAGATGCATAGGGTGAAATTTTTAGGGGAAACTCATTCTTATACTTTTTTTTATTACCAAAATTAACCTAAATATAAAAGGTTTATTATGTTTTTTACTAAATTCTAATAGCTTGAATAGTAATGAAGATTCAATTTACATATTTCACTTGTGTTTTATGAGTCAATTGGGAATGAGAGTCATATGATTGTTAAATATACCCGTAAAATTTGTTTTAATATTTTTTTGTGTCAATATTGTCTCAAGATATTTATTATCTATGTCTAAAGAAATATTTTAGTCGAATATATGATTAACTTAAACAGAATTGAGTCTTAAGACGTAGAAAACTTAAGGTTAAAATTTTTAGAAAAAGTTTTTCATCAATAGAAAAATGATTACTGCTTTACTTAGATTAGTGCTTGCATTTCTTGAAGCAGAATCGGTGGTTGTAGTTTTAGAGCATTTCTCCTCGAAAGGCTTGTAGAGAGATTTTGGAAGTGATAATGTTATCGGCTGTGGATCAATCTGTAAAAAATTTGTAGTTTAAATTTTAAGTACTATTATATATTGTTTATGATTTAAATCTCACTTTATAATCAATTCCGTGCCCGGCGCAGGATACTCTAACTGTATTCGTTTCGACGAGGATTTGATACTTGTTTCGTTTGGATTTATCAGACCAGTCAACCTCTTCTTTACCCCATTTATTTATTTGTCCCAATATTCCAGGATCAGGCATAGTTTCACATCTTGAAATTGACAATCTTGGATAATACATTACAAAAGCCAAACACATTTCCTCTTTACTTGAAAGGCCACCCTTCACAAAAGAGAAATAAATGATATACTATGGTACATAGTTACAAAAACAATGACATACCAGGACTGGTTTTTCTTCATCAAGAGTATTGTAAATACACTCCAGCATTAGTCTATCTCCCTTTTTAAACTTTTTAATCTTTTTGAAAGGACGATATTCTTGTAAATTGAAGTCATACGTTTTGTCTTCCACCAAAGGCTTTAGTTCTATGTCATCTCGGAAATGTCTGACTTTCAATGCTACTCCTTTTAAATGAGAATGAAGGAGAATAGCAAATATATTAATTTCCTCCAAATTATCTTTTTCAAAAGCCTATTCCACAAGTATTATTATTTAATACATGTACTTAATGGATACTAATACATACCTGACTTGAGCATTGCTCAGGACAATAACCGACTGTTTTAAATTTTTTTTCATGAGGAGGAACAACTTGGAATGGTGTAACGATATGACCCATCTGCATAATATTAAAATCATATTTTCTAAGATCTTTCGTAACCCAAAGTCTTAAGCCAGAAGAGTCAACAATATCTTTTCTATAACCAGGATTATCGTAATGTGTTTCCATTTTTACATAAACAGGGTCGTTATCTCCACCGAGAGGAAATCCTACATTTTCAGGATAAAAGTCAATCTGAAATGTAATGTCTTTAAGTAAAATTTAAAACTAATATTAAGCAAACCTCTCCACCAACAGCCCAAGCAAACATCACAGTTCTACAACTTGTTGTCGGAGGGCCCATATTTATTTCATAATCAAAACAGTCCCAAGATGTTCCAACATGTTCGTCTTTCAGTTTACTTGTTTCACAGCCGTAGATGATTATGTGATGTAATACGTCTATATTCTTTTTGTCAATAATTGCTTCCGCCTGAATTTATCATCATTAGGCATAAGATTCTTTTAAAAATAATTAACATAAAAGTCTTACGGCTATAACATGATGTTTCTGTTTAAGCGGTGGTATTTTAAACACTTCGCAATAGTAGCTAGTATCTTTAGTAATGGGCATTGTATACTGTTAATAAAGAAATTAATGAAATTAAGTTACTTATTAAAAATTATTAACTACATTAGAATTTAATATGTCAACAGGGAATGCATTTTTTAGAAATTCTTCCCGATTTTTTGGTTTGGGTGTGGCTATCAATTGGAGACTCTTTGTTCCTTTGTTATATACTCCGTGATAAGCTGGTGAACCATCTTTAGGATCTTCAATGTTATATGACCAAATTAATCTGGTTGTTTCATCCTGAAAATTTGTTTTTCTTATATTACACTATTACGACAATATGAAATAATACATTTATGTCCCTGTCTTGAGGATCGCAGGTGCGTAAATTTCTTTCGAATTTCAAAATAGTATAATGTTCTTTTTCTTGACCAGATAATAACCTCCAATCCTGGCTTTTGTCAAGTCGTGGCTCCGAATTTCCAACAGCATGCCTATCCTAATAACCGTGCACAGATAAATAATACTATTTTATTATATGATAATATAGCTTAACGTTTAATATAGAATTTACCTCAAAGGAGACTTTTCCTGCTTTCACCCAGCCAATAACAACATCGCTATCTTTCATACCTCCATTAGGCGATAGACCAAATCCAACCCAACCCTTAGTTTTAACCATAATCTCAAAAGTAATCTTTTTATCGTCGTATTTCCAGAATAATTTGTAAACATCAGGAGCTTTCAATACAATTTCATGATTGAAAATTTCAGATGGTCTTGGAAATTCTAAAATAACATATGGTGGTAGAGCTGGTGTTGGAGCTTGGGTTGTCTCCGGTGTAGGACATGTATCATTTTTTTCGTAGATTTGTTTAGCTTCTTGAAATTTGTAGCTCCAAATCTTAATCTAAGGACATAAAATTTGTACAAATAGTTTGATAGTTTTGAAAATGTCATTACTGTTTGATTTTTGATTACGCAAGCAGCAGTAACTTCCGGTAACTTTACTACCGATTGAAAAGCATCTCTAATATTACGATTCTTCCAATCTACATCCTCAAAATCTAAATCTCTTTTAAAGAACGCAAGTACTTTACGCTTAGGTTCCGTTAAACATATTGATAAAGAAGATTTGGGATAATATAGGATAAAAGCAAGACACATTTCATCTCTGGTTCTTAATCCTCCCTAAAACATATAAAAGAATGTTCAAACTGAATTTGCTCTAATCATCAAAATAAGAAACATACGTAAACAGGTTTAGTTTCCGATAGAGTATTGTATGTACACTCAACTGTAAGTTGATCTCCCTTTTAATAGAATATAATAAGTTATTCTTTATCTGTATAATTGACTAAATCAAATTGTTTACATTCGAAACTCACCTTTTTAATCTTACGAATTTGTTTTAAATTTCTTATCTCTTGAAAATTGAAGTCATAACTATCATCATAAGCCATTGGCTCCAATTCTATATCATTTCTAAAATGTCTAATTTTTATCCCGACGCCTTTTAAGTGAGAGTGTAAAAATACTGCAAATACATTAACTTCTTCCAAATTGTCCTTAGTAAATGCCTATTTTTTAAAAAGATATTAAAAATTCTATGATAAGAGAGTAATAAATTTACTTCTGTAATGCATTCTTTGGGACAATGGCCAACGGACACAAAATTTTCTGCATATGGAGGTATAATTTGACTATGTTTAACAATATGCCCTGCTTCAATGATGTTAGAATCGTATTTTCTCAATTTTTTCGTTACCCATAACCTTATTCCAGAACTATCAACAATACCAGAGCGTAACTTTGGGTTATCATAGTGCACTTCCAATTGCACATAATTTTTAGCCTGATCGTTGCTTATTGGAAACCCAACTTCATCAGGAAAGTAAAATTCCTTTATTGATGAAGAAAAGAAGTTTTAAAACCTATTTGAAAGTGTTTAGTTTGTTTATGTACCTGACCACCAACAGCCCATCCAGTTATTATATTTGAACATTTTTGTTTCTTTATTCTCTCGTCGTCTTCGTAACAGTTATAAGCTTCTCCAACATCTTCATCAGTAAGAGCATCTGCATTGCAACCAGAGAGAATAAAATGATGAACATAATCTTCATTTCCCTTTTGAATTATAGGCTCCATCTATTTTTTTAACATTAGTTAATGCAGTTTATTTTTGAAGAAGATATTTAATATCATATAATACCATAATAATATGATGTTTTTCTGTGCTATTAAGCATACTGAATATAGCACATTTATATTGAGTATCGCTATAATTTGGTATGTTGTTCTAAATAAAAAAAAATACTAATTAATGATATGCAGTCTAATATTAACTACTAACTTTATTCATAACGATTTCGATGGGAAAAGCATCTTTTAATATCTCTTGTCTATTTTTCACAGGGGCTGTAGATATCAATTGAGTGCTATGAACTCCTCTATTAGATGCGCCATGGTATGTAGGTGTGTCAGACTCTGGATCATTGTCATTATAAGACCAGATCAGTCTTGATGTGCCTTCCTTAAAAAAGAAACATTGGAAATCTTAAATAGGTTTATTTAATACATAGTTTAGAACAGATGTGTTTTAAATATTACAGTCTTTAAATGAAATTATTAAAAATACCAAAAGAACTTTGTTTAAATAGCGAACAAAATTAGAATACAACAAACCGTAATAGTTCGGTCTTCTAGGTCACAGTTTTTTTGCAATCTTGTAAATTTAAAAACAGTATATTCTGGGGTCTCTTTTCCCATAAGCAACGTCCAATCTTGACTTTTATCGATTACAGGAACTGTATTTCCTGTTGCATGTCTATCCTAGAATGCATACTAATTAATTACTATTATTTATCAATTTGAATTAGAAGTATTAACTGACTGTAAAGCTAGTTTTGCCATCCTTTACCCATCCAATTACAATATCGGATCCTCGCATTCCTCCGTTAGGTGAGATTCCAAAACCAATCCAACCTTTAGTTTTTACTTGAACCTCGAAAGTAATGTGTGTCTCATTATACTTCCAGAAAACTTTATAAATATCTGGTGCTTTTAATATCAAGGAATGAGTAAAATCTTCAGACACTGCTGGAAAAGAGGTTGCCAATTGTAGCAAACTGCAAAATATTATAGTTTTAATAATCATTTTGAGAGCTGGAGTTCAGGTGGAGCTAAGACTGTCCTTTGGTTTGAAGTGGTTTGCGTTTTATTTAAGGTGTATGACTAATATGGACATTGATATGCAAAAGAGCTATTGTTAGGGTCCTGAAAGTAGTTCACATGACGATTCGTCAGTGATTTATAAGAAAGTTTATATTTATATACTACTATATATAAAAATGATATGATACAAGCTATCTTTACAAATAAACTTTTTCATAAAACGAAATTTATCAAATTGTACGATGTTTATTTGAATAAACAACTTAAAGGGGATCGTTGCTGGGGAAAGAGGCCGGGATTAATAATATTCATACAAAACGATAACTGAATCAACAGTAAAGGTTTTCCGAAAGGATGAATTACAGTATTAGAATCTGTAAATGTTTATTTGTAATATTCTGCTATAAAACGCATTATACCCCATAATTAAATATCCTATCTTTAGATGGCTGAGTATACCCTACAAAAGCATTTCAGCTATCTTGAACAATTAAGAAAGAAACATAAAAGTCACATCGAAATGTATCAACCTCTCCTATACAAGTATGATATTTATTAAAACTTTATATAAGAAACTTAATAACTTTTAAAAAAAGGTATACAAATGAAGCAATTTAATTCTTAAATTGAAGAATACGTCTAGAAAAAATTTTGCTTAAGCTATATTTGTTTTAGCAATGAATTTCGATCTGGTTCAAGTAAACTCTTAGAAACAGAGAACCACTCTCACAATAAGTATTGGTAGGATTGTTTGGTGAGAAATTTAGCACACACCTTTTCATCAAAAAATCGTATGAGAAAGCACTACAATTATTGTTACAAGCATTATAACAGTTGTTAAAATTCGTATTATTTAATATAGTATTTGTGATTAAAAGATTCAAAGTTTTTTCAACGATAACCTTGAAATAATATGATTGAGAAGTTTGAGAAGTTGTCGTAATTTCTTCAGTTGTGCCCCGTTCTGTTGTTATTTCTTCCGGAGTCGTTGTCTCTAATACTGTTGTTGTTTCTTCTAGAGTTGTTGTCTCTATTACCGATGTTGTATCCAGGGCTTTTGTTGTTTCTTCTGGAGTTGTTGTCTCTAATACTGTTGTTGTTTCCTCTGGAGTTGTTGTCTCTAATATTGTTGTTGTTTCTATCGGAGTATTGAAATCAAAGAACTCAATTTCTCTAAAAGTTATTTCGAGCGAGTTTGCAGAAGAGATTTTCACTGTCTCAAAACCTTCATCAGTACAATCCATTCCATACCAGAAGTATTTTTTTGAAGTATATATTGAATAAGTTATAGTACAAACTGTAAGAGTGTGAGACATTTCTGCCTTAATTGACCTCTTTTGATATGAGTCAGCATAAGCAAAAAACATCATCAAGTCAAAGCGATACTTGTTTGAAGGAAATCTCACTTGTATATAATCAGAATTGCTGTTCCTTATTGGAAAGAACCGCCCATCTTCTTGTATATACAATTTGTCATCCTTGAGACAGCTTTGATAAGTATTATCTTGATCAACAAAAGTGCCGAAGTATTTAATTTTCTTAATAGAATCTAATCTGCTTTTTTCCCAGAATATTGAAACAGTTTTAGGACTTGGTATAGCTAAATAGTATAGAGTTGAATCTAAGTGATTCCATGCTATAGCTTTATCAGAAAATGTTGTATAAATCCAACTATATATATTATTGTTAGTAACTTCAGTTGAAAAGATAAATACTATTCCTTTCGTGTTATAAAAATTTAATGAAGTTAATTTTGCTTTGCAGGAAAGTAAATTGGTCATTGAGTATGTTCGAATAAGTAAAACTGTTGCAAATTGTATACTATCTTCAGTTGCAATATAACAACTTGAATACAAAATAACAGATACAAAATTTCCTTTTATCTTTAAATGAAAAAGCAAATAAGGAGTTAAGATAGTTTATAACACTATTGAATTTATTAATACTTACATCGAACCATAATTTGTGGTCTGCTTGTTCAGTTTTTAGAGAAAATGTCGAATTATCGTTAAGTAAGTCCATATGAATTATATTTGTAGCTGAAGATACATAAGGTTTCTCAATAGTTGAAAAGGTTATGAGAGAAAAAGTTAATTTTATTATTAGTGTAACTGTAATCATTGTAACACACAAATATATCAGGTTTAGTAGTACACTTTCCAACTCAAAGAGATTGACTGAGTAGGCGACGAAGTTTTATAGACCTTTTAGTACTTGTTTGTAACTATTAACAATCCTCATTTCAGCGAATGAATTATTACGTAGATTGAGTTCATTGTTTCAATCAATTAAGTAGAAAGCCATATGCAAAGTAGCTATATATGAATAATTGTCATACTTCAACATATTCAACTTAAAAGTTAAAATTCTAAATTAGTAAAAAATTATCTACTATACAACTATAGTTATATTAGATCTTTGTTTTTTTTTTACTATCTAAAATACTTATTACCTAGCTTGTCGTAAGCACTAGCATTTCTATAAATTCTCTTGTTTACACAGTAGTTAATTATTAAGAGATGAAATAATATTTTTTATGGAATAAAGTCAAGTTATGACATCACTAATACATATAGATATTTTCTAAACCTATTCAAATCTTTTTATGCTCAATAAATATATACATTGCTTACCTACAAAGTATATATACTGTATATTTACCATTTAATTTGAGGAATTTATTGAATTTTATGCTATTTATATGTGATTATCCTGGAAATCAGAAAGGTTCAGGTCTTAATAATACAGAGAAATGTAATAATTATTGATTTTAATAAAAATATATTTTCCTTTCATTTATGGTTTTTCTCTTTCACAGTAGAAATACTATTTTCTGCTGTGGTTAATATTAATTTTAAAATTATCCAAATTATAGGCTTAATTTGCTTTTAATTGCTTAAGTACAATTATTTTAAAGAAAGGAGAGGAATCATTATTGATATTATATTTTTAGCATAAAGGTTTTTTACATAATAATATTCTCTTTTTCAACGTTGAATATAATTATTCAAGAAATGAACAATTTAAAGTGATTCTTAATGTCTCATCTTACATGAATATGCTATATAATATAATAGTTTTAAAAATAGCTACCAATCAATTTTAAGTAATTATAGGTCTGCCTTGGAAAGTATAAAATAAGTTATAAATTATTACTAACCAATTGAATTGTAGATTTGAAAAGACTTACTTCATAAATAATAATTAGTTGTAAATAAATGAATTCCTTATTTACTAAATAAATTGTTCGAAAACAAGCGCCGTCTATTTAGTAAAAAAAAATAAATAATTAAATTAATTAGTGATAGTTTAAACAAGATCGTCCTTTGTCTTCTAGTATTTTATACATATACTGTATTTATAATAAACACACTAGCTATAACTTTTAAACAAGGCATTTATTCACAATAGTGTATATATTACTATTTATATAAATATATATATATATATATATATATACTGCATATATAAATTTATACAGTTTGTAAATAATCGATTCAAGTTAAGCCTAGTTTTTCTAATTTTGTTATTGTTGATCAAGTGAAGCTTTTACTGACGACAGAAGCTTAAATTTCTGAAAAGTGCTTTTCTAAAATAAGCGTTTAACATAAAATAAATGATAAAGTTACACGATGCGTTTACAATTAATAACATTTCCTTAACTGTTGAAAATATTTTATAGGCTGTAGCATTGCGATCAACTTGAGCTACTTGAATTATCGACAGCAAGAAATCAGGAGTTTGGCATATTAATAACTTTGATATAACAACGACCATATTTAGAACTATTGTTCTTGAATATTCTGAATTCTTACCGAATACTCTTTGATTATTTCCAACATGTAAATTACAGAAATTTTGGGAATCATGTAATGCTTTTATAAGAAAAATATTACAAATTCCAATAATACATAATGGTAATGCAAATATCAAAGAAAACGTTATTCCCGTATGATAGAGCCAGTAATATAGGGTATCATTCCATCGAGGTACGTCTCTCCTCAGGTGAGCAATATGTATATAAGTTGTATTAGAATTCTGTTTTGCAACTTTAGCATAATAAATTAATCTAGGACAATTCAGAAAGATACAAAAAGTAATTGTAATTGACGATATCTTTAGTACATGTTATAAGTGGATATTTCCAATAATTAGTCTTTAGATACATTAGCTCCAAGATATATTATGGATTCTTTTAGCCTTTTTCCACTTTACTGAAACTTAGATAAAACTTAGATAAATCAATGTCTATATGGCTAAATGAAATTAATTAATTAATCATTGCTTAATACATGTACTAAAAACCTTAATAGCTGTTTTTGATGTACAATAAATAAGAGATTTAAATGGTTTTTCTATAGAAATTCTCCTATCAATTGCTATCACTGCTGTTAACCAAATACCTGACGTCTGCATCATCCACCCCACTGGTAATGAATAAGCTATCAAGAAATCTTCGATCTTTAGGAAAGAAGACAAGCACGATGTCTCCTTTGCAGCTGTTCTGAGAGTTGTATATAATAATGTGAAAATTAGGAAAATAAAATCAACGATGGCCAGTGCTCTTAGATAAATAGAATTGGATCCCGACTGAATAGAATTTCTCAAAACTAATACTATAAATAAATTTCCAATTAATCCAATAACGGATACAACACCATCAACATAAACGTTCATATAAAAAACTACGTCCTGTATCACATCATTGTCTTGATTCGCTGTCATACAATCCCCCATAATAAATCCTGTTGAGAGAAAGATCGAAAGTTTGACAAAAAGTGCAGTAATTACTCATTCCTATTTAGAAATGGGCTAACTTCCCAATATTAGAGTAATAAAGGAAGCATCACCCGAGTGATGCGGCCGAAGTTTAATTTTGTTACAAACTTTTTAATGTTATTACTAGCATGAATATTTATTAAAGACTTGTATCTTTGGGATAATTATTACAAAACTTTTAAAGAAGTCCAAAGACTTTAAATATCATTCTCTCTCTCTCTCTCTCTCTCTCTTTGTCAATCTCTTTTAGTAGCCTAAACAGATTTATTAGCTCAATAAGTGAACAATAATAATGAATGTATTTTAGTATCATTCATGAATATTTTATATGATAATTATACTAAGTGTTCTACTTGAATACGAAAACAATAATTATACAAATTATATTTACTGTGAACATTTATCTATATTTATAAAAATAAAGATTTTAAACAATTTTTCATATACTTCCATTAAAAAGACGTACGATATATTTTTAAGGAAAGAGTATATGCTAGTATTATTATAGTTTTACTTGAAAAATTTATATATACCAGAAAGTTTAAGAGATGCTGTTCGGGAAATATTCCTGTTGAGAATGACAACGAATTACATTTAGAAGATCCTCCCGCTCTATAAAATTTTTCTCTCTTAGCCATTAGAAAATGGACGTCCTAAAACGACAACCGCAAATATAAAATAATACACTTCGAAAGTCTAATTATTAATTGAAAAAATAAAACTCTTATTGATAATATAAAAGGATATCTCGCCCAGAAAATGCACCCTATAAATTTGGTTCTTTCTGAATAAGGCAAGATATAGAGAAAGAAGAGCAGAGGCTTGCAAAGATAAATGTTTACATCTCTTAGTTAATCATATAAACACTTAAGTTTAACTAATTATTATATTGATTATTTTTATTCAATATGTTTTTAATAAAGAACACGAAATAGATTCAAAATACTGAAACAAAAATGGATAAAGAATTGTGCGTATAACACAGCTAAATTATAATTTATTATATAATCTGAGTCTTTATCCGGTCAAAAGAAAGAATGAGAGTGCTGAATAATCATGATATACTTAAAATTTTTTCTTGGAATGCTGGATTATAAGTATAAAATATATATTATACATATCTATTGATTTGTTTCGAAAAAAACCATTGCAAAATTTAGGATTCTCATCTTATCTCATAAATGCGATTATAAAAGCGATCTAAAGGATATTGATATAAATCCTCAAGGCATGATGTATCCAATCTAGGATTACTCTCTAGTAAACTCTAAAGAATATAGGGAAAGCTGGAAAAAGAACGAGAAAGGCGAATTTTACTTTACAACCTATAGTCTCCAGTCGCGTTTTCACTTTTGATTCAAAGAGAAGTATCTTAGGACGACTCACAGATGTATCTACCACTTTTTTATAATGCATTACAAATCAACTACTATTAGTAAACTCTCATTTTTGAATATAATTCCGATATATTCATTTAAATTAATAGCAATTCATATTGGGTTACTGTCAAATTCACGAATTACACACTGTTTCAGTGGAAGGAGAAGTAAACTAGCACACTTCTCTTTGAATCAAAAGTGAAAATACTAAATGATTATGTCGGTGTTTGAATGAAGACGAATGCTTTTGGTTAGATATTTGTAAAGACTTAAGATTAACATCGATATTTTTGTCTAATAAAATAATGATTGCTATCTTCCTCTATCGAGAAAACTGATCAACTATTCAAGAGAGGAGCTATCTGTAGATGTCTTAATAAAAGTCCTATAAAGAAATCTTCCTGATAATATGTAGGCAACTTTCGATATACAATGAAAATTGACAAGTTAGTGGTTGATTAACTTTCCGATAGAGTTTTCATATTTCATTTTTTGTATTTTTTCTATGCTTAGTTATTAAATTTTTATATTCTAATTACTTTTATCTGCAAAATAATTACCATAGAAATCAAACCGAAAATTACCATACTATTCTTCTTTAGTGTTTAGAGTCATATCCCTTTTTAAATACTGTCTTTCCAATTTTCTTCAATTTAGTCAATTGTTGTCGAAATAGTTATTCGTTAAGATAAAATTGCACTCTATAGAAAACTGAAGGATGTTGTTAATGAAAAAAATTAGCTAATTAATTAGTTCAAAGGACAAAAACTCTAGATAATGTTTTAAATTATTATAGCTTGATTATTTAACGATATATTCATATATTCTTTTAAAATTTTTGCTACTTTTAACCAGCCAAATGAAGTCACCTCCAAAAAACAATAAGCTTAACAATTAAGTTTTCCCTTCACAAGCAAAAAGTCAATGCAAAGTAAATAATAAAAGATCTAACAACAAAAATATGCTATTTTAATAAACAAATGACCTTGATTGACTAATTCGTCTTCTAAATATTTAGCAATGATATTTAGCAATAAAGCTGAAATCATATATTAGTTATGATTTTCATACATATAAACAATAAAAATATTGGAAATACTTTTAGCGAACAAGAGCATATTTCCAAAGTTAATATATAGCTAAAAAAAAGGGCGATTTTGTATGTTTTGATCTATATTTTCATTATTCAGACAGGTCGTGTTAATATTTAAAATCATTGAAATTTCCTGATAACTTCAAATTAACTATGGTTAACCAGATTGGAATATTAATAATAATAATATAGTATAGAAAGATTTATAACATTTTGTCATATCGATAACACCATGACTAATTATTTAAAAAAATTACATTTCAACCATTCATAACTAATGAACAAATTTAGATATCGATATATATTAATATTAATAGTCTTTAAAAACATATACAACTGTTATAACAACATAATGTATTAAAAAATAGCAGACAAGTTAATTTATCTAGTAATATTACATTTTTTATGAATGCATGAAAATCTAATAATAGAAGGAGCATTTCAAAATGCTAACAACGAATAATCTCAAAAGAGAGAGATAAATACAGTTTGCTTTCTTATATTAATATAAAATATGATTATTGAGCTAATTTATTATTTTTTAATAAATCATACATTATTGTTTGCTTTTCACAATACAGATTCCAACCTAATATTTCCAAAAGTACTATTTACTATATAATGCATATACTAATACAAAGTAAATTAATCATCTTAATTTGTAAGTTAATTTCTACAAAACTATTGTAAATTATCTTTACATTATTCAAGCTTTTCTAAAAGATTTGGCATAAAATAGATTATAACCTTTATTTACATGTATAGTTAATGTTCTCGTATTTTTCCATTAGCAGAACCAGCCGTTGTTATTATAAGAACTTTTTTAATAGTCTGTAAAAAGCTTTCGATGCAGGTTTTTAAATAGTTATTGTACTTTGGAAATAACTTTTACAGTATTTAAGATTTTCAAAATCTTCTGTATATACATGAAAAATACATATGCCCAATCAATCTATTATATAAATTCAATCGATACGGTATTGTTCAAGTTAAAAAGTATACACGTGCTGTATAATTAAAAAACATTTAATGTATACATCTGTTTCGCATAGAATAATGTAATGATATGTATAAAGGCAAGTTAACTATAAGTCTATCAATATATATATTAACTGATAATGTACTTGTTAGTTTAGATTGAATATGATATCTATAATTTGTAATTACTAAATTAGTTGTTATATTCTTCTAAATTTCATTTGGAATTTGCCAATTTTTATTATAACCTATCTGTTCTGCTACTTTGAACAAATAAATTAAATAATGGCGAATTTAACTTGGATTGAAAGTTTAATGCTTTTTTTAAATACTCAATTACATTTATTATTTTTTAAAATAATAAATCTTTTTGATGATTTAGTTGAAATATGCTTTGGAGTTAGTATGTTTCATGTTTCCCTGGAAACTCTGCCTTACTTTACAAAAGAGTCTGGCAGAGAATTGTTGAAGGAAGGAAAAGAAAACATAACTCTAAGAGGCTTGAAAATTCTTTTAGAGGATGTTAATAAATTCAAAGAATTTTCGGCTACAGGAAAATACTTGTTATTAAGGTTTATAGGGGAAAATTTGAACCAAAGACAAAGATCGATTCATTTGATGGAATATCTTCCAGAAGTGCAAGAAACAAATTTTAAAAGGCCGGTTTTTATATTGTCATTACCAAGGACAGGAAGTACCTTTTTTCATTGTTCACTCCTAAAAGATAAAAGATGGAATTCACCAACCTCGTGGGAATTTCACCAACCTCTGCCACACGTTTATCCTCTACCATCAGAATATGTAAAAAAGGTTCGATCTTTTAATAAATCCCTCAGAAGTATGGAAATTAGATTGGGAGAATCGTTTACCAGATCTCATCATGTAGAAGCTACAAGTCCTGAAGACATCGGTGAAATACTCATTGGAGAAGGTATATGGTGCTATATGGCTGAAGCTTTCAATTTACCAAATTATATGGACTATATCAAAAACTTACCAAAAAAAGATTTCGCCCAAAGCTATAATATCATTAAGAAACGTATACGACTCATGTGTAGATATCAGAATATGGAAAATAGAAGATTTTTACTAATGCTTCATCTAGGTTTAAATACTAATATAGAAGCCCTATTAGAAACATTTCCAGACGCTCAATTTATCATGCTTCATAGAAATTTAACGGAAATAATTCCGTCTGCTACATCGCTGTACAGCTATCTTCAACTAGACTATAAGAAACAAAATTTAGATAATAAACAATTCATATGCGATGGAATAACTGAGAGATATGTTGAAGAACTGGAAAAGATGAAAAGTTGGAGGAATAGTGAAAAATTTCAAGATTGTAACTTTAAAAGAATAATCGATATCAAATTTACAGATCTCATAAAAGATCCAATTCAAGTTTTTAAAAGTTTATACAAAGATTTGGAAATGGAATATACACCAGAATGTAATGAATCATTTTTGAAGCATTTCGAAGAACAAAACAAAATTAAACGAGTAAAACATGTTTATCAAAAAGTTAATGTTGATAAAAAATTGTTAGAGAGATCTAAGGATTATCATCATCAATATGTTTACTGAAATCTGACCAAACTTTTATGGTTTTTTTAATTAATCATTAACAATAGTTAAATAAAAGCACCAAATCTATCATGAATATAGATTAATTACTTCTTTATATATAAAAACATATCAAAAGAATATTTATCTGATTTTTATTTATTTTCTGTAATAGTTCAATATGTTCCCAAAATATATAATAAAGCTGTAGTTTGTTAATCAACTATAAATTTTATATATATATATATTTATATAATTTTGCCAGATTATCTCACATTCAGTAGAATATCGTTCAAAGAATTATTCTCTATAACAATGAAGGATTCATCACAGCTGGATGAATTTTTAAGTGTATATATAAGGATCTTTATAATTAAGATGATATTTTACAAGAATCTTTTAAGAGATATCTTATATTTGCTTTTATATAAATTCTGTGGAATTTGTGTGTATGAAATTTCTTTCGAAAGTTTCTACAAGGAGCTATCTGATCATGGTAAGAATGTGTTAAACGTACCTTTCAGAAGAAAATTGTTCAAGATACTATTTGAAGATTTACGAAATTCCAAGGAACTAAGTTATTCAGGATGGTATAGCATAAAAACAGAATTTCAAAGAGCTATTGAAAATAAAGGAAACATTGAAAAAGCTGTTGAAGATGATCCCACTCTTTTAGATGTAAAGATTAAAGATCCTGTTTTTTTAGTTACATTACCCAGGACTGGCAGTACATTTTTACACACCTTACTAGCAGAAGATAAAAGATGGAAAGCTCCAGAATTCTGGGAAATGACTAAAACCATACCATTTCCTAGAGATCCCTTATCAGAAGATAATAAAGAATATATAAAACAATTGGATAATTCTCTAGATATCAATAAGAAATTTTCAAACTCTAAAGGTTTAATTTCGTCTCATAATATGAAAGCAAGTGATCCAGAAGGTTTCCTTCCCTTTCTTAAAGCTGAGGGAATTTTTGGAATTCTATCAATTATATTAAAATTACCCAAATATACCAAGCAATTACAAAGTTTCTCGCATGATGATTATATAGATATCTACAAAAGCCTTGAAAGAAACTTTAAAGTATTAGGAAGATACCAAAATATTGAAAATAGGCGCTATCTTCTTAATCAGCATTTTGGACCATCAACAAATATTCCAGCTTTGCTAGAGGTATTTCCAGACGCAAAGATAATAACTATTCATAGAGATATCAAGAAGATTGTTCCTTCAATGGCATCTCTATACTCGTATATTGCAATAAAGTATCAAAATTATCGCCTATCTGCTATTCAATTAATATGCGATAATCTAGTTGATAGATATCTGGATACTCTTGATAAAATTGTTCAAGTGAGACAAGAATACTCCACAAAGAAACAATTTGCAAATTCCTTTATTGATATACACTTTAAAGATCTATTAGATAATCCGGAAGAGGTTGTAAAATATATATATAAAAAATCAAATATGAAATATACAAAAGAATGCGAAGAGAAATTTACCGTTTCGATTTATGAAAAGGGTAAACAGAAGCAAAATCCGCACAAGTACGAAAAAATGGTATTAAATGTAGAAAAGATAAGACAAAAATCTTTTAGATACAATAAAAAATTTAATTTAATTGCAAATTAGTATAGAACTTTATTAGAAAATCTCAAAAAAAAGTTAGATTAAAAACAATAAAATATATAACTTTTCATCTTTATTGAATGATTATCGTTTATCTATATTTATAAATTACTAAAATATATTAAATATGTTTCAAATAGTTTTAATCACATATGTTTTAACTTAATAAAAAATGATTACAGATTCTATCTCGTTTTCATTTTCCTCATTTATCTATTTTAGAGGTTGCATAAGCTTGGGAAAAAATTTTCAGCAATGGCTGAACATTTTAAACATATAATTCTATTAATTATTGCCAAATATATTGTATGGCATAAGTATCTTCTTGGTTGTGTTGAATTATTTTTCAAATCAACTCTAGGTATCAAATTTTATAAAGTGTCTTATGAGAACTGGAAATTATCTTTATCTAAAGAGGCTCAAGCTATTCTAAGAAATGAAGATCACGTAAGAAAAGGCTTTCAGGTATTGTTTAGTGATTTACAAAAAAATAGTGAATTAAGCTCCGTTGGATATCGGAACATTTTAAAAGACATGACGAATGGCTTAGAAAATAAAGCCAGCATAAGAACAGCCGTAAAAGCTGATCCTAAGCTAGCAAAAACAAAATTTAAAAGCCCCGTCATAATTTTAACTTTGGCAAGAACTGGCAGCACTTTTATTAATTGTCTGCTGGCTAAAGATAAAAGATGGAAAGCCCCGGAACTATGGGAATTACTCCGTACCACACCGATAAGAGAAGAACCTTTATCTATAGAAAATAAGGCCCTATTGGAAACATATGAAACATCATTTGCAGTCCACAGGTTAGCGTCAAATAAGAATTTATTTAAAATTCATTCTGTTGGACCAACCGATCCGGACGATTTTTTGGCCTTCCTAATAGGTGAAGGACTCTACGTCCAATCTCAAAGAATTCTTAAATTACCTAACTACTCCAAATATATCAACGATCTTTCACACGATACTTTTGTCAAAATTTACAAAAATATTAAATTAAATCTTAGTGTGTTAGCTGCTCATCAAAATATGGAAAACAAGAGATTTTTACTAATTCAACATTTAGGCCCATCCGTAAATGCTTTAGCTATGCTAAATGTTTTTCCAGATGCACAACTAATAACACTTCACAGAGATTTATGTAAAATAATTCCTTCAATGACATCACTGTATTCCTATCTGGGCGAGCATTATTTAAAGCCGCATTACAACAACACCCAAGAAATATGCGATCGTCTAACGGAAAGTTACGTATCATCAATAGAAAAGATGATGAAATGGAGAAACGATCCTCTGATAAAGAAGGCTCCTTTTAAAAGAGTTATTGATATAAATTTTGAGGATTTAGTCAAAGATTCAAAAAAAGTGATTAGAGAATTATATAGAGATATTAAAATGGAATATAACGACGAATGCAATGAAATATTTGAGAATTATATAAATAAGCAGCAAGATCATAAACATGGAATTCACAATTATCAAAAAATGTTATTAGATAAAGAAGCAATTAGACAGAGAACTGAAGACTATGTTAAAAAGTTTCATGTTAAAATATACTAACGAACAAATGTCGTATATCCAATGATACTCTAATTAATATAAAATATTCCACTTTCAATCAGTTGTAATTTATATATGGGTTATCTGTGTTGTGTACTTTATCTATACTGTGTATCATTGCACAGCATATGCTTTGAGTTTATCATTCTATTGTTCCGCTGACTATCGTTGAAACTAATACAATACAAACGAAAATTAATCGGGTATTTTTCAAATTTTCAATAGCTATAAATCAGTATTGAACATTAATTCCATACTGTTAATCAAGGAAGTAGAAGCTCTGCAAGTATAATTTCGCTGGAGATGGCATTTCTGTTGATAAAAATTATTGAAGACAATCTGGGACGTATTTACGACTTATTTGGGTTTAGGCGTTATGAACTTTCGTTTGAAACTATGAATAAATCTTTAAATTCTGATATACAACTGATGACTGAAAGACAAGAACATATCACTCAAGGTTTAACAATCTTGTTGAAAGATCTTGAAAACAATAATAATGTTAGCTCTCACGGAAGGTATATGATAATAAATGAAATAAAGGGTTATCTAATCAGTAAATCAAAAGTTTATAAGGCAATTGATATAGAACCATCTTTAGCCGAGACAAAAATTTTTAGACCAGTATTTATATTGTCACTGCCGAGAACAGGAAGTACATTTCTTCATTGTTTACTATCTCAAGATTCCAGATGGAAAGCCCCAGCTTATTGGGAAATTTTGCAACAAATACCTGTTATAACTGATCCTTTAATGGAAGAGCACAAGAATATTATAAAGACCTTTAATCGTAATACTAATTTTTTGAAAGATATCTGGGGAAGAGAAGATATAGAAAATTCCCATTTGATGGATATAACTGATCCTGAAGATGTAGCAACTCTTCTAGCAGCAGAAGGCTTACACTTTTTACTAAACGATATATTTGAGTTGCCGAATTATAAGAGGTATTTGTCAAACCTACCCTACGATACATGGGTAAAAATATACAAGAATATGAAATTAAGACTGCAGGTCTTATCTAGATATCAAAACATGGAAAATAGACGTCTTATGCTAATGTTTCATCTGGGGTCATATAACAATAAGCTGGCTCTTTTAGATGTCTTTCCCGATGCTCAATTTATATTTCTCCATAGAGATTTATCAAAGATTATTCCTTCGGTAGCATCACTATTCAGCTATATAGCTCGACAATACTACCCGAGGAATAAAGAAGATGTTCAATTGATATGCAATAATTTAACTAAAAGATACATAAGAGAGACGGAAACGATTGATGATTGGCTAAATCACGAAAAATTTCAAAATACGTCTTTTAAAAGGGTTCACCACATTAGTTTTAAAGAATTGGTGGATTTCCCATTAGATACTGTTAAGGCTATATACAATGCAGTAGATATGACGTATACAAATGAATGCGAAGCATTATTTAAAACATACATCGACGAACAAAAACAACACAAAAGGAACAAGCATAAATACCGAAATATGAATATAGACAAAGAGGAAATAGAAGATAAAACTAGAGAGTATTGTAATAAATATTCTATTCAGAAAGGACTATAAGTAATCCTAAAGCGTAAAGAGCTAAAGTACTTTATCACTAAGGAACATGAATATATTATTCGTTTTGATTGAAGAAAGTTCATGACATTTTTCCATTTTCTAATATATTTTAATAATTCTTACTAATATTAAATGTATTTAAATTTTACATTATCGCTTAAATGTCAGTGTTGTAGTACAACTAACTTTATTTCTGCTTGAATCAAAATGTGCAAATCATGGAATATTTCCATTGCTCTACTGATTGTATATGCTTCTTTGTGTTGTAAGTTTTGTTTCATTTCTTTCTTAATAAAGCAAAATTCCAATTTAAAATTTCTCTAAGGGACTACATGTATTAATGACGACGATTGTCTCGAAGTTGGATCGTGCGTTAATGGTGTATGCGTCTGTCCAGAACCGTACAATGGGTTAATGTGTTCCTATGGTACAGATTAGTTTCGAAATAAGTTTCATTTTTAAAAAGCATGAAATATTTTTAGGAAAGACGTTTAAAATCATAAAGAACTCCGCTATAGATATACCTGCAAACACCAGAATAAGGAGATGGCAAGCTAATAGTTATAATGATTGTATAACCCATTGCGTATCTTTGAATGATTGTGTTGGAGCAGGAATACTTTATTATAACCGTTGTTATTTAGTAACTGAAGTTTCTTATGATTTAATTAGCAGCACTAAAAAAGAATTTTTTATTAGAAAAGGCTTGTAACATACTCAAAAATTATGAAAAATCTACAACTCATTTCTTAATTGATAGATAAATTAAAAGGAATATGTGGACGTAATGATTTGGTTTATGAGCATTCAATCGATTGTTTATCATTTTTATGGCAAAAGAGCGACTGTACTGGAAAAGTGCCAACCAGCAGTTTCAACAATTGGAGAAAGCTATCAGTTGCATCCGTCAAAGAAGATATGCTACTATACTATCCGCACTCAACCCATGTTTCTCGGCATACTACATCAAAAAGATATAATAGGATTGAGTGTTTCGGGAATTTAGCTCTAAATGAAAATAACATTGCTTTATATTCCGAAGCAAACTTAGAAACTGCAGGAGTAACTTTAAATTCTCCAGATCGATCCGCCTGGATTATTGACGGAAGTACACTATCAAACATTGAAAGCTGTCTTTATGTTAAAAGTTCCTCGATAATTGTTAAAATTAGTTTACAAAAGGTATTTCTATTGCGTAGTTTGCATATTGTTCATCCTAATATAACAGGTAACTTTTAAATTATGTATAGCTTATTAACATTTTCATTTACCTTAGAACAACAGACATTTAATATCCATGTTGATGCATCCAATAATATATGCATAGAAAATGTGATTCTACCATCAGGAAAAGCTGGAACAAAGGAAATTGTTTGTCAAAATTTGCAAATTATTCCAGGAATGACTGTATTGATTACAGCAAATTCTTATTTGGCCATATGTGAAGTTGAAATATTTACAAGTAAGGAAAACAATAATACTCTGATTGTTGAAATAAATTATTTCTTTCTTTTTCAGACAATTTAGCTTTCATGAAGCCTACATATGTAAAAAATGCATCCCCTCAACACTATTCTACACTAGCTGTCGATCATGATCCAGCTACTTGCCTTAGAAGTGAAATGCCCACAACATCATCAGATTTAGAATTATGGATGGCAATTAATTTATTAAAAACATATGAAGTCTATGGTATTGATATTCTGTTTCCAAAAGATTATCCTGCAAGCTCAGTGAATGTCTACATAACATCTACTAACCCTGTGTTTGATGACACAGTAAAAAGTCATTGTGGAGATCTGCAATCAATTGCTTCTAACGAATACCAAACTCTTTTCTGTTCAAATAAAACGATTGGCCAATTTGTTTTGGTTCATTCTGACAGTATACAATTGGACATTTGTGAAATTGAAATTTTTGGTAAATTTGTCGCAGAATTAGGTAGAACTTCATAAAGTAGTGTTTATACTATATTATAAAAAGTTGCAATATTTCTTCAGATGAGAACAAAATTAATATAGCTTATTTAAAGCCTTTGATATGGTCTGATACAGAAAACGAACATTATAAATCAATTGCTTATGCAACAGATGGCGCCAGCGATATAAATGGTTACGTAATTACTATAAAAGAGTGGCTATCAATTGACTTGATGGTTATGTATACAATCAAGGACATAATAATTAATATTATGACATCTGAGGGTAAATAAAATATGATAAGAACTCAATAAGAAATAGTAATTTTCCTTTGTTCAAGACACCGACAGGGTCACCTTGAATAATCTAGAATTTGATGTAATCATTAGAGATCAAACTATAGAAGGAATATCTAGCGATGAGCTAATCACCAATTGTGCGTCAGTGACCAGACCAATATTTCGTGGGCAATCAGTACCAGTTACTTGTATGAATCCTATGCCAGAGGGTAGATTTGTAATTCTGTATGTAACAGAGGGTATTCTGAGTCTGAACGAAGTAGAAGTATATGGTATAAAAGTAATTAATGCAGAAATGGTGCAAATAAATTTAAAAGATGTTGAAGCATCCACCTCGGAAGATAATATACACCAAAGAAAAGAACAGATTATTGATGGAAAATATGACTTTCTTACAATGAATCAACGTTTATATTGCACGACTTTTCTAGGCGAAGACTATAGTAAAGTTATTGTAAGTTTTGATGGATGGTACTCTGTTCACGAGGTTCTAATCGAATATCCGATGGAATCTGGTACAAATTTGTTAAATTTTCTATTGAATATTAAGATAAAAGTATACATTTTCAACAGCTCTTTATGGCATAGTGATCTCAATACAGGATCATAAACGACCCTTTGAAATGCAAAAATGTTCAATTCACACTGAAAAAGTTCGATTGAGAAAAAAATTATATTCCTATTTTTGTCAACGAAAAGCTTATGGCAATCAGTTAATTGTATATAAAAGAGTTGGTGACAGGAAATTATCAATATGTGAATTAGTCGTTTTAGGACGAGTAATTAATCAATCAGGTAATAAATTTAAGTGTAACATATAGATTTTAATATATTCTTAACTTTTTGTTGATAATTTGTAGAATTATTTCCCATGGAGCCAATTGGAAGACTCATTTTACCTGATTATATTAATACTATTAATTGTGAAGATACGGCTGGTGAATTCTTACTTTCCTTTGGGAAAGAAATTACTCTTGTAGCAATTGCTATAAAAATAAGTTCAAAGGCTCCATTTCATTCAAATATTTCATTTTACGCTATTAATGATAACATAAACGTCCTTTGTGCCTCTCACGAACAATCTACTGGAAACGAAAGTCTTTTGATTGATAGTACTTTTGTGTATTATTGTTCTCTGAAGATAAATATTAAGTACATCAATATCCAATCGGCTGATGACGTAAAATTAAAGATTTGTAGTGTTTACATAATCGCCGAAAAATCTATTAAACACAGTATGTATTGGGAAACACTTGTTCTTATTCTTTTTAAAATAGGTTAACTATCTAAACAAACTATTTCACCTCAGTGAACATGGATGTCATTCACGCTGCAAAAAAGTTCAAAAGAGGATTATCGACAATTCAATCCAATATATTAAACCCAATCGAATGTATAAAGTTTTGCCTAAGGGATGAAGCTTGCAGTAGCATATCATTCTTATTCTCGCATAGAACTTGTTCTACATCAGTCTATAATATAATAGAGTCACATAAAACTATGTTTCTCGACAGTGCACCAGGAAGTATATATTTCTTTTCAAAAAAGACATACTGTACAGACTGTTCAAGTGCAAACTGCTAACAATTACCCGACCTTTAATAATTAATGTTACTTTCTAAATTGTAAGTTTAATAATCAATTTAACCTTGTTCATAATCACAAAGTACTCGGAGGCAGCCAATACATGTTTTTTGTCTATAAATTTATGTTACTATCTGGCGAAAAAAATATATTTTGTAACAAATAAGAAACACTTGAATAATTTATTAAATATTCAATAGTCGACTAAATACAGATTCCCTTGAGCTCATTCAATTTCCTAAGCTACAAAATAAAAGAGACTTTAGAATGTAACCCATTATTATAGATTAGATAGTATCGATTAACGACAATCTACCAACAAAGAATCAGTTAATGCAATCAAATACTTTCGATATCCAACGACATTTACGCAAGACAGTATTTCAGTCAGTTTGATCTTGAAATGGAAAGGATACTTGTCAGAAAGCTTTTTCTTCATTTATTGATACTAATGAAATGTGTAGAAGAATCAGGTTTGTTCTTTTGGATTTTATTATTAATTATTCCAATTAAAAAAAAATCGAATATAATTTTTTAAGAGAATACTGAAAGGAAAAGTTGATTGTTTAAACAAAACTTCTATAGATTGTATAAAAGCCGTTATAGTAGTTTCTTGTATTTTTCAGTGTTATCCTGTACAAGCAATTCTGATTGCTTGTCAAATGGATTATGTAGTAATGGAATTTGCAACTGTCCCACGCCCTTTGATTGGAACATATGTAACGAAGGTAAAATGTTTAAATTTCTTAGTTCGACTTTAGCTTATCGGCTATTCTTCAAGGAGAAACGTATAGGTTGGAGACTGACAAAATGACCAGTGCGACAGAAGCAAAGTCAGGAATAAAACCAAATATAGAGGATTGTTTAGCCTACTGCCAAAGTACACCTAATTTTGCTGCCTTTTATGTTAAATTTACAAATCCAGCGTACTTATGTAAATGCTATTCGGAAGTTGCGTATGCTTTAACAAATGATATAGGAGCTTATTTGCTCATTCGAAAAGGTAAGGTAGTTTCCCAATTTGTTAAAATAATAACTCAAGTTTTACGAAGATGTTCGTGATGGAATATGTGGAAAGGTAAACTCAATAGTTCCGCCAAATGATGACTGTTTACATAAGTTATGGTTGGACGCGAAATGCCTTTCAAGCAAATTTAAAGCTAATAACTATTGGCGAACTAATGCTATCACTACTGCTGCAAACGATATGAGTTATTATTCTTCTAGATCGCGAAGAGATAGACTGAAAGGTGGTACAGTCTATTATAGAATGGAATGCTTTGGAAGTCTGGCAACAAGCCATCTCAATGTCGCTCTACATAGACAAGTTCAGGCTTCCACAACACCTACTGATTTATCGCTTCATCCTTCCCATGTAACTGATGGAATATACTTGCTAAATGAACAACTAAATTCTTGTAGTGTCGTTGGACAACCTTCTCCATTTTTAAAAATAATGTTTCACAGACCTTTACTCATTAGACGGATTGTCATTTGGTCGGCAAACATTGATGGTTAGTTATTGAGCTTCTCGTATTAATATATTGATTATCTTTTTCCGAAAGTTTATCAACTTGTCGATATTTACCTTGATACAACTTCGAACATGTGCCAAGACAGCGTAGATTTAAAAAACAAAACATGGACTGAAGTAATGTGTACAGGAGGAAACTTAGCCAGGAAGAATTCATTTACGATCGAACAAAAGGTAACAAATACTCTGCATATTTGTGAAGTTGAAGCCTTTACAGGTAAATTTTCATCTTTATTAATTATTACTCACTTAATTAAATAGAAGTACTCTACTTACAGAAAATTTAGCTGAATATCGACCAGTATATGCGAGCTCAACTGAAGCCAATTTTAGTCCCGGTTCAATTGTTGATGGAGATACGCTATCATGTTTTTATTCTACACTCCAAGATTCACCTTGGGTTTCAGTAAATTTGTTAGATGTTTACCGAATTTATGGTGCAGATATTGCACCAACATATGTAAGCTCTGCATATTCCTTTCAAGCGAAAGCTTACTTAACATATGAAAATTCAAGGACCTATTGGCAATCTATTCAAAAGAATCTTTGCTCTAATTTTGCAAAATCCGTGTCCTCAGCTAATTATTTTGTAGTTATTTGTTCAAAAGGAGGTGTTGTAGGGCAGTATTTTCTCCTTGAAATATCAACAACAGACGTACTTTCATTTTGTGAAATTGAAATTTGGGGAGATTTTGTTGCAAAATCTAGTTAGTACATATTTTATTTTTTACAACTCAGTTTTTAGCTCCATCCTTTATTTCATAGATGTAACTTCTGCAAATATTGCACTGAATAAACCTTTATGGGGTTCTTCTTCTTATCACCCTGAGGTTAATCTTGAACTTTTCTCCGTTGATGGACTCACAGATAAGAAATTCTTTCATACATTGGAAGAAAAGTCATGGGTATGTGTAGATTTTTTGGATATTTATGAATTGCACGTAGTTGCAGCTCAGGCCCGACCAGGATGTAAATATATTATTTTGTTGCTTTATGCAGAAAATTAAAAAAGAAAGAAATTCTCTTTTACAGATGAATCAAGAGCAAATATGGTTAGTGGAACTCTATTGAATTATCGTTTAAACAAAGGAGACTCAACTGATACTTTAACTGCGAATTGTTTTGACAATAATGTTAATTTTTTAAGCGGAGAGTATAAAATGTGGAAATGTTTTGATCCAAATCCTATTGGAAGATATTTAGTATTATATCTTAGAGACGTTAATAAACTTCATTTTCCCGAAATTGAAGCCTACGGAACAAGGATAGGTGATGAAAGGCATAAGAAGATAGAGATAGTTAACGTTACGAGAAATACAGAATTGGGAGCCAATATTTCAAATGAACAATATGAACAATTTCCAATTAAGATATACGATGGAAATACAGATAATAGATTTGGAAATAATATTTCTCATTCATGTTCAAGCGTACAACACAATTTCGAGAGTAAATTTACCATAACCTTCTCAGATATATTCGAAATTTATGAAATATTCGTGCAAATTCCGTATGAAGATGGTAAACACTATTGCAAAAACTAATTGTAATATGTCTTAAAAACTCTATTATGATTTGCAGACGTCTTTAATTCTGTAATGGTATCTGTAGAAAATGATGAAAGGGAAGAAGAGAGGCAACTTTGCTATGCGAAGGACAGACCTTCTTTTGATCGATCTCCTTTACACATTAAATGCCCTGTTAACTATTTTGGAAATAAAATTTCATTTTATAGAAGCGATGGAAGTAAGATTATTAGTATATGTGAAGTTATTATTTTTGGGAAAGCTGCGCAGCAAAATCCTTTAAGTAAGTTATTTATTTCCAATTAAAGAATACAGTTTATATTCTTATCGTAAAGATAACTTTTAATAATATCATTCAGACGTTACTGTTGACAAAAATGCTTCGTCTATTATTAAATTACCTACTTACGGAGTTTTGCCAAATTCCCATTGTACTATAGGATCTATGGCACAAGAAGTTTTTGTACATTTCGAACAATTTTTAGAAATTATTGGTATTGGATTTGAAGTACCGGAGAGTTTTAATTGGTCGCAAAAAATAGCTTTTTCTGCTTTAAATAGAGATTCACAAGAAAACTGTACACATTTCAACGGCTATGTAAATGTTGCTCAAAAGACTCGATTAATGTTTCCTTGTAGCTCACAGCTAATTGCTAAGTATATACACCTTCGATCGCACACAAGCAATATCAATATATGTAAAGTTTACGTTCTCTTTCGCAATTTTTCTTCGGAATTCGGTAAGCAAACGTTTTCATTCATATATTTTATCTATTTGTTTCTTTTTTGTATTTATAGATAAATTTAGGGCAATAGTTTCAAATAATAATATGAGAACCGAATTAATCAACTTAAAGGAAAGCAACATACATAATGTACTGAACTGTTTAGCAACGTGTAATCAAACATCAGGGTGTGAAAGTTGTACATATTCTTATGAAAAGAAAGAATGTTCATTATCTACATTTAGGCTTACTACCAACACTTTTACAGCATTCACGACGTTTTCAAATGAAAAATATGTACTTTTTACCAGACTTGATGTAAATTCACTTCCTAGCTGCTGAGATTCTATTACATGGATTTCTCTGTTGTTTTATTACAGTTTTAGTAAATAATTAATGGCAGAATATATGCACGCAACTTGAAATCGACAACTTAAATATTTTTATATATTCTGTAAATTGTTCAATTTTATTTCTCATTCATTTCTAACAATAAACTGTGTGAAAATATAGAAAACAGCATATTTATACCATTTCCAAGTAAGGATTATAATAATCGAAAGTATAAATAATAGTTGATAATTCGTTAAAATAGACAAATAGACAGTTTCTCTATTTAACAATATAAAACATCTTGCTATATTTTCCAGACGAAAGAAAGAGTAAACAATAGATTATGCTTATAATAAAAAAAAAACAGGTCTATTAATAGAGAATTAAGAATGTTCTTTATAGGTTTAAAGATTTATTTGTTTTTAGTTCAGCAAATAGACAGACACTTGATGATTTCAATTAACGGTTTAATACGCTCTACTTATTATTTTGCAGTTGATTAAAACGTGTAAGAAACTAGTTTTAAAAAAATCACATGACTTTATATTATTGCATATAAAGTTATTCAATGTTTATTAAATGAGTGAAAATTTCATTAAAATTTTATAATAGAACAAAAATATAGACATTAATTATACATAATGAACTTTTCGCTGACATTGCTTCATATATAGAGAAGGCAAGTACGCGGAATATTGTGAAACAAAAGTAATAAATTTTCCATCATTATCGAGTATTTTTATAGATATAATTCATAAAACATAAGAAAGTATTGTCTTAGCTTTCAGAATCTAGTTCTAAAATGCCTCGAAGTTATATTTCAAACATAAATATATTATAAGAAATATCAGTCATTGAATTTTTTAGATATTTATGTTTTCCATTTTGCTCTATGTAAGCTTAGAAGTTAACTATATTCTTACAGGTCATTGATCATGAGTTATATTTATGTAACAATTTATCTGAATTTAATAATCCTAATAAAGAGCTCCATTTTTTGTAGTAAGTAAAAAATACTCTTATTAACAAAGTCTTGAATTAATATTTTTGGAAAAGAGTGCTGTAAATTAAATACTGACTGTCTTGATACTGGAAAATGTGTATCTGGTACTTGCCTTTGTAGTGACGAATTCTCCGGAGATATCTGCAATTATGGTGTAGTTTTTTAAATTTAGTAATAATCTCTAAGGAACATATTAAATTTACTATAGGTAAAGAATTAAGACTAGCTCGCTTTAAAACAACATCGAGTCAGAAGACTACTATTACGGTGGAAAATTATAGCGAATGCAATAGACAATGTATTGCGAACGACGACTGTGTTGCTTTTGAATTGAATGTAAATGATCCTAAACAATGTTCACTATTAACCGAAGTAATATATGATCTAATAAATGCATTTGAAAGGCACTTATTAGTGAGAAAAAGTTAGAAACTTTCGTTACTATGCTTAAAATTGTTATTTATAATTTCTTTTACAGCAAAATCTCTAGGAATATGTGGTAGAGATATTGATAGAAAGGCATATTGGGATGAATGTATTCAGTTTAGTTGGAAATCGGTTGGTTGCGTATTAGAAAATGCAGATATTGAATATGGTTATCATAGGCGACTAAGCATAAAATCATCAAGAAATGATATGGGAGTCTACTTCCGTTATTCCAATCTGTATACTAAACACCGAGGCCGTAAAGCATTATATCGAACAAGGTGTTTTGAAAAAACAGCTTCGAACATGCTTAATGTCGTCAAGCTCCGTCAACATATAGCAATTGATAAAGGTAGTACATCAGGATCCTCACAGGTGCGCTTAGGGGATTTTATGCCATATAATGATCCTAAGTTCGGCAGTTGCACAATAATAGAGGGAATAAGCAATACCATCATTTATTTTGAATTATCAGTAGATATTTTAATAAATAAAATTATCGTTTTAACTCCAAACTATGACGGTAAATATTAATATTCATTGTAAAATTTCTTTTAAATAACCTGTCAAAGTTTTTCCTATACAGTTTATCAAATTTATCAAATTTACGTCGACAGTAAAACATTAAGTACAACATGTACAGAAGGAATATTAATAAACAATCAAACATATTCAGAAATTCATTGTGTTGAAACTTTCTCAGACTTTGGTAAAAAGATATACTTTAATAATATTATAGGAGATATTCATTTGTGTGAAGTAGAACTTTATACAGGTATTTATTACAAAATTCTTACTTGAATAATATAGACTTTTAAAATATATTCTTTATATTTAATTTATAGGAAATTTAGCTCTCTTAAAGCCAGTGGCTGTTGCGGCAGTACACAATCAACAAGCTCAAGGACATCTTGTTGATTCTGATATCACTAGTTATTACGAAATTAGAAATAGCGAAGTTAAAATATCAATCGACCTCGAGCGTATTTATGAAGTTTATGGAGTTGATATTGTAGCAAAACAAAATCAAGAACATACCTTAACCAATATTGATTTTTTTCTATCGAAAACTCATCCTTTTCTCACATTGAATTCTTCAAGTATGGATTTATGCCATTCCTACCAAGGGCCACCTGCCACCCTCCCAAAATACACAACCATTCTATGTAAAGTTGGTGGGGTAAAGGGCAGATATCTCTATTTATATAAATCGCATACGAATCAATTTGCCCTCAGTGAAATATATGTTTGGGGCAACCATGTTGATAGTACGGGTAAATCATGTTTTCACAATACTAACAGTTACTGTAAATGACGTCATCTAACGTTTGTCATCTAATAGATAATATTGCAACAAATATTGCTCGTGGTAAACCTGCATGGAGTGGCTATTTTTCCTTTAATGGATGTGAAAATATATATTTGACGGATGGAAAATACCTTTACCAAACTTCTTACTCGACTGGTGCAAAAAATTGGATATGTGTTGATCTCATACAAGAATATATTGTGCAACAAATTGCCGTAACAGTGACTATGTATTGTAAGTTGCATTCATCTTATCATCATACCCCTAGACTAATCTAAAAAATTAAAAGGGTTAGAGAATTACCATAACTTGTGTGGAGGAGTCTATAATTCATCTTTAGAATCATCAACTCCCTTCTCTTTGACTTGTAATTGTTTTAACAATGCAAATTCTTTCTCACCAATGGAATATAGAATATGGGAATGTACCGATCCCAATATCTCAGGCAGATTTGCTATGTTAGCTGTTGATCATTCAGCTATTCATTTTATTGAAGTAGAAGTCTATGGTTTAGAAAATCCCCGTAAAAGTTCAGAAACTATTCCGCTGCAGAGAGTAGAATCCAAGTCAGATACTCTAAACTCCTATGGCAGGGAACCATTTAAATCAATAGATGGAGATTTTTCATATCATGTTAGTACAGATAGTCTCATCTATTCGTCTTGTACCTCTCTAATAACTGATGCTGAAGAAAGCCAACTTACTTTTTATTTTTATGAATTTAAGATGGTTACAGAAATTCTTATTCAACCCAGCTCTGACTTCAGTAAATAGATGGCTATTAAAATTTCTATTAATATTGATATGATAATTTTTTCAGACAATTTTCCCCATAAAATTGTCGCATCTGTTGAAAATTCAAACAAGGTTTACGAGAGGCAATTTTGTGACTCAACAAGGGACACAGAAATTTACAGCAGGCCGATTTCTCTAGTATGCGAAAAACCTCTGTTGGGTAATAGAATTTCTCTATATCAATCAGCAGAAAGGAAAATTAGGGTTTGCGAGGTTGTGGTTTTTGGGCTAAACGTAACCGACAGTACACTTGGAGGTATTAGTTATATATTGCGAGTTAACTATAACTAATTAATTGTTCATTTTTGAAGTAGAAAGAGTGATAAACAGTACATATCGAAAGCTAACTTCTAATTCACAAGTATACCCTCGAGAAGATTGTCAATCCCTTCACCACGGAAAGAGTTTAAGTATGTACTTTGATGGATACTACAATATAACAGCGATCGGATTTCAAATGTTTAGTGATTTATATTGGACGTCTACTCTGAAAATAACTAGCACAACAAACACGGAAGTAAGCATCTGTAGCGAAACTAAAATGACTATATATCCTAAAAAGCCAGCAACATTTACCTTCCACTGCAAATCGGCAATTTATACTGATTCTGTCCTTTTAATAGCAAACAATGTAAATCTAAGAATTTGTAATGAGTATGCTTATTTTATTGAAGATTATCAAAAGGGTAAGCATTATTTAGATTATTAAAACTATTCTAATAAATTCTAATCCTTTTCAATTTTTACTGCCAGAAATGTTTTTTATCGTTAAGACAGCTAAAAGAACTATTCAAAACACATACCTTAATAAAATTCACGAAAACGTACCAAATATTATTAATTGCTCTCGTCTATGTAAAGAATTAAGTGGTTGTCGAAGTGGATCTTATATAAAAAGACATAAAAGGTGCAGTTTGTCAAAAACTTATATTTCAAATGACATTCTTAATGCGTACACGCTAGCCGTTGAAGAAGATGTTAGCTTATTTGTATTAAATTTAGCAACAAATGAAGAATATTGCTAGCTTTTTTTGCTAACGTCACATAAATTATTACATTGAATATTTATTTAAATATATTATTATATCGTTTTTTATTGGAAAATGGTAATAGTCACGGCAACATATTTTAATAATGACACTAATTGAATAGAGTAAAAGTAATAACTATAAAAAATATTTAAATGATACTGCATTGATCAGGATTATTATCGGACCCATAGCTATCCATTTCCACATATGTGTTATAGCTATCAGGTAGTGCAATTTAGTTTATTAGCAGTTTATATCTCTTTTGAAAAATAATGGAAGACTATTCCACGAATTTACTGGCTTCGTTTATTGAAAGATGTATTTTTATCTTTCATTCATTGATTATCAGATTTTCTGATTTTATTGATGCTTCAATGTTCACTTTTTTTGGAATAAGACTCAATTCTTTCTCCTTTCAAGAATTTTACTCCTCTTTACCAGATAGCCTAAAAGAGTTACTAAAGAGAGAACAACACACTCAAGAAGCACTAACAATTTTATTCAATGAAATAGATGAAAAGAGAGAGATTAGCCTTTCAGGCTACATCAGATTGAAATCTGAAATTACTTCAAGCTTGATAAATAAGGATAAAATAATTCAAGCCGTAGAGGTCCATCCCGAAATTGAAGATGTTCCGTTCGAAAAGCCAGTTTTTATTATAACTCTACCAAGGACTGGCAGCACTTTTCTACATCTTCTTATGAGTAAAGATAAAAGGTGGAAAGCTCCTGCTCTATGGGAAATGATTTCGTCTATTCCTTTTCCTGAAGAACCGACAACAGAAACTAATGAAAAAACAATTTTAAACTTTGACAAATCTTTAAAATTCCGAAGATACTTGGTAGGCTCTAAAGAAATAATGGCTGCCCATGGTACAACAATGAAGGATCCAGAGGAATTGGCAAATCTTTTAAAAGCTGAAGGAATATTCGTTCTGATTCCAAAAATGCTAAACCTACCAAAATATTCCAAGTTTATTGAGAAAATCAAATTCGATGATCATATAAAAATTTACAAAAGTATTAAAAGGTCTCTTCAGGCAATAGCATTTCAACAGAATATGAAAAATAGAAGATTTCTCTTAATGCACCATTTAAATTCGAATGTAAATTTGAAAGCCCTATTCACAGTCTTTAAAGATGCTCAATTTATAACAATTCACCGAAACGTAGAACAAGTCATCTCATCTATAACAAATTTGACAATATACGATTCAAAATTATTTCAAAGTCCACTCTCGAGAAACGTTAAATTTATTAGCGACTTTTTAACAGAAAAATACTTGAAAGAGGTAAGAAAATATGATTTGAGGAGATCTATAGAAGAAATAAAAAATTGCTCATTCCAAAGAGCTATTGATATTAACTTTAAAGATTTAGTACAAAATCCATTGGAAATCTTGAGAGAAATTTACAAACAAGTAAACATGGAATATAACGATGAATGCGATGAAATATTTACGAAATATCTTGCAGATTCACATAAAAATAAGACATCTTACAAGCATATTAATGATTTCTTACTAGATGGCGAAAGAATCCGTAGAGAATGTCAGAGCTATTCAAAGAAATATAAAATTTATTAATATTCCTGAATAGCTTTTTTATGTAAAATAAAAGTTATTTCTTGAATATTATCTCTTATTATGATTTGCTGACAACTATAATTTTCCATGCTAATGTCTCTCTACCTCAGCTTATACACCAGTCTTTAATGTTTGATCAAGTTGCCTATGATGAATCATTAAAAATTTCACAAAGTCTAAATAATTACTTGCTTAAAAAAAACAAATAAATAAGACTTTTATGAAATTGTTAATAGGAATAATTATGTGGTATGCGTAAAAGACACGTACATAAAATAAAGTAAAATGAATACATTTTTATTATCAAAAGTCTTATCTATCATAAAAATGAATAGAAATACTTTAAATGTAAAAGATATAATTTGTCCAACAGCTGTCTCTCTCTCTCTCTCTTTTTCTTTATCCATTGAATGCATACAGCTATGAAAAAATGATACAGATTGATATGTACTATCTTATAAGGGGAAAAAGTACGCATAAACAAAGAACAAGCACCATTTCATGCATATTTAATACTCTTTTATTTGTTAAACGGCGGTGGCAGATTTTGTTGTACAATAAGTATCTTCTACACCGTCTTCGTACCTTGGAATTGCAGTTGTTCTACTCAGAGTTGGAAATCCAAATGGAGGAGGATATCTACATAATGGAACATGATTTGAGTTTGACACCGCCTGAGATCTCCTAGATGGCGTTATTGGTTCTGGCAGTATTGTGAGAGCATCGCTTTCATTAGCTGAGGAATTAGCAACTTTTTCGCGTTCCTCCAATTGCCTTCGTCTCTTCCTTAAATCTCTTGATAATCTACGCCGCTTGTAGAGAAAGGTGCCAAATATTATTATATTAAAGAATAACAAAGTGCAACCGACTGCAACGGTCACTGAAAAGGCGAATGAAGATTTTGGTGCAGTTTCCTGAGCAAACGCTGTGCTTGTTGATAAAAAATTTGGAAGATTACCCAACTTTTTGATAGTAGCAGGTGTAAAAAGCTCCTCAGAAGGACTCTTTGGGTTAGAAGTTTCGGTAGAACTTGAATTAAATTTCGGTTTTAATGGCATTATAGGTGGTGGAGGAAAGTACACATCCAGCTTCTTTGTTCCTTCTTTTTCAAAGGTAGAACTATCTTGAAAATTATCTAGTAAATGCATTTTCTGTGATAAATCATTTGGCTTATGATATTTTGGAATCTCTTTTTGCCATAGAGTCATTTTTGAGGGTTTATAATATCCTAATTTCATTTCCAACTTGTTACCTGTTAAATAACAATAATCTAGTTGTTATTTTTCTATGAAAATTTTGTTTTTTCCATGTTTAGGCCTAAGCTTAAATCAAATAAATATTATTCTCAAGAGCTATCATATTATGTATTGTGTTAAAAAAGTCAAACTAGAAAAATATAGTCACCTATATCCAAATGAGTCGGTTGATCTCTTTCATACCGCTCCCAATAGACGTCTAGAGGGGCTGGTCTATTCGGATCTCTGCAATATGCTTGAAATCAATTTACCCAGCCTCATAAATAGCTTTAACAGGTCACTTACCCTGTTTTTGCAAAATTCGTCCAGTAAGTAACTACAGCCTCGCTGATCGGAGTACCATTGTTATCAATGTTGTTACCAAATGGATCGATACCTAAGGAGCAAAAGGATTTGATACATTCAATTACTATTTTGTAAACGTTTCTTTCTAATTTATCACTTAGCGGAAAAAAATAGAGCTAAAAAACAATAAATTTTATAAGCAAATTGGCAATATATATAGAAGTATAGCATGGTACGGTAACTTTTCGATTGCGATATTCCTTACACAGATAACCTTCGTCCTTGTACACTTAAGTGAATGAATGTTATTTGATAAAATCTAAATTTATCTCAATTGTCACATGACTGCTTTAATTAAGCACAATTTAATTAAATTGTTAATATTATTGATTATTAAAATACTTTTCACGCGATAGATCTTAATTTAGCCTAAAACTCATGTATCATCTTCAAAGAAAATTGAGGTTGGACTACAGATTAAAAATTATTCGATCATCTTAAAGCAGATTCAAATAAACAAACTTCTAGAAAGCTAATTATCATGTCAAAGATTCTTAATGTTTGTCCTCCATGATGCGTGAAAGACATCGTTTATCACAGTTTTTAAGTATTCTACCCTTGAGAGGCGAGTAGCTGCTAGATTCCAAAATCCCAATGCCTTATCGGTTTTTTTCAGAAGTTACATAAAAAAAATTTGCGACGAAGAAATTGATAATGAATTTACAACTTTAAAATGGGAATTTGCGGGTATCTTTAGAGCATTAAAGGTGGTGCTTATTTTCAAGACATTAACTCCCTATGGAATTTATATCTTGTTTTAGAGAAGAGAGTAATAAACAAAAGCTTACCAGGATGTAGTGGAGCACCAAATACTAAAGGTAGATCTGTGCCATGTCCCGCGCTTTTCCTGGAAACAACGTATAAATATGTAGACTTCTTTCGTTTACGATATAACAGCAAACGGAGAATCGGAGAAATGTAGAGACCGTCCGTAATTAGTTCCATTAGCGATCTTTGCAACTTTACTGGGTCATCAGACTTATCTAGGCCATAATTTTCCACTAGCAATTCGTAAATTTTTTGCCGTTGATATCGGAAAATGTTTCGAACGAACGTGCGAAGAATTCGAGACTTATCAGTAACGCTAACGCCATCTTTCAATTGTTTATCATTGAAATAGGCATCTCCTTCGTTGGCTGTAAATCCTATTAAGATTGGTACACGGTCCAAGAACGTCTCTTTACCAGATAAGCTTTCTAAATCTTCAGGAAACAGAGCTCTATGATTAAGAACAGGTCCAAAGCCAGATAAGTACTTCGGGTGAAGAATCTCAGAATCAATCAGCTCTTTGAACGATTTAGATTTCAGGCATCGAACTAAATTCTTAGTACAATTGAGGGCTGCACCAAGACGGTTTATATATTGCAATGGTTGGTCGGATATTGCCCAAGGAGAAAATGCACTACCACTCTGCAATATGACGCGTTGCAGTAGATTCTTGCCTATAGAATAGAAAAGAAAGCCTAGTGAATTGCGGTTGATTAAGCGAAAAAATCAGGAATGGAAAAAAACCGCTTAGAACTGGTGAGATCAAAAGTAAATGTGCCATAGCTGCTCCGTAACCATGAGCCATTAATGTTACTTGATTTCTATCACCATTAAAATCGCCGATATTTTCTTGAATCCAATGTAGTGCAGCTCGCTGGTCTAAGAGAGCATAATTTCCGGGAGCATCGCCGTTAGCAGTACTTGCAAACCCTGGGATTAACAGCACAATAAAAAGTTATATCTACGGAGATATCCGGCTTTTTCATAATATCGTTAGGTTTCAGATTTATTAAAAAGCATCTTATAGAGAGAAACTTTTTCCTTCCTATTAAAAACTGATAACTATTCTTCAAATAGTAAAAATGGCTTTATTATTAGATTAACCATTTGGGAATTTTTATCTAAATAAATTTCGACTCGTGAAGACTATCAGCAGCCAAACGACAACAATTTACATTTAAAAGTTTTTATACCAATAATAGATGAGTAAAAACGATTTTTAGTGTCGAAGCTAGTTCCAAGGCGAATGATTTAATCCTATTTAATGGTATTTTAACTTGATAAATATATGCTTGTTTAACTTTTCTAAAGGATAATTGTTTTGACCTACAAATTTGCTTTGATTTGAAAATAAAAAAGGAGGAATTTTGGGTTTAAAACCAATAGAGATTGTCGATTATTTCTAAGAGAAGAAGAGAATAGCATGAGATGATTAATAAAGAAAAATATCTATATACTAATATATAAACATAAAGAGAAACTTTTTTTCATTATTAAATTGATAATGAAATTGGAAATCCCTCCGACAACTCTTCTTTTTTTCTCTTTTTTTTTTGCAGTTTTACTCCTATCATTACTTATTTCCTTTGGTCAATCGCGAAAGGAATCTTATTTGCCCCGCAATCAAAATCAAACTGTAAAATTTCATCAAATTGTGTCATTGTATACAAATGAAAGGAACTAAGTAATACAAAACGAAGTAAAGGAGTCGTAAGATAACAAAGACGCAGAGAGAGATATCGAAGTGGGAGAATAGGAAGCAAAGAGAATAAATTGGACGGAATATTCTCCTACACTTTCCATTTTCCTTTTTTTTCAATTAAACAGTCCTAGTCAGCTAATTTACAAACGTTCCTATTTCTTCCGCTATTTCTACCTTGAGCGTTAAAATGTTTCATCTATATCCCTGTACTTTATTACAACTTATAGGATTTCTAAGAATATTATGTATTCCTTTATAGATAACCTCTTCAAAAGCATTATACTTATTAAGAATTGGAAAAATTCCATGAATGAAAATCATTTACAATATCTCGTTTGTTTGCTACTGTCAAACCACGATTGAACAATATTGGTATTTTATATATTTTCTCTCTGGTTTCGTTTCAAAGAGGGTTTTATGGCGATTAAATGTTTTCCTAAGGATGAATGAATGGCCTAAGTGAGATGTTTGTTTTATAATGAGAAAGCGAATTTGAAAAATAGCCTTTTAACGATTTATCTCGTTTCCACTGTAGAGGTTAATAAACATGAGACGCCCAGGCGTCGGTAGACTTTGACGATACTCACCCAAAGCTCCTAGCCTGTAATTGACCGTAATCGCCATGACTTTTCCTTTGACGGATAAGATTGACGCGTCGTAATTATCTGCTGAGCCATATTCGTAATTTTCTCCATGTAAAAATACAAGAACCGGAAATCTTTTCGTTTCATTTTTTCCTGTTGTAAGAAGAAATTGTCAATAAGCAATTGAACTTATCAGCAATCAGCAAATGATAAACAGCTATTTAGTTTATATCTTTATAAACTACATATACGGACTGTTTATACTTGTTTTTTTACTAAGAAAATCAACAAATATTTATAAATTGTAAGGTTTTTTCCAGTTTAAGAAAATAAATATAAGTATGAAAAGAAAACTCTAAAGAATAGTTTTTTATCCTATCGATTGTTGTCGGAGGAAGTAATTGTAGCCAATCTAAGTCATCTTGTGTTGAGAGTCGACAAGCCCTCTTACAAACATTTTTCTATAATAAAAACTGAAATATAACTTATCTTAATAAAAATGTAATAGTCGTCTCGAGCCAGTTTAATCTGTCTGTTTGAATTAATATTTTTTCTTTATATAGCTTTCTTTTAGAACAAAATCTTTACAGTAGTAATTACAAACAGTTTGACCTAATTTAATAATAAAAAGAATTGAAAATGACGCCTATTTATATTAAATATTTATGTGTGAAGGTCGACGACTCCCAAAAGAATTTTTTTTCTCATTTAATTAAGGGTTTAAAAGAGGTATTATTCAGAGCTTCCCCCTTTGATTAGAATCTTTCACGCAATCATGGAATAACCTTATTTGAAAAATTCATATCTCATAAAACAAAATAGTTTTGTTCTCTTTTAATAATATAAAAATATTTACAAATAATTCTCCTCTACATCTAACTAATTTCTCCCTCCCTCTCCTTCTTCCTCTATCCCCTAATTATAGCAGTTCCATTCTATTAATACTCTTATTATTTGATCTATTTTTTTTTCACTTTTTCTTTTTTGCTACATTCTTACAAAACTAATTAACAGATGACGCTACAAAAAAAAGAATTTCGTACAACAACTGTCACATGTACAGATCTAACTTGTTTATGTATATAGTATATTTATACGACTAGAGAATATGTGAACGCACACAGTGAATAATCTTGAAAAGTACTTAAAAAAAATGTTCACTTTTTATAACAGCTGTTATTTCTTTCCTTAAATAAATATTTGTATAGAAACTTAACAGTTAGAATTACTCTAACATTAGAATGGAAGAAATAATCTTTTTATATAAAAATTGTTAATTATACGGTAATTTATAATAAAAACAAGTTTTATAAAATTCTTTGTAAAGTTTCCAATTCCCAAGTTGAAATACCTTCGTAGAATGATGATATTACATATTTTGGTAAAGGTATTAAATGCAAATGTTGAAATTTTACACGAATATCCAATTTAATGCAACTATCATATATCTCAAGTGATAGGGAGCGTATTTCTTAATGGACTTGATTTAAGAAAGCTCTCATCTGTTAGAATGACTTTATTTTATCTAAAGTAATAAACTATATATCAGAAGAATAAGTATTGAGTTAAAGTGTGAATATTGGTAGACGTGGATTGCTTTTTAAATAGTAAATATTCTAAAAATAACTTTTTGAAATTATTCGACTGTTTTTCTTTAATTAGTTTGAATTTGCATTAGAGACTTAAAAGCCAAATCGAATTTTTTTTTAGATCTGTAGATGTCTACATAAAAAACAACTTGTTCTTCGAAACGAAGAAACACAAATTCGTTGACCGATAAATCTCTCGAAAATATTAAGTTATGATTTTAGTAGGCTATAATAATGGACTCAATCAATACAAGTACAACATAAATTGTTCTTGACAAACAAAGAAAAAAAACATTCCTAGTCACACTGTCATTTAAAATTGAAAAACGACCAGTCAAAGGAATGTCATCATCAAACAGATGATTGATAAATGGATGAAATGTCAAAAAGAGCCAAGAACTTTTCATTCTACTGCTAGAAATTACTTTTTGCCTTCGTTTCTTATCATACTTTGCTGCGTTGAGAGAAGAAAAGATAGAAAAGAGTGGCGGAAAGACAGAGAAGGAGACAGGGGAGAGACAAAGTAACTGTAACTGTGGGAGCCTATAGAAGGAAGAGATTCAAAGATGCGAAAAAGAAACGATTATATAAAAATAGATATAAACATCTTTTAAGGAAAAACAGGTTCTATCTTTATATGCAATCTATAAATAAGTAAAAAATATATAAAAGATATAATAAAATCCTAGAAATCTTCCTGAAAGCACAGGAGATAAAATTGACTAGAGAAAAGAGCACGTGATGAGCGCAAATAGAGCTTTGGCCGCTAAAGTAAACAGACGAAATGTGTCGGTTTTATTGAATATTATCGAACGAGACATAAATTTTTTTGATGACACAAGAAGGGAAAAAGTAAATTTCCCAATACTTCCTGCAATACAACCTGTCAAGTTCCTCTTTTCTGCTTTTATATTTTTCTACCGAAAACCCCCATTCCCCTATCTTCTCTTTCTCTCTCTTTCTCTCTTTCTCTCTCTAAAACACACATATATATATACTCCACGCTTTTTCTATCGGTCTCATTCTAAAAGTCTATTCTCAGTTGCAACTACAACCTTTCTTACTCTATTGATTTGTTTAAATTTCGGATTTTTCGTCTCAGCCCTGTCTAACGTATATGTCGTATACAATAGAAGGAAAATTCCCTTGTTCGAATTTGATTATTGCCTGCCAATACGAATGAGTAAATTAAGTAGGCAATGGAATCGGCGACTATTGGTCAAATTATTCGGACTACATTCGTTTTTGATTGGTTAATATTGAATTTTAAAAAAATTTGAAAGTCATTTATTGAAATTTTCTACAAAATCACGATAGTATCTTATAAAATTCAACCTTTTACATTGTTAATCTTAATTATGGCTAAATGATTTTGGTTAAAAAAAAATCCACAACCATTTTAAGTGATAATTATCCTTTGTACTCGTTTTAGTGTATTTCTTCCCGATTTCTCACCTAACAAACCGTTAAATACGCAACAATTTTTTGGTGTTTGTCATATATAATCAAATTTATTATTGTTTTCAGAGAGAATTTTCTCTACTTTCATATACGAAAAAGGAATGAATATTTAGATTAGAGGAGAAGTTTCAAAAGAGGATAGAGATAAATTAACATGACTTTTATTCAAAATTTTTAGATTTTAACCTATAATTCTAATTTGGCTACAAATATACATTGAGAGTGGGATATTCAATTTTTGATACTGTTGAATGAATTACTACATCCCTTTTGTGTTGTTCACTCAAAGAGGGGAATATTTCTCATTGCCTTCTGCTATGAGTTAATATTTTTCTATAAAATATGAAAAGCTTTAATAGAAGAAATGATGTTATTTTATTTAAGAAATACGATATTGCCACTCGAATTTCTCAATAAATATCATAATAGTAGAATTTTGCTTAGAAATACACAAGGGCTTCGATCTCTAATTGAGAATTGGCGTGAAGGTCAAAAGATATAAAGTGTAATCAAACGTAGAAGCTTATCGATTAACTACTTTCTACTCATTCATATATTCCTTATCAATTGCTAAAAATAAGAAATATAGAAATATAAACGTTGTAAGATATACTGTATAACAATTAACTATTGGATAATGTTGGGTAGATGTCTTTAATTAAATTATAGACGATTCTTTCTTCTCTACACAAGAAAGAATAAGTTTTTTCTTTAGCAACAAAAAATAGACAATCATGCTTATTAATTATAATTATATTGGAAGAAATGTATTAAATATGAACGATTCCAAAAAGAAAAATGCAAGGCTATTACTTATTGATTTAAGGAAAGGATCGTTAGTTGTTCTTTGATTGTTTAGAGCTATCCAAAAGTAATGGAAATTTTTTTAGATAGGAGATAGAATTGACAGGGAAACCATTGAAAAATGAAAAGCAGAGGAACAGTTTCAGGTTTTCTGGAAGACCCTTTAATTTATCAAAAGTGCCTTTGCCTATTAAAAATACGAATCAGAAGTCGGCCATTAAATCATCTCAATTTAAATCCTCCGCTTTCGTCGTAGCAACAAAAAGAGAGCCAAATTTTGCCGAGGGAATAAAAACCCTATCTGAATTGCTTGTATCTGATATTCGATTTCGTCCACCCTTGCGCCTTCCCTGACCGGTTTGGGACAGCTTTATTGTTGCATTTCAATACAAAAAAAAAGGAAAGCTCTTAGTCACTTCATCCAATTATTCCAATCTTTCTACTCCTTCATGCTCTCTCCCTTTCTCTACTAACCTTCTATCTCAAATAAAAAATTAAATAGTCGGCGCCAAAATGACGTTAGCCAATAGAAAAAAAGTATTAAATCCCTCTTAGATAGTTTTTTTTTCATTTTAGCTTAAGAATAAATCTGATTTTCTATTTATTGATATAAAATTTTTTTAGTTAAAAATAAAAATTGTATTATTTTCTATTTAAAAAATAATAATTCATACATTTTGATAAATCAATTTTTTTTAAAGATAATAAACAATGTAATCTAACGATGAACTCTGAGATTGTGAGCTTGGGGCATAGGGGGCGAAATATTGACCTTAGTCTAAAAAATTTTGCAGTTTATAAAACAAACACAATGTCCAACTGTAACACCTGTTTGTATCGTCTGATAAAAAAAAATTATAGTAAAGGGAACATGCAACCGGGACAATTATTTCGTTGTACATTTCAATCTGATTAAGAAAAATTGGTAATTTAGGAAAGTTAGGGAATTGGAAAAAGGGTTGCATGGATTTTTAAAGGATTAATCCTATCCTTTTTAGAAGAATAATGATTTTTTTTATGATTCGTTGTTCTAATTTTTGCAAAAAATATACTTTGTACAATGGTCTTTTACTTTTTTAAATGGCTAGTATGTTTTAATGCTTATTACGTTAGTTAGGATATAGATAAATCTAATTTACATCTTCAACAATTTGGAAAAACTCATCAGTCCTCTTTTAAATTTCGGAAAACAAAATAAAAAACAGTTAAATTTTACACCTGTTTCAACTCTTTAGAGAGAAATAAAAGTAAGAACTAACCCAAGGCAGGCCGGAATATGTTTAAGGTCAGGCAATCTTCGACTGGGATAAAAGCCTGGTTTTTGAATGCTAAAAGGATTCTATCGAGCTCCTTAACCCTTCTACTGGGTGTCTTCTTTAGTAGCTTTTCAAAATCCAGTTTTCGTTGTGGACACCCAGTGAAACCATTAAGGTTTTCAACTTCTTCAAACCTACTTGAATAGGTTGTAGGAGGCATAAAGCGAAGCGATCCACCCCTTGTCGTAGCGTACCTCACACCGATAAACGTGTCAACTTGTCCAAGATTATCTAAAGTCGTACGAGTTCCTCTAACTGGTCCTAATCTCGTCCTCGTTAAATACGGTAGCAAAACAGACTTTGACGCCTTGGCACAATTGGTTGAATGTTCAAAAAATATCAGGAGAAGGAGTTGAGTAAATGTTCTTTCTTCCAACATACTTCCTTCTTTTTATTGTTTATGTGTCTACAAAAGCGCTCGTTTCGGGGTAAAATAGCGAAAAGTTTCCTTAGTCAGACAGTGGCGACGCCTAGTAAAGCTTCGGATAATGAGAGAGATTAATTGAATGTTTTCCTGAAGATTGCCGTTCTAGTTTTATATGGCAGATGGCGCTTCGGATAATGTTTTCTAAACGAACTTTAATAATTTCTACACAGGAAGAGAGCTGAAGGCCCTGACGAGGAATAGAGCCTCAACTGGAAATGTTAATCGGTACTTGCAAAGATTTCAATCCGTTGTTTAATGCTCTTTTAGTAGTTCTCATCCGGTAAAATCCATAATTCTCTTTATCAAATAAACAATTGGGGAAGAAGCCGGAAAGGCAGCAGATATAGAGATAATTCTCGATAAATCATCAAAATTTTGTTAATATCAACAGTCAAAAGTGCACTGCCTTAAATGGTTTATAATAGTTTAATCAGCTCTATAACTGATTAATTCAGCTTATATAATTTTTAGCTGCTTGGGAATATGAAACGACAGCTGCATGAAACTGGGATTTATAATAGTACTCGATATAACCCTATCGATCAACCAAAATTGCGAAAAAAAGATACTAAATCGAAAGCTTTCCACCAAAAAGCTATCTTAATTGGGAAAATGAATACTTATGATAAATTGAGAATCGATAAGAGCAATAATTTTAACCACTTTCCTTTTGATATGTTAATATTTTAATGATCAATAAAAATGATAATCTAGTTCCAAAACATCTCCATTTAAATAACTCAATAATGCAAACTTGAAGTACATTTATGTAATATGGAAGTATTTTATTATATTCTACTTATTCTATACCAAGGCTATTACTACTACTCTACAAACCCAAGGCTAGCTTTCCTTTCAGGCAGTTACCCAAATTATCGGAGTAAATAGCTTTACTAATAAAAAAAACAATATTATCTATTCTTTAATTTTTAAGCAGTGACGTCACCTTGGCAAAGTTTCCTGTCTCTTTAATATTTTCTTAAGACAGCTTGTTAAATATCACTACTACGCTCTCTTTTAATTATCATTCATTAAATGAATAATTCATTTAAGTTTACATCTTTTTAAAGATTTTAAGAGTCTGTTTGAGCAAATAATTTCTGTTTAGAGGAAATCATTAACTGAATTGAACTGGTCTTTTCAATTTAAATTATCTACACGTGTTGTACTTGAAATTTCTATTATAAATGATAAGAACAAAGTTCTTGGAAAACATAAATAAATATGTGGTTTATACTAAACTGTAATTATTGGTCTTAAATTATTTATAAAGTATTAATTTATTTTTCAATTACTATTTAATAAAATACAAAGAAAACGGGTATAACGAACTCTTAAGAGTGCAGCGACCGCCAGATGGGGTAAAGTGAAACGCAGATGACGCTTCAGTCGAGCAACTGGAAAATCTGGAAAAACGCCTGCAAAGCAACATGGCCAGCGTCGTTTTCTTGACTTTGCTAACGATTTTCGGCTGTCGGGCGTCTCCAGATGCGAAACGTTTATATGATGAGCTACTAGGAAGTAAAAAGTACAATAAATTAATACGACCAGTTGATAATTCAACCGATACTCTAACCGTCTCCCTCGGGCTACGGCTGACTCAGATTATTGATGTGGTAAGTGTGAAAAAAAACTAGGTCGACTTGTCTAATTCCGTTGCCACGGAAACGTGTGTAAAAAAGTTTTACCGACTACAAAATACTGCAATGCGGTTCCTCGTTCTGGAATAGCGTATCAATCGATAATGTTAGTTTGTCTTAAAAGCTCGCTATTTATTGAATTACCTATCTGCTCCAGGCGGCCGGCTATTTAAGGCGATTTTCCAGTCTGGAGTATATAAAGTACTGCAAAATTATACTATCATTACGGATTAAGCCTGCGATTGACTCTACTTTCAATTCTTACAGTTTTTAATGTAACAAACAAATATCCAAATTGGTTAGAGTTGATTTCGTGTCTTCCCTTGAGAAGTGTTGATGGGAGACCCTTGAACGTGTTTAGAATGTAAATCGATTCTAAACCTCCATTAGTAATGCTTTCCTCCTCGCTTAAAGCGGGGGCTTAAGAACAGAAAATGACCCAGAAAAGTTTTAATAAGGAAGTCACGAAAAGCGGGAAAAACCTTATTACTATTATGACCTTTTAACTCGGAGGTTTCTCGCCTAAATTATCCAAGCGTACTCCCCTTAAATTCTCTCTTCATTAATTTTTTTTTTAGAAATAAATAGTTCTTAGTATAGAAATAGATGGAGAGAAACGGTAAAGAAAAAGAGATTTCCGTTAATAATACGTTTCTTCTATAGATAAAATAAACCATTCGATAGCCATTTATAATTACAAATGCGAATACGAATATACTTTCATCGCAAAAAGACTAAGAGATTTACGAGAAACTAGATAGAAAAGTTGGCTCTTTCAGCTGTGTGTCAAGTTAAATATTATACTTTCTATTTAATTAAAAACAAACTAATAAATATAAAAAAAAAGTATGTTTAGTTTGCTAAAATCGATTATGATTTAATAGCTATTGATAAATTAATAATCGAATAATATTGCAATTCTTTCAAATCTCTGTATCAGTAAATCTCTCTAGTTTACCGTAAATGATAGAAAGCAGATATTTCACAGCAACTGCCGTTGAATATCACTAGTCACCAGTTAGCAAAGAGAGAGAGAGAGGGGAGAGGGAGATAGAGAGAGCAAACTCGTATAGAAAACTTGTATATATTTATACTCGTATACACAGTGTTCTGTATACATTGATACACAGTGTGCACAGTCTATACTTCTAACACTATAGATAGTATATTGTTTTTCCTAATTGAAAAATAAAAGGGAAAATTAAAAATATTAATTAAGGTGTATAAAAGTTTTTCCTTCTCTGAAGCATAAAATAATTTAATTATCGATCGAAGAGAAGAAACGGAAAATGGGAAAATGGAAAGAGGAAAAGCAAAAGGAAACGAAATTTTTTTTCAAAAGAACAAAAGATTGTTTAAATGAAGTAAAGGAAAAAATACTTATTATAAGCTTCAAACGGATAGCGTCCTTCAGTCTAAATAAATCATATATTCAATATAGTTAGGAATGCTTGCTTTTCCCATGTTGTACGAATTGACAGAAATCATTTGACAGCTGGATAATTGACAAATTCACGTGGACATTTCATTGATTTATTGATAAAAGGAAATCAATATTTGCTGTAATGATGATAAACTATTGTCCTCTCTTTTACGTTTGATTAGGGTACTATAAATTGATAGATAAACAGTTAGGCTGGCAGAGGATGTTGGAAGAGATTCGAGACAGACATAGTAGCGTGTAGCTTTGAAGAAATTGGGTCGCAGAAATCAATAGGAGCTCTGTACCGGCAAACTAAAAGAAAAATAGAGAAAAAAATCCAAAAAGAAAACAACTAGAAAAGAAATAAAATCATAAAAATAGCTAGAAGCCTTATGAAGATGAAAATATTAGAAGAATATATAAATAGTGTATATACAAAGTATATATACAGTATATATGTAAATTTGTATATATAGTCAATATAAAATTTATATATATATATACTAATATAAAGGCAAAGACAGAAAAAAAGATGAAAATGTATGATTTTTAATACTTTAACTAAAATAAAAAGGGATTATGGTATTTGATGTTTGCTTTGTAAAAATTTTCACAATAGATATATAGATATTCGCCGTAAAAGAAATCCATATAATAAATTAGAAAGAACTCTCTTTTTTTCTATTTACTACTAAATTTTCTTGTATTCATTAGTGAAATAATTATTGTAATAAATAAAAATGATGTTTTAATTTCTACCTTGTCAACTGTTTTGATCCCTTAAACGTTACTTGTTAGGTTTATCAAGTGAAAATAGGGAGACGATTGATAGCCAGAGAGTAATATAAACGTTTTATATTGTAATTTCTCACCAAACTTGTATAATCTTCGTCTTTAGCTTATTCTTTTATTAAACAATACTTTGATGTTTCATTTTTTTCTCGTTTTACAGGATGAAAAAAATCAAATTATGACGACAAACGTCTGGTTGGAACAAGAGTGGACAGACTACAAGCTTCAATGGCGACCAGAAGAATATGGAGGAGTTACTCGTATATATGTTCCATCTGAGAAATTATGGTTGCCTGATATTGTATTATATAATTCGGCAGATGGAAATTTTACTGTCAAATTAAAAACAAAAGCAACAGTGCATAATACGGGTAGAGTAGTATGGAAACCACCAGCAATTTACAAATCTCTCTGTCCAATTAATGTCGAATTTTTTCCATTCGATGAACAATTGTGTACTTTGAAGATTGGAAGCTGGAGCTACGATGGCTATTCTGTGGATGTAAAACACAAAGAGCTATCCGAAAAACAGAGCGACTTGGATGTCGTTGAAAGAGGTATAGATCTTGGAGATTATTACTCAAGTACAGAGTGGGATCTACTGGCAGTTCCTGCAAGAAAATATCAAAAATATTACCCTTGCTGCAGCGAACCATTTCCAGACATAAAATTTAACATTACGATAAGAAGGAAAACACTTTTTTATACAGTAAATCTTATTTTACCATGTGTCGCCATCTGTAGCGTGACGCTATTAGTCTTTTACATACCAGCCAATTCTGGTGAGAAGATTACTATGGGTATTACAATTTTAAATTCTCTCAACATCTTTTTACTGCTTGTTGCTGAAATAAATCCACCGACTTCTTTAGCAACTCCTTTAATTGGAAAATATCTGCTTTTTACAATGGTACTAGTGACTTGTTCAATTATAGTGACAGTTTTTGTGTTAAACATGCACTTTCGGAGTCCAAGTACTCATGTCATGAGTCCTTGGATAAGGGAGCTCTTCCTGCAAGTTTTACCCAAACTTTTGTTAATGAGGAGGCCCATGTCAGCCTACGAAATAAAAAATAATCGGCGGGTGACAGTCAGGAGGGGTGATGGATTGGAGACAAGAAATTTTGATTATGAGAAGCAGCCTTATCAAGATAATCTAATGTATGTAAGGGAGGAGGAATATCAGCAACCACTTCAAGATTCTTCCAATTTACCCGCCAATGCCATACAAGCCATGATCGGTGTTGGCTTCATTGCAGAACACTTAAAGCAACAGGATGAATTTAATAGAGTAATTAATTATTTATTAAATCATTAAAAATATAAAATTAATTAACATACTAATACAGAGATGTACTTATTCATTTCCATTCTAATAGATAAAACAAGATTGGCAATTCGTTGCTATGGTTCTTGATCGTCTCTTCCTTTGGATTTTCTCAGCAGCCTGTATTGTTGGTACTTTTGGTATAATTGTTCAAGCTCCAACTCTCTACGACGATAGGCCTACACTAGGTTGAATTCTAAAAATTTCTATTTCAAATACCAAATTATGAAAACTGTTCAAGATGTAAATAGAAGACTATGGAAAAAAAATACACTAGTTTTGTTGTTCTATTTCAATGTTCGATTTATAGACGCTATAAATTCCAAACTAAAATAAATTTTGATAATATAATATGAATAAAAGACGAATTATTGATAAATATAAAATATTTATTATTCCTATTTTCGTATACTTCATTCAATATATTCGTAATTGTTATCGTAAATTGATACAGACGTATATATTTCCGCTATATATATACTGTATACAAAGTATTTAGATATAATTTGTGTATGCTAATATTCAGTCTATGTATACATTTATATGAGCCTACAAAAAAGGGTAGATAAATAACTAAGGTCAACATTTTATTATGTTTATTCTCTTTACGCATTTGTGGATGTGATAAACACAAGCGTTTGTTTGGATCAATGTGAAAGAATTTTGTTGATGCAAGTTATCCTGTTTATACAGTATACTATTCTTCTTTAGTATCACTGCTCTCTTTTTAGTCTAGAGATTTTTTTCGTAATAGAGAGAAAAAACTAGAATGAGAAAGAAAGGGAATAGGGAATTGGTTGAAAGGGAATCGATCGACAATTCAGAGTAAAACAACCCAAATAGAACACAGGGGAAAGTAGAGGAGACAGTACGAGAATGATAGAGGGCAAGGGGATTATTGAAAGAGTTCGAATTTTAATTACTTTCTTTGTGCCTCTTTTATAAAATGATTCGTCTCCCAATCTCCGTCTCTCTGTCAATCTCCCCATTACCTCTTCCCCTTCTTCTTCTCCCTCCTTCCCGCTCATGCGTTCTTTTTACAGTCTATCTTTTTTGTCCTTTTTCTCTCAAGCACCTATTTTTTACGAGATCACAGGAAAAATAATGCTAAACAACAATAATTGCAAAATAATGTTTCTGTTCTAGCTTTATATCCAGTAAGCTCTTATATGATAAAGAACAAATTTTCTTCGGAAATGATAGGTCATATAGTTAGGTTAAATAACCAGGAATATTTCTGTAGGTCTCAGAATTCTTAATTTTTGTGACCTTAGCTACAAATTTCCTCCAACTGCAATTTAATAAGTCTTCATTTACAATTATACTTTTACTAATTACAAGAATGTTTTCTAACATCTTCCGAAAGTAGCCTCGTTGACGTAACATTAATTGCAGTCTTTTTTTTATAGTGATAATTTGTTGAATTATAAAACTTATTTTTTATTGCAGTAGTCATATAGACAAAAACTGCAAAATTGTTTTGACAGTAACCGATTCTCCCATAAACGTTTACATTCACGATTAAATCCAATCTCTTCCTTTTAGACAGCTAATGAAATTCAGTAATACAGGATATACAGGGTGATGGAAAAGCATACTTGTCAATAACCTTTGACGATAGTGTCATCTAGTGTCTATGAGGAGAATAACAAATACCTTTTACATAATGCAACTATACTGTATGTATACGGTATATACATGTATATATTAATAATATTCTTTTTATTTCCCGGCTGCAATTTTAAAAGCAACAGTAACAACTTCCGAATCTTTAAGAATAAAAATAATTAAAAAGAAAACAACTCATAAAATCAGTAGGAAATGAATATGTAGAATGGACATTTATACATTTTCTATTTTATTTAACTAAGCATAAGCTAAAATAAATGATATGTCGGCAAAAGGGAAGGGAAATTTTTTTATTACTGTCATCTATGACCTCATCTTTTGTGGTACTTGACAAACTAAATAAATTTATTTTTTTTCTCTATCTATCTTTCTATCAAGTACAAAACAGAATACATTTTATACAGCTGTATAAAAAGCAAGACATTAATTTTTCACACTGTAAATTTATTTAATGAAATGAATAAAACTTGCTTTTCATTAAATAAAAAAATTGTAATTACTGAATGAAAATAAACAAGGTAAAAACAATTACAAATACTCATTTCGCATATATTTCTTATTTTAAAAGTGAAGTAGGGTTACTTTTTCTATATTATATTACAAAGTTCTATTACGAGTTAATGTTTTTTTTTTCAAATTAAAGTTTAGCTTTCTCTACAGGTATTTATTTTTTATTTAGGTCACCTTTATAAAATATTATGGTTTAAATAATGTATGAAAATATGCAATTGAACGTTCACCTGTTGACAAAGAGAGAGTGAGAGATAGATAGATAGATTGATAGATAGAGAGGGAGAGAGAGAGAATAAATAGAGATTATTCAAAGGTAAATGTCCTTTGTTGAGTATTCATACAACCTTTATGCATAGACTGTGCATATAAACAATATATTTTCCCTTTTCATCAGCCTTTATTTTCCTTCATTTAAATATTTAATTTTCTGTATTCGATTTTCTGAGTCTAACAATCTATTCTTAAAACGAAATTGTTTTATATATTAAATTATATATTAATTTTTAGGGTTATTTTACCTATTTTATTACTTTTATTTTATATTATTTCCTCAATCCTATACAAAGAAAACATTCATAGTGAAAAACAACAAACTAATATCTCTTACCTGCCAGTTAAATACAAATACAATACACAGTATACAGTATATATATACATATATATTAATTTATATAAATCTGTTGCTTATACAGTATACGAGTAGAACTTTGATTTTTTTCTGCTTAAAAATCCCTACTGCTAATAAGATTATAAGGATATGAGAAAAAGAAGCCTTAGCTAATTAAAATATTGGGATAAAGCAGTCTCTTCGTTGTAATAACAATAAAAATAATTCTCGTATTTCTTTCTTATTTTTAAGTCATTAGCACTAAATTAAATGGAGATATAGATGAAGAGCAATATATATTAAACAACGAAATCCAAAAGATTAAATTTCCAATTAAAGAGATGAAGAAACGCAAATAGTTAATTAATTTCCAAAATTGCTCATCTTCTTAAGATAAATTATTTAATAAATGTAATTTTATAAAGGGAATTATAGCCTAGTTCAGATTTTTATTAGAAAAGTTAATAATAAGATTATCTATCTATTAAAGTATTGATACTTAATGAAATCAACAATAAGGGAAGTGCATCTTTAAAGATTTGAAAGAGAATAATGTGGCTAATTGAGAAGATATGTTAAATATAAACTGTATGATATATAGCATATAAAAGTTTTTATGTAATATTTCAAGCCAGTGATAATATAATCAGAATATTGCTGCTAAGAAAAACAGCAAGCCAACAAGTCTATATAAATATCTTTTATCATAAATCGGATATGATGTGACATTTGGTTTAAACTTTCTTTTTTGTTTTTTAGTTGAGTTATCACATATATGATTTATATTAATATATATACAGTATATATACATATAGATAAAGCGTATAGATATGTATACAAAATTCAATCTATCTAATTACTACTTAAATAATTTAGTATTGCATCAAAGGAAAAAAATGCTAAAGAATCTATTTTATCTTAATTAAGAAACGGAAATAAATTAAATAAAGAGAAAAGGTATTATCTATTTTTTATTCAAATATTTTATTAGTATTAATCTTTCTTTTTCACCTACATTTTACTTGTGGACAAAAATACAGTACATCATTTAATACATAAATTATACAAATATAAAGTAATATAAAGTATATCAATCGTCTGTATGGTTTCATTAATAAATCATTTATTAACCAATATCTGCTGCAACTGAGAAACACTTACTCTCTTTTAGATTTAATTTATTGGATTGAATGTCAATTACTCTTTTAAAGTAGAGGAAAAGAATGAAAGTTTGTTAAAAGAAAATATATTGAATAAATTATGATACAGAATTAAAAAGTTAATAAATACAAATATATACAGTGAAAAAAAGAGCTTTTGATAAGTTTAGCCATGAGAAAATCTTTGTATAGTAAATAAACATCGTCGCATCGTCGTCTTATTGTATTCTGTCGTATCGAATGAAAGCTTCAAACGAATTGGAAAAAAATTGACTTGTCATTAAAGGGAAAATAACAAAATAGAAAGAGAATTTACTCTTAAAATTTACAAGCTAATATAACTCTAAGGAATTTTTACTTATTTCCGAGTAGATTCACGTTTTTAGTAATTTTATTTAATAGGAAATTTCTCCGAGAGCACTGGACCTAAAAGGGTAAAATTTTGTTGCAGAAGGGACCTGATATTCCATTTTTCTCCCGTTTACATACACAAAATTTACAATAGATGTTTTTATATAAAAAAAAAGTGTATTTGCTATCTCCGCAGTTATCTACCTATTTAATGAAGAATTCTTTGGAAAAAATGACGCTTAAGTGTAAAAATAGCATTAAGAAATCATTGTTAGATTTTATAAAGAAGAGCTTCACGCTTGGCAAATAAAAATATGCTACAAACTTTGAAAAGACTTTTTCCAACAGGTGATGATTTTTAATTAAGTGTATTCTTTAGTCTAATTTGTTAAGAAATCGACAGAAGGTGATATAGAACGGAAACGGTAAAATTTTCTAAGCAAAACTTGCTTATATTCACGCTATATTAAGCAATGTCATTGGGTTCAGTTAGCCTGAAATTTTACTCTTTTATCCTTGATTCAGAGCATTGCCTTTTCCTGTCAAGTATAATGTTAATAATAATTTATCACTGAAACGTTGAGCTGAGATAAGTCTTTTTGGCGTTGTCCTCTTTTACATAACCTAAACATAATATGTATATTTCCTATTTTAAATAACATTGTTAACACGGAAGTAAATTTATATAGCATTATATTTGTTCCATATACTTTTGTATAGAGTATACTTCTTTTGATTGGATTTTATTTCATATATTCCTATATTACATAGACGAACACGTACTTTTTCTTTTTTTATCACAAACAAAAAAAAATGCATGTTTTTTATATTTAAATAGCTTTACAACTTTTCTGTGTGTAAGCCAGTTAAGAAAATTTTTTCACTTTGAAACGGAGAATGTTAAAAAAAATTTTTTATCCATAATTATTCTACTCATCGATTTACCCATCTTCTCATTGCTTCTTCCCAATCAGTTCCATCATCATCATCGTCTGTCCTTATATAACTTTCTGCATCTGTTTCTACATCGTCTGATATTATTTTTGTTTGTAAATCTTCTAATAGAACATTCCTTTCTAAAGCTGAGGGTTCATTGTCGTACAATTCTTTCTCTTCCTGAGGCGGTGCTTCCCTGGCGGCTAGTTCCATCATAAATTGTTCTTCATATTCTTTTTCCTTCATCCAATTGACTTCGTCTTCTTCATCTTCCTCGTCGGACTCTCCCGAATGCAAATCTCTGACCAAACTAGACATAGCATTTGTCAAACTATCAGCAGCTAGGAGAAGGTCATTTCGTAAAGATCTCGATCCTTCTGACCTAACGGGTGATTTTGGTGACATATGGCCAGCATTCGATTGACTTCCATGACTATGACTTGGGGAAGTTTTCAGCAGTGTCATCAAGCTTTCCAGTTGTATCATCAATTCTCGGCGGGACTCTTGCAGAGCACACATTCGATTTTCCAACTCATCTCTTCTCGACCTTAAAATTCGTAGTTCTGCTAGTAGCGTTGGATTTGGATCAGAATTTGCTTCGCTCTTAACCTGAGAAAAATTTAGAAATCTCATCAATAAAAACATTCGTTAAAACTTTTAAATAGCTAATATATATTCATTGGAATATCACCGAAAGTGTACATGTTTCAAGATAAGAAGAAAAGAAAAGAAACCTCTCAACTACTGTATATTCTTAAATCATAGATATCTTATAAAAACAAGATATTTTCCTACTGAGATGCATCATTAAAAATTCGCTACTTCGAGTATCTCTGGCGAGAATTTACTGACCTTTTTAAAGCGTGTCAGTCTAGTGAAAAATCTTCATTAATTATTTATATTTTTACAAAAGAATTTCTAATGCAACTGCGTAAGGGATTAATGTTTGTAAGCCTAAAAGATTTACAGCCTTACTCTCGTTACTATTAAGTTTAAAATGTCAAGTATATAATATTCAAACAATACTATAAACATTATAAAAATGGTAAAAATAATGAAGAAGAGAATAAAAAGAAGAAAAAAAGAGCCTTTGATAAGAAGAGAAAATCAAAAGGGAAATGAAAGGAAATGAAAGAGCTGAAAGGTCTTCTACTATGTGACAAATAACTAAGAATTTAATATTCATGTAAAATTATCAAATAATAATAAAGAAGCTTATAAGAACTTAAATGGGACTTTGAATTTAAAACAGCCATAAAAGTATTTAATTTATGGAATAAGAGTGAAAAATGTTACATAAACTCTATTTTAACAGTTGAATTTATAAAGAAATATACTTTAATAATAATTTAAAGTTACCTTTTTCAGTGTGAACTGTACCTAAAATGTACTAACTTTATTCGCACTAAAACTCGTTTGTCTTAACCCATTTATATTGCGTTTATGTCTACACCATCGACTTTTACATTGCATTTAGTATTGATGCGAAAGTAAGGAGGTTGGTAACAATCTTCAACTAGAAAACTTTAATAAAAAAAAACCTAAGGAATGTAAACATTTAAGAAAATCCTACTGTTTTCTTTCGTTTTCAATATCATCAAAGAATTTTTAAATTGTTTTATTATATGTATTAGAATTTTTCTTATATTCTTACTAAACCTTTTATATAGTTTTTCAATAGTTTCCAAATAAAATATAATAAATCTGAAATGGGAAAAGAACAAAACAAAAATCGGAGAAATATGTCAATTCCTTACGAATAATACTTTGTGAAACGCCAATAAAACATTCTTACATCGATTGTTTTACCTTTTTTTCTTTCAAGGAAAGGGAGTCATTATTCTATGATTTATATATTTTGTATTATCATCTATTATCTGACAATTCTTTCTTTACCTTCTGTTCTTTATTTAATATCCTATAGATTAAAGGCTGTCTTCTCTTAGTATTCTAAGTTAAATCCATTGGTAACCATGGTAATGTTTAATGTTCTAAGCCAATATGGATGATTCAATTTAAGTAATTCAATAATATAAAATATTAAGAAGGAGAAGAGACTAAAAGTAATTTTCATTGAAATCAATTAATTAACTGGATCTTATCATGAGAAAACATACTTTTCTTTACCTATAAGACACTATTTTTACATTCACTATTAATGGATCACATTCGAATTTATATACAATTTTTATTATTATCTCTAAAAATACACTATAATTCATAGAAACATATTTTTTTTATAGATCTCAAATATTTTTAAATCAATTGGGGAATTACTAAAAATAGAAGAAAAAAAAACACTAAGCCGAAACGTGTAATGGACTCGAAATCCCATATTAAAATAAAAAGAGAGGGAAAAAAGGAAAAAGGAAAAAAAAAAGGAAAAAAGGGAAAAAGGGAAAAGAGTAAAAAAAAAATATATGTATATAAACTTGCAATAGGAAAAATTTTAAACTATCGATCGATTAGTTGAAAGAAATAACTGAGATTATCTCAATGGAAATTTCAATCAATTATTTTGCATTATCGATCTTTAGAAATATTTCCATTTTTAAGATTTCAAGTGCTACTTGTACAAGCTTGTTTTAAAGAAAAATATGGAAATATTAGTTTTGTTTACTAGATCAAATACCAATTTTGTTCTTATTCCGTAAAAGAAATATTTAGATTGGAATTACAGGAAGGAAACTTTCAATTCTATTACTAAGGAAGCTCAAAGCCATGTTAATTGACCCGAAAGAAATACAGTAGATTACTCTATGAATAAGAAAGGAGAACTTATAAGAAGAATAGAAAGGGAGAGTATGTGTGTGTGTGTGTCAGAGAGAGAGAGAGAGAGAGAGAAAATGTTTGTATGTATGTGTGAGAAACTTTTATATCTTTCAACAATAGGTTGTAAAACTGACAGAGCAAAAGAATAGAAGGAACTCTAATTCAGTTTTTGTTCATACTAAATGAAAAGAACTTAGTAAACTGTTTCTAATTAATTTATGTACTCCTACTGTTAATTAAGTGTTATTAATTTTGCACTCTGAGAATACTTTCACTTTTAAAATAGTCAATTAAACATTCTTGTTAATGCTTTAAAAAGATTAAATGAGTATAGGGCAAACTGAAGTTGAAGACTTAGTATGTTTTGGCTGTTTTGCAACTAATCTATATACAAAACGGATGAAAGATACTTGTCAGAGTCACGTGATCAACTTCATACAATTAGATTTTCTCTTCTTCAAGTAATCAATAATTTGAAAACCATGAAAAATGGTTTGCATAGAAATGAAAAGAAAGGGAGGGGATGGGGCGGAAAGAGTGGATCTCTCTACCTCTTATTATTTCTAAACGCTTTAGTAACTTTTTTACTCTTACAGTATCTTCAGTATTCTAAAAAAATTCTCCCACAAGGATTTTTAAAAGATATAAAATTGTAAACTAATTTTATCTTATCAAAAATAGATAGAGAAAGAAAAAACTTACCCTTTCAATTTGTGCGAGAATTTGTTTATTTTTTGCCTCAAGTTCGGCTACCAGTTCTCGCTGCGCCCGGTTACAAGTAGACGCCGCATTTAATTCACTAGTTGATCTGGACGGTCTTTCAGCATCTGCAGCCAAACGAGCGGCGTATCTAGCGATAAGTCTGTGTTCATCGTCAGCCTTATCTTCGGGTAATACCTTTATGCCATTCATCATTTTAGGTAATGGAGTTGCTGGAACGACGTGCGTCAAGTCTACCCGCTTCTCATTACATTCCGAAGCCAAAGTAACTACCGGTTGATGTTTACTAGACGAACAGCTGAAAGATCTTTTTAAAGAGTTCGATAAAGATCTCACTGGTGATTTTTCAGACTTTTTTGAAGATGTTTGAAATTCAGTTGTTGGATGGGACGCTTCGTGATTCTTAGAAGTTCTTCCTCTCCAAAAACAACTTTGACATAGAGTATATTTACCACTACATATATTGCATAAATAACGCAATCCGTTAAAATCGCGTCTATTACAAACTTGGCAGACGCTATTCGTGTGTGAAACTGCAAAAAATGTAAAAGATCGATATAAATCGATTACGAACCTTGGCAAACAGATAAATTAATTACCGCTTTCTGCAGACGAAATCCGCCAAAGTACGTGTAACCAACTAAGAAATTGCGGTGGGTTAGTTGAGGTACAGAGAGTTTCTAAAAATTGCGGGAGATCAACTGACTGGTGCTGTAAGGAGGAAAAAAGTGACGGTCCGTTATATAGGCGTTTTCGCTGTAATCGATTACCTCATTTGAGGTCACGTGACTGAGCATTTTTATGACTGAAAGATGGTCTATTTCCGAGACAGATATAATTACACTCTAGAAACGATATCATGAGTAAAAATTTTCTTGCGTTTAATTAATGATTGGACGAAAGAAACGGTATTGAAAATTCTCGATTTGTTATTGATGATAAGGCTTGATAGAAAAGGAGTGGAATGAATTGAGGGAGAAGAAGTGGACAGATTTCTCAAATAAGCATGATTTTTTTCCAGTATACAGTCTTTAAGAGCCGACAAAGCCTACGTAAATTGGTAAACACTTTCCGTACAGTCATTCTAAGCTTCTATGCCATTCGTTACAGTCCAATAAAGGGTTAACTGTAAGACATTTTTAGAGTCTTTCCCAACAATAAAAGTAATTATTTTTTTTTTTTAAGTAAGTAACAATACAGTTTTTTTAAGACTAAGTATAGAAAAGAGGAGAAGGAAAACTGAAATAGCTAATTTTCCCTTTTAGTAAATCTCTCAAAAAGATTTTAACAAAATGACACCAACCGAGTTTATATTTAGTGAGTAAGCTTAAAGATATCAATTTAGTCATACGAAGGGATGATGAATCAAGTATATTAGAATGAATCAGAAAACCAAATAGATGAAATATATTTTATACACAGTAGAAAAAAAATAGAGAGAGAGAAAGAGAGAATTGCAATGAAATATAAAAAGTAATTTAGCTTATTATCGCCGTGTCAGTAATTGTTATACTAAAATATTGACAAAACCTATGATACGCTCAATTTTTGCTGCAGGACGTACTTTTTCTCGCCCATGCGTCTAATGGACACAAAGGAAACACAAGAACTATTTTATTTGCCAAGTAAACGTATAATTTTGTACTTCTGTATATTATATTAACTCTAGCAATAATTATCAACTACTGTACTTTAATAGATCACCTTGTAATGTACAAGCTATATATATATTGGTATAAATCAATTCCAGCTATTGTAGACTATAGTATAATGATAATAATAACCAAGTTATCGTTTTGTTATACAGTTATAATTTATACGTTAAGTGCTCGTTCTAAGAATGACATTCTTTGTGAAAAGCTCAACAAAATTTATCTTATAACACGAAATCTTATCTTTTCAAATCAAGCTACAACTTCAATCAGCGGATAATAGATCTCGATAAGAACCCATTTATTTCCTTACTCTATCTGAATCCTAAATTAACAGCCATTTCTTATGTAAGTCTCTACTTTCAGCCTACTTGGACAGGGTGAAAAAGGGAATAAGGAAATAATTAGGTTAGTTTTTTTTCAAATATATGTAATACTGAAAGACACGAAAATATAAGTTAAATCTTACAGAGCTCCAAATAATTGGAATACCGTATTAACCTTCTCTAACACAGTCTGTTATTGATACGCTGCTAAATTCCCAACAATATATACATCATTGAAGAATTTATTGGGTGAAATTTAATTTATTCAGATCTATTAGGTTTGCGTTTTCAGACTAAAATCATTCGAATTTACGTTGATTTCCCTCATATTAATTGAAAAGAGAAATATGCATCAATCAGTGTCTGACCTTACTTTAAGAGACAAAAGAAGGATAACGCAAGTAAATTTTTTCCATGTCCTTATATCTTATTGTATATAAAGTAATATGTCCTTTAGTAGAATTTGAAAATTGAAACTTACTATTGTTTCAGCTTTGAATATTTTACAGAACTTTATAGCAAATATTAAGAATAATGAATTAGACTATCTTTCGTTGAAATATTCGAGTTGTACGCGCCGTGAATAATTGATAATTTTTTATTACCTCTGCAAAACAGCTAGCAGCAATAGCCGCGGAATAGCCGAAAGAAGGTGCTTCTCTCAAACAACTGGGAACGGCTAGTAAATCTTGAATAACTTGATCGAAGGCATGTCGATCTAAGGAGCCGTCCGAATCGGCGCACAGAGTGAAAAGATCTGAAAAAATCAATCTTTTTTAACAGTTTCCATGTGAAGAGGGAGTTTTATGTTTATTAGCCGGTAAGCTGGCGACATCTGCCATCCTAGACGACGCCATCTCTAGGATAAAGTAAAAAGACAAACTTACATCGAAGTTTATCCGATAATTTACTATTGCACAAACAAACTAAACCGACTTTAAAGGCATTTGTACGGAGGATATTATCCTGAGAGGCGAAAGCACCGTAGAGTATAGATGCTAGTTTTTCTATACATTGTTCCGGTGAAAAGTCCAAAAGAGAACTTATTCTATAGAAAAAATAATCTTTCAGCATGTGTCCATTCCTTAGCGTAATATTATGCAACAATTGAAAAAGCTAAGAATTTGATAGTTTCTTTCCCTTATCTAAAATAAATAAAGTATTAGAATTGCTTAAAGTTCATAAGGTTATTCTTGACCTTCACTTGTCTACTTATTCTCTAAATAATTCATAATTCATCAAAGCAGTAACATTACTTTCTTGATTTAAATAACGAGAAAGAGATAGAAAAAGGATCTTTTCACTTTGCTCAAGAAAATCAATAGGTAGGCTACTAATACAACATTATCTTCCTATCATTAGCTTACAACTTTTTCCTATTTGGGGTCGAGTATTCTCTATGTTCCCTAAGCCTACTATGGATTTTGGGTAAAGAAGAAGTAAACTAAATAAGTCTTTCTTCAGCTTCAAAGTGTAATCAAAACCTAAAAAAGTAAATAATTAACTTTGATGCTATAAAAGACATATACCTGTCTAAATATACATACTATACACATATAGTTTATATGTAAATATGTATGATTTATATTGTCGTTTATACAATATTTCATTTTATATTTCTTTTAGTTTATATGTTTCATCGAGATAAAATCGATAAAAGGCAGAAGTTAAGGTGCTTATGAGCATCTTTTAGACAAGTTGAAGATATTATGACTATTGCAGCTGTTCAAAAAAATTATTACACTTGTATAATGTATTCTAAAAACATGCCTTTATATCATTATACAGTATTCTATGCCATATTAAACTGCTACTAAAATTCTACTCTCTCACTATCTCTTTTCTTCTTTCTCTCTCTCTCTCTCTCTCTGTCTGTCTTTCTCCTTCTTATTTATGCCATTTTTAATAAAGGAAAATGGTAATATATGTGAAAATATTCCCTTGCCTTTTACTCTATTCTTTTTTTCCCTTTGGGAAAAATTGACTGATTAGCTATAAAGAAAGCATTCCTTGTCCAAAACAACATTTTATCTTATCTTATTTTCTCATGCGCAATCTCTTACACACTTGGTTTCCGTCAATTCTAATTAGAAGTAAACACCAAATCTCACTCTCTAATATCCTTATCAAATTCCTTACTCTTTTATATTTTTTTTAATAGATCTAAATAAGCCTAATTAAAATGGAAAAGGATTATTGAAATATTACGATATAAGATAATAATGGAAAAAGATAGCTTTGTTGTCTTCTATGTATAAATAAGACAGCGAAAGAAAAGAGAGAAAAGTATTGAAAATCAACAAAATGTTGTTGAATGACTTTTGCTCTTTTGTTTTCAAATATACAGCAACATCTGGATTTTTATATCGAAGATTAATAGAACTAATGCGATTAATTAAAAATGAACTCTACAAAGCGAATAGATTTTTCCCCTAAAAGCCATTCTTACAACTTATGAATAATAATAAACTTACCGTAATTTTAACTGACTATATAACCTATTTAAAACGCTTATAGCGTAGTTTATCGATAAAATATCCGGTCTAGCAGGAGCATTGAGATTTCCCTCTCGAAACGCTTCAATAACGTTCCAAATATCGATTTGGTGAAGAAAAGTTCTTTTTTGGACGTAACGTAGCTTTGAAGCCGTACGATAAGAAGCAAACTTAATAGCATCAAAATTATGAATAGCTGAAAGAAATACAGATAGAAAAAATATTTAGTAGACATCAAAAACATGTTAGAAGATTAAAAGATTATAAGATTATCTGTTTAGTTCACAATTTTATGTATAGATATTCTATTGTATTACAACACTAAATGTTTTTCTCATGAGTGAAAAGAATTCATAAATAATGTATGTACTTAAATATATATATATATATATATTAAAAACAAAAAATATATTCATTCTTTACCTATCATAAATAAGAATTATGACCTATAAATGTTAAATGTCAGAAATTATTCATTCCAAAGTCATTATCTATAATGGTTGCATTAAAAAACATAAATTAAGTCTTAAGTAATTTATTTTCAATTTTTCTTTCCTCCCTCCAGAAAATACAACTGAGTGAATATGAAAAGTATTTATAATATTTTCATCTATCATAATAGAAGATACCATCTGGTGTTGAAAGACTAATATTTCCCATTGGGAATTTATGACACTCGAAGATTATGTCTATCCGAATAATTCGATATTTAACTTGACGATTAAATATATTTATACAAAGGCCATTTTATGAACCCGAAAAAAGAGAGAATATTTGACTCTATATGACAGCTTTATTTATAATTAATGAAAATTTTATATTTCTTTTCTTAAAAATGTCAACATACTGCATAATTTAATTACAAAATTAAATTTACGTCTTTTCTCTCATTCTTTCTTTCTTATTCTCTCTCTCTCTCTCTCTCTCTCTCTCTCTCTCTATTTCTCCTTCTTTTTTTGTAAAAAAAAGAAGATACAAGTACTAATAGAAAAAATCCAACTAAACTTTTTACAGATAACTTATTAAATCAATAACTTTTCAAAAGCATTAATCTTATAGAGGATACGGGAAAGTCAGAGAGAAATAGAGAGAGAGAGAGAGAGAGAGAGAGAGAGAGAGAGAGAGAGAGTAATGCCATAAGGTCATATTATCTTTTCTTCTTTTTTTATTTTATTTTTCATCAATGCTATAAAAAAGAAGTTAAAGAATACTACCAAGTTTTTAAGATAAGGGCTATTTAAATACTCTTTTTTATTTTTAAGAAAAATGAAACATAGCGGTCTATCCCTATCTCTCACTTACTTCTTCCCTCGCCCCACTCTCTCCCTCTCCCTCACTCTCTCTTTCGCCCTCTATTTCCCTTTGTGAATTGTATAAAAATAAAAACAATTGACTTTTGTAATATAAAACATAAACCAGCAAAAAGTACTCACATAATTCAGATAAAATCTCCTTAAAAACTACAGCCAACCGATTCTCATAAGCAGTTTCGCTAGCATTTTGCTTAGCTATATAAAAACAAATTAGGTCGAATTGTTAAAAGAATTTAGGTAAAGTGTTAATTGATCCTACATTCTACAAATTGATCGACTTCTTCATTTGGCATGTTCTGTTCCTTGGCTATTTCTTGTTTAGAGTCGATGTCACCTTTGGATAAAAGATACAAAAAAAGTGAATGAAGAATATCTTTGGTAAATGAAATAGAAAGAAAAAGAAAGTAAAACATCTGTAAAAATTCAGCACGTTAATTAAAAACATGAGCTTATACGTACAAGATAGCACGCCGTTAGATTTCGTCACTTCCGGAACCAAGCCGGTTAGTTTATCTGTATAAAAAAGATATATATACATTATATATATATATATATATATGTAAGTAAAATGAATTGTAATAAACAATTTAAATGAAAGTTATATATTTGTATTGATATACTATATATACATATTATATAAACATTTAAATTTATTTAGGTCATTGAAATACTCTAACTCAAAAGCAAACTTTTAAAACCATAGAATAGATAAAATAAATAGGATGCTTCAAAGGATGAAAAATATTTTACTTTATCGTCCAACTTACTCCCTTAAACGCCATTACTATAACTAACTAAAGTTTCTCTTAAGAAAACAATTGCACAAGACTGCAGAGACAAGAGTTTATAATGACGATTTAGATGCCGTCTATCGGTAAGTTGCACCGAATCAATTGTTGGTCCATCACTCGTTAATTCAAAGTACGTAAGGATTAATTGGCACTATGGCCAATTATAAACGAGTATAGCTTTTTGAATAGATAAAAAATTCCCTAACGACCTCCCTTAAAATTATGTATGCTATAAAAATTCTTTTAATTTCAACACATAGTTTATATGTAGTGTATATATAGTATATTTATATCTAATATTGAAAACCGTCTACAATAAAGGGAGAGTAACAAGAGTACAGGGTTAAATGACAATTTATTCTTCCTATTCTATGGATATTAATCATTAACTTTCACAGTTTTAAATTACAAACTATTCTAAAAGTTTTATTGGCAATCGTTGATAATAAAACAGGAGATTTCTACTCCTCGAGAGCAAAACTTTATTAGATTTACACATCACTTTTTTAATTAATTAGAACAAGAATTAGAGCGTAGAAAAGTGGATATACAGTATATATATATATACCAAACACTAGAAACCAAATGGTCAAAGTAGAAAAATAGGATACAATTATAATAATAGCTCTGTAAATAATATATTTCGTGGGTGGAAATATATAGTGATAACATGTTCTTATATTTATTCATCATATGACAAACTACAATACAAACGAATATAACGTAAAATACACAACATACAAGTATATTGTGAAATATTGAAAGATAAGAGAATATAATCAAGTTAAAGTATTGAAAAAAGATAATTAGTTAACTATTTATACTAACTTAAAGGAAAATAAACTAATGGCTTTATGTACAGAGAGACCTGGTTTATATATAAGAAAACCAAAAACAATTTGCCAAGGCAACCTTTACCCATTAATCAGTTTGAAAGTAGAATAGGGTATGGTAAATACATATATGTATACCCGATTAAATGTAAACTGCAAGTATAAACATTTCGTTCGCCTAATAGAATTCTAATAAATTACAAAATTACGATATAATTATTTAAAATAAAATCATTAACTCTTTATATGTTAAATATATATGTGATTAATGCGATGTGTTTATGTTTACTAATTGTAATGTTTTATCACAATACGGTACTTTAATATCCACAATTTTGTCACGATTTCGGTATTTTATTCGATATAAAGAGGGCAGTAGGGTGTAATAGACAGGTATACGTCATTAGAAACGCATATATGCTGATAATTAAGAGAACTGACAGACATAGATTAGAACTAGAAAACTATTTCTTATTCCCCTTGCTATTTCCACCTATTTCCCTGTATACTTTCTTTTCGTGACCTCGTCTTACCACCTTTCCCCCCGGTTCTATAGAGTGGAAAGGGAAAGAGATAGAGGAGAGCGAAAAATAGTTAGATGGATGATGGATAGAGGTTGGAATCCATAGAGAGAGCGCGAGAGAGAGAGCGAGAGAGAGACAGACAGATAGACAGACAGACAGAGGAGAGAAAGAGCATGTTTTAACAGAAAAAATAAATTCCAAGCCCCCTCCCCTACAACCTTTTTTCATTATTTTTACGAGAAACGCCTAAACTAAAACAAACTCGTACAAAGTCCTTCCAATTATCTTATTAAGCCTAATACATCCATCTATATTTTAATAGCCCAATTTTCAGTTTAACCCTTAATATCTTATAGCCTTTGGTAATTTTTATTATAAAAGGTCAATTTAATCGTATACTAGGCTTGTTTAGAACAGACTCGATAAGCAGACTGTTCGGTTAAAAATGAAAGCACTACCGTCTAGGCCAACTCAAGGCCTATAGTTCCACCAGCAAAATTTTCTCTAATAAGTTTTACAGACAAACTTCTGCACTTTTTCTTGTTCGTATCTAGTATGTCAAAATAACGTTAAGCTTTTTAAATAATAGTATTCATAAATTTAAATTGCCTTAATGATATTTAAATAAGCAGTTTTGTACGGAACAAACATATTAGAATATATAAATAAAGTAAGACATTTAAATAGTATTATTTAAATCGCCATTATTCCCTTTTAATAATATTTAATTAAGATAAAATTAAATTATGAATATAAGAATCTAACTTATAATAAGTTTTTACTATAAACAAAATAGCCAAACTAACTAGTATCACACATAGACAATCATATTTAAAATCACATACCACATACACAGACACAGACACATATATATACACACACACACACACACACACACACAGACGCGCATACAGACTCACACGCATATACATACACACACATATATATATATATATATATGTATGCATATTACAAATACGTATACATGCAACCATTAATATATTGGTAATTGTTTATATATATATATATATATATATTTCTCTGTATTGATAACAGATATATACAATTGTCTAATTGTATATTAAAGATCATTTGTCAATCCGCTGGCTTTCCACATATTTTAAATATATATGTATGCTATGATATTTTATCTCTATGAATACTAGAACATGAATAATTGTTTGTTTTAAATTACTGTTGCATATTAACTAATCGCTTCAATAATCTTCTTAGAAAGTATGTTAGACTGTCAGATTTGTCTCCTAGTTTCAGCTAGACAACAAATATACTACCTTCTTCCTTCAATTCTTCATCAATTGCCTCGATTAACTGAGCAATATTCTTCGGATTAACATCCATACATGCTGTGTCCTTCATATTTAATAATATCCAATAAAAATAATTTAAAGTTTGCCAAAATATTTGACAAACGTCTTTGTTCTAAGAAGAACTAAATGATAGCCGCGAAAATCTCAATGATGCACTTTGAGCGTACGCGTACGAGTTCGATTCGCGCGAGAATCAAAGGTACGAATCGATTTTCAACTGGCGACATCTGTTGTTTATTTTCATCTGTAGACGCGACACCTACCGTAGTTCTGCATGTCCACTCACTGCTGTTTTAAGATTCGCCCAAGAACGGTATCGCTTCGTAGAGGCACTAAAAATTTTTCTTCCTAACAGCATATTTATATAGGGCAAACTACCAGCTGATGTACTTTGTCCCTGTTTGTCAAGAGCCATTTCTTTTCAATACTGTCTATCTTTTCAGCAGAAACACTAGAGGACTAGTATATCTCTAAGCGATTATCCGGTCTAGTCCCTTCTTAAAATAGTCAAACCAAGTCAGTTTGTCAAAAGTAGCGAAACAATAGTTTCAAGACTAGAAGAGAAAAGTGCCTGACAGCTGCAACTTGTTATCGTAAGAGGTTAAAGCAATTATTTCTGCCACTTATGGGTAGCTTATTTACAAAAAAATTATGCATATATGCATCCACCATAGTTTGTCATGTTATTTAGTCTGGTCCGTTAAGAATGAAATTTTGCGGACCGCTTTTTAACGAGAAAACGTGTTTAGTTCTGCCTCCTACACACCATCCATTTACAACAGTTTGCATATATATCAACAACAGTTTGCTACAAAAGATTTTTGCATTGTCGATTACAAATCAAACATATGAGACAATTTCCCAAGCGATAGAAATCAATTCCACTGTTCACACTTTTATCCTAACTAGTTTGTCAAGCAGTAATTACTAGTTTTTCATCGTAAAGTAATTTACTGAAATTTAACAAACATCCATCGCGACTCTATTATGAGAATACAATAAATTATACAGTGAAAAATCGGGAAAAGCTCTCTGCTTTTTTTTGTTTGTATTTGTGTCTACACTTTACACCTGAAATAAGTTGCGGATAAAATACAGCATGCAAGTTATTCAATTTTCGCTTATCTCTTTGACTCCTTCTAATCTATTTGAAAAATTGCAAGTAAAAGTTTTGGAAAGATGTTAAAGAGGGAATAGGGGAGAGCAACAGTTTTTGCATGTGATAAATCAACTTGGAAACTCTCGAAAAACGTCCATCCCCATTTAGTTTGTCAGCCTATCATCACGTAATACCAATCATGAATAAATAACCGTTAATTCCTGACTCCTGGCGGGAATAGTTGAAGCAAAAAATGATAGAATAACATACGCCGCCGGTTCACAATAACAAACAATGCAAACAATCGACGAAAACGAACTGACTAGTTTTGCCTATTTCTCCGCTTCAATAATTCAAGCGTAAATCGAGTTTGTACCTTTGACTAGCTGAAGTCGATCAAGTGTTAGTCCGCATCGAAATAGACCTAATTCAAACGGTGACAAACTTAGGTTATATGCCTATCATAAAACATCAAACGCCTCGACATCACTTTTCATTGCTTTCTCCCTACTTCTTTATTTTCAAGTACATATTGCTATATGACATTCCTTTCCTCAACATCTCTTAAACTTTGATGAAAATTCAAGGTCGACCGACAATCTTGTTTTCTTTAAGGGTAATGAGAATGCATAAGGCGAAGCCATACATTTCTAGTCCCATGTGTTAATCTAGTATTACATTTTCCTGACGTTTCTTCCGTAGGAAATAAAGGTGAAAAGAATGAGAAGAGAGTTAAGAAAAGTACAAAGAGAATCTGTATAATTCTCTTATTTCCCTATAACTTTATTATCTTACCGGCAATCCGGAAGAAATATATCTATTTAATTAACAAATATACTTGTTTAAAAGTCAATAAGATATATAGATTAATTAAGGAAACGCCCATCGTTTTTAACATTAACATGACGCTTTCGTTTTTTATCCGACAGACTGATAAACTACTAAACGTCCCAAAGAAAATATATTAATCTTTCCAATTCATCACCACCTAACCTTTTCCGATATTTTAATTGTTAAAATATCATATGTACTAATAATATTAGACGCTTAAGGCGACGAGTAAAGTGAGGAGCGTTTATAAAGCTTTGCCTGAATCCTTTATAATCTACACCTTATAGAGATTTTTTTCCTACCAATTAAGACGGAAACAATGACTTTTAAATTACTTCTTTTTTAACACAGACTATATTATTTGTGTTTTTTTTCTATTTTTATCAAATGCTATAAATAAAATAGAAAAAAAAAACAGATAAAAGGTAGAAAAAAAAATAGAAATAGTAAAAATTTACATAACCAGCGCAGCTGGCGAATATCGTTAGGGCAAGCCTGATCTAGACCCACCAATGCCCTCTTTTTGTAGTAAGGTATTTAAGAGTACATAGCCAACAAGAGATCTTCTGTATATATTTCCGTTAATACGTGAATAAATAAATACTAAAAATTTTGTAGCCACGTTTTGATTAATTATAATATTGTATACATATATATACAGTATATATATATATATATATATATATATATATACTGTATATCTTATATGCAATATATGTAAGCCAAAATTTACAAATAAATCTATTTCCTTCTCAAATCTCATTCTCTTCTTTCCTTTTATAAAAATATCTGCATATATTTCACTCTCTCTTCTCTCATACAACCTCCATTCTTTCGCATATAATTCTTCTTCCTATATACTTTTCATTAAATTGTTATTGATATACCTAGTCTTTTTTTTAAGTAAATCTCTCTGTTCCTTGCTCAAGTTTTACCTTTTTTTTATACGAAAACTCAACAAGAATCTCTTCCGGTTCTGTTGGTATTCCCGGAAGAATTAAATTAAAAGGGAATAAAAAAGAAATTAAAGGAGAGAAAGGATAAGAATGGAAAAATTAATACTACTTTGATTTGCTTTAACGTAAATTTTTGTGATAGGTCAAAATCATTAATTCAGCTGATAACTCTCACATCGATCGTATTTCAGCTTAGTGATGATTACTAGACGCAGATTTGTAAAACATCAAACAGTAAAATTTTTACCATTAGTCATCTAGTGACAACTACAAGCACGCAAACTTCGTACAAATCTTGAAATAATATTTATATAAAAAGACAATATTTTTTTTCATTTAGAAAATTAGATAACCTTAAAAATGGACAGTTAAATTAATGCTTTTTCATTAGTTAAGCTTTTTTTCTACTATCTTATCTTACATCTAAAAGAAAAGAGGAGTAAGTACACAAGTATTTTGTTCTCTCTCATTTAAAATTCTTCCTTCTCCTATCGTTCCCTTTTGTCTAACGTGGAATGTGAATGTACTAGATGTGGACTGTCATGCCTTTATCGTTAATCTACCCCAATGAAAAAAAATACGGCCTCTATCAGAAACCTAAGAAACTTTCTTTCGTGTACTTTTTGTCTAAAAATAAAAGATTTTACAACCCCTCTCACCCCCTTCTTGGATGTTTGTTTACATTTATTTTCTCGACCTACTACTTCTTTACGGTTTATCCATTAAAAATATTAAGTATATCGTATTTTCCTTAAATCATTTTATTCGATTATAAATAGATTTGTTTATTTTTAATATTTTAAAAATATGTGTCTACCTTAAAATTACTCTAAACAGTTTTTTAAAGATAAATTGAATGATAAAAGGTCTACCCTATCATACTGTGTATTATCATAGGAGTAAAAAAATGCCTCCTAAAGGAAATTTCTGTCAATTTGATTACGCTTTGGTCACATGATCCAGGTTTTGTTTTAGTCTTTGCAAACAGCTGTATATTAAATCTTGTTAACATAAAAATCTGTTAAAAATAGTGGCAAATTGTCAACGCGAACGATGAATGCTTAACTTACTGGTGCCCTATCCGATATAATTCTATGGTGCGTTAGACACTCTGAATTACGGTTAGAGACAAACTGCGTTTAATGGATCACCACAGACAAAAAAATGTCCTCATTCCCCTAAAGCTAATTTTCTTTTTTTTTTTTTTAAAAATAGATTGAGCATAATAAATAAAATAGGTAAAGTTAGAAACCACTTTTTGAGATTAAGACAATAAACTACAATTAGAATTTTAGATTAAAAAATAATGAAAAACAATAATCTTAAAATAGTCTCCTTTTTTTGTTTCAACACTATCAAGTACATTTATAAATTTGGTTCTTTCACTTACTCTATCTCTCTCAACTCTTCGTTCTCTCTCTCCCTCTCTCCCCCCACCCTATGTCTTTCTCTTTCTCTCTCTCCCTCTCTCCCCCCACCCTATATCTTTCTCTTTCTCTCTCTTTCTCTTTCTCCTTCTCTTTCATTCTATCTTATTCTCTTCTTAAATGACCTTGTTTAGTAGCCATTCGAACTGAACTAGAATTCTAGGCGCGTATAACATCAAAGAAAAATAATTTTTCTCGCACTTATATCTTCTATAGCGTGAAAAATATTCAGGTATTGCAGTTTTTCATCTTCTTCCATGAGGATTTATTTGCGGAAAGGTCAACATTGTCTTAATAGCAATTTAAACACCAAAGAGAGGAAACTAGAGAAACAAATACTAAAGGAGAAGATAATATCATACCTTTTTGTCCTTTTCTTTTTGAGACACATCCAAAGCAACCGGTTTCAAACGAATCAGATTTGGAAATTGCCATTTTCGCTGTTCCGCCGTCTCTTAGAGTATCTACTCTTACAAATCCGTTTGAGTCTGCTCTAACATCTTGTTTAAAAGCAAATAAGGCGTAGGCGTTAGCTGGTCGAACTTTTCTGGGAGAGAGGTCAAGGTCATTAGGTGATGGCCAAAGTGACGTTCCCAAACGAGGAACGTCCTGTCTCCTTGTACTCTTCCCACCGTGAGTAGTCATGGTAACTTTCGTTGCCGTCTGAGGAGAGGATTTTTGTTGACTATGTCCCGTCAGGTGGCGTTGCTTAAGGCGTCTAATTGACAGCGTCTACCTGCCCGTGACGTTTTTCCCCTAGATTCGAATATAGAAAAAAAGAGTTCATGGATTAAAATTAAACTTCTTGCACGAAAGGAAAAAGAAAACAATTTAGCTAAAATGTATTTTTTATCCATCACTTTATGTCTTTAAAAGAGCAGACAAGTTCAAGCAATACATAGTAAGGGGAGAAAAAATTAATTGAACAATAATAAGGAGATGTTTATCAACTTTAAATTATAAATAGATAAGTCTAATTATATCGCTTGACTAAAGCAGACATGATTTTCTGTAGATACCGGCTGGGCGACCTAATTACGTATATGTTCTAAAATGTAACGGTAGAACAATTTAATTGTTCCACTTTGCGTGACAAATATTGAAAGAAAACGCCAAAAATGGTTATTTATTGATTTTTTAGTTTTAACAATATCGTCATTTAATAAAGTTACGTAAATCATATAATCGATTAGCGTAGCGACATTTATGGGAAAATAAATAGGCGTTAAAACGTGTAGGGAATATATATTATATATTTGAAATATATATATGTATATGTATATTTAAGGTATACATTTGCCTCTAAAACATTTAAATTTCAATAAGGAACTAGAATCATTTGTTTAGGTTTATCGCTATGTTTATAAAAGTTTTAAAACTTCTTTATTCTCTATTTTATCAAGTTTTAAAAAGTAGAGAAAATATTTTTGTAAACTTTCAACTACCTTTGAAATATTTAATTATTCTTTACAACTTTTTTCCACAACGAAACAGTCAACTCTTTGTAATATTACAACGTTATTTCAGTTAAGAAGTTGGTAAAGTGCTATTATTCAAAGTGTCCAGGCCAAGTAAGTACTCATTAAGTCATTAATAAACAACTAGGTAAACCATATTAACGACTTGCTACCTTTTTTTGCCTAGTCTTTCTATCTATATACTTTGATGTTTATCGGTCTGTCTGCCTGTCTCTCTCTGTCTCTGTCTGTGTGTCTCTTGTTTCTTTTTAGTCGATAATATCTTAAAACAACTTTGCTCATTTAAATATTGGGTTAAGTTCTTTACTATCTTCAATTGCTCCTTCATAAACAAAATAATTGAAAGTAATCAATTATTTTAGATTATTCAAATATGATAAGTATACTTAAGCAAGTATTACATATAGAAGGTTAATAAAAGAAAGTATATTGCAACTTTTTGACTGCTTTACTATTTCTTACAGAAAATTCTATAGAGTTTTCAACAATAGTCTAAGCCCTTTTCTTACGTTCAATACAACCAAAATAAAAATATATATACAGTATATGTATGCATATATGCGACAAAAACAACATCCCTATTAAGTCAATTGCATTCTATACGATTACTCTTTAAAATAAATGATTATTTATATAAAATTAATTAATAATATATTATACTTACGACGAAATTGTTGATAAAAGTTTTATTTTTATCCGTACCGCATAAAAACATTACACAAACTAATAAAAATGGAACCATAGTACTAAACCTGTAGGCCTATTTAACTAAATATTGATCAACAGTATTAAAGTTTAACTTTGATTACTCAAATTACGATCTACAATAATCACGTTCTTTTCACATATTTATAGGCGAGGCTGGAAGGATGTTCGACAACAATACCATAGTTGACAAACAAAAGAGGAAAAATTTCGATTTGTCTATTCATACGTGCGAATACATTTAAAACAGTGTAAAATATTCAAGATGAAATATATCTTGACAAACTTACCAGGAATTGTTTAGTTGGATTAGTAGGAAAGTAAACAAACGGAAGTTCATAATTGAAAAGTTTTCCGGCAGCAAGAATGATTGAGTTAAATGAATTTTAGGCGATTTTGATCAATTTGTAGAATGTTTGAGAACATTTTCAGATCTAACTCCTAATTCTGTAGCGGATATTAAAAGATTTACAACAGAATGAAACTTCCTTACAGATTAATTACGTAAAAAGGGAACATCGTAAAAAATATTTCTCTTCCTAATAAAATTGTTTTCGAGAGAGTATTACATAGAAAACTAGGTCAAAAATCATAGTTGTCGTCCATTTCTTTTCCTTAGCGAACGAGAATAAAGATTGAGTTTCCTTTATAAAGTTATACTTTCGAAGAAACAAAAATTCCTAAAATCTTATATTCTCGTACGGAAATCAATCCTCTTTAAGTTAATTAGGTTAAATATCCAGTATTGAGGAAAAATTTCAATCAATCAATCAGAAAAATTTCCTCTGGATGCTACTATTGCCTTTACATTGTCGAAACTTTCCTCCTGAGAATTAAAAAGTAAATCGTATTCTGTAAAATAGAACGACGTCGTTCTTCAGAATTACTATCCAACATATAAAACTGAGTAAATAGAATATAAAAGCTCAGAATTACTCTATGATCATTAGAATGAAAATTTTTTATTAATTTCAAATAATGTGTAATTAAAAAGAATACACTTGCAAAAACATATATACTAATATATATACTTTATATATACTGTATATATAATAAATTTATATAAGGCTCTATATAGCATATATTTAAATATAGATATTACTCTATAAAGATGAAAAGTCCTTTATCTCACCCATTTATTTAATTCATTCTAAAACAATAGGAATTTTTAAATGATAATCACTTTAATTTATCAAAAAGGTATAAGTTTAACGTTAGTGAAACGTCCTGAACGGTGTCTAAACGTCCATAGAAAAAAAATCGAAATGCCGTCAATAGCATTTAACAAGGCAAATAGTCATTAATAAAGCTATTTATTCGCCTTTCATGAAAGAACAGTTCCGACGCTCATTTGGACGTTCTTTATTACGGCATTTGCTTGTTCCTATTATAAAAAAAAGAGATATCACATAATTAAAAGTTGTCGTTAGATGTTGTTATTCATATATTTTTGTTCAACATACTCGAGATGAGCACTGCAATAGAATAAGATCAAAGAGACTCTTAACAGAGTTTTTCACTTGGATGAGAACGTTGTGATTATTTAGGGAGTCTATGTAATAAATAATAGCTTGTATTTTGTTCAATGGATGTCGAATAACTGCAATCTATAATGTGACAGCTCATTAATTATTTAAAGAATAATTTTATACAAAAAATTTAATCAAATACTATATCATTTAATGAAATACTATATAAGTAATTATTGCTTTATACAATCTAATTGTTCAAACGTAATAAATGACACATTTTTAATATTAGATTTATTAAATGTCTCCATAAATATTCGTATTTCATTTATTCGATATAGCAAATTTATAATGTTAACTTTTACTCACTTTTTCTTGAACGGGGGTAATCTTTACACCTAAATCGTTAAGCGCTATTTCTGCTATATCATCATCACCGCCAACAATCTTTAAATTGCACATCAACTGAAATGTTATTAATCATTAATACTTGGGATATATATCTACAATTTAGGGGCTTTTATACTTGTTCCTCTTCAATCTTTCCCAGAATTATATCTTTGGAAAAGACCCAGTCAATATTTTCCAAATGACCTAATAATTTTATTTTAAGCCTCGAAGTAACATTAATTTTCCTTCTAAATGAAGATGTAGATGAGTCTTGTCTTTTCATAAATGACTTAAATGAAAACATGTACAATGAATGTTAATAATTAGTCTTTGTATTGTATAATTATTTAGTCTGCCACTAAACGGAGAACAGGTTTCACTTTGATGATTATTTATTTTTAAAAGTTTTTTCCTGTTGTAAGTTGGAAGTGTGACTTCCAGGAATAACCATATATAATTGCTTAATTAATAACTTGTTATTAATCTCTTCACGATTTTTTATACGTTCTTAGATTTATGAATGTTTTACGATTTTCTATTATCTGGATACAATTTCCTTTAACGTTCTTGATTGTTAAGGAATGCTTTTGAACTCTAGACCATACTATTGGCCTCGTTATCACTGTTTAAATATAATCAATATTTTCTTCCAATACCAATATTCAAAACTTATATTCAAGTATAAACAGTATTGATATTGGATATTCAATTTTTTTGTTTATACTCAACTCTATGTAAACTATTAAAAGGGATTTTGAATGCAAATATTGTTTTTACAACTATCTAAATAATAAAATTTAAAATAAAGATTTTGTATTTTGTGAAAATAAAGAGATTATAATAAGAATTATCTGATTAACTCTTTAAGTTTATAAACAAGATGTTATAAAGGAATTTCTCTGTACATAAGTATAAAATATATAAAGAAATTTTATGTAAAAACTAATTATTAAATAGTTAATTAGTTAACTTGGTGATGTTAAAGATATTCTTGACAGGAGGCCTTCTTGATAATCAATATTGGTTAAGAATCTCATTCCAGTGATTAGTTCAACATCGCGGATTCTTGTCCGATGATCACTGATGTAGTGGGATGTATTCTAAATTGTTTTATAGAAATTATAATATGATATATTTAATGACTATGTTTTAAAACTTACAATACACTCTGGAAATGATTTTAGGTGAGGAAGTACCCATGATTTTCCATGCCAACGAGAATTGACATCTTCTTTTAGCGTTATTAAAAAGTAATGGGATGGTGTTGTTGAGTTTATCTCTGTTAAATTATCCGCCAAACCATCGTAATTGTAATCAAAAGCTGTTCCGAGTATTACGTACAAATCTTCTTTACTATTTATCAATTTATCTTCCACTTCTTGTTTCAAAAGAACAGACCAAGTATCTATATAATAAAAAATATAAATAATCAAAAGGTTTAAGATATTATTATGTGAAAGGCGCTTACTCGACTTGAAATCTTCATTCATCTCCACTACATTTGTATGATACTTTGCTTCATCGGGTTCTGATGTCCACTTTAATGGGAAAAGAAACTGTTGGTCTTTAAAGCTAGAACATGTCTTTTCATTCTCTAGACGAAAATCTATCTTATATGGGCAAAAATCCGTATCTTTACGATCAGAATTCTCTTTGTACGAAATTTGGGATACATTCAAATGAGCTGCAACCATTGCTGGATAGGAAATTAATTTCCAATAGGACGTTACAAAGGACTGCTGAAAGAGAAGTTCTGGTTTCTCTTGAAAAGCTGTTATTTCCGGTAAACCGTGCTTTATATGCTTCTCTATAAGTTGAGGTTTTTCGTCATTCAAGATATCAAGCATACTGCTATCATGTGTAAAGTTCTGACAAATTGAACAGTTTGTTCTGTTAATTCTTAAAGTATAGGTTGCCAAATCCGGAAATTCTGTAGGATTATAATTAGATTCAGTTTCATTTTTAATGTCCAATTTGGGTGGATTTTTCAGAAGGAAAGATAGAGAATTTTCAGTTCCATTATTTGGTGAAGGGGTAACATTCAGTAAGCCTATGTAAAAAAGAAATAACATAAAGTCATATTTACTATACATTAAAACATTTAAGACCAACCACTTATTAAGTTATATAACTCAATATTTTCAAATTCATAATCAAACGTAAAATTTAGTCTAAAATCTGGTCCAACCCCGGCGAAGAAGGCTTTCATGTCATCTTCGGTTGGATCCCAACCATGATTGCCCTTGAGATGACACAATTCCTTTTTAACTCTAGAAAGAAACGTTAATTAATTTTTTATTATATTCAAATTCAACTTCATGCCCACTTACACTCCTATCAACCAATTTATGTTGATGAAAACTAATAGTTCTTCAATTCTCTTTGATTGTGAATAATGAAAGCGTATTGGTGCTAATTCTTTGTTATAATTTTGAAGATTTTTAATTAGACAAGTTGATAAGTTCGCTTTAATTTTGGATAGTGGAATTCTTTCATTTTCAGGAATGTTATAATAAGATCCATTCTGCCCTCTAGTGTATGTATTGCTTATACGGCTTCCAGTTCCATAAAATGCATTCATTTTACTCAAAGCATAATCAGATAAATAGTCTTTTAATACAACTTGATTATCGCATGTAATATCTGCCATTCCATGATCAGAAATTATAACTACATTAACACACTTTCGTTTTCTATAGATATAGTTAAAAATTTTTTTTAATTCTTTATCAAGCGATTTAGACTCTTCTTTAACTTGGATGGAATGAGGACCGCCATCATGTCCAGCTTTGTCGACATTTTCAAAGTATAAAGTAATGAGATCAGCTCTTTCGTACTTTCCTTCACCCCTTTCAAGCCATTCGATGACATTACGAACTCTTTCCTTGTTGGGCACATCTCTAATAAAGAAAAAGTATTTTTCAGTTTAAATACAATCTGTGTCTCTGATAAATGCGTGTTTACATATATGGAAATAGAAGAAAATAGTCTACTTACGAGTTAAACATTTTATAAACATTAGGGTAGGAACCTTTTATCCTAACATCGGATCCTGGCCAAAAATAAGTAAAAGCTGTTTTGTTATCTCTTCTTATTGTATTCCATATTGGATCCCCTTTCCACCAATCACTAATTTTCGCTATAGGAGAACTGATGTAAAAGAATTTTCCTATATCCTTATCATACATTGCATTATCAATGATGCCATGATGCTGGGGGTAAAGTCCTGTGACCTGAGAATAATGATTCGGGAATGTTATTGATGGAAATACTGATCTCATCTTTTTCGCCCGAACTCCACATTGCGAAAATTTTGCTAAACTATCGAGAGATTCATACTTATCTGATCTTAACCCATCAATACTTATGAGAAGAAGGGGTTTTGTACTTTTATCATTATTTTTGCACAATTCGCAGTTATAATTACTATCTTTCCACTCCAATTCATCCCATAAGCTATGTAATTGTACAAATCGCTTATGTCTCTCCGGTACGTTTCTTAGCTTAGTAAAAAATATTAATCCAGTTATCAACTCGAGATCTTTCAAAGATACTATATGCTTCTTAAAATAATCAATAAGTGGATATTTTTTAACACAATCTGAAATCTCTTTGTGTGGTATAACGATAGATACTATCTTATCAGTAAGATTCCCATACAGAACAGCATAAAAATGTGTTGGTACGTCAGCGGGACTTTCATCTACTATTCCATCTCTGTTGCTATCAAAAACAGGACCCAAGATAACGTTAATTAGGTTAAATTTCTCTCCATATTCCTCAATCAAACGAATAAGGTGTATCCAGACAGTGTCTGCGAATTGCTTGTTCATTTTCACTGCATTTGTCCGGATATCAGTATTATTGTCATTTGAATTTGGAGAAAGTTCTGGAGGAAAAAGCTTTGTTAATAGCATTGAATTGTCCACGTTACACCGGGACGTTCTTATTCGAACATCTGGTCTGGTACAATTTTTCAAATCGTTAACCTTAGAGCCGTTATCTAATATAGAGTTAATAGGCTTCAATACTTGAAAGGCAACAAATAAAGGCGTTTCAAGGCTTTCCTTATATCCAATAGCATAATTTCGTTGAATTAGTCTCTTATACGGACTTTTACTAAACGGTTCCCCCAAAGGTAAGACTCTATTAATAACTTCTTTAGCTTGCGACTCGGTTAAGTTTAACTCTTTATCAAACTGGTCAACTGTGTCGTTGTCGTAACATCTACAGTTGGAACTCATACGTCTCTTTTTCATTTCATTTTCGGATGGTAGATTGGTATGAATTGGAAAATCAGGTTCAATCATATCGCTAACGTTTTTTGGAGAGGAAAGAAAATGATCTAAAGCATGCTCTGTTCCATTATTATTGTTTGGCTTAATATCCAGTAGATTACATATTAAATTATATATTTCTATATTACTGAATTCTTCTCCTACGTAGCCTTGCTTAAATCCAGGGCCATAACCAAGGAAAATTGATTTCATATTCTCATCAAGATAGTCATATCCGTGCCCTCCTTTTGCAATATTACACTGCGATGACGAAAGAGTATACCAACCATTTTCTACGTCAACAACAACATTGTCTATTCTAGGATGTTGAACATAATGCATTCTAACCGGTAAATCTTGTTTTAACATTGCATTTAAGTACCAATCCTTTGTATTATTGTAATAATTACAACTCATCTTGTTCATTATCTCCTCGTCAGAAAGACCATTGTGTTCAACAACTTTTCCACCCTCCCTCCGATATTTCCCAGAAATCCTTGTAAAAGAACCTTGATGTACATAGACATTACTCGTGTCCAAATATTCATTTAAATTAACAGTTTTACTACATTTAGTTTCAGCCATTCCATGATCACTAACTAAAACAATATTAACGCATTCCTCTAAATTTTCCTGAATTAGTCCACTTATAAGTCTATTAATAAGGTTATCAACTCTTGTTAAATTGGATACAACATTCTCCGAAAATGGACCATATTCATGACCGGCACTATCCGGTTGCTCAAAATATGCAATAACCAGATCAGGTGGCGAATTTTTATCTTTAAACCATTCCAAAATCTGATCAATTCTTGCAGTATAAGGAACGGAACTGTATTTGGAAAAAAAGATTATAATTTGTCTTCATTTTCACAGAAACTGTTATTTTTATTATCAGAGATTCAAGATAACAAATTGAATATGCCAACTGATTAAAATTACGATACACTAATATTAATATAAGATACGTTAATAATAATACTGTTGTTTTTTCTCTATTTTCACTGATATGAATTTTAGTTCAAGTTAAATATTCATTTTCTGAATAAATTAATCTATTTTCTTGTTTTTTAAGCAGAAAAAAAGTGTCTGCATTTTTAAGAAAACAAAATAACACTAATACTTGTAATGATAACAAAACTACCTATCATATTGATAACAATCATCAGGAAGTTTCCCTTCATGAACGACGTCAGTTCCAGGCCAGAAAAAGGTTTTAACTCTTTTGCCATTATCTTGAGCATTCAACCAAATAGGTCGACCCTGATACCATTTTGGGTCATTTTTTGTAGGTAAATTCAAAGCAAAAAAATCTTTTGTCTTTGGATCCCACATTCTATTGTCAATAACACCATGACTCTCTGGATATAACCCAGTAACCATAGAATAATGATTGGGAAAGGTTTTTGTCGGATAAATACTTCTCAGGCTCTCCGCCCTAACGCCACAATCTGCTAATTTTTGTATGGCCGGTGTTACATTCCTACTTAAATATTCGGTTCTGAAACCATCCAAACTTATAAGAATTGTAGGAGAAGATTTCATGTGACTTGGACAATTTTTTCTTCCCATTCTATTTGGACACTCTCCATTCAGCCAATTAATATTCGTTCTAGAGTGAGAGAAGACTCTTTTCCCATTCCAAGCCTTACATTTTTTCTCATTGTTAGTATTACTTCCCCTCTTCGGTAATCCAAGTCCCAAGCCTAAGGACTGCGGAATTAAATGGAAATTAGTAATTTTACCCAAGTATTACTTTATGTCAAAATCTATCCTTTCTCTCTCTTTTCTCTATCTTTGTCTATTCTCTGTTTGTGTCTCTGCCTTTCTCTTTATATCACATCTATGTACACTATATATATAGATGTACTACACTAAATACCATATTTTCTAGCGTAAGAAGCAATTATATGGCTATTATTTTCTTTTTACCCAAATTCTATTTAACACAGTCAATTACAAAATTATTTGATTCATTCATAAATATATTCAAAACAAAGATAGTCTCCTACTAAAGAAACCTATCAATTATAAAACTATTTACCTATACTAAATTCTTAATTAGTAGAGAAATAAATAGAATAAATCGCTTAAAATAATATGCTAATAACAGCTGTTTTCATACTGAATACTAAGGTCAAAAACTGTTACTTGGTAACTTCAATCTCCATCAAAATGTTTCGTAGTTATTTATCTCTTATTTTACAGATTATTTATACTAGCTATTTATAATAAAAAACTAAAGATAAACACGCTTAAAATATTAAAATGTTTAACAATTAATACATATTGTCAATTATCTATTACATAAAGTTTTACATTAATAATTAAATAATAAATATCATTTACCAGAGATAAACCAACAACGACTGTTATAAGAAGTATAATGTAGAATAATTTCATTTTTCTAGTTCCTGATTGCTGAGGAGGAGGAAGAGAGGGAAAAAATGAAAAATGATAATTAATGAAAATGAACAACAACAACAATATGTTAAAACGGGTTTAAATGAAAAATTTTATAGACCTACTATAAATATGATAATATCTTTCACATGTTCACTTAAACATAAATTTATTTTATTGTTCGATTATAAAATAAACAAAGCTAAATTTAACCTTTTCTCTTCCTCCATCTTCCTCGTCTTCATAACCTTTAATTCTTTCTTTATCGAGTTCAAAGTCAGCCATGAGCTCTTTAGTTTCAAACCAATTAAGTATATAATAACGAATTTATTGGCCTCTTTAATAAAATTATCAAGTTAGCTTGAATTATTTTATCTTTTTATGATTTTCCGTTTGTCTTATTACTCCTAAGTTATTAAATGTGAAAATAAAGGTTCCGATTAAGAGTGTGAGCTATATCTGTCAATTGATTCTCCTTTATTTGATTTTTTTTATCTGAAAGATACGTGACTAAAAAAGACAAGTCAAAGTTTAGGCAATTTGTTGAATCGAACCTTTTACAGAGGATAATCGACATAATCCAGAAAAATCTAGTAATATTTACCGTTTTTTTTTTTATTTAAAGAATATACTTTCTCTAAATTATCATCCAACTGTATTCTAAAGTAGAACAAAACTGAATAAAAAAAAAAGAGCGGTATAAGATTTCTCATGGCATTGTATAAAATTCTCCTGTTTATAATTAGCCCTAGAAACAAAAGCATTAGCATATGATACACATATTAAAACAATAATTAAACAATTAACGTTGCTTTCATTATCTCTTCATTGCTGATTCCTACCCTCAATCTTTTTAACATTACAGAATAAGGTCAAAATTTTGATAAAAATATACAAACGATTAGTTGTGTATATAAAGAATGTATATATTCAGTATATATGTACAATTTTATCTAAAGAAAAAGGTCAAATAAGAGGGATTTGCTAACTTTTTAAACAGAAGCAAAGCGAAAAGTTAAAAAAAAAACTATTATATTTCTTGGATAATGAATCAATTTTTCTTTATCATTTTTACTAAAAATCAATTACAGATTAAGAGAGATAATTGAGATAATGAAAAAATATTAAAAAAAATTTGTAATAACAATTTACCTCATGTGAACTTGAAAGTATCTCTTCTTTTTTTACTTTTCAACTTCCACAGAGTATATATAAATATATATTATACAGTATATATATAATATCTTAATTATTAATAGTAAATATCTATATATCTGTTATATTATTTTTACTACTCAACTCTTCTAAACATACTAAGTGAATGTTGTTTTATATTAAATTACATTATTGTCTTAAGTTTAATATTGTATGTTTTTTTTTGTATATATAGAATATTTACAAGCCAGGTTTTGTTTTATTCTTCACTTCTATATTAACTTGGTACTTGAAAAAGACTTTTTAAACTTCATAATGATTTTTATTTAAAACTTTTCTAACCTTGTGAAAAAATTTTAATCTAAAGTGTTTCATTGATAATCAATGCTTTTCAGAGATTGTAGAAAAAGTTAATTGAACAGACAGCATATTTATTTTCTTGTAATAAAGTTTTATTCTTTTTTTTTAAATACGATATATCGTTATAATTCATATTATAATCATGTAATACAGTATATACATTTGTATATATTTCATTGATAAAGAAAACAAAGCGTTTCTGATAAATAAACAGTATATCATATGCTATTGTTTTTCTTCTATTTGCGTTATTATTCAACTAACTTTATTTTTCTATATGATAAAAAGGTCGATGATATTTTCTTAATAATAGTCAGCTGATCATTATATTACAAATAATTTTTAAACGCTTATCGCTCATAGAAAAATGTATTAGTATGTAAGCTTTCAAATTAAAATTACATTATTCCGATACGATAAGAGATAAAAACTTTAGTCAATTCCTACGCGATAGACTGTATATAGTTAATTTATTATCCGTTTTTTTTAGAGTAACTTAAATAGCAAAAACTATAATAACCTTTTATCATTTATTTGAAGAATTATAGAAAAAATTCACCCTTTTCTGTAATCGTATAAGGATAATACAAAAAGATAACCGAACGAATTTATTCTTGTTAAATATTCAATAAATCCTCTATATTCGATCTTTAGTTCTTCAATTCTAAAACTAATTTTATAGTCTACGTTTCATTTTTACAGCTGCTAGCAAGGATAGTTTCTTCGTTATACAATCGAGTGTACGCCCTTTTGATAATCGCCAAATCTACTACATATCTGTTATAAGTATTAAAAAAAACTGATAGATTGCGATAAAAAAGCATCTGAAAAGTGTTTTTCAAGCTTCTGTTAAATGTTGTATAATAAGCATATACTTGAATTTATTACTAAGTAGTATTAAAGCAAAGAATAAGAGCTTTCTAATATGTAAATTAGGATTTTTTCCATGGAAAACGGAAGGGAAAGGGACTAAATCTCTCTTCGAAAAAAATCCACGATTTTCTCCTCAGATAGCAAATTGACAAAATATTTCCTGTTTTATATCCAAAAAAAGTCAGATATTTTAAAACTTAAAGACATGTCTATCAGGATTCTTTGCAGTTTTAAGTCTTTTAATGTATAGCGTGAGCCTATATAAGCCATTGCATGCAGACTGTCTCTAAATTGTCTCATTCAAGCAAGACATAAATGTTAAATAAAACTTGACACATTTCTTCTTTCCGTCACATTAGTAAAGAGGAAATATTCCCATTCTCCCCTGTAGACTGGTTTAGATCTATTCTATTTAGTTCTAACTCCTGAGTGGCTTTTATTCGAATAAAAGTAAACTCATGTCTATTCATTATCAGTTCTCCTTCATTCGCTTCCATTACTACATCTCCTTTTACCAGACTCGAGCTTACAGTCTTTTTTAAATTTATAATAATTAAACTTATTAAACTATTTGAATAAGTAAGAAACACTTAAAAAACTGTTGTTGTTTATTAAATACGTTTATTACCTATTCAACAGATTAAATCTACATCCAGTCCTTTAAATATTTATAGTACTGTTGTTTTTATAAAAAAAAAAGACAACATATTTTGTATTTTGAGCTAATAAATAGATTTAACTTAGCTTATGAACTATCTTGAAAATTATGACAACTATAAATCTTTATATATAAATATCATGAGATCATAGTAAAGCATGATGCTATATCGAGTAATAAAATTATTGACACAGATCCAAAAAATTCTTATTTTTCTATTTTCAATTCTTGTTCGTATAAGAGGATTTTTTCGATTCATTTGTTGAAAAGAGTTAAATTAAGTGTAATAATGGATATACTCTTTGAAAGAAAATTCCTTAGGTCAACAATAAAGAGAACACTATTAGAGATTTATCTCTGTTCAATTGTAGGATATTTTGTTTAGTATACGAAAAGAAGTTGTTGGCAATAAGGAATTTTTAATAAATCTATTTAGAAGACAGATATACTAACAGTCTAACTTTTTACTTAAACAATAATACTTTAAATATGAACAGTTTTAACTAAAATAACTTCTTCATTGTTATATAAAAGAAAGAAAAATACAATAACAACTTTTAATTGTTAGACTGTATTGTATTGTATTTCTATGTATCAATAGATGGCGTTACTCTTTTAGATAATAAAGAGGCTTGCTTATTATAAATATCCTTTTTACATTTAGCCTCAAGGTTTACTATTTTTAATAATTATTCAAAAAAAATACAAAATAAAGATAACAATAAAGAAAGCACCAGCTATATATTCTCCCATACTAAGAAAATACAATTAATAAGAATCCATTTCTCCCTCTTTTCCTTATCTGTAGATATCTAGGCGAAGAAAGAAGATAAAACACAGCTGAATGTTTGTCTTCAAAAGAAAGGTAGGGACAAATTTCTAAAGGAAACTGAACGTCACTTGACTGTTGATAAAAAGAAGACTCACAGTAGCAAACTATTCAATTGTATTCTTTAGTCGGTCCTCAACAATAAATTTTATCTACTACGCCTATTCCATAAGATTTACTACTATTTTGAAGTTAGATAAGAAAAAAGGAAACTCTATATTATATTAGCTTTTTAAACTGTTTCTTGTTTGTCAATTTATATAGGTTTTATATTATAAACCATTCTTAGTGTCCCCTCTACTATTTACTAAATGATAGACAAAATCTTATTCTTTTTGAAAGGGATTTATTTTAATCATTTGCTTCAATTCTTCATTAAAATCTGCAATAGATTATATAAATATACAGTATATAAATACTGTAAAAAATGTTTTCTATTCTATTCTATGCTTGGCGGATATTAAATTTACACTTTATATATGCAGTATATAGAAGCGTTATTATTATAATAATGTAACCAAACGGAATTGCAGTTAATACAGAAAAAGAATTATTCTCAAATAAATTTCCATTAAAATACACGTACTTGAAACTACTGTTATAAAACACTCTGTGGGAAACGAAATCTCTTTCAAGGTCGTTAGGAGAAGCAGTATAAGATGTAACCTAGATTTTTTCTCCTTTATTTGTACATTTATAATTTATATATATAGTAAACCTCTATATTTACCTCAGTTTTTTATTAATAATGAGGTTAATACTGCAGTTATCCTGTACTGGAAGAATCAAGAATATTTTTACCTTAATATTAATGTAAGATTTAAGATCAAATTATAAATTGAAACTGTAAAAGTCTTGTAAATCATTTCTACTTTTCGATGCTTATTATATATTATACACCTTGAAATGTGTAGTCAGTGCAAGGCAATGATTACTATAATTAAATTTCTCCTACAGGATTTATGAAAGAAAAAGATGATACTAATCTCTCTTGTAAAACGCTTTAATGTTTATTAATGATCCTTTTTTTGTTAATCCTCTTTCCATAAGTAATCGAATAATAACTTGTATGTTTATTAGTACAAAAGAAAGACTATTTATTGTAATTCAAGGCGTACTTCTTGGTGTTTTGAAAATCATAAGGTTGCTTTTAACTTTGTTTTTTTTGTTATTCTTTTCTAAATAGTATCTAATTTTATAGGGGAAAATGTAATTAATTGGACACAGCCAGTTTTTGAAAGATGTTTACTTTGCAGAAAAAAAACTGACAAAAAATAAGAGAGTACAGTTTTTAAGACAAACATATAAAAAACTAGGCAAATATAGATTAAGCTGATAAATTTAGAGATGCAAGATACTGTACTTGGTAGATATTAAATAATACATTCAATTTATCGAAATGGTTAACAGATCATTTTCAGTTTCAATTATAGGTTCAATGGTTTCTTTTACAGGGAACAAACAATTTTTACATATCTTTGTCGGAAGTCGATAGATTAGATAAATTTCTTTTACGTGCACTAACAGCAGTAATTTACTAGAAAACCTTTTGTATTATGACATTGAGGTTACTCTAATCGAGCATATTTTATCTTTTTCTCACACAAAAAACACAAACACTCAAATCATAACTATTACTATAAGCATGAACGATATACAATTGTGATTAAGGACAGAATGAAACTGTACGAACACTTTGATACTTAAAACATTATTCAACTAATAACATATGGACAGATTGATAAATAATAAATCAAAATTTATTTACATAAATAAAGCTTTTCATATTTCGAAAGTTTAAATGATATCTTCTCATTCATCCATATGGCACTTTTCAAGTATTCATTTATTCCAAATTAGGCTAACTCAAATGGCACTACACTACCGGGTCTACCTCGCGTTCGTCTTTCTGCCTGATAGGATAAAGAATTTACGGTTTTCTTGAGATTAATATCAGCTGGATTTCTTTGCTCAAATTTTTAATTGAATATATATCGTTGATTAGTTAATTTAACTCGATTTAATCAGTGCAACACATACTCTTCAATTATATATTCATATGCATTCTGTAATTTTCTTTCTCCACGAAACTTTTTCAAGTCTAATAACCAATTGCAGAGTTTGAGCTCTCCATGAAAGCGCGATGAAAGAAACAAGAGCAAAGCTGGCAGTAAACCTTGTGATTACACTCTCCACAGAATTACTTTTTCTCTCTTATACAATATCCTATATTATAATTACAAAAAATTTATTTTGCGCACATATTAAAAACAAGCTACTTGTTATAAGATTCATTATTAACAAATTTAGTGCATTCAAAGTTATAGACCTCTAAAGAGGCTTCTTAAGCAACAGAAAGCAATTGTACAAAAGAAAATGTAGCGACTCAGCTGGCTAAAATACATGTACGTTTTTCCTTCCGTAAACTCTTTATAATGAAATAAGTTAACATTTTTTGCGTGTTAAATGCGTTACGTAAAAATGAAAAGTAATTATTAAAATATTATAATTACTATTCTCCTGAATATGTTATGCTCTTAAATCAGATCGAAAAATCGAAAGGTCTGATTAAACGACTAATATATCCAAGGAAAAAAATTCGAGTACAAAAGCAAAAAGACTTTACAGGCAACTGAACACTGAGAAAAAACGCTCTTGCAAAAAATAAATGGATGCTTGTTTCCATGCCTATGACATGGATGAACAAGGCAAGTGAGGAGAACCCATTTGAATTAGAACTCTATCTAACCACTGCAAAGGTCCATTCAAATGAATCTCTACCCAACATGGTGTGGACATAACTGTCTGCCGTCTATACTCTGCACCCCAGCCTTTCACAAAACTCAGTCTGATTGTACACATTCTTGTCAATTGGTAAACAGCTTCGAAACCGCTTTGAACGCTCGTCTCTAATAGAGCGGCGAATTCAGCATTATTAAAAATATTCAAGTTGCAGCCTGGCGGTATCTTGCAGACAGTTGCTGGATGCCAACCGTATCTTCGATTACAATTCGGTGATTGAACAAAAATAGCTTGATCGCTTAAACAATCAGCAATGACTTCACCGTTAGTATACTGCAGGCATACTCCTCTTCCTATATGACGTCTGGTATTTTCTACCTGCTGACTTCTATTCACATTTGAGAGTAATCCCAAGCAGAACCTTCCAGAATTTGACGGATCAGTAAAGCCATCAATTGATAATTTCGACTGGCTTGCGTGGAAGGGTTCTCCAACTCTGGATCCTAATTCGTAATAGGAGACCGTACACCAATGCTCTGGTTCTTGATAGGCAACTGGCTGAAGATCAAGAGTTGGATTAGGGGAGGGGGGAGACATATCCATTTTATCTTCATCTTCTTCTCCATTAGCTTGTGAAATATTTTCACTTTCGCCATCTTCGGAAACGTAACCTAACAAAAAAAGAGAAAAAATTTTACTTTCAAAAATAGAAGAATTTTACTAATATTTTTTGATAAGATCTACAAGACTAACGAATACAAGCGTATTAATAATTTTAAAAATTGGTCAAATTAACTTATTGTATTCTGTTATGAAAAAAAGCTTGTCATCTTTTTGTTTTATCAAATTTCAAACAAAAGATCCTTTGATGTTGATAAAATGGCGTGTCACATTTTTTGTCTTGCAAAAAGATAAATGTAACAATTTTCTACCAATAGCTTGTTTACAAAAATACTTCACTGAACGAATTTCTTTCATTCCCTATGTTACTCATCAAAGTACAAATAGAAATAAAACCTCTCCATTTCAACAAGACTATATAAACTGTTTCAGCTAAAGGGCACGTAAGATTAAAGCAAATTGGTTTATAGGTCGAAGTTTCAAGGCTAATATTTTGTGATTTATTATAAGAGTATTTATATATCTTAAACTACAAGTATACAAATTTCTATTTATTTCACTTTCGAAATTAAGAATACTCTATTGTTCTTGTAATAAGGATTCCTAGCAAGACGTATTTTAAATGATGCGTTGTAAAAAGTAATGATTGACATTTGTGGATTGTAGCAGAAAAAAGATCAATAATACCCAGGTGGCGCCGTTATCAATATGGTTAATACAAAATCTAGAAGTTGGCTTAATCTTATAAATAAATTTTATAACGTAAATGATAATGTATGCTATAATTATGTAATCTCATAGCTATTTACTAACATTAGGATTCAATGGTTTTAAAAATCCTATCATTGATAGAAACAGATTTGTTACATACAAAAATTGATTTCGAAATCCAAATACGATTACTACCAAAAACAATAAATTTTTTCCTTATAATATTTTACTATTTATTATATTGAAGATAAATATGACAGCTATTTCCTAGCACAAATTCTTCTTTCACTTTAACCAATAAATAAAAAAATATCCAATATAACTGTTATTAATTAAGATTTTAAAGCTTTGCTCTCAAAGCAAAAAAAGTTTCACAAAGCTTACTTTTATTAAATAAAGTAATATATCTATTCAAATCAATTAAATACTTTAATCTTTTTAAACAAAGATGTTGTAAACTGTTTTTTTTTTCTGCTAATTCTATTTTCATCTTATTTATAATGACAGAACATGATTATACTAAATGCATCATTAAACTTATTAAATTTGAAATATGTCAAGAACAATATGATTTATTTATAAGAAGGATTTTCTATTTGTCCCAAATAAAAGTCAAACATTATCTTTAAACTCAGCCTAAAGTCTTTTTAGATAACGTTAAAAAAATTATTCAATATAAGTCCACGTTCATAATAACAGTGTTACTCTAAATATCTTATTACATAATATATTTTCATAAGAATGTTTATGATATACTAATTCAATACAAGTTTCAAAGTAATTTTTATACTTCATAAACTATTGACCGTCTTAATAATTAATAAACTTTGATAAATACTTTCGTTAAACATAGAAAAGATGAAAAAGATAAAAACTATTATTCGATTATAGCGATTAAATATAGATTTTCTAAATCTGGGTTCTAAATATACTTAAAATACTCTTATTATATGGGTTTATATTAATATATAAGATTGAAAGAAATATTAAGATATTTTATTTTAACGAATAACTGAATCTCTCTAAAATTTAATGTAAAAACTATAGTAATTATAAAATATTAAATATCACTATGAAAATTTAAAAAATTAATAGAATTTATTATTTAACTATTTTTAGGTTTGTCCACTGAAATAAAAAAGAATACAGTGCACTTCGAAAATGAGTCTTCTAATTTAAGAATATTATATTAATAAAAATTTTGTATAATTGTTAATTACAAAAATTCATATTGTGCCACTAATATTACTAATATCTAATTAAGAATTTATAGATTAATGATACTTGTAACTATTTAACAGAGGATTTTTAGCAAGTATTTATTACATTCTATATGAGATGTTTACTTGGTCAATCGATTAAATTGGCCTATATGTAACCAGTAAAACGATTCATCAAGGACTCCTCTTCGAAACACGTTATCGTTATATAAGCTTTTGTCAATACGTTCAAGAGAAGTTTTTCTCGATTAAAAATTTTTTTAGCCAACACAAACTAAATTTAGACGTCAGTACTACTAATAATGCCATGTGTTTAAATTACAATTAAGTTAAATTTAACCTGTAAACAAAGGATTTAATTAACTAAATCTGTTATGAAACTAATCTGGAGCCTATGCTGGTGATGTTGAGTTTACAAGTTTACTTGTTTTATTTGTAATGAAAGAGACAAAAAATTTACTTAAATCGTGATTTTATCAGTATCAAGAAGAAAATCTCCAAGATATTTTAATTTGGCCTAACGTCGATTTTAAATGTCAGAGGGGTAATTACTGATATTTTTATAAGTGAATGTAATTTATATCAGCTAATAAGAATTAGATACTATTAAAGCGAAAATAGCGGTATTCGGACAATTAACCTGATTAATAACCGACAAAAATTCACGTTTTCGTTTCCTTAAAACAGATATTTATAAATAAACTTTTCTCAACTACTAAATTTGCTTCTTATAAACTAATAATTAAAAGGAGATATACAAATATAGAGAAGAACGTGCAAACCTGGAGGAGGACTCCTTAGTGAGGTAGAAACCGAATTTCCAAGAGTAGGTGTCGGAACCATTACACTAGGTAAAACTGAAAAATAAATGAAATTATACATTATGTACTAAATAATGTTGACGTTTATTAAATAGAATCGCGCCAGAGTCTAGAAGCTGTCTATTATTAACAGAGCTCAAAACATCACATATACATATAATGATATATAGCTATATAGGTAGTTTTATATCAAGGGATTTTCTGGGAAATACTTCCTGCAAGTGTAGTTCATGCTTTCCAAAAAATGCTTATTCTATATTAACGTTGATAATTAACACCTGATTTTTATAAATGATGACAGTTTAATATAAGATATTCCTTAATACCTGGTAATTGCGACTTTAATTCATGGTTTTGGGTAGGATTTTTTTCCTTTTTGATACTAAAACCAAATTTCTTCATCCTCATTTGTGCCTAATAGCTTATAGCTAAACTAAGCACAAGTTCAAGTTTTCTCAAATCCTTCTCAATCTATCGGAAACCGGCAAGAACTGTCGAACTGCGCAGTCGTACTAATGCCCAAAACAATATATGATTATAACGCCCTCTACAGTTATTGCATAGAGAAAATTAACCGCCATCTAACGTCAATATATATATATAGCAAGTGTAAAGTTCAATTGTATTACGTATTCGTAAGTAATAAATAGTTTTTTTTAATCATCTTGAAAAGTTGGATCAAAGTTCATATCTTTAGTTTTTTTTAATAGAATTTAAAGAACAACTGATAAAAGTAAAACGTGTAAGTCCTTAAAAAAGACAAGAATATGGTGACTTCCTTATTATCTAAGTAAGACCAGTTCAAGGCAAAAATAAAATAACAGTTATAAAATTAACTGGAATTAATTGAATTCACATAAATATTAATACATATGTCGTCACAAAATCAATAAACAGCTTTTGTTTGAAACACAAAAAAATACCTGTCTATTTTTACAGAGTAATATTATAAAAATGGCCCTTAACACTTAGTTATGCTATGTCATAAATTTAAAGTTTCTTATTTATTCTTTAACTACAACGAATTTAAAATATCAGTGCTAGAAAGAAAATCGTAATATTTCCTACCAAGATGAACAATCTAGTTAAGATTTTATAAACCAGCACTGAAAGATTGATTCATCTTCTCAAAAGAAACATATAATCCTAAAAGGAAAAATAATGTTTGCTTATAAATATAAATATAGTCTAAATTGTAATTTGATATTGTACGCTTCAATTAAATATCTGAGAGTAGGATTAATTTTTAGCTTTAAGGTCAGTTATTGTTCTTAGAATGTGTACCTTAGTGTACTTTTTATTAACAAAGCTGAGAGTATGTCATTATCTACAAAAATATTTGTTGTACATTTTAGTCTAAATTTCACAATACAGTATATCGGTAGCGTTTGTTTAGTTTAGTTTGACATATGAAGTTGTTATTTATCACGTGAAGTTTATTTAATTAAATGTTTTTGTTTAAGGTCAGAGAGTACCACCAAATTTTCCAATTTGATCTTTAAATGACTAGATTCATTATCTGAAATTTGAATGCGACTAATTTAACTCACGGGGATTAATTAGTGTTTTATTTAACCAGCTATTATTATTTAATTAGCACCTTCGCAAAGCATCATTCAATGAGCCATATATTTATATTCTATATATAAATACTGTATGTATGTGTATGTTATATATAAACTTTCCCCTTACTATATCTTTTTACTAAAAATGTCACGGTTATCGTGACCTATATTTGGTCTCTATTCAAAAAGGATTATCTCTTCATTGTGATATGGTTTAATTACTAGATAATCTAATAGATGGCCATAACAGGTAACATTGTAAAAAACATTTCGAAGACATAAAGCGCCACCTAATGATTTACTAAAAACATTAAGTATGTTTCAAATCTTGAGATAGATATATATTAGGCTTTCCATTCGTTCTGGATGCAACACTAAGTTTACAGTAACATACCTCTGACATCATATACTTTAGGTCGTATGACGAACTGATTTTCATTTAAAATTATAGATTACTCAAGTTTACGGATAAATTAAACATACCGTATCTCTTTTCATTGTGATTTAACAAAAAAAGCTTACTGAGAAAAATACAGGAGTTACTTGACGAGTTCTATCTCCATCTGCTTACGTCAAAGAAAACTTCATATGTTTCTGATTGTTTATGAGTATTACACGGATTTTAATCTTTGAAATTGCCAATATAACTAAGTTACAGAACATTTCTCTTTATAACCGATATTTAAAACAAACCCAATGTTTTAAGTTCATTCCAAGTAAAATAAACCTACTAACTTGGCTTTTGAGCAACTAAGTCTATTTATTCAAATGAGTATAAAAAAGTCAATTAATACTCTTAACAAGAATATCTATAAAAGAAATCATCCTTTAATAATTAGCTAAAATATTATATAGATTTTCCTTTTTGGAGAAAATAAAAGAATTCTAGTAAAGCACTCGAAGAAAATTATTCATGAAATATCACGCAACGAATAATTCCGAGTAAAAAGTAATTATTATTAATATGCAATTGTTCTCCATAAAATAAGTATAGCTTATGTAATAACTGTCTCATATATATTAGACAGTGTTTTTGTGTAATAAAATAACAGCTGTTTAGAAAAATGTATATTATAAACGCAATAGAATAATTTAAATTGACAAAATAAAGAGGAAGAGCAAATCATTATAATCTTAGTAAAGTTATTGTTATGTTTATATTCAGCTTAAGATATAACCGTTATTTCATGTACAAAATTACGTGTTTGAATAAAGCATTCTTTGAAGGTAACAGCTGTGATAGTGTATCTTTTTTTTAAATATTTCAGTTTGAAATTATTAATTCAAAAAAGAGAAATGTAAAAGCTTTTTTACTGTTAGTTTTTTAAGAATAGACTTCTATACAATACAAAAGACAATTTTTAAAAAAGAACTATTTAAGTAATCTTGTAATTTTTCTCTCAATATGATTATTCTAGCGTATCTAACTATGATAATTTTATAAAACAACAGATATTTTTTAACTTTTGTAGGTTCTCTCAATTACATTTTTCTCTTTGTTTTATATAATATAGTTTATCAAGATATATAAATCCATATAATACTTGTTTGATAACAATAATTTCCTATAGATCAAGTATATTTCGATGTAAAATCCCCTTTAAATACAACATTTTTATATTTTGAAATGTTCTAGCTTGCCTTATAGAAATTTACATTTCGTTTCGTTATATTTATACTAGACGTCAACAATTTTAGCTAACCTATCACGTGCGATGCAGAAACTCAAAAGAAATGCTTTCGCAATTTTTAACCTACCTCTTTTTAGTGTATCTGTGTTAGTTACTTCTTCAGTTTTAATGCGTTGATAGTGATACGGATTGACGCAAACCTAAAAAAAAATCAATTAATTACGTAACTATTATATATTGCGAGATTTAAGGTCAGTAAAATTTACTTGATCTCTCTTTAAATGAAACGCAAAAATGCAATGATCCATGGATTTTAATTCATTATGAGAGGTTAGATCAGGCCAGCGCCATAGTCTACAATACATAACATGAGGCATTCCTTTCCTCGTGCTTACTTGCATTCTTCCATCCAAAGATCTAAGAATGTTTATAAAATTAACAACGAAGACACACTTAATATATTCAGCCAGCGAAATTGCAACGAACCTCGGAATTTTTATGCAATTTGTATTAGCATCTTTTTGAGAAATTGCATTCAGTAGTAGATCAATACCTTCGTTACCCGATAAGCCTCGGAGTTTCTTAACAAGGCTTTTAATGGCTTTTTCAGGCCATTTTTCATCCTTGTCTTCTCCTTTTTTGTGGTTCAATAGTAATTTAATTACATTCTGTACTTGGAAGTTGGACATAACTTTTTCGTCACCCATGATTCTTTTGCGCTCAAAATATCATCCAATACACGAGAAAAAATTCACTGATGATACCTGGTACTAAAGTAGGTTGATTCACAGCTATCTGCAAACGAAAGACTGGAAACTTTCAGTCAGGGTTTGTACGCCATTTTGCGTGTTGACATAGAGAAGTAGTCGTACGCCTTTGAAAAAGGTAGCTCTAAACACTGTGTCGAAATAGTATTCCCAGAAGTTACTCTGGAAAGCTCACCGCTTACTACTTTTGTTATATTAAGGAACAAAGGAGTTGTTAAAAAGCAATTACTCATTTCACATAATAGTCTTTTTTACATTTCATGAACAAAAAAAACTTAATAGATGTGATTTTAATTGATAAAAATATATAAATATTAGCATATAAATAAAAAATTATACATATATATAGATGGGTTGAACAAACATATAAAAAAGCAAATGTATTGAATAAGTCAGGAATTTATGTAGTATAATCTTATACGATGTTGTTTATTGAAATAATATTTAAGCCGTTTTCTACTTGAAAGAGTTGTTTATTTATGCTTGCATTTCTCGAGAAAAATAGTTAACAGAATGTATACTGAACTATTACCTTTTTCAAGTGATTTAAATTTACTGTCTGTCAATTGCCTACTTTTAGTATTATATACATTAGTACATATTTTGACTATATTTTGACTGTAACATATCAAATTTTCATATGTAAATTTATTAATATTTAATATTCTATATTTGCAAAAAGTTAAATCGATTTTCAAATATGATTAACAAGGAAAGAGATTAAAAATGGGTCAAAATGTGACGTCAACAATAATGAAGCTTTTTATTAAAAAAAAGTCAAGTTTAGTTTTTTGTATTATTTTTAAACAAACAACACGAGATTTTATTAATAAACTTATTTTATGCCGAAATACATACGTATTAGAATCAAAATTTTCTGTTTAAAACCAAATCTTCCATATATGTAACTTCAACTGGTAGACATAAAAAGTTTTTAAGAGCTATATTAGTACTGCTATATTTTTTTTGCAAACAATAATTTCCATTCACGAGAGTTGACTGTCAGTAGAAAATAGCTACACCTAAATCAGAGAATCCGGTCCGAAACAATAATTTATTCTAATGAAAATACGCGCGGAACGAGAACCATATTTTGTTATACACTCGCCACTAGACGGCGCAACGGAGCGTCTAAAATGTAGCATTCGGCATCATTTTTCAAGAAAATTCCCTCCAAGACGTACATTTAGTAAGAAATCGACCAGCCCATATAAGAAGAGCAACTAGGGTGTTTTTCCAATGTACGTTGAAGGCTCTGAGAATTACTGCGTGCGAATTAGGTGCAGGAGAAAGCTAGCGACCAGTGTGGAGACGAACACGCCTTTATTATCTCCTTGCAGGAGGAGAAGAGTATCTGTTAGTTGTGATCGGGGCTTGGGTAAGTTTTTTAAAACTGATTTATGTCATTTTGAAAATATTTTGTTGGAATGCATAAGAATTTTGAAGAGCTAAGCAAGAGAGGTATCCTGGCGCCAAACGTATTCCGGCTCTTTATATCAATATAATGTTAAATTTATTTACTGTAAAAGAGGAATAATCTATTAAAAGTAACTTGATTATCTCTTTTATTTTTACTCTCAAATGTTATTGGAAGAATGTGATAGTTTTGAACAGCAAAAATTAATATCTTATATTATAAGCTCTAGGTGAACTTTCAATTGTTGCTATTCAAAGGTATATGTTTTTAAAGTAAACTATTTTTAAAAATCAGCCTATAATTTAGGACCCATAATCAGATAAATTTCAATCTGTATATATCCCTAAATTATAAATATTGGCCGTAGAATAGCTGAATTTAAACTTTCTTTGAAAGTTTACCGATTTCCTTTGATGTTTTTCTGAAATAATGCCGAAAGGCGCCAACATGGTTCGGAATAGAATTTCTATGTTTAAAAGTCTTAATTGATTGAATTCCGATTGATTTCAAAGCTAATTGGTGAATTGTAAAGGTTTTCTTATTTTATAAGAAGTTCTTTATAAAACGAAGAAGGAGCTATTCATTATTACTTGATAAAAGAAATAGCCTGAGTTCTATGTGATTCTTTCAGTATTTATGTACTTAGAAAGATAAAAAGAATAACTTTTTTTGGATTTAAATCCAACAATTTTCTTCATTTCATGGATTAATTTTATCTCGTCTATGTCAACAAAACGTATGGGCGCCAGATTATTATTATTAATTAGTCTAACCCTGCCTTTCAATGTGAAATGTGATGAATATTGTTTTAAACAGAAAGTAGAAGAGCCCCGAAATGCTGTGGTATCGAAGTACCTAACATAGATGCTCTCAATCGTTCAAAATTATCTCGACGTCTACTTTCTGGCGTTTCTGACGAAAGTAAACAGAAGCTGATTAATGCTTATTTAAAGCGTCTGTCAGTCAATCAACTTCTTCTCTTAGACTACGCAGTCATTACTCGTGATTCTGCATCAACGTCGTGTGTAACTGTTAAGGATGGCCAAATAAGATTGGGAGACTTGGGTATAGTGGATCCAAAGGCATTAGTTGCCAGAATATTTAGATTTGGAGACGCCCCGCCAAGTTTCGAATTGAAAAAGCATCCTTGGATTTGCAAGGACTTAGAGGAAGGGTTCGTCTGTATTAATCCTTGGCATTCTAGTATTACGTCAGGTGAGCAGAGTAATTAAAGTTAATTGAAGAATTTAAGACTAATTAGTGTAATTTTTATTAGAAAAACCCCCACCTGCCTACGATGACGTCATGAGAGGCGAAACTTTTAAAAATACACCATCTATTTCGTCCAGATCGACTAGTGTAAGAAGTAGCATTGCTACTATCTGCTCTATAGGTAAGGTTCCAATGTAGTTGATAGAAAGAAAAGTCCCATTTTCTTTCCTTCAGAGTTTTTTTGTCTGTTTTCTCCTTTTTTCAAGTTGTAAGTTGTAAAATCTTGCGTTCGGCAGCTAAATAGTTAGAATCTCAATTGCGCCAGGCGGCGAAAGCGTGGCGCCAGTCTGCCGCCCCTGCCGTTATCGGACCGACACATTGGCGCCAACCGCCTGCTGTTGTAGGCCTAAAAATTTGCGTTTTTTAAAGAAAGGCGCTTGTAACGGCGCACGTGATGACACTAATTGTACTTATTTAGTTTTTTGACTGGGTACTATTGAATGATGAGTTTACAAGGCTTTGTCGGATGTTCCTGTCTTATCCCTGCATGCTCCTTTTTATTTTGACCTCCGCCCCCCTTTTTTTCTCTTGGCAAAACAATTTTTAGCAGCTGCGATGTATGAATCGATATCTTTATTAACAAAGGGATAAAATAGCAGTCGACGTCTTTTTGATAACTCAGATTTTTTTAAATATTGCCTTTATTCACCAACTGTCGCCAGTAATTGTATAAGTTTTTTACTCGCAGCGTTCTACTTGTCAGCTGGAGACATGAATATAAAAACGCTAGTTCGGCTTTTAATTTTTTAACAAGTGACACTAATTGTGCCGCTGCAGAATTCAGCTAGGCTATAATGAATAATAAATTTATAGAGTCTAAAATTTATAAAAATTGAACACGAACTAGGGCTATAAAATGTAATTTCCTTAGTCACCATATCCCAAATGCCAAATCTCATTTAAGATAATGTAATTTCTCTTGTATTATAATTTGAGCTGATAACTATAATTAAATATTCCTGACATGTGATGAATTCTTGCGTAATATACCTCTCTGTCTCATATTCTTTGTAAACTGAGATAGTCGTTGCTATTTTTAGGGTCTTACTGTCCAGTTATTTCTCTCCTCAATGCAACATGACAGATAAATTTGATATACTTTCCATATGAGCTCAACGATCGGTCATCCTTTGTTACGAGAAAAATGTAGTGTTAGAAAACATTATGCCGTCAATCAGATGATAGGGAATTGATACGTATTGCGCAAATTTTGTTTATATTGTCTATACACGATGCTGAAACGTCTGTTTATTTTTCGTACTTTGGAGAATTCTAATATCGGTCCCGAAATAGAAAGCAAAGAGTTAAAGGGAAAGTTTCCTTTACTTCCCTTCTTTTATGCATTTCTATATAGATTCCATGGACATTTTCTCACGCAAATGTAACGGTGAGCCCGCGGGCGCCCACCTGAAAACTGTGACGTTTGACACTTTTTAACAATCTACATCTAACTGCTAGCTGAATTTCTCACTTAGTATTGCACTTTACTACCTGTAATTAAAGCCGTTTAACTTCTTAAATCCAAACTCGATCTATTTAGCTTGGAGTAATTTTTAGAAAAAATTTAAGATGTGATAAGTTTTTCTCCCTTTCTGCCGTCGGGCATACAGTCGCTTTTTATACAATAAATAAACTATTTCTAAATATTTTATACCTAAAATTTTTGTTATCCTTTCAGACGATCCTAACTTAACTACATGGGCTAGAGTACGATACTGGGAAGAAAGGACACCAATTCATAGAACTTATCACATAACCTCATCGACCGTCCACGTTTCAGATGGACCCAGAACGGAGACTGGTGCCGAACACCTCTGCTTAGGGGTTCTCCATTCGACGGATGCCGAAGCGAGTATAGACAGAACTAGAGCAAAAATTGGACGCGGCGTATGCCTAAGTAAGGAAGATGATGGAATTTGGGTCTACAATCTCTCTGATCACCCCATTTTCGTGCATTCCTGTAACGACCCATTTTCTGTGAGAAGATTAGCACCGAAACATTGCGTAAATGCCTTTTCAACGCTCGCGGATCTTACATCCCGAAAGCAATGCCCTTGTTCCAGAGCTATCCCAGGTCCTGTGGATCATCGGGCCTTAAGGATTTCGTTCGCCAAAGGTTGGGGACCAGGTTACAAGAGACTAGATGTCACACAGTGCCCTTGTTGGTTAGAAGTTCTCTTAAGGAGAGTGGAAGAAGCTAGGGCGCCTCCTCTACCTCCTAAATCATAAACAATTGATGAGTTGTATCTTCTTGGTGCTCATTTAATGACTTTGTGACGCCTGCTTGTCTGCATGCAATTCGTACAATTAACTACTATTATCCTATAAGTTTTTGTTGCCTAATTATAATAATTTAACCACGTGATTTCTCGGTCAAATTTTATCGTTTTTATCATCGAGATAAGAGAAAAGCGGATTTTTATTTTCGACTTAGGTGAATGTTGCTCGGTTTTTATTTCTTGCAAACTCTGACAAGTGGTCTGCGTTGTATCAAGCCACATGCCGTTGTTTGTCTTGCTAAAAACCGAACAGGGGAGTGTTTAATCGATTTCGCGGTGGTTTGTTTATTTTGTATAATTACTTGGTTTGTCGATCGACTTTGTCTTGTTTGCTTTTGATTACAGAATCTCCTCTAGCTTTGTCATTCGCGGGGTCAACAGAGCATTTGTTGCCTGTACTATAGATGGCGTTGAAACACATTCAGAAACTTTTTATCTTCTGTTTTTGAGGTTATACAGAATTAAAAATAGAATCTTTCCATTTGCCAAAAACATCTTGACTCAACAAACCTTAAAAAAATCATTCTCATCTTAAAAAGAAGCTGTCAAACGAAAGATAGGATTCCATTTGTAATAAGAACAAAATACTTTTGCTAGCAAATCTATCAACTCAACCTAATTTTTTGAATGTATTGAAATTATTTAAAAAAAATCTTATCTTTTCAGTAATTGAGACAGTAGTGATAAAAAATATTTAAGTAATTTTCATATTCAGAATTGCCTAACATTTGATAGTGTTTTTTTTATAAAGAGTATTTTATAACCGAATACAACAACACTTATAAAAACAAATCAGCCCCTTATCTATCGCAACATTCAAAAATATTACTAGGCCAATAATTATCTGTCAACAAACTCGATAAACAATCGTTTCCTTCAGGTCTAATATCAAAATGAGCATACTTGAACAGTTGCATCGTCGCTACTGCGTCTTCAACGGAACAATGTTCTCCCACTTGAATTTTCTTTTTCAATAAACAATAAGACAGACTTGCTAAGCCTTTCTTTTCACAGTTAACAGCTAAAGCCTTTAGTTTTAATCTTTCACATTTAATTGTATCTCTCGTATCTAACTTTTGCAGACCGTTTAATAATCTTAAATCATTATAAAGTGAATGACCAACCACTATTTTGTCCTTGACCAGTTCTGAAATAATTGAAACTGCTTCTTCTAAGCTAATTGCATTTTTCATATGACATGGTCGAATACCACTGACAAACGTCCGATAGTCCGTTATCGGTTTATCAGGTTTTACGTAGATATCACAAAGTGTTCTGCATTGATAATCTACTAAACTGCATCTGGCTATTGCGCAAGAACGATCTTGCCCGACTCCTACCATTTCACAATCAAGACTAACTAAATCTTCAAGTCGAACTTTCGGTCCACACGAACAGTACTTTTCAGGTTTTACAGGCGCTTTTGGCTTTGTTTTGCATTTGCGACTGATCCTTTCCAATCGTTTCGTCAAGCGTTTTAATCGATTCTTTTCAGTTTTTGACATGACATCTATATCTTGAATGAAGCTATTCAGAAAGAAAAAAGATTTGAGATTATTATATAAAATAAAGTAAGCAAATAGCATCAAGGTCATTGAGTAGTGAGAGGATTGAGATTATCATAGGAAAACCTCATTTTCCGTTCTATACGAGTATTTTTCTTTAAAAGACTTAAGTTCAATTATTTGTATACAACAATTATAGATTTTTTCGAGTAATTCCATTCTACTCCATTAAATATACAAAAGAAATAAAATGTACCAATACATATTAAATTGTCCTATCCATCATTAAACAGCCTATAATTTAAACAGTTAAAAATTCTCTTAGAGAGATTAGTTATTAAAATTATATATCTAATAAAGTATATAAAGTTAAACCCTTAATGAATGCATCGAAAACTATGTTTAAGTATTTAGACTGCGAGGAGTGTCCTTCAGAAGATAATTTATCAATGGAGGACCCTCTATGCAGATTATGATAAACAAAGTTATAAAGAAGCCAAGAGTGGACGACCAAAACTACGCTAGTATTATCTATAACTCGGAATTGCCACTGAATCAACAATACAACAACCAACCAGTGAGCAAAGTCACAGAAAAGCGTTTGATTAGCATTGAATGTCCAAACTATTTTCTTTTCCCAAGCATAAAAGTATACAAACACAGCCTGCGCTCTTGATTCTAACAGCTAACAACAGAATTACTGCTATCAGTCACGCCATCTGTAATATAGTATGAGTTGAGAAAACGCTATAATTAAAATAAACTTTCACTTTTAGATGGTTTCGTTAGATTTCGTGAATTTTATTACTACTATTTGTCAAAGGGAAAAATTTTATGCTTTAACTATGCGTGTCGCTATTTCTACTAGGAATCAATGGATCATATTATATAAGCAGATGATTTTATCGACTAAACCATTGTACCAATAAAAATAGTAAGGAAAATTATTTAACCTGTTGAATTGATCATTTTTATGTTTTTGAAGAGAGATCGTCTTTGGTTTCATCATCTTTAGGGAAGGAGCACGTGCCTGTAATAACCGGATATAGAAATTATCATATATATTTTCGTATTACAGGGTTTTTTCTGTTTTAAAACAAAATATGTCTTCCCAGGCAAAAATTAAAATTTAATTTTTTGCTAAGACAACTTTCCCATTTAAATATTTCGAACTTGCTCACATATACGAAAGAGTTTTGGAATACTCGATCGTCACGTGACCTAGCTCTCTATTCGTTTCAAATACAAATGGTACATGATCACGCTTCACATGATGCTATATTTCTTAAAGTAGGCTTATGCAAAACAAAACTGCCAATAGAGTTAAGCCATGTCAGGAAAAAGACGGCAGCAACATTTACATTATTTGTCTAGAATTGATTGGTTTAAAAGTAGGCCACGTGACGCCCGTTGTTGAACGCTGATTGGAAGGTAGCTTTGGGCGGCGAATCCTAGCCAAAATAGGCACGACTTCTGTCAATTAGAGAAGATTCATCATTTCTTGTCGGTCATGAAGAAGTTCGCTCTAATTTTCGTTTTTTGTATTTTTTTCTGTCCTGGTCAGTAAAATAGATAAAATTTAACAAAATTACAACTAACTATTGCTAAAGCATTAACTTTTTCACTTGCTTTGAGATGCTGAAGAGTTCTAGAAATAGAATTCTATTTTTGAATTTTACTTGGTTTTAGTTTTTTTTTATGAGAAATTGAACGTAGAATTTTCGTTGCAGTAATAATTTCGGCTGAAGATGATTTAGAGTCGACACCAACAGCAAATGATGACATAGGTAAAAGTCGAGATGCGTCAAAAACTGATGATGAAACTGTTAAAAGGTAAACATTTTTTATTTCATAAATAATTATTGTGCATCAATAATGATTTTTTATTCAATTAAATTTCATATCTTAAATATTTTTATTTGCTTTAATTCGCTTTTTCCAAGAAAAACTTGAAGAGATTGCTTCAAAGAGTAAAAAAAAAATCTAACGTATCCGTTTCCACTAAGAAAATTCGTGGAAATTTAGCCTATATTATTTATTGAAACCAGATAGTCAGTATAGTGTATGATTGTAAATTTTCACCTTTAGGGTATATTAACTCTACATAAGCTGTTCCTTATGCTAAATTTAAGTAATTTTTAACTCTTTTGTAAATAAATCGGTAAACTTCCTACGTAACACATTATTCGCACACTTTTGTACCTAATAAAATACTGTTTACATAGGGAGGAGGAGGCTATAAAAATAGATGAGCTAAATGTTTCTCAACTAAAGGAAATGCGAGATAAAGCTGAAAAGTTCACCTTTCAAGCTGAGGTTGATAGAATGATGAAGCTGATTATTAACTCTTTATACAAAAACAAGGAAATTTTCCTGCGTGAATTAATTTCGAATGCTTCAGATGCTCTCGACAAAATTCGTTTACTTTCGTTGACCGACAAAAAAGCTTTAGGTGACTTTGACGAATTATCGATAAAAATTCGAGCTGATAAAGAGAATCAAATGCTTCATATAACTGATAGTGGTATAGGGATGACAAAAGATGACCTTGTTAAACAATTGGGTACAATTGCCAAGTCTGGAACTTCGGAATTTCTTAGTAAATTAAGTGAGGCAGGGTCTCAAGAAATGAATGATATGATTGGTCAATTTGGAGTTGGTTTCTATTCGTCATTTCTTGTTGCCGATCGAGTTATGGTTACGTCAAAGAGTAATGATGACGAACAATATGTTTGGGAGTCAGATGCTTCTTCCTTTACCGTTTCAAAGGATCCAAGAGGGACGACTCTGACAAGAGGTACCACTGTTTCTCTACATATGAAAGAAGAAGCTTCAGAGTATCTTGAACAAACGACTATCCGTGACCTTATTAAGAAATATTCACAATTTATAAATTTTAATATTTATATTTGGGATTCGAGGGTTGAACAAGTTGAAGAAAAAGTTGATGATGGCGAAGGAGGCGAGACTAGTAGTTATGTTGACAAAACAATTTGGGATTGGACACTCTTAAATGATAATAAACCCATATGGACAAGAAAATCTGGAGAAATAGAAGATCACGAGTATGTAGATTTTTACAAGTCCTTCTCAAAAGAATATGAGCCACCTTTGTCTCATACTCATTTCACAGCTGAAGGTTTTATTTTTTTATATTTAAAAGTATTTTGTATGTGACTTTTTACTACTTAGAGTTTTCATTTTATAGGTGAAGTAACTTTCAAAGCCATATTGTTCATCCCGAAAACTAGCCCTCAAGACATGTTTACAAATTACGGAAAAAAGATTGATATGATAAAAATGTATGTGAGAAGAGTATTTATCACTGATAATTTTGAAGAAATGATGCCCAAGTATCTTTCCTTTGTGAAAGGAGTTGTAGATAGTGATGATCTTCCCCTTAATGTGTCTAGAGAAACGCTTCAGCAACATAAACTATTAAAAGTTATTAAAAAGAAATTAGTTAGGAAAACCTTAGATATGATTAAGAAAATGAGCACAGAGGATTTTGCTCAATTTTGGAAAGAATTTAGTACAAATATCAAACTAGGAGTTATTGAAGATCACGCAAATCGTACAAGATTATCAAGACTTTTGAAATTTCAATCTTCTCACTCTGCCGCCGAACTTTCCTCGCTTGGTGACTATGTAGAGAGAATGAAGGAAGGACAAGATTCAATTTATTATGTAGCTGGAACTTCAAGAGAGGAAGGAGAAAAATCTCCCTTCGTTGAAAAGCTATTGAAGAAAGGCTATGAAGTTCTCTACTTAACTGAAGCTGTTGATGAATATTGCATTCAAGCTTTACCTGAGTTTGAGGGCAAAAAATTTCAGAACGTCGCAAAAGAAGGAGTTAAGTTGAATGATTCGGAAAAAGCTAAACAAAGAAAGGAGGCTTTAGAGAGAGAATATGAGCCTCTGATGGAATACATGATGAATCATGTTCTACCTGGTAAAATAGAGAAGGCTATTGTTTCTGATCGATTGACTACCTCTCCTTGTGCTTTGGTTGCTACAACATCTGGCTGGTCTGGAAATATGGAAAGAATAATGAAATCACAGGCATATCAAAAATCTAAAGACACTGGAAATGATTATTATAGCGGACAGAAAAAGATACTTGAAATGAATCCAAGACATCCTCTGGTGAAAAAATTAAAGGAGAGAGCAGCAGTAGATAGAGAGGATGCAACTACAAAGGATTTAGCTACTGTTCTCTATGAATCAGCTGTTCTCAGATCAGGCTTTTCACTCGTCGATACAGCCGGTTTTTCGCAGAGAATAGAGAATATGTTGAGATTATCTATGGAAATTCCTTTGAATGAGCCGATTGAAGATGAGCCAGAAGATGACGATGAAGTTATGGATGAAAGCGTTACAGACGCCGATGGAACCGAAGAAGCTGACAATGATTCTGACAAGGCTGACGATGCTACCGCATCTAAAGAGGAATTCATTGATGACGAAAGTGAAACAAAGGTAAGATAACAAAACTATACCTTATTAAGATCAATTTGAAGTGATTTAACCGCATGATATCCCTTTTTCAGGAAAAGGAAGAGCTATGATATTAGAGATAAAATATTAATAAAATTCTTCTAGTCATTAAAGTCATATATTTCTAGTCATGCTTTTTTGTTGTTTTTACAATTGTTTGTTGTTGTTTATTCCTGTTCCTCATGAAATATATTATTAATGATATGTGTTCAATACATTTTTTCTACATTTTAATATTAATCTGAAAATATATATTTTGCTGATTTGAAAAAACAACACCTAACACTCTCTTAGCCAACATAAGAACAAACTGATATATATATATATATATATACATACAGTATATTTACAAACTTTTAGGTAACGAATACTTGCGAATTTTGTCAAAGAAAATTGCTTTCGATTGAAGAAACGGAAGAAGATACAGGTTATTATTCTACTTCCGAAGACGAGTTTAGGACAGATTTGGACGCTTTACCTAATTATCTAGAAGAGGTGAGTTTTCTCCAATGCACCGACCATTCAAATTCATTCTCTTTTATGGCCGCGTCCTAACTAGGATACGGACGGTGACGGGATACCAAATTATCTGGATGATGACGATGATGGTGACGGTGTGCAGATAACATTTATACTTAAAGAGCAACCCTGTAGATTTTTCTTTCGTATTTTAGGAATACCGGATGAAGAAGAAGATGAAGACGGAGATGGAATACCGGATTATCTCGATACAGATTCCTCGCTACACAGACACTATATATTCCCCGATTCTCAAAAAAGTGGTTGGTTTTTAATCCATTCCTATGATGTTGTTTCTTATTGAAATTGTCTTTCAAGATTTGCTTTCGAACAACTACGAAGAAGATTTCGGCTCTCCGAATTACTTATATGAAGATAATGAAAAAGAGTCAGCTTCCAAAGACAAGTTTAATGAGGATGATTCAATTAATACTGGAAATAGCAAACTTGAGCATGAAAACATTGAAAAAAGGACAAATCATTTAGATTCTGAACAAGATGATTACATTTCGCAAGATAATGAGGAAGCTCAAAATAATGAAAACAAAGAAAATCGTAGTGACGGTAAATCATCTGAAGAAAACTATACTATGCAGGATGATGACGGTGATAGTATACCGAACTACATGGATGATGATGATAACGATGGCGTACAAAACAAATACGACGAAAAAAAGAAATTTGATCAAGTCTTGGAAAGTGAGAATCGCAAAATATTTAATAAGGAACCTGCTGATTTAGAGAACAACGAGCTTACAGAAATACTTCTTGAGTATCAAGGAGATCAGAGGAAAAGATCGTCTAATTCAGGAAAAACTTATCATTCATCGAAGCTGGATGACGGAACACCGCCTTATATAAACGACAACAGTGACACCAAAGAAAAAAAAGAAAAAAACAATGAAAAAAAGAAAGTTGATAATGTTTTCAGAGATATTGATGATGACGATGTGCATGTTGATTTAGAGAATGACAATGACACTAACGAAAAAGTCGAGAAACAAGAAATGACCTCCAAAAATGATGAACATGATTATATGGTTAAAGACACAGACGGTGATGGAATACCAAATTACTTAGACGATGACGACGATAACGATGGAATTCCAGATCACTTGGACGACGATAATAATGCCAAAAAAATGAAAGAAAATGAAGAAGAATTGAAAACAAAAGTTGAAGACGATTACATGCTGAAAGATTCCGATGGCGATGGAATACCAGATTATTTAGATGATGACGATGACAATGATGGAATACCCGATCATTTAGACGATAACAATGATGTTAACGAAATGAAAGAAAATGAAGAATTAAAAAGAAAGCCTAAAGAAGATGATTACATGATGAAGGATTCAGATGGAGATGGAATACCAGATTATTTGGATGATGACGATGACAATGATGGGATACCCGATCATTTAGATGATAATAATGATGTTAACGATATGAAAGAAAATGAAGAATTGAAAACAAAGCCTAATGAAGATGACTACATGATGAAGGATTCAGATGGAGATGGAATACCAGATTATTTGGATGATGACGATGACAATGATGGAATACCCGATCATTTAGATGATAACAATGATGTTAACGAAATGAAAGAAAATGAAGAATTGAAAACAAAGCCTAATGAAGATGATTACATGATGAAGGATTCAGATGGAGATGGAATACCAGATTATTTAGATGATGACGATGACAACGATGGAATACCTGATCATTTAGATGAAAACAATGATGTAAACGAAAAAAGTGAAATAGAAGAGGAAGAGTGGAGCTCAAAACATGAAGAAGGCGATTATACCTTTAGAGATGCAGATGCTGATGGAACACCGGATTATTTAGACGATGATAATGACAATGATGGAAATTCTGAAAATTTAAATGAAAACAATCAGGCCAGGGAAACAAAGGGTCAAGTCCAAAAGAAGGAAAAAAACACCAAAAATGGAGAAAATGAAGACAATTTGATTAAAGATAGAGATGGTGACGGAATACCCGATTACTTGGATAATGATGAGGACAACAATGGCGTATCAGATTATTCAGAGGACGGCAGTTTCAGTAAGGAAACGAAAGAGATTAAAGAACAGGAACTAAGTTCAAAGCATGATGAAACAGATGATTATATGATTAAAGATTCAGACGGTGACGGAATACCGGATTATTTAGACGATGATAATGATAATGCTGGAATTCCTGATCATTTAGGTGACAAGAATGAATTTAATGAAGCAAAAAGTAAGGAAGAAGAAAAGAACTCAAAGGACGAAGATGATAACATAACAAAAGACACCGAAGGTTATGGAATTCCAGGCTATTTGGATGACGATTATGAAGTCAAGGACACAAAAGATGCGCAGGAAGATAATGAAAGAGACACAAATGAGGAAAACGAAGATTTTATGATCAAAGATTCCGATGGTGATGGAATACCAGATTATTTAGACGATAATAATGACAATGACGGTATACCTGATCAATTAGACAACAAGAATGAATTTAATGATGAAAAAGGTACTGAAAAAGATAAGAGATCAAAAGGTGAAGCTAACAACATAATCAAAGAGAGTGGTGGCGATAGAATTCTTGATAAGTTAGACGAGAACTATCAAGGCAAAGACACAAAAGATGCACAGAAAGATAATGACGAGAGCCACAAAAGTGATGAAGATGAAAGTAATTACATGACCAAGGATTCAGATGGCGATGGAATACCAGATTATTTAGACGATGATGATGATAATGATGGTATACCTGATAAGATAGATAATGAAAACGATGTTAAGGAAACGAAAGAGAGTGAAGGGAGAAAATTGAGATCGAAGAATGAGGAAGAAAATGATTATATGATTAAAGATTCGGACGGTGATGGAATACCAGATTATTTAGACGATGATGACGACAATGATGGCATTCCTGATGAAATAGATGATAAAAATGATGCTGAGGAAACAAAAGAGAGTAAAAATGAAGAATTTAGAACAAAGCTGGATGAAGAAGATGATTATATGATTAAAGATTCGGACGGTAATGGAATACCAGATTATTTAGATGATGATGACAACAATGATGGCATTCCTGATGAAATAGATGATAAAAATGATGCTAAGGAAACCAAAGAGAGTAAAAGTGAAGAATTTAGAACAAAGCTGGATGAAGAAGATGATTATATGATTAGAGATTCGGACGGTGATGGAATACCAGATTATTTAGACGATGATGACGACAATGATGGCATTCCTGATGAAATAGATGATAAAAATGATGCTAAGGAAACCAAAGAGAGTAAAAGTGAAGAATTTAGAACAAAGCTGGATGAAGAAGAAGATTATATGATTAAAGATTCGGACGGTGATGGAATACCAGATTATTTAGACGATGATGACGACAATGATGGCATTCCTGATGAAATAGATGATAAAAATGATGCTAAGGAAACCAAAGAGAGTAAAAGTGAAGAATTTAGAACAAAGCTGGATGAAGAAGATGATTATATGATTAGAGATTCGGACGGTGATGGAATACCAGATTATTTAGACGATGATGACGACAATGATGGCATTCCTGATGAAATAGATGATAAAAATGATGCTAAGGAAACCAAAGAGAGTAAAAGTGAAGAATTTAGAACAAAGCTGGATGAAGAAGATGATTATATGATTAGAGATTCGGACGGTGATGGAATACCAGATTATTTAGACGATGATGACGACAATGATGGCATTCCTGATGAAATAGATGATAAAAATGATGCTGAGGAAACAAAAGAGAGTAAAAATGAAGAATTTAGAACAAAGCTGGATGAAGAAGATGATTATATGATTAAAGATTCGGACGGTGATGGAATACCAGATTATTTAGACGATGATGACGACAATGATGGCATTCCTGATGAAATAGATGATAAAAATGATGCTAAGGAAACCAAAGAGAGTAAAAGTGAAGAATTTAGAACAAAGCTGGATGAAGAAGATGATTATATGATTAGAGATTCGGACGGTGATGGAATACCAGATTATTTAGACGATGATGACGACAATGATGGCATTCCTGATGAAATAGATGATAAAAATGATGCTAAGGAAACAAAAGAGAGTAAAAATGAAGAATTTAGAACAAAGCTGGATGAAGAAGATGATTATATGATTAAAGATTCGGACGGTGATGGAATACCAGATTATTTAGACGATGATGACGACAATGATGGCATTCCTGATGAAATAGATGATAAAAATGATGCTAAGGAAACCAAAGAGAGTAAAAGTGAAGAATTTAGAACAAAGCTGGATGAAGAAGAAGATTATATGATTAAAGATTCGGACGGTGATGGAATACCAGATTATTTAGACGATGATGACGACAATGATGGCATTCCTGATGAAATAGATGATAAAAATGATGTTGATGAAAAGATTAATAATGTAAAAGAGCTGAGCTCAAAATATGAAGCAGGTGATTACAAGCTTGAAAACACAGATAGTGGCAGAATGCCAAATCATTTAGATGCCAATATTGACAATGATGAAACACCTGATCACACAGATAATAACAATGACGAAAAGAAAGCAAATGAAGAAAAGGAATTGAGCTCAAAACATGAAGACGAAGATAATTATATGACTAAAGATTCAGACGGTGATGGGATACCTGATTATTTAGATGATGATAATGATAATAAGGGCATATATGATCACCCAGAAGGCGAAAATGATTTTAAAGAAAAGAAAGAAAATGATGAAAGGTTTTTAGCTTCCAAATATGAAGTAGAAGACAATTATATGATTAAAGATTCAGACGGTGACGGAATACCGGATTACTTAGATGATGATAATAATAATGATGGAATTCCTGACCTTTTACATGACAAGAATGAATTTAACGATGCAAAAGTTAATGAAGAAGAAAAGAGCTCCGAGGATGCAGATGATAACATGACGAAAGACAGTGATGGCGATAGAATTTCTGATTATTTAGACGAGGGCTATCCAGGCAAGGACACAAAAGATGCCCAGGAAGATAATGACAAGAGCCTTAAAAGTGATGAAATTGAAAGTGATTATATGATCAAAGATTCCGATGGTGATGGAATACCAGATTATTTAGACGATGATGATGACAATGATGGAATACCCGATCATTTAGATGATAACAATGATGTCAACGGAATGAAAGAAAATGTAGAATTGAAAACAAAGCATAATGAAGACTACTACATCATGAGGGACTCCGACAGCGATGGAATGCCTGATCATTTAGATGAAAAAAATGATGTTAAAGAAATGAAAGAAAGTGACGAAGAATTGAAAGCGAAAGTTGAAGAAGATGATTACATGATTAAAGATTCAGATGGAGATGGAATACCAGATTATTTAGATGATGACGATGACAACGATGGAATACCCGATCATTTAGATGATAACAATGATGTTAACGAAAGGAATGAAAATGAAGAATTGAAAACAAAGTCTAAAGAAGATGATTACATGATGAAGGATTCAGATGGAGATGGAATACCAGATTATTTAGATGATGACGATGACAACGATGGAATACCCGATCATTTAGAGGAAGATAATGATTTTATTGAGAAAACGAAAAAAGAGATTGACCAGGAAGAAAGCACAATTTCTAAAGATTCAGAAAACAATATTTTGAAAGATTCAGATGGAAATGGAATTCCAGATTATTTAGGTGATGAAAAAGATTATGACGAAAGTCCTGATCACTTTGATAATTTTAATAGTGATAAGGAAATTGAATTACTGAAACCCGAAACTCTTGATGATGTGATGGTAGATATTGTAGAAGTTGAAGACAGTGTCGAAAGTGTCGAAATCAAAGACAATAGTCAGCGGTCTTCTAAAAATGTAACTAAAATACCTGTGGATGTTGATGAAATTTTAACTGATGAAAGTTTAAAATTACCAAAGGCTGATTATGATTTCGATGTACTTGAAGAGGAAAGTAGAATTGATAATAATATTTTTGATTCCACTTTTGAGGATTTAGATGTTGATTCTGATTCAGATGGTGTGCCAGATTATTTAGACATTGACATTTTAAAGGAAACGCCTGACGTTGCAGGTATTTCTTTTTTTCTGTTCTATTAGATATATTTATATTTTCACTGAAAAAAGGAAATTAATCTTGTAAATTACGATAATACAAATTTTTTCAGGTAAAGGTTTAGCTGAAGATTTTCCTACAAAGGATACGGAGGGAAAAAGTAACTTTGAAAAACTTGAGCTTGAAGATACGATTTTGGGCATTCCAGACAACTTCAAAGAGGAACAGTCACTGTTTGGAGGGAAAGATGAAAAAAAGGATATTGAATATGATTATTCTGTTGCAGGTGAACAAGAGAAAAGTGTTCCCGACAATTTAAAAGATAACACTTTACAAGCTGAGACAGAAAACGAAAATATCCTAGAGTCCACAACTTTCGATGACGGTGCAATGATAAGCGAGGAATCTGCATTAAATAATTTAGAAACAGAAGACGAATCTTCAGAGGTATTTAGGGACGAAGGTGGCATTCCAATAGAAAAAGATTCTGATTTAGAAGTTGAAAGTATAGCTAAACACTTAATATTAGATAAACAGCTCTCTATGAATTTTATAGAGTCGAGTTCAAAGGGCAATTTAGAAAAATCTAATCTCTGCTTAACAACAAGAAAGTCTTCCAGTATATTTATTGATACAAAAAAAGACTCTGACAATGACGGAATCCCAGATTATATAGATGATGATGACGATAACGATCTTATTCCAGATATTTATGATATTGACAGAGACGGTGACAATATTCCAGATTACGAAACGGATGATAATTGTTTAAATACCGATGAAGCAAGTTTCTGTTCAAAAATATCACAAAATATTGAAAAATCAACGATGTTACATGGTTCATTTTTCGTTGAGATTTTAACATTGATAAAAGATTTATTTTTTGAGGAAGATATTACAATCTCAAAAGATAAAGATAAATTTGTTGAAACGTTATAAATACTGAATATTGTTTTTGTTTATAACCTTCACCTGCAGAAAAATACTTATATGATAGCCTAAACTTTCTTTAAATAAACCAATATAAAAAGAGAAATGTTAACTATCGCAAAACTATTGTTAGTACGCTTTTCGTATGTGTTGTACATCTATTGTAAAGAATTTGTTGGTACTGACAAAATGACGAATAGATAGTATTGTAAAATAGCCAAACGATCTGTGGATCAGAAGTATTGACTGAGAACCGGCAGTAAGATGACTGTTCATCCAATCGAGCACGCTAACTTTATACAGAAATATACCCAGGGGTTTATATACAAAATATTAATATTATATGTTAGCGTTTACATGTTTTCTAATACACAGATGGATTATTCCGATAATTATGGCGAAGAAAAGATTAAAAAATATCTTAAATTTTACATTACATAGCGAATTCTCTTCTCGCAATCTTCATCTGAAGTTATCAAAGTAACTTTACATTTTATATTATTAAATAATCTCTGTTAATGATAATTATAGAAATTTAGGTATAGGGATATATAGTAATGACTTTAAAAAAAAAGACAATCGTATTATGTATGGAATATTTAAATTGGTGTTAAATGATATAATAAGTGGATTAATTTTTAAATTTATATCCGTAAGTCAACAAATTTACAAGTAAATAGCAAATATGAATATAGTTTACTTTTAAAGGTTATTTTCCGTCTAAGTTTACCGTTTATACTACAAAGAATTATTATGGACATTCAGACAAGAGTCACTACGTTTTCGTACACGTTCGTTGTTCTTTTAGGTAAAATTACAATATTACCAAAATTCACTTGATATTTATTATTAATTTAATAAAGGATTCTGCTCTTTTATGGACGCTATCAATTCAAGATATAGTGCACTTTGTTTTATTAGCGCTGGTATTAAAGTTCGAAGTTCTTTAAGTTGTTGTTTGTTTTATAAAGTATTGATTTCAAAATAAATAGTTTATATTTTAGATGTAATTCCATACATTTCAAATTCCAGATTCTAAAAATTGATTACCAAACGATTTCACAGTATACTTCGGGTTTTATATTGTCGATATACTCATCAGATATTGAAAGAATAAACTTCTTGTGCAATTATTGTGAAAGTTTCTTTGGTGCCATATTCTTAATTCTTATATCATTTTCTATGATATCCTTCTTATATGGTTCTATTGTTGGCTTGGGACTTTTATCTGCGACTGTCTTTCTTGTTTCTATTCAATCATTTCTGGCATTTAAGCAAGGAACCAAAAGATCTAAAATAGCAGAAAAGACTGATAAAAGAATTCTCTTAATGAACGAAATATTATCAGGCATTCAAATTATTAAAATGTTGATTTGGGAAAAATACTTTAGTAAAAGGATAGAGTACTTAAGAAATAAAGAAATAATGCAAATTCTTGGTAGTTACAAATATAGAATAATATACAGAATAATTGGTTCATTTGGCTTAAAATTTGTCATGTTTTTCGAAATATTAGTTGCAAAATTGACTAGCCAATATACATTTAATCTTCCCTCTGTCATAAGATTAATGTCAATAATTGTTGCAATGGAGAATGAGATATTCTATTATTTCCCAGATACCTTTTTTTTATATAGTGAATGTTTGAAATCCATGAATAGAGTAGCGGTAAGAAACAAAATACAGGAACAGAGAACATAATTTAACTTTTTAACCTAAATATTGTAGAATCTTTTGAACTCTTTAGAAAAAGTCTCTGAAGAACGTATTTCAAATATTGAAAAGGTATTTATAGAACAGTTGAAAACATATTACTATTTATGTAATCTTTTTCAGACTGAAAATTTAAGTCAGCCTAAAAATGTGAATTATAACAATCTACATTTTCCTTTAACTAAAAAACCAATGTTTATTGGTATTTGTGGTCGTGTTGGATCTGGAAAGGTTGTAGTAATTAGTAGTAGAATTATTGAGATTTAATTATTGTGAATTTATTCTGATTAGACGACATTGTTATTGAATTTGCTCAATGAATTACCTCATTCCTTTACACGTCTGAGCTCTCGTTTAAAATTTTCATATTCCCCTCAAGAGCCATGGTTAACTAATGCATCGATAAAAGAAAATATCCTCTTCCATGAAAAATTTGATGCGGAACGATACAAATCAGTACTTTTTGCTTGCTGTTTGGATAAAGTTTGTAACATTTTAAAAATTTAGATAAAATCTGAAAGAATTATATCTTTTGATGTAAAGGACTTGATTGATTTACCGAACGGGGATAAAACTCTTGTTGGTGAAAACGGAAAAAGGCTTAGCGGAGGTCAAAGAGCAAGGATTTCCTTAGCTAGGGCTGTCTATAGGAAGGCTACTTTCTATGTATTTGATGATCCTCTTAGTGCTATTAATGAAAAAGTTACGAAACTAATAATTCAGAGATGTTTTCTTGACTTCTTAAAAAACAAAGTAATTTTCCTAACAACTCATCAAGTTCATCTATTAAATGAAGCGCATATTATCTATGAAGTAATCGATGGATGCTGTCACATAATTTCAAAATCTGACTATAACTTAGGTAAAGAGCTTACTGAAAATATCCAACATCTAAAAATATATCAAAATGAAATTTTCCATGAAGAGGAGGAGATGAACAGCGGATTTGCAGGCTTTAAAGTGTATTTTAACTACTTCAAAACTGGAAGTTTTTTATTATTAACTATGTCGCTGCTACTCTTTGGTATATTTTTTTCAATCTATATTTGGATTGATAAAGTTCTAACTCAATTTGCTGTAGAAAACCTTAATTATTCAATGTTGATGACCGTTGCTATTATTTTAATTACGCTAACTATCATCGAAATTGGACGATTGTCTACATACTACATCAATATTATTCTCTGTTCAGTGAATTTACATAAAAAAATGTTCCAAAAAATATTGGAAATACCTTTTGGGTTTTTTCATAAAAATCCAAAAGGAAGAATACTGAATAGATTCTCTAGAGATTTAGGTTTTGTCGACTCATTACTCGTCACTCTTCTGGAGCAGATTACTTTATGGGTCGGAGCAATCGTTTTCTCAGTTGCTCTTGCAGTATATAACATTCCACTTTTATTTCTACCTTTGTCTATTTTTGTAATATCAATGTTACTACTCTATAGAAAGCTAACTCCGATAGGTTCAGAATTCAAAAGATTGGAGGCGAAACAACGAACACCAATTTATGAGCACATTGATAACGTAATACAGGGCCTAATCGTTATTCGCTGTTTCCAGAAACAGAAAACATTTTTGAAAAAATTCTATACCGCAAGCAATAATCATACAACAATTGCAATCATACAAGAAACTTATAGTAAATTTCTTCAGCAAGTCTATTTTGCTGTAACCCTACTATTCTACATGTGTATAGCAATAGCTTGCCTTAAATTTTCATCCTATTTAAACCCAACCATAGCAGGTTTAACATTAATGTATCTGAATAACTTGATTGTAATATTCCAATATTCTTTAAAATTGTGTTCAGACTTTGACAATACGGTATGTTACACATTAATACATAAACTAATTAAAATTTTCAAACATTTAAAAGATGACCTCTGTGGAGCGAATTCAGTATTACTCCTCTTTGAAATCAGAAGAAGACCCCGATAAAAAGTTTCCACCAGTTTCAGATTCTTGGCCTTCGAATGGATCTCTTACTATCAAAAACGTATTCATGAGATACGATGAGAGTCTTCCTTATTCTTTGAAAAATATCAATGTTAATATTCTTTCTGGAGAGAAGATTGGAGTTGTTGGACGTACAGGAGCCGGGAAAAGTTCACTAATCAGTGCTCTCTTCAGAATGTGTCCTGTCGAAGGAGAGATTATTCTTGATGGTGTTAATATATTGACTGATGTGAATTTACAATGTTCACGATCCGTTATATCGGTCATTCCTCAAGATCCTATACTGTTTACCGGAACTTATCGATCGAATCTCGATCCTCTCGATGAGTATTGTGATGATGATATTTGGATGAGCTTGAAAAAAGTTTATCTCGATAAGAAAGTTGGAAACACGGCACAACAATTAAACTCTACAATATCAGAATGTGGTCGAAATCTCAGTGTTGGGGAAAGACAACTGATTTGTTTAGCGAGAGCTCTTTTGAAAAAGTGTCATCTTTTAATAATTGATGAAGCAACTGCAAATGTCGATAATGAAACGGATAAGTGTATCCAAAATATACTGAAATGTCATTTTAAGGACTGTACTACAATAACAATTGCTCATCGTTTAAGTACGATTATGGACAGTGATAAGATTATCGTGATGGATTCGGGAGAAGTAGGAGAATACGGAACAGTGAAAGAACTTTTAAGAAAAGAAGGAATGTTTTTCGAGCTTGTTAATAGTCAAGCAAATGTGACTTAAGACATATTATGATTTCTTACAAAACTAATACAAGGAGAATACGTTGCACGCTTGCAACAATGCATAAAGGACAGAAAGAATTTCATTGTTAGATGTATGGTTTTTCAATACTTAGATATATCACACAAAAAGCAGAAACTAGTTCTTTCGGCTTTATTATATTTGTTTATATAGTCGTCTTGTTTTACAATTGTTATTCAAACGCTTAGGCAAAACACTAAAGTATATTTTTACAGTTAAATTGTTATTGTATTGAAATATCAAAGTTAAATTTTTGGGCTATTTAAAATATTGTTAAAACATTGAATTACTTTTTTGCTAATAAAGTTTTATACGATACCTATCATAACAAGATTAACATAAGTTTGAGTCTAAGTACAAGAATATTATGAAAAATAATTCAACCTGAAATTGATTTATTACTAATTGATATCTGTCAAAAAAGATACTTTAATCTTAAAAAACAAATAAGATTTTGAAATACAAATATATTTCGGACCTTTTTTAAAGATGGATTATGCAAATTGTTATTCCCATACATAGGAAATCTAATTTTAGTAGTTTCTCAATTGTTCAATCAGCCGCTTTAGTTTCAATATTTTATTGTTATCTATCGAGGATTACCTGCTTCAGCTCTATAGTAGAATAATATTGATGAATGAAATTCTATCCGGAATACAAACGATTAAATTGAAAGAAAGGGAAAGTTTCTTTATACAAAGATTGGTCACTCCCGTAAAAATGAAATACTGAAAATACTACACTCTTATATATTCCGAATATTTTATAAACTTTTTAGTAGTATAGGGATGAAATTTTCCTTAAAGAAACCAAAGATATAGTATGATTTCTTGATATAGGAATATGTTAAGAAGGAAAAGAGAAAATATTTGAAAATATAACGTTTTGATGAATTTCTAATAGTTTTATTATTTTAATTAGAAAACTAATAAACTTATAAATTATGATTTTTTTGAAATTGTGTAGCAACTTTGATGGACTCTTATCGGCTGATAGATAGGCTTTAGAAGATTAATAAAGTTATTTTGATGAAAATTTGATAAGATAAATAACTTTTAATAGTTCGTACTTAATATGAATGCATGCTGTTAGTTGGAAGGTCACTATATAAGAAATTTTTAAATCTATATAACCGTCTAGAAAAAAACGGTCACTGTACTTTTTTTTTCAACTGAATAATTGTATGATTTATTTAGTCTACACAGTCTGATGGATATCTACAACAATAATTTCTGAACGTATTTTATATATATTGAAACTTTTCTACTAGTGAAGATACGCATCGCTTGTTACAATTTTCTCTTTCTTTATCCATCTATTTCTTATGATATTTAAGAATTTGTAAATTATTGATTTTTTTGTAAGCCTATAGTTTGTTACTTTTTTATTTAATATATTGTTCTGTGATAAGCAATACAATTAATTTAAGTTTATAACTTATTAAATGTGGAAGAAAAATTTTATCAGTTTTTTTGTATGGACGGTGAATTTCGGTAATTATCATTGATATAAAACTCGTTTATGTGTTTGTTTGGTTTTTCTAAACTTTTTCTAACTGTTCCACCGGTTTTCTTTTAGATAGTCGTTAAGAAAAAATGGCTTCATCGAAATCACATGCCTTTCCACATCCTGAAGCGGAAGCTAATAGAATTTCTAAAATATTGACACTGTAAATATATTATAAATCAACACTTTGACAAAAGTACTCTATGTAACCTTTAATATGTTACAAATATCTATTTTATAATTACAATTATATCAGATTTAATGCTAATTGATATCCCTAAAAAATAATAAGATAACATTTGTAAAGATAATTCATTATTGAATAGATTATATATTTTAAAATATAATGCGTATTTTTTTTATAGATGGATTATTCAAGTTGTTAAAGGGAAGGAATGGCAGAAAACTATAGATAACTATCAATTTTTGAAGAGACTAAAATCAAAACCCATTCACTATTATTTAAAATCGTATGTACATCAAACATTTTCATTTCTAACAAAAAGACAAAACAAGCAGAGTTTTCATTTTGAATTTAGCGAAATTGAAAAGCAGAAAGCGTCAAAAACACAAATTTCATTGCTCAAAATATTACAAAGCATAATAATAAAAAACGTATGGACTCATATCTTCTTCCGTGTTCTAGGCGTAAGTAGTATGCTAAAAAAATAAGAAACAAATTTGTTAACCAATAATATATTAATAAACAAATACACAAAATTTTAACCCTTTTCAGGTTTGTGCGCGATTTGTAGTGCCATTTATAATTTATGCAATATTCAATGAAATATTAGACAAAATAACTTACATGTCTTACATATATATATGCATTATAGGTAAAAACAATATTCTATTACACAACCAGTAAAAGGAATTTCCTCTAATTTCATATATATTTCAGCGATTTGTGGAACAGTTGAAAATTGTTCTGTTAGATATTCGGCAATACTGTTAGTAGAAATCGGTATTAGTGTTAAAGCAGGTTATGGATGTATGCTTTATGAAAAGGTTGTATGTTTAATAAAATAAATGGATTTATCTTAATTTTGTTTTTGCAGATTTTGAACATTAACTATGAAGAGTTCCAACATATTTCATCAGGTCACATTTTTTCAATTTTTTCCACTGATTTAGAGAAAATTCCAATCTTACTTCCTTTTATCGGAAATTTGATATCAGCAGTTTCTCAATTGTTCATAGCAACAGTTATAATTTCAATATTTTATGGTTACTTATCTGGTATTGCCTGCTGCTGTTCTTTAGCATTAATTGTTTCAATTCAAACCTGTCTAGCAATGAAACAAGGAATATTAAGGACAGATATTGCTATGAAAGCAGATAGTAGAACATTGATGATGAATGAAATTCTATCTGGAATACAAACGATTAAATTAAAAGTATGGGAAAGTTTCTTCATACAAAAAATTGGTCAATTTCGTAGAAATGAAATATTAAAAATACTTCAATCCTTTGTTTTTCGAATTATTTATACACTGTTTGGTATTATAGGGATGAAGTTTTCCCTAATACTTGTAGTTATTGTTAGCAAATTGACTTTCTCATCAGAAATAAGTCCTCCATCTGTCATCAGACTAATTACAATACTAATGTTGTTCGAGACAGACCTACTTGTCTATTTTCCAGAATTCTTCTATATCTTTAGTGAAGTTCGTCAAAGTCTCAATAGAATTCAGGTTTTCCATTTTGTCAAAAGTCAACTGTTTTTGAAAAAACATTAATTTTTTTAATTCAATCCATAGAAAGTTATTGAAACATCCAATACTGAAATACCTAACTTGGTTGAAAGTGATAAATTTCCTCAATTACCCAGGGATTTACACAGGAAAAATGGAATTAATAACTTCAATTTTAGATGGAAGGTTGGTGATGTAAATTCGGATATATAACTAAATTATTAATCCAAGTTATTAACAAAGGTGAATGCAAATGGAGATAAGGATTACCTTTTAAAAGCCATAAATTTCAGTATAAAAAGAGAACAATTGATTGGAATTTGTGGTAAAGTTGGGAGTGGAAAAGTAAAACACCGACATTTATATTCATGCCATTAAATTGGATAAAACATTGATATAATTTGTTGATTCTTTTACAGTCGACACTGCTGTTGAACATGTTGGGAGAATATTCAACATCAAATGGACAAATATCCCTTCCGTCTAAAAAATCGTTCGCGCCTCAAGAACCTTGGATCTACAATGGAACTATTCGCGAAAATATTCTGTTCGGAGAAGATTTCAATATTCTCAAATATAAGAAAGTCTTACATTGTTGTTGTCTCGATAAAGTATAGATATTTAGTAAAGCTGTTCTAATGATTCACGAAATATTGACATTATTTCACAGGATCTTGAAACATTTCCTCTAAAAGATCAAACTATTGTTGGCGAAAATGGACTGATGTTAAGTGGTGGACAAAAATCTCGACTTTCTCTTGCAAGAAGTATATACAGAGATGCTGATATATATCTTCTTGACGATCCTCTAAGTGCACTTGATAATCGTGTCGCCAAACAAATCATGGAAAGATGTATCCATAACTATTTAAAATATAAAACTGTTGTACTCGTCACACATCAAACCCAATTTCTTCAAGATGCCGATATTGTCTACTTGATAGAAAATTCAACTTGCACCGAAATACAGAAGAATTCTTTGCAAGATTTTCACTCTGAAAATATTCCAAATCCTCAAATGAACATCAATGTTAATACAAACACAATTGAATCTGAACGTTTAAACTCGGGAGCTTCAACATTTAAAACTTACACAGACTACTTAAAAAGTGGAAATATAGTGATATTCCTGCTTTCACTATTTCTCTTTTCTCTGGTTTTTCTAATGAAAGTCTTACTAGATAAAACGATTTCTATTTTAGCAAAAGAACCAATGAACAATGAATTGTTATCTAAAGTTGCAATACTTCTTTGTCTGATGATCATACTCGAAATTGGAAAGGGTTTTTTGTTCTATATAAACAGTGGTCTAGCATCTATTAATCTTCATAATAAAATGTTTGCAAAAGTAATGTCAGTTGCCATGAGATTCTTCCATATAAATCCAAAAGGACGAATTCTAAATAGATTCTCAAGGGATATGGGATTTATTGATACTGAACTTCCCAGAATGATTGATTTTGTGATGGCAATAGCTGGATCTATGATGTTTTCAATTTGTTTAGCAATATATAATGTATACTTTTTAATGATTCCTTTTGGTTTGTTTATCACTTTGCTGATACTGGCTGTGAAAAGGAAAACAATAAACAGCAGTGAATTAAAGAGGATGGAAGCAATTAGAGTTAGTCCACTTTTTGAGCTTTTGGATAATGTCTTCCACGGACTAGTTTCAATACGTTGTTTTAATAAAAGAAAATCATTCATGGAAAAATTTCATTCTGCTTTTGACATATATTCCCAAGTGAATCATTTTTTGCAAACATATTATATATATTCTGAATACTTCTATTACATAATTATTCTGGCATTACAATTGGTTATAAATTTCTCTTGTATTTATTATGCAAATGAAAAGAATGGTTTTTATATAGCTCTGGCCATAACTTATGTTAGTACAACGACTTGTGCCTTTCAATACGCTTTGAGACAGTACACTCTTGTTGATGGATATGTATTTTCTTTTATAATATTTCGTTCCTTAAAATAATCTAATAGGCTTGTTTTCACAGATGACTTCCGTTGAACGAATAAAAGAGTATTCTCTTCTTAGGTCAGAAGAAGATTCCGATAAAAAGTTTCCACCAGTTTCAGATTCTTGGCCTTCGAATGGATCTCTTACTATCAAAAACGTATTCATGAGATACGATGAGAGTCTTCCTTATTCTTTGAAAAATATCAATGTTAATATTCTTTCTGGAGAGAAGATTGGAGTTGTTGGACGTACAGGAGCCGGGAAAAGTTCACTAATCAGTGCTCTCTTCAGAATGTGTCCTGTCGAAGGAGAGATTATTCTTGATGGTGTTAATATATTGACTGATGTGAATTTACAATGTTCACGATCCGTTATATCGGTCATTCCTCAAGATCCTATACTGTTTACCGGAACTTATCGATCGAATCTCGATCCTCTCGATGAGTATTGTGATGATGATATTTGGATGAGCTTGAAAAAAGTTTATCTCGATAAGAAAGTTGGAAACACGGCACAACAATTAAACTCTACAATATCAGAATGTGGTCGAAATCTCAGTGTTGGGGAAAGACAACTGATTTGTTTAGCGAGAGCTCTTTTGAAAAAGTGTCATCTTTTAATAATTGATGAAGCAACTGCAAATGTCGATAATGAAACGGATAAGTGTATCCAAAATATACTGAAATGTCATTTTAAGGACTGTACTACAATAACAATTGCTCATCGTTTAAGTACGATTATGGACAGTGATAAGATTATCGTGATGGATTCGGGAGAAGTAGGAGAATACGGAACAGTGAAAGAACTTTTAAGAAAAGAAGGAATGTTTTTCGAGCTTGTTAATAATCAAAAAAATATAGCCAAGGATTCAGTGTGACTTCTTAATAGAGGAACATGTTAAGAAGGAAAAGAGAAAATATTTGAAAATATAACGTTTTGATGAATTTCTAATAGTTTTATAATTTTAGTTAGAAAACTAATAAACTTATAAATTATGATTTTTTTGAAATTGTGTAGCAACTTTGATGGACTCTTATCGGCTGATAGATAGGCTTTAGAAGATTAATAAAGTTATTTTGATGAAAATTTGACAAGATAAATTACTATTAATAGTTCGTATTTAATATGAATGCATGCTGTTAGTTTGAAGGTCACTAGGTAAAAAATTTTTAACTCTATATAACGTTTTAGAATGAAAACAGTCATTGAATTTATATGTTCAATTATATACTTGTATGATTTATTTGGGATAGACAGTTTGTCGGAAACCTTCAACTATAGTTTCTGAATGTAATTAATATATATTGAAATTCTCTCCTGCGTGAAGATAAAAGAAGGAAAATATGCTATTGAAAAGTTTATACTATAGAATTGTTTTTTGATAATAAAGTGATGAATTTATATTTTTGATGGAGTAGTCTTTTTATTTATAGTTTCCTTAAATGCTAGACAAAATAAATATTGGTATAAAGCGTTTTTTTAATTGTGTGATACTCCAATCTGTATCTTTTAATTGTTTTTAGAACACAACATTGCTTACGCTTAGATTCTTAAACAAGGCATCGTAAGAAAAAATATCAAGAAGAGAAGATGACGAAAAAAGAGATAAAGAACATTCCCCATCCAATGGATAAGTTTTCTTTTTTGAATGCGGTGCTAAATATGTAACTATCATTTCTAAATCGCTAAAAATGGCTTTATTGTTTCCCGCCACTTACCTTCTATAGATGGTGCGTCAAGATGATTTTACACGAGAACTGGAAGGAAAAATTTAAAAGATATAAAATTTGTACAGACCTTTCAGCTGAGACAGTTCATAAACAACTTAAAAAGTAATATTTACTAAACATAATAATAATATATATATAATGTTATGTATAATTATATCTTTTTTTATGTAAAAGAATAATATTTGGAGAAAAAGGAGATGTTTTACAAACTTCTGTCATAAGATCTATAATTACTATGGCTAGAGGTGACATAATAAAGAATACTTTGTGCAGACTTTTTGCAGTATAGTGATATACTATATATCAAATCAAACAGAGTCTTAAAATTTATAATCATTCAGCTAATAATTCGATTACTCCAACCTTTCATAATTCGTTCCCTTATTTATGATATTCAAACGCAAGTTTCTTATATTTCTTATCTGAAAATTATTGGAATAGGTAAGTATTCTAGCTAAATCTTTACTACAGATTGAAAAATGTATACTTTACTTTTAGCTCTTTGTTCTGTTTTGGAGAATTTCTCAGTTAGATACGCTGTATATCAACTCGGATATTTAACTGGTATAAAATTAAGATGTGCAGTTTCTTGTTGTTTATTTAGAAAAGTAAAGTTTAGTTATTTCTGTAGAGATACTATAACTTGATATTTAATTGATAGATTATAGATATGGATTATGAAACACTTCAGAATGTAACCTCTGGGCGAATAGTGTCCATTTTCTCAACTGATATAGAGAAAATACCAAATTTTTTTACTTATACGACATTAATAACAGGAAGTTTCTTCCACGCAATTGCAATTGTTGGAATAATAGGATATATATATGGTTATCTGCCTGCATTAGTTCTATTTTTTACGATTTTGTTTATAGTTATATTACAATCGCTGACTTCTTGGAAACAAGGTTCAATAAGAAGTGTTATTGCTGAAAAAAGTGATAAAAGAACTTTATTCATGAATGAAATACTGTCAGGAATTCAGACTATTAAGATACAAGTCTGGGAATCAGTTTTCCAGAAAAGAATACAGTTTTTAAGACAAGCAGAAATCTTATCATACCTATTTTCATTCACATTCAAAATACTATACAGATTTCTTGGATTGTTTGGTTTTAAATTATGTCTTTTACTGCCCGTATTATGCATAAAGTTAGCACTTCAGAACACAGTGGAACTCGCATCTGCTATATTGTTAATTTCTCTTATACAAACCATTGAAATTGACGTTTTTTATTATTTACCGGAATCGTTCTTCTATTATGAAGAATGTAGCAAATCTATGTTTAGAATAGAGGTTTATATTATTCTTTTCTATTGAAATTCCTTGCTACAATTTCACCAAATTTTCACAGAAAATATTAGGGATGACTGAACGTACTGTCTCTGAAAAGTTAAATTATCAGTCAACAGAAAAACAATCAAGCTATGGAATAAGAAATGTTGATTTTACATGGAAGGTTTCTAAATTTTCATTCTTTGAAAATAATAAGAGTTTTAAATATTAAAAAATTAATATTTTTCTTTTTTAGCTAAACAGATCAACAGATAACAAACGAGCTACTTTACGGGATATAAATTTTGAAATATCAGGTAAAGGTCTTATTGGAGTATGTGGAAAAGTAGGGTCAGGAAAGACAACTCTTTTGCACGTAATTTTAGAAGAATTGATTTGTGATAGAGGAGAAATTAACGTTCCTGAGAAAAAGTCCTATTGTTGTCAGGAAACTTGGTTACAACACGAAACTATTAGGAATAACATACTTTTTGGGGAGAGTTTTGACTCAATTAAATATAAAAAAGTTCTTCATGCTTGTTGTCTAGAAAAAGATCTGTCCATTTGGTCTCACGGCGATCAGACTCTTGTTGGTGAAAGAGGTGTAATGTTAAGCGGTGGGCAAAAAGCACGAGTTGGTCTAGCAAGAGCAATTTACCGAAATGCTGATATCTATATATTAGATGATCCCATTAGCGCTCTGGACAAGAATGTCGCCAGACTAATAATGGAGAGGTGTATTCTTTCTTACTTAAAGGAAAAGGTGGTGATTCTAGCCACTCATCAAATTCAATTTCTCAGAGAAGCTGATATTATTTACAAGATTGAAGATGGAACTTGCACACGAATACCCAAGTCAATAGTTGATTCTCTTCAATTTGAAGAAAAACACAACGAGCCTATGAACATTGATAATGAACAAACTTACATTGCAGAAGAGGACGTGAAAGAAGGTTTGTCCGGATTAAAGACCTACATGGACTATTTCAAATCAGGAAGTCTTCCATTATTTGGGTTTTCTCTACTCCTATTTCTTGTAATGTTTTCATTGAAAATGTGGTTTGATACTATCATATCTTCGTTTCTGGTAAAAAAGTTTGACTTTAATACCCTAATGGCACTTTTATGCTTACTAGGAGCAATGTGCATGGCTGAACTAGCTCGACAAATGCTGTATTACTTGAATATTGCGAAATGTTCAATAAATCTTCATAATGACATGTTTGATAAGATTATGAGAGTTTCAAATAGGTTCTTTGATGTTAGTCCAAAAGGAAGAATATTAAATAGGTTTTCCCGTGATCTTGGGTTTGTAGATGGTACTTTGGGTGGATTTCTGGAATTTTTAATACTCATTCCTGGTAGTGTTGTTTTAACCTTAGCTATTGCTGTACGTAATGTTGTCTATTTAATTATACCGTTTTCTATTTGCTTTGTTGGATTGTTTTTCACTGTCCGGTGGGTCAGTGGTATATCTAGTGAACTAAGAAGGATGGAATGTGTAGCAAGGACGCCTGCCTATGAACTATTGGATGACGTCCTAAGTGGATTAATAACAATTAGATCTCTCGATAAAAAACGCCAGTTTATTGAGGAATTTTGGGCGAAAAGCGACGTTCATTCTCAAACTGCATATTTGTCGTATGGGTTTAATTTTTTTGGAAATCATTTATACTTTTGTTGGACAGGTTTTCTCCAGTTGTCTACTAATGTTGGATGCCTTGCTTTTTCCCATTACTTAGATCCTAAAGTTGTAGCTGTAATATTAATATATATCAATTCCCTTATGTTCCCTCTTATGTATTCCTTCAGAGTTTATTGTGATTTTGACAATCAAGTAATGTATTTTTTAAGTTGAATTAATTCAATATTTCAATTGTCTTTGCTCTTTTTCAGATGACTTCTGTCGAAAGAATAAAGCAATATACCCAACTTGAACCCGAAGAAGATTCTAATAAAAAATATCCTTCACTAGATTCAAATTGGCCTAATGCAGGTAGTCTACAGTTAAGAAACATGTATTTTAAATACGATATCAATCTACCATATGTACTAAAATCTTTAAACCTTAACGTAGAACCAGGGGAAAAGGTAACAGGTTAAATCAATCCAGTAGTTATTATTAATAAGTCATATAATCATAGATTGGAGTAGTAGGGAGGACTGGCGCAGGGAAAAGTTCTTTGATAGCCGCATTACTAAGAATGGGAGAAGTTAAGGGAGAGATTATCTTTGATGGGAAGGATTTGATTAGTGAAGTGCCAATCAATACTTCCAGATCTGTTATATCAGTAATACCTCAAGAGCCGACTCTCTTCTCGGGATCATATCGTTCAAACCTAGATCCGTATGATATGTACACGGATGACGATCTCTGGAATTGTTTGCAAAGAGTACAGCTTTCATTCAAAATTGCCAATCTTAGTAAACAATTAGATTCAGAAATAATCGAAGGCGGTAAAAATTTAAGTGTTGGAGAAAAGCAATTAATCTGCTTAGCAAGAGCTTTATTAAAAAATTCTCATCTTATAGTAATTGACGAGGCTACAGCTAATGTTGATAATGATACAGATGAAGGAATTCAAAACATATTAAAAAGTCACTTTAAAAGTTGTTCCATGATAACAATTGCTCATCGATTGGATACTATTATGCACTGCGATAAAATATTAGTGATGGAGTCGGGAACAGCTCGCGAATTTGGAACTGTTGAAGAACTATTAGCAAATCGTGGCTTGCTCTATAATTTGGTTAACAGTGGCTCTTCTTCACTGTAATACAAGCAATAAGGTTAGTGTATCTTATTCGTTTTCGTATTTTTTTTTAAAAGAAAGAGATCTAATAATATGAGAATTCGGAAGGAGGAATAACAACATTGTTCTTTTACAGTAGCATCCAATCAACTTGATATTTTGAAATACTTTAGCTGAAATATTTGATTGATAGAAGAATGAAGATGGAAAAGCAATGTGAATAGTAAACAGCTATGCACAAACACGTTACATAACATTCCAGGAATATGTTAAGATATTTTATTGTACTCAATGTATGAGCTTCATTGTTACACTATTTAATTGTATTTACTGTTTTTAATTGATAAATAAATGTAGTAGTTACTTTAGTAGATTCTATATTGAAATATTAATTTATAAAGTTATTGTTATTCGTTGAGATATAAGCTGTGGCATTTTTTAGAAGTTTGGATAAACAAGAAAGAAGGAAATTTATGTTGTTATTTAGGTGAATTAACTTACTTTAGATAAAGATTAGAACTTTATATGAAAAATTGTAAAATGAAAAAGAAATAGACCATATTTTCAATGTACATATACAAAATTCTGAGATTTTATTTTAATATGAACATTGTTATTGAATTTTAGATAGTTTACAGCAGATCTATTAAGCTAGTCCTTCTTAAAATTTTCTATATAGGTCACTGTATCGTATAGCAATCGAATTTTGATAAATAAGAACTAAAGTTTTCGGTGACAGTTTTGTGTCAATTGGTTGTTGAAACCTAAGTTGAAGGTTGTGAAAAGAGTGATGTAAGTACGATTTTGTAAAAGATCTAATAAAATATTTAATCTTTTATTTTAATTAATGTAAATATGTAGTCGACTATAGCCGGAAATATGCGTGAAGTAATGCCGATAGCAAATAGGATGCTCTTAGTTTCATTAATAATTCAATTTTATTTTTTTTAGCTATATCGATAAAGGTCAAATTCAATTCAATATTTTGAAATATCTGTATTTGCAATACAATATTAATAGTTTTTATCTACAATACTCAATATTTGTTGAAAAGATAAATATCAAACCAATAAAATTCGTATAGTTAACAAACTCTTCACTATATTCTAAAGACGAAATATTACTTTCTATCTGAATGATTAAACTTGAAAATGTTAGAATAGGTCTTACCCTATTGCGCTTCCCGTATAGTATTGTATAATATTAAAAGATCTATCAAAACTGAGTAAAAAGCTCTGAACAGTTACGTTTGGTTTTCAATAAGCTCTCTCCCACGCAATTATACTATTAGTTTCTGTAAAGAAGTATTAATGTTGATGTTTAAAGCATGCCTTTAGCACATCCTATTGAAAATGCTGGATATATCTCGTATTTATTACAATGGTAAGTTAATTACAAATTTAAGTAAAAGGCTAACCTATTAACAAAATATTTAGCTGGGTTTTTGGAATTGTACGAAAGAAAAATTGGAAAGATAACATTCGAAAATTTATTACACCAGCGGAGTACGATTCAAAGACTGTACACATGTCGTTGAAAGAGTTAGTTAATGTTTATCAGTAGTTAATTGATAATGCCATAAAAATTATTAACTAATACAGGCTAATTGACAAAGATCGAAAGAATGGAAAGAATATATCTATTTTGAAGCATCTGTTTACTTTATCTAAATCAGCCATTTTAAAAGGATACTTGTATAGAAGTTTTGCTGTCACTTTTAGAATGATTATTCCCTTTCTACTTCAAAAAATAGTCTTTGATTTGGAAAATAAAGTAACATACACAACATATCTTGCGACATTCACATTAAGTAGTTTTTATATTTTTTCATAGTATACCATCTAATTATATTAAAATTTTCAGTATTCTTTTTATTAAGTGATGGGTTCTTTGCTAAATTATCAACGTTAATTGCGACATATCGAGCCATTGCTGTTCGTGCCGCTTTAAGCTGTTGCATATTTGAAAAAGTATTTTGTAAATTAAAGAAAAGAGAAACTATAATTGTACTTTAAATAATTCTCAGACAATGAAAATAGATTATCAAGCAAGTCATGAACTAACAACAGGATTTATTCTCTCTACAATTTCAACTGATGTTGAAAAAATGTATGTCTTTGCATCATATGTCGGTGCTATTGTTTCGGGCAGTTTACTACTAATTATAGTTACAGTTTTGATAGCTATCTTTTATAATCCTTTTGCTGCACTTGGTTATTTTTCTTTGAATCTTACGATTGTTAGTTTTCTGTGTTTTTTTGGATTTAAGCAAGGTTCCTTTAGAGCGAAAATAGCAGAGAAAAGTGATAAAAGAATTTTATTCATGAATGAAATCTTGACTGGTATGCAAACAATAAAGATGCAAGTGTGGGAAAAGTATTTTATAAAGACACTTGAAAAATTAAGGGAAAGTGAAATATTGGAAATATTTAATACTTACATCTTTCGAAACCTCAATAAAGCAATAGCTATTGTTGGAGTTCGATTAAGCACATTTTTGGTCATTACAATTTGCAAATTATTAGGTCAAGATAACTTCACTTATCCAATCTATATACGACTTTTATTGATCATTTCATTCACCGAATGTGACATTTTTCAATATGCTCCGTTGTGTTTTTATATAATAAATGAAATAAAATCTTCAATGGGAAGAGTTAATGTAAGTTATTAGACAAATTTATTGTATAACGGTAAATTATTAAATACATCTTCTTCAGAAACTACTAAATGCACAAGACAAAAATGATAATGAAAAGGAAATTTCATTGGAGCAAAAAGCCTCTCTAAAAAGAGATGATTTAGTTTTTGCAGCTTGTAAAATTAAAACAGAATGGAAGGTGTAAATATTTAATTTAACTCTTACTCAATTTAACTGTTACTTTTAAAAATAGAATACATGCTCGGAAAAATTGAAATACTGTTTAAGAGATGTGACAATCAAAGCTCCAGAATCCAAATTAATTGGTATATATGGTTCAGTTGGTTCCGGAAAAGTAAATATAATATAGTCTTTATTTTTGTGTAAATATTATTGTTTTCTATGCAGTCAACGCTATTATTAACGATTTTGAAAGAAATACCACTTTTATCTGGCTTCTTAAGGCGTCCATCTAAAATATCATTTGCTCCTCAACTATCATGGTTGTTCAATGGTTCCATAAAACAAAATATCCTTTTTCACGAGTCACTTGATGAGAAGAAATATCGACGAGTTCTCCATGCTACTTCACTTGAAAAAGTAAGTTCAATATCAACTCCTATATTTATAAAAAAAATATCAACTTCTATAATATCTAAGAATAGCACGACAACGTTATTTTATTTCTTTTATTATTTTACTAATTAGGACATAAGCGGGTGGGTAAATGGTGATCAAACGCTGGTAGGTGAACGAGGTCTTATGTTGAGTGGTGGACAAAAGGCGAGAATTGTTCTAGCAAGAGCTATCTACAGAGCTGCTGACCTTTATTTATTGGATGATCCACTGAGTGCTTTAGATAAGGAAGTTGGAGGAGAAATTATGGCTAGATGTATAAAAGGATATTTGAAAGATAAATTAACTATACTTGTTACGCATCAAGTTTCACTTCTCAAGCAAGCTGATGTTGTTTTTGAATTAGAAAATGGAATATGCAGAGAAGTAGCAGCATCCTCTATTAAAAAATTTAAGTGTGAACATTCAAAACAAAAGTCAGATGATACTTCCTACGAAGAACAATTTATAGAAGAGGAAGACAGCAGCACTGGATTTGCTGGACTAAAAACATATTATAACTATTTTAAAAATGGAAGTTACCTATTGATAGGATTTTTTCTTACTCTATTTGTCCTGATTTTTATCTTGGTGACAACCTGCGACTTGTCTCTAAGTTATTTCTCGAAGCATGCATTTGAAGTTTCATCCATTTATGGAATTATCTGTGTATTATTTTTAATGGTTTTTCTAGAGACAGTTCGTCAGTGGCTATTTACCATAAACATATCTTTCTGCTCTGTAAATCTACATAACAGAATGTTTAGAAAGATAATGACAATACCAATGAGGTTCTTTAATAGCAATCCCAAAGGAAGAATATTAAATAGGTTTTCTCGAGATATTGGGTTTGTTGATACACTTGTGGTTGATCTACTTGATCAAATTGTATTCTATTTTGGACTAATAACATTCATAATAACTCTTGCAATAGTCAATATTTATTATTTGATTTTTCCGGCTGCCATTCTTATAGCGTTACTATTTTATTCATTTAGAAAGCTGTCACCTATATCTAGCGAATTAAAGAGATTTGAGGCAATGGATAGAACACCTATATACGAACAGATTGATAATGTTTTAAGTGGTATTCTGACAATAAGATGTTTTGAAAAAGAACAAGTTTACATGGAGAAATTTTATGAAGCTTCAAATCAACACAGCAATACTGCTTTATTATTAGAAACTTTTGTTAAGTTTTGTCAACAGATTTATTCAACAATAGTGTTGGTTTTCGTTCTGATTGTAGTACTTACGATAATTTTCTTTTCATCATCCTTTAATCCTGTAATATCAGCATTGGTAATCACTTATCTTTGTAGTACGTTCGATGCTTTTCAATTTTCACTCAAAATTATGGCAGATTTCGATATTGCGGTAGGTATTCATTTTTTAAAATGTTAATAAAGTTCACGGTCATATTTCTTTTGTTATTTCAGATGGTATCAGTTCAAAGAATTACACAATACTCGACACTTAGTCAAGAACAGGATAAAATTGACAATTCCGTGGAAAAATCACCATCTTGGCCTCAAAATGGACATATTAAATTTAAAAATGTTTCTTTGAGATATGATGAAGGATTGCCTTTAGTTCTCAAGTCATTAAATTTCGAAATTAAAACAGGAGAAAAAGTAAGTCAAATGTTTATAACATACAAAGTCGAAAGTCTTCATTATAAACTAATATATCTAATTTCAATTTTACAAACAGATTGGAGTTGTTGGAAGAACTGGAGCAGGGAAGAGTTCTCTTCTTGCCGCCCTCTTTCAGTTGACTAAAATAGAGGGACAAATTATTTTAGACGATATCGATATTGTAAATAATTTAGAGTTAAGCAAATCTAGATCAGCGATTTCGGTTATACCACAAGATCCTATTTTGTTCTCTGGATCATTCAGGTCTAACCTAGATCCTTTTGATACATATACTGATGATGAGATATGGTCATGTTTGGAAAAAGTTCAATTGTCACAACGAGTGTTTAATCAAAGGGAACAACTTGACTCCCAAATTATGGAAGGAGGAAAAAATCTGAGCGTTGGAGAGAGACAGCTATTTTGCTTAGCTCGAGCAATTTTAAAGAAAAGTCACTTGTTAGTGATCGACGAGGCTACAGCAAACGTTGATAATAAAACGGATAAAAACATTCAAGAGATATTGAAAATTCAATTCAAAAAGTGTACGATGATAATCATTGCTCATAGGTTAGAAACAATAAAACATTGTGATAGAATCATTGTTATGTATAATGGTCAAATTGTTGAAAGTGGTAGTTATAATGATCTAATGGAAAAGAAAGAATATTTATACACACTTGCCAATAGTTAAGAAATAGACAACTTCACTATGTTCTTAAAGGAAATAACTTTAGTTAAAAAAGGCTGGAAGAGTAGGATTAAACATCTATAAAGAATTTACATTATTATTTCTAAATTGTAAACTGCTTGAAAATATAAAGGCTATAATAAATTAATAAATACTTTAGGCAATTTAGTCCACTCTTATATGAAATAATAAATAAATTTGTGCTAACCGTGTGCTTGCTTAGTAAAATGTAATGTTTAATTATACAATAAATATTTGAACGGAAGAATACAATATCTATGCTAAACGCTTTCTATAGAAATAAGCATACATCTTCTAAAAAATCCTCAAATTACACTTTGAAAGATAGTTATAAAGAAAATATACGTCATTATTTATCACGATTATTATACATTCTGTATATCAAATATATTGATGCTAATGTATATATTTCTATCTTTTCTTTGCTAATACTAAATCTAAAAGATTTCTTTTCGTTCGACCCCAGGAGATTTGAGTTATTCGATATATCTGTTTCGCAATAGAAATACAAGCTTTTATGTGTAATAACAATAGGAGTTTCAGGATGAAAATTATCCAATTTTATACTCTATTTTTGCTCTTTTATGTTTAATTTGTGTGTTCACATATACGATGCATTGAAATTAACAACTCTTGTCTAAAGTTATGTAAAGAATAATGATGAATAATAAACTGCTGAAAACGATTAAGAAAGTTTCATTATGCTTATTCAAAGATGATTCATAAAAAATTTCAATTTGCATATTATTCATGTATGACATATCAATTTAAAAAAGTCTGTTATAACCACTGTTAAACCAGTTTAACAAGTATTTCACGTTTTTTAATAAAGCTATTTAAGTTACTGAAGATTTATACTTATTGCTAAATGAAAAACTTTTAAATTTGAAACTCTTATGATTACATAATTGAAGAGAATTCTATTCTTAGCGCTAACAATTGAGTTTTAAGAGGCGAAAAATTTAAGCATAATTCTGAATCATCTTATTAAATTTATCGACTTTTCTCAATACTATTTTAAAAAGGTATTTTCGTAAAACTCCTAACTAATTCCTAATATTTTACCGAGTAGTTTGATAGATAATGATTGAAGGCGTAACAAATCAATATTTATGATAAAACATATTTAGTTTTTTTATTTTATATATCCAATAATGTCAATTGAGTTGATTGCGATTATATAATGTTAATATTCTTTTTTTAAGTTGTATAAACTCACTCATTTTTTAAAAAAATACGCTAGGCAATATTTCGAATGTTTGTACCCTTTTACATTACATTGCTTCATTATTTAGATAGTAAATAGCATATACAAAATGTATTTTATAGCCATATTAACAGATGCTCCTTCTTAGTAAATGAAAATTCGGGCACTTCAGCTCTTTAGAAATTAATTTGTGGTATCTTTTACGGTGCTTAGAGGAAAAGAAAGTAGATTTTCGATACTCATACTATATATAGAGTAATTGTGAATCGCGGAGTGCTTAATTTGTAGTATAAAATTGATAGAATTAATTAATTTTATAGATAAAAAAGTCATGTCAACGCTAAACAGCATAATATATCTCTCTGTATGTTTAATTGATGTAGAAAAAACTACATACTTTTACAGCAAATATACTCAATATCATTCTTAACCTACAAATTTTTGCAATAGTTGTAGTATCCATTTTCTAAATCAAAGACAATTTATCTAGATAAATAAATTATTTAAAGAATATAATTTTTAGATGATGAAGAGAGATGTATTGGATTTATAATAACAACAATTTTGATTATTTTTAATTGAACATTTTGTATTAATTTCATTGTTTCTAATTCTATTTATATTGATTTATACATTAATGAAAACTTGTGGTATATCTACAAAATGTCTCTCAAACTAAAATAAAAAGTTCAATCATTTATGAATACTCCTTGTATTATTTTTAATGAGCTTCCCAGAAGCAGTTCATCAATAGCTTTTACCATTAACTCTTCTCTTTCTTCTGTAAATCTGCATAATAGTATGTTTAAGAAGATAATGACTATCCCGATGAGATTCTTTATTATCAATCCGAAAGGAAGAATACTTAATAGGTTTTCTCGAAATCTGGGCTTTGTTGACAGTTTTGCTGTAAACCTATTTGATCATATCGAGCTAAATTTTGGATGCTTACCCTTGAACAATATTTAATTATTAATGATTTATACCTGTTTACTTGTCTGTTTTATTAATTTCTTTACTTACCATAGGGGTCTAGCGAATTTAAAGGATGTGAAACAATTGATCAAACATATGAATGCAAACAGATATGTTGTACGTTGTATTCTAACAATAAAATGTTTTAGAAAGCTAAGAACTTATAGTGTCTAAAGAAATGATATAACATTTACAATCGTCATTCAATTATTTGTGAATTCATAGAAATCTATCAAAGTTAACACAAAATTATTCTATTGCCTCTTTGAGATTTTTTAATTTCCATTTAAAAGCTCAATTATTAAATCGAGGTCAAACTAAAGATGAATAAAGTGAGTATTAAATTAAGGAAGGGAGAATTACCTGACTGTAGAATATAGACAACGATTTAGCGTGCGAAAAGTTTCTAAAGAAAAATCTCATCATAGTGATCGATATACCTATAGGATGCGTTGATAATCAGACAGACAAAAATATCCTAGAGATATTGAAAAGTCATTTCAAAAGATACCCAATGATAATTACTGCTTATAAGTTAATAACAAAAAATATGATACAAACATTGTAATAGATAATGATAAAATTGTTAAAAGCGGTAGCCCTATTAGACTGATGGGAAAGGAAGGACACTTTTTAAAGCTAGCAAATAACTGTGAAATGAAAGAGCCATTGACACTAAGCACGATATATACGCAGAAATGTCCTCTATACGAATACTCAAAGAACAACATAACATTATCCAGTCACGTTTCTATGCATCTACTTTTCCTATTTTTTTTATATGAAAATGGAATGCTTTCTTTTAATTTTTTTACTAAAATTTGTTTATCCATATCTGTTAGTGATTAGTTTTATTTCATTGCTGTTTACTGTGCTGAAAACCCAGTTTAAAGTATGATTTCTCAAAATTGTTGAAATTTTTTATTTTCGAATTTGAAGATCTTAAATTTTTTTATATTTTCGTTTTTTATTGTAATTCATTTAAGTCTTTTACGTGTTTTTTAATTAAATAAACAAATGAATATATATTCCATCTATCATTAAGTATATTCAGTAAAAACCCATAACAATATCGATGAGCTTGATCCCTGTAGCTTTGTAGTTAATATATAAAGTATATGACTAATTAAGATGGTGTGGCTGGAGTTGATTGACGCCATCTAAGAACGCCGTGAAATGTTGCACATGCTAATAAAATTGTATACCCGTAGCCAGCAATCTAAAGAAAAAAAAAACAGGTCACGATTAATTAGCAGTAAGCATAGTTAGAATTATTCTTACGGCTGCTGCAGCCAGGTGGTGTATTGTTGTACGTGGTATTCTCTTTTGGTCAAAATTTGTGTAAAATGTTATGGCACTTGCAACTAGTGATGAGGAAAAGAACGATATAAAAGAAACCAAACCAAAAACGATTGCATTCTGTTTTTAAAAAAAAAATAGATTATGTGGATAAAATTAATTTAAGAGATTTTCATTTTAAATCGATTTAGCTTACAAGTAAATGCCATTTCCTCTTAAAAGCAGAAACTATTGCAGTAACGTTCAGAAAGTAGATGGTAAACGATATTAAGAATGACAAGACCGTTGTAAAAACGTAACATCGGTGATGCCACGATAAAGGCAGGTGCAGATAAGTCCCATAATAAGAATTACTGGTTGTCAGGCAAGCCAAACCAGACAAGCTTAGTAGCTGGATAGATTTTAAATGTAAAAAAAAAGACTTTAAAAAGCAGTTTGTTTAGCTAGAAAAATTTGAGGTGTTAAAAGGAAGTAATCAATGTGTGAGATAGCGTTAAAATTATGTAAAGGCTGTTGTAAAACGATAATTTAAGAATAGTGATCGGTTTACAAACTTACAGAGATAAACAAATGAACTATTCCGATACAGCTTTTTGCGTAAGCAGCATCGAATCGAATGATCAACGGATGACCTTCAACTATTTTTTCAGAGAGAAATGGTTGCTCTGCATTTGTTCCATTCTGTTCATCCCCCATTAAAGATTGTCTATATTAATAAAAAAAAGTTAATTAACAAAAAAATTAACAATATCGATTTATTTACAAAGCATAGAAATAACGTTATGTTAGAAATAAAATTATAATTACTTTATTAATTTCTTTTAAGAATCCTACGTTCCATTTGACAAATGACCTGATTGCTAGGCCTACATTTAAATAGACGAAAATTGAAATTTTCTTGGATGAAGTTGTTGCTATTTCAACAGTGAAAATAAACTGGTTGACACTGGGAAACATTACTAATAGTCACGTGATCGAATTAAATGATCGCTTTGAAAAAACTAAAAGAAAATTTTAAACATTCATATATAAAAGTCAATTTAGTTTATTAACAATGTCATCTATTCAAGAATTTTTTCCAGCCTCGGTTATTCGGGGATTAAGCGACAAAATTTATGATAAACGTAAAGCAGCGGCTTTAGAAGTCGAACGGTGAGTGATATTAGGGTTATTTGACAACAATTTTTTTCTATTTTGATTATATATATGGTATTATTACATTGTGATCTCTAATTAATTGATTAATGCAATTTAGTATTTTTAATATCTTGTAATAAATATTTTAGCATCGTTAAAGATCTAGTCAGGAAAAATGAAATAAAGCAAATCACTCAGATAATTGATATACTAGGACGAGATTATGCCATGTCACATAATATAAACACTCGACTAGGAGGATTAATAGCTCTTGCTGCAACAACAACTGCTTTAGGAAAGGTAAGCCATCTCGTTAACGAATTTCAATATCTTTTTGTGATACTGTATAGCTTACAAACCGCTGTTTATAAATAGTACATCATCAATAGAATCGATAGACAATATTTACAATACTTTTATTCAGTAATTATATAATAATTAATTATAATATTTAAAAAGGTATTAGCGAATTTAGTTCTATAATTTATTGACTTCCCAACACCGACTCATTTCCTGAGCCTTCAGCCAGACATGTCCTTTGCTGCTAATAGGTATATAAAGTCTATAAAACTAAAACTAGGTGAATTTTGCACTTAGTAATGTGAAATAACTGGTAAAACAGCAATATTAGTTACTATAATAATGAAATGCTTGGGTGCAGAATATTGTATATTATTATTTACAGATGAATGGTGAGATGAATAAATAGCTGTGTTAGATATATCATTTTATTCAATAGTATAAAGTATACAAATAAATATATGTTATTCATTATCTGTTATTGATGTGGATGATAAAAGTAATCCTTAAAGTCCTTTTACTTATATAGAACTTTTTCTCATCCTCCTTTCTCTTCCTTCTTCATAGATATTAGATGGTTTTCTTTCGCTAGTATATTTTACCCTTCAATTCACACAAACTCAAAGCTTTAAAAATATCTTGGATATTGCATGTTTATCGCGTCTTTGCCCTCTTTCTTCGCTCTTTTTAAGCATATAGAATTGGTCAATTTAGCCGTTTAACTTTTCTCGTTTAGTTAAAAAGGAGTAAAGAGGAGAAAAAATTTAGTTAAAGAATTCTGACTCGTGTACATCCTAGTATTGGCCTTAATGGACAAAATCTCTTTTGAAAATTTACGAAAATGGTCTAAATTTAGGGTAAAGAGAATTGATTTTATCTTAGACCCGAACTGTGATTTTGTTTTTTGTCGCTACTATTTGTTTGTAAGTAAAAAACATAAGTCGGAACATTTCTATCTTTACCCATTCTAATGAGAAAAACTCAAGAGGGCCTAATATTATCTAACCTATCTATTTAAAGGTCAAGTTATAAAGGACACTGCTCTTAACTCAGGAAACCAGTCATTAAATTATATTTATATGTATATTGATATTTATTTATTATAACATCTAAATTTATTAAAATTATCCGTTCGAGTTAATTCTAGGATAAAAACACACTATGTGCATTATTAAACGGTTAAAATAACTACTTCTTTTTATCGTCAGTTTAGAGGAATATTTAAAAAAGGACTAATTCTTTCAACCCATTCTTAATCTCTCTATCGATAATCTAGTCTGCAATACCGTCTGCACATTTACATTCCCATCGCTTAGTATTTTTTTTGCCCGCCTGGATAAGGTGACCTTTTAATGACAAGAAAGGAGAAAATTTGGTATAACCTGTTGGCTATTTGCCGTTTCTCTGTAGACGTCTGCAGACATCAATTGCTCTATTTACATATATATATATATATATATATATATATACTGTATATACCGCATATATCTAGAATATTAATATCTATACAATCTCTACTTTTCTAAAGTAGGAATTTTTAGTTCTCTAGAATAGAAATTTTACTTTGAAATGAATATTAAGGCGGTCATATCTGCGTCTCAGCCCCGGCGTTTTCCCTTTAAGGCTTCGCGTTTCACCTGAGACCTCATACAATTGTTACGAGGTATATTGTTGGCCTGAGGGTTTGTCGTTGAAAGATCGATTAATTACGTTTGTTGATTTGGAGACGAAGAAATATTAAGAGAAACTCTCTTGTGTAAACTACCACTGCTTACAGAAAATAGGAAGCGAAACATTGAAATATTACATTCGTTTTTTCTTAAATGACGGCAATATTTATAATAAATTAAAATACAACACTACCTAGACTTAATTTCATAGAAAATTTATAATGTAAAATAGACAAACCTTCCGCAATCGTTTGCAGGTAAAAGTTTATAGCTGTATTGCGTTTCTGTGCTCATATTGGTGTCTAGGGCGCGACTGCAATATTTACTCTCCTATACACCGTACTAGCGCTCTATAATAATTAATTGAATAAGTTTCAATATTTTTATTATTTGTTTAATTTCAGGAGTCGAAAGAATTTATTTCGAAACTAATAGAGCCAGTTTTAACATGCTTTCATGATTCGGATAGAAATGTTCGCTATTTTGGATGCGAGGCTTTATATAATATCATTAAAATTGCACGAGATGGATTTCTGCCTCATTTTAATGAGGTTTTTGATGGATTGAGTCGGGTAAGACATATTGCGTCAGATTGTAACTGTGCTACCAGCAATCATATGTTACTAGGATTTATTGCTTCCTTATTCCATCTAATATGAAAAATAAATTATAAGTTAAAGTAAATAATTAGTTTAGTAGAATTTGAACTCAAAAGTATACTTTCCAGTAGGTTCGAAATATTATTTAAATATATAATTTTGGGCATGATTTACGGCTTTTTCATTTTAGGAAGGACTGCGCATTTTACGTTTAACTGAAAACTTAACGAAAATCGATATAAATTATTCTTATATATAGATTTTTTTTTAAATTAGAATTCTAAAATAAAGCATTTTCCCGCTCTATTCGCTTTGCGAAAGTAAGAGGCAATTTCGGTTTTTATAAAGTAGATGAGTAAGTGGAGGATAGTATATGTGTTCTTAAATATACTATTAATATTATAGCTTTGGGCCTGTAATAGCTAAATACTAATAAATAAATAAACTTACTTTATATACTGTATATATATATATATATATATATACTTGTATATACACTTAAGTACAAATTGCTAAATAAGCCAATATATAATTTCATTCTCTAGTCATGCTTTAATGTTGAATATTATTTTAAGTTGAGGGATTGCGTATCCCGTCTTTAAACGGATGATCCATTTGTATAAAACATGCTTATAAATTTTACTATTGGTTATGCTTTGACCAAGATACACAGAATGCCTAAACGCCTTGATATTTAAGTCTTTTTACTTTGGTTCTCCGTTCTATCATATCTTTAAGTCTGATAAAGACACAAATTCGCAAACTTGATTTATTACTTTATTGACAAACGTATTGGTGTCGATCTGCAGCTGCTTTCCTATTTAGTTTTCATACGAAGCGTAAGTAATTAAATTGAATGCCTTTTTTTCAGTTGGCAGCAGATCCAGATGGACATGTTAGAAATGGCAGTGGACTTTTAAATGTATTAGTTAGAGATGTTCTCACTGCAAGTCCAAATATGAATTTGGTCGATCTAATTAATCAACTAAGAACAAGAATCTACAATCGAGGCCAATATACTAGAATGTTTATAGTTTCATGGGTATACTATTATTTAAAATAATTGAGCGCTTATATAACATAAAATCTAACAATATATGTTATTGATTAAAAAGATTGATGAACTGGACAACGTACCAGATATTGATATGATAGTATTTTTGCCTCAATTGCTTGATGGTCTGTTCCAAATATTGGGTGATAATCATCAGGATGTCAAGCAAGCGTAATTATTTATATAAAATAAATCAAAGATATACTTTTAAAGTATTTCCTTCTTTTTTATCAGATGTAAAAAATGCCTAAGGAAACTTTTAAGAAATATTTCGGAGGGTAAAAGTAAAAATGTTGATTATCACGTTATGGTCAACATTATTTTGTTACATTGTCAGAGTAGTGGTAAGAATTCTACTAATTATTTCTACTCTCATTTTTTCTTATCAAAAACAAACGATTTCTATATCAACAGATTCTGGAATACAATCTATGGCTATCAACTGGCTGGAAGAATTTGTAAAATTGGGCGGAAGGGATGCTATCCTTCCTGTTATAGCTAGCACTATATCTTCTTTACTTCCGTGTCTTGCCTACGAGGAAAGCAATAAGAACGGTAATGTGCCATGAGCTCAATCAAAATTTTTTTAACTATACTCACGTTAAAAAATAAAGAAATTTTAGAAGAAGATTTTGGATATAAAATTACCCTATAATTCGTAATTTCTTTCTCTTCAGAGGTTAGAGATCGGGCTGATAAGGTTCAAGCTAGTATAATGAAATTATTAACCGATGACGACGATAATCCCTTAAGTGCGGGTAAGCAGGAGAAATTAATTAAGTCTCACAAAATTAAGTATTTTTTAACAAATTAGTCAACGTCACGAAACAGTAAAATAATTTGTCAATTAAAGACTTATCAAGATATCTCTCTAACTTTTATTATTTCTCCTACAAACTAACATACTCTCAATTATACACGAGTTAATATACTCACTCAAATACTAAAAGAATATCTTGTAATTATAAAAAACTATATGGTAGTAGTTGTTCTATATAATGATGATATCGTCAATATTAAAATATATCCATACACGATGAAAGGATTGTGCATCTAACGATGATTAATTAAGAAAAATCAAATTAAAAGTAATAATATTACCTTTTACCTATGTTTAACTATTGGAAAAGGAAATAGCCATATATACTGGTTAGCATTTAGAGTAATTGAAAAGTTTATGAAAAAAAATCATTTAATACCATATAAATTAGTAGTAGGAAATAATTTTATGCGATTAAATGATTGTCTCGTTATATTCCTGGAAGACGAGGTTAGCCTTTTGTATCTGCCATCTATAGTTGACTTATTTTATATAATTAGACTTGGTTTTTTTTTTATTTCCATATATTAAGTTCCGTTTCTTATAATTGTTTTTTTTTTATAAATTCTGCTTGTTAAACATACTAAAATTTATAATATTAAAATCATTGAAGTTTTTATTAAAATGAGAGAAAGATAAGATCGATTATGACAATTTTTATCTCATAGTATTTCAATTGTTTTTTTAAAGTAGACGTAATTCAGTAATTTTTAGCGAGTATGTAATTTTTTAAATAGTTGGGAACAATTTTTAGCGCTTTTGTAAACAAATTGTAATAGTTATAAAATTTTTGTTTAGATGAACAATCATCAGTAGCAGCTGCAGCTGATGAGGACAATAAACCTGACAACGAGAATGAAGAACAAGTTTCTTATGATGGAGGACCTGTCCCCAATGAAGTTGAATTAGACAAGTAATTACACATTTGCTAATATTCCCTTTTAGTTCCTATTTTAATATATTTTTATTGCTTTACAGATCTCCCGCTATAAAAGATGATTATCATTTTAACATGACAGCAGTTGTTTCTGCTTTAACTCATCAGATGGCGCACGAATCTGTAGCAACTAGGATTGCTGCTTTGCATTGGATCGCCCATCTTCAGAAACGAGTACCTCAAAGAGTTTTAAGACACTTGGAAAACCTCTTTCCTCTTCTCATGTCAGCCTTATCTGACCCAGATGAAGGAGTAATATACTTAACAATAGAGGTTCTGAGTGACATTTCTTCATCATCATTTGGACGTCAAGTCCCTCCTAAGTTTGATATGGACATTCCAGAACAAGTGCTAGCAGACTTACAAAACTCTCATGAACATAACGCATACTTTACATGTTTCATGATAAAAATTATTCAATTATTTAAAAATGATGTAACACTTTTGGACAAGAAAGATGGCAAGGGGATGATAATTATTAGGCAGATCTGCATTTATCTCGGTGCTGAAAATATATACAAGTGCTTAGCGCTTATTATTTTAAAGTTAGAGACACATAATAAAGAAAAACAATTCGCAGCTGACATTACTGAAATGTTGGCTTATATTCTCTTAACTTCTAGTGAACTACACAAAGTTCGAACTGTTCTCAGAGAATTAAGGGACGACTATGCTGCTGATTTATTTGTGATACTCTATAAAGCATTTTGTCACAACTCCTTCGCAGTTATTGCGCTTTGTCTATTGTCTCAAATGTATTCGCACTCAGCCTACTTGATTAGAGCAGTGAGCGAAATGAACGTTACTGTCGATCTATTGTTACAATTGGACAGGCTTGTCCAATTAGTAGAATCTCCAATTTTTGCATGTAATATTAATATACAAATATTCTATTTTTTCATAATTTTTACATTTCTTTCTTTTTCAACAGTTTTACGAATGCAATTGTTAGAAGCTAGACACTATCCTTATCTTGTTGAGAGTTTATACGGAATTTTAATGTTACTACCACAAAGTGTTGCATTTCAAACACTTCAAACAAGATTACAGTGCATTCCACCTCAATCGCTCTTCATGTAAGTGATACATTGTAAAATCCTTTTAAACTGTAAATATATATCTATAAGAAAATGATTTCCTGTAGGGATGGTACAAGGAAAAAGCCAGGCAACGAGGATAGAGAAAAAGCGTTGAAATCTATTAATTTTTCAGAATTATTAAATATCTTCCGCACGATTCAAAAATTAGATTAGTGTAATACTATTCACATTTTTCTTCATGTAAAAATGATCTTGGTGCTATACTCAACAAGAAAAAGAAACTTCAAATTCAATTATCTTTATATCACATTCCCTATCACATCGTTCTTTGACAGTAAATCGATTTTCAAGTTAATTTTTTTATTCTATAATATATCGATAAGAAAGTTTATAAGATAACTTATATTTAATACGATAATGAACGAAAACTGTTTGCTAATTTATCTAAATGCTATATATTTATATATACAGTATATATATATAGTATATTTATTGTTGTTATCATCAAAATTGTTGGAAAAAGTCCAATAAATATTGACATTTTTATAATGAAAAGAAAACTGTTTTACTAAAAAAAATAATCTAATTTTCAACTAATTACCAGCTGAAAGTTAATGTAAAAACCATTATCGGATGATTATAAATATATTCATTAGTTTGCTAAGAAAACTCTAAATGTGTCTTAAAATTCTTTGTCTGTATCATTTCTTTACAAAGACCTACAACATATGAATATCGCCGAAACAACTCAAATATAATGCAATGTCAAATAAATGATAATTATAAGAAATAAAGACCCCAAGTTTATCTAATAGACTGATAATTGTATGCTGTACGTATAAAAATCTAAACTATTATTTTAATAGGGTACTAGATGGCGCAAGCAACGTAACTTTTGTATGCTGTAACTGTACTGCAACAGTAGATATTTTAGTAAATTGCATATTTTTAAAATCTTTACTTTTGTTTTGTTTAACTGATAGACTTCTAAATTTAAACTTAAAGAATATAAAGCATTCTTCTATATTATCTACGTCTTTAATTTAAGACGCTTATTGAATTTAATTGATATTTCTTATTTATATTTTAACCTACATAAATCTTGGGCAGCAAAATATATTGCTGTTATAATAAAATTGCTGCAATAAAGAATTAGATGAAGATGATTTTGTCCTTGCAATGATTAAACATTTATACTTAATATTACTTTTTTATAGGCCTTTTGATTATGATAAAGTGAAATTCATTGAAAGACTACAGCTACTATGCTAATCATCAAGGCCTTCTTTTTGCAGAGCCACCTATCGTTTAAAAACCTGCAAACATTGATCCTTCTTGCGCGAACTTGAAGCCTGCATAGATAGTACATACGTACATTATAAAATAAAACCAACCTGTAGCCAGATAGCAAAAAAACTCTTCTGCAAATTATGGCAAGTTCTCAGGAGTATGATGAAAAGGAAGTGGTTGACAACTGCTATGAAAAACTAAAAGATTTCGACTACATAAGATTCACATTCAATGATATGAGTGGAACTGGAAGATGCAAAGTTGTTCATCAAAGACATTTAAAGACTACTTTGGAAAGTGGAATAAGAAGTGCAGGAGGTAAATTATTTATATGATTTTTGAAGCAACAACTTAGCAATGATCTATTAAATAATCGGTATATGTTTAAGCCTAAAACTGGCCTATATAGTATTAAAGGCTAGAGGAAATATGAAAATTTAACAAATATTGAATGCTTTTTCATTTTTTTCGAGAGTAAGATAAAAATTGATAAAATAGAAACAGTTTCAGGCGATGTCCTTGACAAACGTTTCCCTTTGATAAAGTGAGCCTCTACGTCACTAGACGAATTTTCGAAGCTCTTTTATCAACTGTCCAGTATTTTCTTTGCCACTTATATTGTTCTTATGCTGTAAAAAATAATTGATTTTTTTTAGTTTCCACATGTTGCATCTATTCAATTGAATGACGTCATGCCAATGTAGATTGTAGCTTTGGTATTGAAAATTTTTCTAGACTAAATCCCAATTCATTTACGCTAGAGCGGCGTCTACACAATCAATTTACTCGTCTTTAGACTGGCTATCAGTTCTACTACAGTATAGGGGCTTGATTTTGTTTAGTTTCGAACTGGAACGCTCGAAACAACCATTATGTCTAGTTAATTGTTTGCACTGTTGATTTGTCATGGTTTGCAGTTCTTATAGGAAATTTTTTTCTCTACTTTTTCTAAATATAGCAAGATTGTTATTTTCTCCAGTAAAAAATTTTCCAAACGTAAAACAGAATGCTAAAGAATATCGTAGAGAAAAGATTAATAAGGCTTGCTTTAGAGAGGAGCTGTGGGGGGCGGAATTTCTTGTGTTTATTTTTTTTCCATCATATGATACCAGACCTCCTTTAAGCCTAGCTGAGTTGGTGGGAACTAACAAAGAAATAGGTCACAATTGTAGAGTTTCTTAATTGACCATGGAATCAATTTATCACAATGCTAACTATTGTAGTCTTTAATTCTTAAGTATTGAATTATGCGTTTGTTATATTGGATATCAATCAGCCACTTCGTGTTAATTTATTATTACTAGTCCTTTCTTATATACTATATACATAGTAAACTTACTATGTATTTTTAAAGAAACTCATTAGTTGCATTTTTCTGCTAATAAAATTTAGAAATGTTACAAAGTAAAGGAGAAAATTTTAATATAAAAAAAAGATGAGACTCTTGACCTTTATGGCCTACACAGGTGTTTCTTGGTTGAATATGCCTAAGTAATATTTATATTTTTAACATTAGGCAAACTCTCTTAACTCTTTTGTTTTCTATTTTAATCAAATATTTGCTAATTGATTTTTAAAATAAGAAAAATCGTTTTATTCCAAACTGACGCATCTCCGTATACTGGAAATTACAATGGAAATCACGTGATCAAAGCTACTTAAAGGGGCAGGTGCCAAGCAGCATTTAACGCTCCAGCAATTAAATAAGAAAAAAATTGGCTTCTTTTATAAATTCGTTACTTAAAACTGACGGTTTTCTACTAAAAATTTCCGTTTCTAGTCAAATTTTTCCAAGATATAAATTCAAAGTAGTTAAAATATCTCATTTTATCTATCTAACAATAAAAACATTCCCCTTCATGTCAATGTATTATAGAAATAAATGGAAACGTTATGAATTGCGTGCTCTTTTCCTCCAAGGAAATCGTTATCTATTTATGTTTACAGTAGAAATACTAAGCCTACAACTCTGTAATGCGAGGGAAGCCAAGCTATAGAAGGCTTAGTTCTGAAACAACCTTTAAAATACTATTTAGAGCACTTTTTGTAAATTGTTTTTTGCTAATGCGTTTGTTTCCATAGTGACTGCAATAGGAAGTTTGGGAAATAAATTGCCAAAAGACTGCTTAATGATGGACAATGGATGTCCCGATATGTTATATCTTCCTCAAAAAGGTACTTGCCATGCGCTACCCTGGGCAGGCTGCGGAAAGTACAAAGTTGGTGAAGTTTTAACCGACGTACACTCCTTGGATAGAAGGTACGCTGATTTTTCCACTCGACACGCAGCTATGCGTCAATTAAGGACCCTTAAGGAAATGGGTTATGAAGTTCTCTCAGCATACGAACTAGAGTATTATATTATGAAAAAAGACGAATCCGGCTCATATGTTTCTCTCTATGATAAAGACGAGTACGAATCAGCTTTCTTATGGACCAAATACGAGAAATTTATGTACGAAATTGAAAGTAATTTGTTTGGTGCTGGAATAAATATTGAACATATGCATACAGAATACGCAGGAGGTCAATTTGAAATGACTGTACCTCCTGAAACGGGTGTCAATAGCGCCGATACAGCTATACTTTACAAGAATGGTATTAAGGAAATATTAGGTTTACACGAAGGCTATTTAGCAACATTTATGTCTAAACCAGTAAGTGTATTAGTAATAGTAAGCAAAAGTACACTATAGGGTGCATAATTAAAAAAAAAACTTATTTACAAGAAGACGACAAACTCGTCAAAACAAATAATTATTAAATTAATGAAATACATCTTTAAAATGTCAATTAAATCGTATACTTCTATTTTTCATTTAAAAATCTTTCTATTCTAATATCCATATTTATTCATTTGTTTAGATTGCCAAAAAAGCAGGAAGCGGATGTCATTTTAACCATTCCTTATGGAAAGATGGAAAACCTGCATTTTACGATGAAACGAAAGAGCATGGTCTATCTGATTTAGCCAGATATTTCTTAGCCGGTCAATTAAAGCATGCAAGAGCACTTACAGCTTTTCTTGCTCCAACATACAATTGTTACAGACGTATAGTATGCCCTTTTGCTGCACCGAATATTGCAAATTGGGGAATAGACTCTAGAGAGTGCTATGTTCGCGTAAAGATTGGATCAAGTACTGGACCATATTTGGAAAACAGATTAGGAGGAGCTGTTGCCAATCCCTACCTGGTAATGGCCAGTATTCTAGCTGCCGGAATCGATGGAGTGAGGCATAAAATGGAATTGCCGGAACAAAAGGCTCAGGGCCCGGACGTCATTAGAATGCCTAAGTCCTTGGAAGAAGCTTTGAAAGCTTTGGAGGAGGATAATGACTTAAAAGAAATACTTGGAAAAGGTTTGGTTGAAAATTATATTAGAACGAAGAGAGGAGTAGAAGTTAAAATGTTCAATTCCGATGTTGGTCAAGAGAGCGCAGAAGATATTGAAAAAGAGAGGCAATTTTATATGGATTTGCTTTAGAGATTGAGCAGTAAACTATACAAATATTTTCGAAATACTAATATTCATAATATAACTAAATAATAAATAAAAACTATAAAGAAAGCTTGTATAAGAGAGTGAAAGAGGTAGAGAGAGATGAGAATATAGAGAATGAAAGAAATTTTGCATATATAAAAATTCGTTATAATAATATAACAATGTTTTTGATTAAATTTATAACTTTATCAGAAGTCGACCAATATTTACTGTTATTGTTTTTTTAGAAATATAATTGTTAATTGCTTATAGTTATTGTAATAAATTAATAAACAATGAGAAAATATTGCTTTTCGTAATTTATTAATAGAAATAATAAAACTTTAATTCAAAGTTATATAATACGCTTATCTTCTATAGTTTATATATAATTTTTGCTCAAATAGCATTGTGCTATTAACAGAGGTAAAAGAAAAAAGGAAAGAACATGTTGTATCTAACTCTTATTTTGAATTATTTAGGATTAAAAGGAAATTCCGTGGCTTTGATCTAAAATAAATACAAAATTTTTGCCGCTGTTTTCGTATGCAAATATGATCATCTCATCCTGGTTATAAATATAATCTTATAATCTTTCTATAATAACTTGGAGGAGAAATTTATGAATTAAATATTGAGATTAGTGTACTATATCGTATTGACATACTGTACATCCCCTCCTCTACCTTATTTGATACTAGATAATTGAAGAATTACACGTAGCCAGCTATCATGTCTGGTTACTAGATCACAATTTGTATCATCACAGAATAATGTTAATTATTGTATTATTAAAAGAAAAAGCCCCAAATTTCTATGAATTATTACTAATGAAGTGAAAGATTTTTCTATAGGCGTATAAAATGTGTATCGAAGATTTTGAGAGTAAAAAGAGATAAAGAGGTTTAGAATGTGATGAAAATCTTTTTAGAGTTTCGTATTCCCCACGTACATTTAAAGATCTCGTTAGAGATGAATAATACGCTGTTTGTAAGAGAAAAGAAACATTATTCTATAGTATTCGACTAATGAAAACCCATTTGACCCGTCTATTTAATTGAATAGTTAAAGATATTTTCCATTACATCTGTCCAAAGATACACGCAATTTTCTACTTAGAGATTATTATTTCCTTATCAAAATATTCGCTAGAGTCGTTTATTAGATGGAAAAAGACATTACGTAAAGAGCAATTACGTAAGATGCATCCGTGTCTTCTATCGATAATACAGTTTAATGTAATCAGGTAAATAATGAGATTGAGACATACGTGTACTAGGGGTTAATTCTACTCCCCTTAATTATATGATTCAAGTTACATCTGCTTGGCAGATGACTAATGAGCAATTTTATTGTTTTTTCATTAAAAGGGTGAATATTATAGAATGGAATAATTGGGTTTTTAACACTATTAAATACTATTTGAAAATTGATCATTTCTTAAGAATTAATTTTATTACTATATTAATCATTTTCTTACATTAATAAAAACATTTTCGTATGGAAATTTTATTACTTATCAGTTATTATTTGTCAAATTACTCCCAAATGTAGTTTTACGTCATGTAAATTTCCTTTTTTTCATCCCATAAAATTGATGTTTTAATTACAAAACAGATGGCGCCACGGAATGTTTGTCGTGACAAATCTTAATTTTTGAATGGCCTTTTCGATTATCGCCGTAATCACGTGATACATTTTATGAAGCTCTACAAAACGCTACTCTGGAAAAAGCAAATCAAATTAAGGCGAAAAGTAGGGTTGACTAGAAGCCCTTTGTGCGACATCCACTTTACTCGTTCGATAATTAGGCAGTCCTATTAGGCCTACTGGGACGAAGAACAACGGACAACAGATACGTTCCCCTCGGGCTATCGAATAGGATATCAGTCCTTAGCGGACGATACAAAAAATGGTCGATAGGATAGAAATCGAAAGTTGTATACTATTACAAAAGTACTTTTTAAGTCCTTTCATACTTCTACATTTATCTCTATTGAAAATTACCTCTTTTGCATTCTCTTCCCTTTTTCCCGTAACTTACTCTCTTTTTTTTCATTCTTTCTTTCTCTCCTCTCCTCACTTACAAGTTGTTTAAACACAAAAATAAAAAAAATAAGCAAACTTCAACTATATATAGAATCTACGGAGGAAACAGATAAAGATGTTGAAATTCTTACATAATATATCATCTGTCATAAAAAAAACGGATTAAGAACGGAATCTTTTATCAATTATATCTGTTAATTTATTCAAAGATTATGGAAAATGTCTAGAAACGTGACAAGTATCTCCCAAATCTGTTGTTAGTAATTCTATATACGGTTGGGTATTAAACACTTCATTAATATTTATAACCCAATTATGTCAAAAATTAAGAAAGTAAACCGTATTAATTTACAATATTTAATAAATAGAGGCATATTTAAACGTGTATACAGGCATAATAAGAGTTCTTTGATGCTTTCACGTGCTAATATTTCAGTGGGGCGTCTATTTTTGAACGGCCGTATCGAAGTATACACTTACTTATTATAGTTTAATAGGGCGAGAAAAGAAAGGACGGGGGGCGTATAGTGAAAAGAAAGGGGAAATCTACATCTGCTGTCCGGGTAATAGAACGGGAAGGAAAGAATGGTCGATGCAAAGAAAAATCGAATATCGTATACAATTACGGACGTGTTGCGTACAAAGAGGCGATCGGGCGTGAAAAAGTTCGATGCAGATGAGCGATAATGAGAACGCCTTGTGACTGATATCAAGATAGACGTCTGCTTGTCTTCGGAGGCGGTCGACCGTACCGGATTTTTTTTCTTCTGTCTTTGTTTCTCTCAATTACGTGCTAAAAAGAAAAATACAAGGTTAAATGGGTAAAGGAAAAAAAAGGAGAAAAAGAAAGAAACTAAACGACTTATTATATCCACTTTTTTTCAGTTTGACGTACTTTTTTTTTACCCTCATTTCTTTTTACATGATAGCTTTTTAATCTCTTTAGTTTATGTTGTCATTAAATATATAATGTACGTTTTTATCTACAAAATAAAAAAAACACCTTATCAATAACCAATCAAAAATAATTCCCAAATGACACTCCTTAAAAGGAATTAGGATTTAAAAATAAAGCAGAAAAAAGGTATGATCACTAGCGTAAATTCAATTTTCTTACATTTTTACGCCCTATTAAACCTTAAAGGGTAATTATCGCTCTCAGCACTAATTACAATCTCCATATTTTTCAGTACTTGTATACTTGATGTATTCGTAAGAACCAAAACACAAAGATATAAAAAGTAATAAAGGTTGAATAAGGACTATGTTTGTCTCGAATAAACCAATGAAACTCTCTTTCAATCCTAAAACTAATTCCCTTGATAGACTGATTGTAAATCAAGAGTTTAAAAGCGGAAATTTGTTCGAGTTGACAAACAAAAATAATAGTGTAATTTTATATAATTCTTATAATTTGACTCTCATTTGATTTACGTCCTCAACTCAGCAGTTTGTCTCTTAGAGGGTCACTTGAGGGAAATTAATTTCTGCTGACACGTTTTAAGTATCTTTTAATTCATATTGGGGGAAACTTTTCTATTTAAATAAAACCTTTTACAAAACTATCATTGTTATTCATTAAATCCGTCTCCTGTCTTGATGACTTTTAAAGAAAACATTTTATATTTATTGCGTACCAGATGGGAGGAAATTCTTCTTTTTATCAATACTCTAAACAGCTTTAATATTTAGCCTAGTGCAAAGAGTATTATGATTAAACCTTTTGGATTGTAAGGATTTTAAAAAGTTAATTGCTTGATTCATCTATTATCTCTAACAACTATATTACGAATTTTCAAAGAAAAACTAATTGTACCACCTGATTCGATTTTTTACGCTTCACCTAACCTTTAAAACGCACCACCTGATCTTTGTCGATATATTTATTTATATACATTCCATATTTAATTCATATTTATATACCCGCATATTGGAAATTAAGTTTACAGTCAATTACATCTCGCCCACACTGAAAATATAAACTCTATATAAGTTGAAGAAAAGAGTACAAGTATAGAATAGGGAAGGGAAAATAGTGAAATAATATCCCTTTTTCCCCTATAAAAACTTTTTCTTCTTCTTTGAATGAATTTTGAATTTCTCTAAGTTAACGACATCTAAGTGAAATTGAGTAATCTTTAGACTTTGTATATATACAAAAGCAACTTCTTTCAATAAACTATCAAATTGTCTCTTTGTCTACGTTAGCTTATCTAAATTGTAATTAACTTTATGTCCATTCAAAAGAAAACAAGTGTGTGTTTAGAAAGGAATTTTGAATTGTTTATTATTTGTTTTCATTCAAGTAACGCAATATATTAATGAGATATACTTTTACAAAGCGGTACTTGCGAATGTTTGACTCATTCCACTGGATTAATTTTATGCCCCAGCATCTGTGTATATATATAAGGCCTCGTAAATAGAATGAGTGGACATTCTTTCCACTTGATTTATTAATTTACGAGTTGTCTTAATCATTCAAAGGTTAAAGAAATTTTAGCTGACTAATTAAATGATTTATTTCTTAGTTCTATAAGATAAAAAAGAAATTACGTTTAATAAGTAGATATTAATCATATGTAAATTAAAGTTATGGAAAGGGAAGGGGGAAAAAAGTAGAAAAAGAGAGAGATAGACAGAGAGAGGGGGGTTATTAATGTCAAGTGACTCATCTATTGTATTGACCCTATCGGGTGTACTTACTCTAAAGGGAAAAAAGACATGAAAGAGTTCATTTTATAATTACAAACAAGAAAATTATGCCATAAATTAAAAATTGATAAGATTATTTTTTGCTAGTTTGTTATTTTTCTTTTACTTCTTTCAATATCTTTTCTAATTAAAAGTAAAGAAAGTCAAAATGTTGCAAATCCATTAGAAAGTTCCAACCTACATTCATTAATTAAAGCCATACGTCCGCCAGTCACCACCTAAAACCTTCTTTTTTTTGTAACTTTTTACTGATATGCTTTAAAGATATAAAATGAAATTCTCCAGCCCACTCATACCCTAAAGAATTCGCTCAACGAGACGCCGTCAAGGTCGATTATTAATTACAGCGTGACACACCCTAATTAGGCTAACCTGCTTCTCTCTTCAGTCTTCACTTCCTCCCCAACTGCCCAGCAGACAAGAAACAAAAACAAACACATATGTTCACGCCCGCTACATTTCAAAACAAACGCATACCGCAACATATAAATCATTCCGACAGCCCTAATAAAAAAACCCGCAATCGATCTATTAAAATGCACGCGCTGGGAAGCGCGTGAATCACATGGATTCTTTGTTATGAGATAATGAGATACGTCTCATTTTCCGCGCCCTTTTACTGCATGGGGAGGGATACAAATACTGAGGGGAATTACCAAAAGGGAGGATAGGCGGTATGTAGAACAGCCTTTTTTTAAAAAAAAATAATCGCCATCTGGCGGTAACCCTTATGCAAATTGGGTCGGCGTCTCGTTTCCGTTCTCACTATATCGCTTGGCTATCGGGCAGGCAACATCAAAGTGTAGCGATCTTAGCTTGGAAAAATCGGATAATACTTCTGCCTCAGGAAAGATTATACTTGGACATCATAACTACATGAAAGCTCCTTAGAAGTGACGGTTTAGAAATGAATGAACATTTTTATACTATTGTGGGCGAAAATACATGAAAATTGGCTTAGACCCGAAAATGACCAGTTTTCGTTGTCTGCTGCTACTCTCCCTTTTGAACTTTTCAGGTAAATAAAACCGGTTTTTACACCATTTTTCTACTAAGTCGATAATCTTGTCGGATTATCCCTACTTATGGCATGACAGCATTGACAAACACGTGTTTTGTATAAAAATCGTTAGACGAACAAGTTGGGCCCTTTTGTAGGCCTTACTTTTTTTTTGCTTAGCTACCTGTTTCGGAGTTCTTCTAAAAAGTTAATAATGTTTCCAGTAACAAGCACAAATAGCAATGTGTAATATTGACATTGAACGCAATTAAAGGAGTATTTTAATTAGAAGTTCTTGTTATAAACTGAAATAAATTTAACAATACTTTCTAATCTTTGATTGAACCAATTTAACGTTAAACTTAACTTTCGAGTATGTTTATCACACAATATAAAGAAAGAAAGTGCCTATTTGCATTCTTTTCGTTCAATTTTAAGTGTTTTAAAACACAATACGAATTCTATTTTCGTTTATAAACTATTCTATTTTGTTATTATAGTAAAATGAATTGTAGAAATATTTTTCTCTTGACTAGTTGTTTCGCAATTAGTAACAAATCCTTATAGAAAGAAGCTTAGACTGACTACAAAATAGAATTTTTTAGTATACAGTTTATAAAACTTATTCATTATTTATCGATTTATATAACTAGTCATTGTCGAATTTTCGCAATCAATCACACTTTAAATATATCTGCCTGTCGAATAGAACTATATTTTAATTAGTTTATCTCATGTTGTCTAGGCCTAGATCCCTTATCATCCCAATTTATTGCTTGAATTGGCAAAGGCAAATAGAATATTCGCTAAGATAATCGATATGTGTGAAAGGAACGCAGTTTTTGTCGCCAACCGAATAATAGTCTTTTTATGATGGCCTGTTTTTAACCTATATTTCGAATACTAGTTAAGTGTTTAATAGAGAAGATCTGTTACAGATCGTAGAGTGAATATTTACCACTTATTCGGCCAAACCTGATAGCAAAAACAAGAAAAAATAACGAATGGTTTTCTTTATCATTCAGATACGAACTTGATCATTTTTCCTCTTTCCCCTGTGCGTTGTTTTTCTCGTTTATTTATAGAATATTCATTAAAGTATTAATGCAACTAGCCCTTCTATTTCGGGGTACAACTTTTATTCAGGCTAAAGCTAATTAACTATATATACGTTTCCATTCCATTTGGCCCAAAAGTTATTTGGCAAAGAAAATAAATAAAGAGTTAAGGAAAGTCTTTTATTAAAATTTTTATCATTTATCTTCTCTTCCTTTTCATTGAAAGGATTATCACCTTGCCCTACCCATTTTATCAACAATTTCAGTCTAAACTAATAAATTGAAAAAGGGTAATATCCTACTTTTTAACTTTGTTAAATAATAACTAAAAACTGTAAGATAAAAAAATCCTTCTATCAACCGTGAAACATTCGTTCTTTCCGCAGAAAGATTAAGAACGTGGTGTTGAAATATCTTTGCAAACATAAGTTTAGCTCTTGAAGTGTGTTTCTATACATATTTTTGCCTGCTTATATTAACGAAAGTAAACTTTCAATAAAATAAGAATAACAAAAAAAGTAAACTATCACTTTCTATTATTAATTAAAGTGAATTATAAATAACTTTAGCTTATGAATAAAAATGATAGAGAAATATTAACACGGATGGTTTCTTTTTAGGATTTTAACATATCACGACGAGTGAATATATTCCCCTTAGAATAATGAAATTACTATGAAAACAGTTAAATCGTGATAGAAATTAAAAACTTGACTTATTTTTATCTATTTTATACAAGTATTTGAGGATTGTTTTAAATAGAGTTTATAAAATAGGCATATAACATACCCAGTGGACTGTATAAATCCTAAAAATGTTATTTATTATAAATAAATAACTAAGCAGTCAATATTTCCTAAATATATCTGAATATACGATGAAATAATTAAAAATAAATATCTTTTGTATCATCAAGTCTGTCCCCAGTTTGTATTTGGTTTATGGCCCTAGAATAAATAATGTAAAAACATCATTAATTGATTAATAGAGGAATGATAAATAATCTCAACAAGCATAGGTTTTGGTCAAACAAAATTCTATCTTACTAATAAATCAGATAGGAAAATTGTTGGGCCTACTCAATTGCCATTTCTAGAAGACATAAGGAGGTTTTGTGCCTGGACAGAACAAATGATGGGAATAGGGAAATAGTTCAACAAACATTACTTGGTCTATTGAGATTGTAAAGATTGTTAGAGTAATAAGTTGTAGCTATAAATCGCATTACGCAATATTGATTGTTTATAATTCTGTTTTAATGATTGTTAGGCCTTTTTTATTGTATGAATACGGGAAAACAGTAAAGCATTGTAAAAAGAAATGACGATGAATTTTATAACGGACTGGAAAGATTTCTAAGCTGAACAAGGAATAACAGCTCAAATGATCGATAAGGAATTACTCTCCTTTGATCTGACAAGAAAATTACATGAGAAACGCGAAAAAAAAATGTATTTTTTTCCATCTAATTTTTGGGTTATAAAAATCAGTTGACCCTGAATGACAAAATATGAAAAGAAGGTTAAACAGTACAAATTAACACGGCTTCTATTTCCATAAACTATATTTAAAAAGAAAATTCATTGATTTTAATAAATATAAAAAAAACAAAATCGAAACATAGGAAGATTAAGCTTTAAAATGTCAGTTTGCTAATGGTCTGTATTACTTATTTGAATCTCGCGTGTCCAATAGCGATTTTGTACTTGAATATATAAGATATTTGCAAACTGTTACAATTTGACATTTCAGGTTTGCGTGTATTTTAATAAATCATTTTGAAAAAAATGTAATTATAAAAGAAACAAACTTATATTCATGCATAGAATTCCGTTGTGACAGTTTGGCAGATGTTCTGTAACGTTTTCCCCTAATTTTTTTCCTCTTAATTTTTCTTTACAATCCCCTTAATTATAATATCAATTTTTTATTTGTTGATAAATTTAAAATAGTCAGCTTTTTATTGTTTCTAATAAAGTTTTTAGACAAAACCTGTTACACATGTGTCCCTGTCATTCTTGTATAGCTTCCACCCCCTCTCTCCCCCTCCCCCCCCCCCACGCAGCCACACAGTCTACTACACCTCCCCTTTTTCCTCGTACTCTCATTCCCCTATTTTTTATTTAATAGTGCGTTCACGTTAGGACATTAGACACAAACGAGCACATTTATCATTAGCATGCATAATTAAAAACATAGTTCTATTGTATACAATTTTTTTATTTTTATTATATTTTCGTTTACCACATTCTTTACTATTTTTAAATATCAATTTCTGTCGTTTATATCAATTATTTAGAATAATTCCATTCTTCCTGTATTTTTCCATATCTATTTATCTTTTATATAACTATTTAGAAATACTTAAACACAGTTTTGATAATAGATACTTCGCCTTAAACTATTTGATATGCTTATATCTATGAATATGAATATTGAATTGGAAACATATCATAAAGCCTATTGATCTGATGCACATAAATAATAGAACTTACTGCACAAAATAGTACAGTAAATGTTTAATTGAAGTGATATTGTAATTAGTTTGCATACTTTTTAAAATAATCAAAAATATTAAATGCATTGAGAAGTTCAGGATATGCAAATAGATTTTTTCGACATTTAGGTATAAACAAAAGTTTATATAAATTATTCTGTTCTATATTTAATTAATAAGAATATGTCAGTTAGCTTAAGATGGATGATTTTACGAATATTTTAAACAATATAAATAATACAAGAAATATAAGAATCACTATAAAGGTCTATTCCTTTGTTCTACTTTTTTCTTTTTTATACTTTTTCCGAATATATGATACGAGTTTGCGTGTACATTGGTCATTAGCATACATAATTAATGTTGTTTCTCTAGACATAAATAATTCAGATAAACAAAAAGAGACGCTCTTGAAAAGAATTGAAGATATAAAAAAGAATTGACTCCCCCTCAATTATTCACAACTTCTCTCCCTACCGCAAACGGCTCATCTGCATACGAATAGGCCTATAGGCGATGCTCGAATCTTGTCTTATTTACAGGGACAATATTTATGTTTATCCGATATTCTTGCGGTTTTTATATAGAATTTCTAATTTATACGATCGTGATCTGAGACTAGAAGGGTGAGACAATCGTAAGTGACAACTGCAATTTACTGTAGGGTAATAGTCAATTAATTGGATTGCAGTCAGTGAGTCAGGAGGCAAGGTTATATTTAAAATCAATTTTAGTTTTGACAAATTTATTGATTGATTTACGGTAAATAGTAAAGTAAGCTATTCAAGGGGAAATTGAAATGAAACGTGAAAGCGGCTCAAGTTTTTGCGATATATTTTGCAGTGTTTGGCTAACAGTCTGCAGTAGGCGCCTCTTCGTTGTTTTGTTAACATACGGAACAAGAATAATTTGCAGTCGAGCTTTGTTTGTGTATTCAATGGTTTGCGGTAAAGAAATATTTTTCTTTTCCACTAGCCGCATTGGTGGTAATTAATAAATTGGATTGGTTTTGGCAAGGTTAAAGTTTATCTTGCTTTTGATCTCCATCTTGCTAATATACGACTGATGTAGTTTTGTTAGCTGTAAAAGTCGCGTTGATAGACGCGAAGGTTTTATCAACTACATTGCTTGTTCCTCTTTTTGAAGTTCGTCTTCAATGCGCTTTGCCCGTTATTAAGTTACGTAATGCCTAGACGTACTCTCCTTATTACATATATTGGTATTATCTCCTTTTTCAATCTCATTCTCTTCGTTTAACCTTAAAATTTATCAATTGATTAGAAACCTCTATTCTTTGTTTGCATCTAGGAACTATAGAAAAAATAGCCTTGTAGATATTTGAACAAACAAGATAAACTAATTTTTCATCTTTGGTTTTTGTAGACCGAGTTTAATTATTTGGAATTTATATTCTTATGTGTATTTTTAAATCGAAGACTTTTCCCTAATTATCTTGATTAACC